AAAAAATATAATTTCTATTTCACACCTACGTTGGTGACCAGGTCCTCCTCGTACAACACAAATGCCCCCGATATTTTGTCGTTTAGTTTTTTCGAAAATATTCAAAACAACTCTAGCGCAATGACGGTGAGGCTCTCGTTTGATCGTGGTCGCCTCGGTCCAGTATCGTTGTCGCACATGAGGTTGCAGCAAGCGAGAGACATGATTCAATATCGTGCTTTGTTTTCCTTTTCCACCAATCGAATTCGATTTCGTTTCGGTTACCAATAGATTGATAGAAGCCGCGTAGAAGCAGGATATTGGTGGCACTGTTGGTGTATCCCATGTACTCAAAAATTTTTTTGGCATTGTTTGCATGGAAATCAAGCGCATTACAAGAAGATGAAATTTATGATAGCAACGTATTTGTTGGCAATCAGAAACTACACGTTATTGCTAAATATGCTGATCACTCGCAATAACAATATGAAAGAGACAGTAGATCGAGTTCCACTTCCATGTGGGGTTTGCGTTTGGGATGACATTGGCAAAACAAACATACGATCATAAAATCGACGCGAAAAATTAGAATTCATGATCATGAAGATCCCACATAATATTCTTTCAAGCAACGAACTTAAACGAATGCAAAAAAATCCAACGTTGACAAAAATAAAATGTGGCTCCTTGTCATTTCTGTTTGGTAGGGTGAAAATCATATGACCTGGTCAGGGAACTACAACACGAAGATGAAATGTTTGAGTCCAAAAGTCGCAATCAACAATTTTGGCAGGGATACATTAATTTTGTTTTGTGTGCGGCATGACTGCGGAAATGCTCACCGCACCATTTGATTTTCGTAGCATGCGGAAATATCGCTATCGCAGGATCTGAGGCCGCCGACCCTGGGTCGACGGCTTTAGAGCATGTAGACAGTTCTTGTATACCTAGGCATGAAACAACCATGAATATCAGAAGAATCTTGAATTACACGATTATATTAATGACACAAAGTATGGGTGAACTTTTGGAAGGTAGGAGAAGACGAAGAGTATAATTCTAAAGCTCAGATTCATAGCACGACAACGACAGAAAAATTACTATACGACATCTTGACAACTGCAACTCCATGTAGCAGGGTACTTTTTTTTTCGGTTGATCGTTGCTGCGGCCTGTTTTGAGTGTGTTTCCTTGATCCGGAAGCATAACTCTTGTACTTGTAAAAAAGCAGGACTGTGAAACTTGATGCAACATCGCCACGAGCTTCCGTCTCGCCCCCCTACCTTCTCCATCCGACGGCCCCCGGCCGGCGAGGATAGTACTCCGAGAACCGCTCGGTCTGCCGCTACAGCAACGTCTCATAGAGGACGTGGTAGAGTAGACGAAGTAGAGGACTTCTATCGCAGCAAGAACCACCATCGGGATCGCGACCATCGGGCCGCTCGCGCCTTCAACGACGAACGCATCCATAGTACTACTGCAAGAACCTCTACTACTCCACCACGACCTGCCCTGGTCCTCGTGGGCAACAGCCGAGGATTGGAGCGTTCCCGCAGCCGTAACGGAGACAGAGAACAACCTCGCCAACATCACCGGCGACGCTCTACTGCCGATCCCACCGCATCCTACATCAACCGCAAGAACTTTTCGCAAATAGAGTCACCCAGAAATAACCACCACGGCGAAGAAGAAGCAGAACATCTCCCTTGTTCATCCACAAAGACCACGACCCGAGCAATCAATTATAGCCAGAAGGCTGCTGCTCGACGAGGAGATCTTCATAGTACACCAGGTCGTACTACTAGCGCACAGAACACTTCTAGACTTGTTCTTGTACCAAGGTCAACTACCTCTGCGAAAGACAAACGGGAGGACAACAAAACGAGAACAAGGGAGAAAAATAAAGGAGACAACATGGGTAAGAGTGAGGAGCCGGTGTATCAGCGCGGCGACTACTTGCAGGTCGGCAGCTCGTCGGGCGGCAGCTCCTCCTCGAGTTCCGCCTCGGGCACGGTGCAGTCGCCGCGGTACCGGGTAGAGCAGCTCGTGGGGCATGGCGCATTCGCCGAACTCTACAACGTGTACGACGAACGCTCGCGGTGCAACTACGCCGTGAAGGTGGAGAAGAGCCGGGCGGACGGGAACAGTAAACTGGAAAAGGAATCGCAAATCCAGCGCGATCTGCACAAAGCGCTAAACTCGCAGGCAGAGTACGAAAAGTCGAAAAGGTATAATAGTACATAGACGCGGCAACATATTCTTGCTTCTACTTAAGTATACCTATTCCTTTTCATTCGGACCTGGATTAGTAAGATATACGAAAGGGGATGTCAGTGTCAATCTGAATGTCGAAGTTGTCATACTGGTGTCGAGAGAATTAGAAAGACGCAAGAAAAAGCAGTCCACGACTTCGTACAGAGTTTGATTGACGAAGCAAAGTCATTGATGAACACTACCACAGAATCTACGTTCCCCGATGGCACGGATTTCACACGACCGACAGTGGGCCGTACATGGTGCTGGACCTTCTGGGACGCGACCTCTCCAAGGTACGCAAGACCGTATCCCGGCATAAGCTGTCCATCAGCAGTGTGGGCTACCTCGGAGAGCAGCTGATCCGGATTTTGGAGAAGGTCCACGATCAGGGCATCGTTCATCGTGACATCAAGCCACAGAATTGTACTTTCTAGTAGCTTGTTTTTGAATCGAGTAAGATGAGTACGCTGGTGTTGATTATGCGCATGCCGCATAATTTCAATTTGCATTCGTGTGATATTGATTCTTCGAAGACCTTGTTTCAGAGGAAAACGAGTACGCGTAGACGAGGATGCATGTATGATCTCTTGATGTTCAAAGGTGATTCGTGAATTTCATCTGCGTCTGCTCCGTGACAGAGAATTTTATTCGCATTTTGATAAATTCAAAATTACATCTCAGGTATGCTTGGCAACTGTCAAACAACGAAATTGAACCTCCACCTTGTCGATTTCGGTCTCGCGCGGGAAGATTTTTTCGAAGACAAAGTGCACGCAAAACCTGCCACCGGTGTGTCGTTTCGTGGCACCGCCGCCTATGCGTCTTTGCGGTCCTTGGAGAACGTGGAACAAGGAAAGCGGGATGACATCGAAGGCGTGTTTTGGGTAAGATTTTTTATTTTGCTCCGCAGAAGTGGTGTATGTTTGTCGCGCCGGCGCAAAGAACATATGCGAAGCTATTTTACAGATAATATGCACGGAAATTTGAATTATAATTTATCATCATTATCATCATCCGTTTCACACTTCGTGGCTATCAATGAAATTATTGAATGTTTCACAGGTTTTCACGGACTTGTTGTGGGGCGGTCTGCCTTGGAGAAGGTTGAACCTTGGAAAGAGCAAGGAGCGGGATCAGAAAATCCGGTCCGGAAAACAAATGATCTTTGACGCGCTCGAAGACTGGGACGATGGTATTGAAACATCAATTCTCGTTCGTATCATTTTCATCTCGACCTTGTTATTATAGCTTGTTTTGGATCCGTGGTCTAGGTTTCAGTTGTCTGCAGCTTCTACTGTACTTACTGAATAATTCAATTTTAGTGGTGGAGTTGCCATTTTTCAATCACTTTGATTTGAATTCATCTTAGGTCGCCTCCATCTGAAGCTGAAAGCGCATCGAGAGGGCGTCTACTCGGGTCCGATCGACGAGCATGGGGATTTTTGTCAGACCAGCAGCAACGATGGCGGGTCTCTGATTGAAGCCCTTCCCGAGCCCATGGTCGAATACTGCCGAGAAATGCGCAGTTTGGGCTTCAACGAGAAACCAGACTACAGCTTCTTCGCCGGCTGCTTCGAGAGGCTGAAAACTTTGGGTATGATACGTGATGTCTCAGATCAACATTAAAATACAAAAAGAATTTGACTCTTTGCTGCATGATTTTTGCTGATCATACATGTGTTATCACCAGCCACGCATCTACTTCTGTGCATCAAACTAACGCGGTTACAACTTCTCCGCGCAAGCGCGCGCATTGGTTTCTTTTTTTGGTTGTACTAACTTCTAGTGCGGAAAAATTTGCGGAGAAAGTGAACGTCGCATGATCTGTCCCCACAGGCGACCGCAATGGGAATTTGCGCAAGAAGTTCGAGGCCCGGACGCTTCGGGAGGCCATATCCAAGGAGATTTACGCGCATCACCACGCGGACCAGAACTTCAATCGGCTCACCTCGATGGCCCCCATCAACAACAGCTTGCTGCAGCAGGTCCCGAACACGGCCCCCGTGTCCCGGAAGCGTACTCGCCCGGGGGACCACGAAGAAAACGAGATCGACGAGGAGGTTTTTCCTGCGGCCGTCCGACAAAAAAGGAGCAGCCAGAATCACGCCGCGGACCTCCAGGAAATTCTCGCGCAGCAGAGGAGTAAAAGGACCTCCCGGATGATCGAGGAGGAGTTGCAGCGCGGTGGCAACAACCCGGTTCTCCCCATTGATCCCGCGAGCGACCGCGTCGGGAACACGATTTACCCCAACAACAGCTATACAGGACCGGACAGCGGATTTATCCCCCCGCCGGCTGCGAAGCGCGCGTACCTGCAGGCCCACCCAACGAACACCAGCATGGCGAATGGCGGCTCGAGCTGCAGCAGCGGCGGCGGGCTGACGAGTCAGGCCGTAGAGTCCGTACGGCCGACCAGCAGTGCGGACGGTGGAACCGCAACCGCCCCGCAGCGACAACCGAACCAGCTCACCCGGACGCAGCGTGTCAACACCATGGAGCCCGAAGAGCTCGAAGAGCTGAACCGCGGGCGGGGACGTACTACTGTCGCTGGTGACGGCACCACGCGGCCTCAGTCCGGCCGGAGTGGGCCGAATCGAAGCGGGAACGCGGCGCGGCGCTCAAGTCCCCCGCGCGACGGCGACGCAACTACCCGCGCAACGGGTGGTGCGACCAATGCGCGGACCGGGTCGGCGAAAAACGACAATCGGCGAAATAACTCCCGCAACGCGCCTGAGCAGGCCCCCAACTCCAGCCGCAGCAGCGCGCCGCAGAACAGTCGGGGGGGCAATAACACGCGCGGAAACGGGCGTGGTGGATCCTCACGGCCCACCAGCAGTCGGCAACCGCGGAGCGGACGCTAGTTCGTCGTAGCGCAAATACGACGAGTGGGTCTCCCAAAAATCTAAAATCATTGAGCGACAACTAAAATCTTACTTCTTACTTACTTGTTCAACTGTACATCTTCAACGCTAACCTTTCCAAATAAACCAAGACGAAGTGATAAGATACGCGACAACATTGACGCAAAAAGACGAACCGCATGATCTCAAAATATCAAAAAACATATAGAAGTCATTCCAAGCGCATTGTGCTAGTATCGTTTTCTTGTATCAACTAACTAACAACTTATACTGAAATTTGCAGCTGCAGAAACGTCCTTCAAAGAGCACCTGTACGAAGCAACGCAAGAGAGCTGCGGGAAGAAGTCGTCTATTAAATGAACAATCAGTCACTGCTACCTAGCATCGACAATGCAGTAATATACAGTTTCTGACCTCAGTGACGAGAGCGTCGAAACAACGTAGAAGGAGAATTTGGAACGCCCGACAATCTATCAAGCGATAATTGTATGCAAAATCGGACTAAGAGCTGGCAGTCACACAATTTCTGATTTTTTGCGACGTAGAGCGGTGGGTGCTAGGGCTTTTCCTCCATTGAGTATCAGGCTTTCTTACACGACGACTATCCCACTGCTAGGACAAAGACCATTTAAGAATAAGACGTAGTTCGCGTGCCCGATTGTATAGTTGAAGATGTATTGTATTTATGTAAACCCCCGGCGTCACTCCTCCCCTTCCCTACCCAAAACTAATTCTTACGGAAGTTTTCTGAAAAATATCGAGATCCACCGCTTGTACATTCAAGTCGAAACTCGCTTTATTAATTTCACTCTTCACTGGCGACGCGAGAATCTTTCAAGAGCGGAAGAAATGAACGAATTTACGCTAAGCATGTACACTTTTTGTACGGAATGAAAAATGTCAATTTTATGCCATCTGCAAGTGTCGATTTGTTCGCATATTTTCTGAGTTTGAGGGAACTAAAACTTCATCAACCTCCAGTTCTTTTTATAGCGTTTTTCGTCTGTACCGCTGTTCGACTTTGATTGTGTAGAAGTATAGTTGACCGGGCTCGGTTCTCGTCTTTACGTTTGCTCTTCTTTACAACTCACAGTTTTCTCACAGCGTAAGCGTATGCGTATGGTGTATTTTCGTCGCGTTCTTTCTGCTCAGGTCGCGTGATTGATGTCCGACCAAGAAATTTTTCAAAATGATGAAAAATCCTCCTGCATTTGAAGGTATGGCAATGATTCTCAATAGGTGTACTGTACATTCTTGTTTTGCTCGCTAAAAACAGCAGTATCAATACAGCGAACCTGTTGCAGTCTTTGTACGTAAGAAACGCAATCATGACAGCCTGAAACAAACAGCGTGTGCATTTTTTGTGTCACTAGATAACAAAAAAATATCGTGAGACACACAAGAAAAGCCGGCACGCAAAAGCTTCTTCCGAAAAGGAATCTTGAAATAACTCCAGGCTGTCTTGTATCTGCACTTATTATCTTCCTCCAAAACGAATTAATACGAATCCTCCCCACCTTACAATTACTCCACAAAAATGCCGTCGCCGATCAGGTGTGAACATGAAAAAAAAGAAAAGAAGTCAGTTTCAATTTGCCACTATTGCTCGTGCTGGAAGTTGTAGACAGCACGCATGCACACCCTGTGGTGCGACTTAGGTAAAGCTGTTCCTTTCCACATGGCTGTGCAACCAAAACATACAACTAACTGGCAGAGCACTTCCGCGCACTCTTCCTTTCCCGACAGGATGATCGCTAGATTCACACTTTTTGAATTGCCCTACCTGCGCATAGCGCTTACACGTATCCAGGTCTCACTCTCGATCTCCTTCTACGATAAATGAGCATTTGTCGTAGACCATTCCGGCCAACGCTCAAACCAGCTAAAAGTCGGTTTTGTTGCTGATCAAAAGAGAGTTTAGTAGTACTATCGTGTTGGTGAGAACGTGGATGGGTAACTGTAGATAGTGGTGAAAAAACGGATCTTGCGAGCGTTGTATTATTATCTCCTCGACCTAAAACTCGTTTTTACTTTCCTTTTTTGTAAAACTCACCTTGTCCCGATAAGAAAGTCAAGCACTCGCTCACTTTTGCTCTAGCTTTGCCTTTTCCCTTTGCACAGTATTAGCTTGTTGTTGGTAAGAGAAAAATTATCTCCCCGACCTGTAGCTCGTTCCGCCTCCTCCTTTACAAAAAAAGTGAAATTTTCCGCCTTTCGAAATCAGCAACAAGTAGATCGTTATGTTTTGACTAGCGCTACCTAGAAATAGTCGATCTAGCCTACCTAGAGTTTCGTGCCACAAGAGAGCCCGGTGAAAGAAGTTGAAAAGTGAACCCGCAGAGAAAGACAGACCGTGAAACCTGGACAATCGCTGCCATAGTCGACTTTGTCGGCTGGCTAGCTATGTATGTTTTATGTCTCCTCGGCCGGTAGCGAGCCGCATCTTCGCGAAAGCCGTGCATTTGCCACTAGTTATAGGTGAGACCGCATCTCTCACGCCCCGCGTTGTTCCTGGGCCGTAGTGTCATATCTACTTCTCCAGGCGCGGCGCATAGCGCTTTTTTTCGATTTGTAGACCCTCGTCGGCACAACTTTTAGATTGTAACGTGGCGGCGCGCGCAATGCGAATGCTATCGCTCGCGGTGCTCAGTTCTCTCTGAGTTTTGGATTTCCCTTGTCGGGGTGACGGTTTTCTAGTTAGGTTCAGCCTGGGTCGATTTGGGTCGACAGCAGTACTTTTCAGACGATAGGACGTCTTTCTCTTTCTGTGCGTTCCGAAGGGAGTTTTGTTTCGCGTCCCCACCAACGGACCGGCTTGCGCTGACTGTCTGCTAGGTCCTGGCGGGCGCCGTTCGCCCAGGTGGAAGTGTGTCGCGTCCTACGGGTTTCGTAGTGGAGTTAGTTTTGCGGTGTCCTCTGGTGGGGGACGGTTTCGCTATCACAAACCGGCTTTTATAGGCCCCCCCGGCCGAGCCAGCCAAGGGGACGACGGCCGGGCTTTTGCCTGGGGGGCGTGCTCCCTTTAGTATGGCCTCAGTGCCCCGGGATCGGGTAGAAGTTTTTGCCCAGGTGGGGGTCTGTGGTTTTGTGTCATGGGCTAGTTGCCACCGTTTGGGTGCAGTTGGCTTCTCGCCTGATTGTTTGCTAGCAGGCGGCTTTAGGAGCCGTCTCAGGGTGTTCTCTAGCTGAGTTGCGGGTGGAACAAGGAGCCCTGGGCGGGTTGCGCGTACGGGTCTCGGGGATTGCTCGCGGACAGAGGTTCTAGTTTTTCTTAGTCTGTTGCCCGTTAGGCCCTTCTCCAGGTCGGAAGGGCCCGCCTCGTCGTTTCACCATTCGGGTGCCCGGAATCCAAGCAAGCTCGCCTTTGTTTTCGCGCTACTTACGGGTGCTGTCCGCTTTCGTTCTCAGGGTTTCCTTTCTTCCAGATAGATCTCAAGGCCCGGTGGCCAGGGGAGGGCTGCCTTTGGAATTGCTTTTCGGCATTGAATGGCTGCAGATCTTTGTCGAGCTTGGCTCGCTGCTGTCCAGTTGCGCCCGCTAGTGGGGGCTGCTGTTGGTTGGCGGGTCCTTGGGTGACCACTGTTCTGTTGATGGACAGGCACTGTGCCTTGTTGCCGGTTTTGTTTGGCCCGCTTCGCCTTTGTCAGAAGGGGTAGCTAGCACCGCGTCCCGACGAGGATTGCTGCGAAGTGGTTGGCTTTTTGTTGAAGACTATCGAAGAAGCCTGTACTCGCCTTGTTTTTTTTTGTTGATGGTTTGCTGCTTTCTCATCACCCCTGTGCCGCGTGGATTGTGGGTGCTATTGCTTGTTGCTACGCCGTTTCTCCCTTCCATTTATTTCCGACACAGCTTGGGGCTGTTTTCCTGTTTCGAGGGGGTTTTCCGCCTCTTCATTATTGTGGGAGGTTCGCGCTGCCGTTCGTCCGGCGGCTGGCCCTCCTTGTGTCATTGCTATCTCGCCCTATCTCGCCCTCCTTGTGTCATTGCTATCTCCTGTGCCAACGTGGAGCAAGGAAAGCGGGATCCCTATCCAGGTCTCACTCTCGATCTCCTTCTACGATAAATACGAAAGATCATGACTCAGGATCCCATCAGCCCCCAAGTTGTATATATCGTAGTGCTATTTCAAGGCTCAAACTAGTATGAAGGAAAGCAGCGACAAACGAAAGTTTGTTCAGGAAAGTTCTTTTGCTTGTACAGTGAAAAGTTTTTACTAAAAAAAAACTTGGAATTCGAATATTGACATAACTCGCTTCGTTTGGTGATTTTGTATTTGTTCCCATTCCTCAGCGAAACAAAATCTTCATTTAGTGTGTTGATAAGTAAGGCTTTTGAGGTTGTGATTTGTGAGACATAGGACGTTCATCTTTCTTTTCCTGCAATTGGAAAACTCCGTATAAAAATCGAAGAAAATGGCGATTCTGTCCAAGTTGAAGCACGTGACCGCTGCCGCCCTTTTCCTGGGCACGACGATGCAGCAAAACTTCCGACTGGCAGCTGCGGAGGACGCCGCCGCGGCGGACGACAAGGAGCTTGACGACCTCGATGACGAGTCCACCGCCGCTTCGAGTGTCCCCGGCGAGCCGCTGGTGCTGACGGACGCCTCGTTTAAGAGCGAGTTGGACAAGGCCCTGAAACCGATGTTCGTCAAGTTTTACGCGCCCTGGTGCGGGCACTGCAAGGCGATGGCGGCGGACTGGGACAAGCTCGCGGAACAGGCGACGGGGGCGGTGATCGCGAAGGTGGACGCGACGGTGGAGCGGGAAGCCGCGAACTTGATGAAGGTGCGGGGCTTCCTATGCAAGAAAAAAACTGCGTGAGTGTAACTCTGTTTATGCAGAACATGCTACTACGCTTACGCCTGTCATGCCAGACAGCCATGAGTTCCTCTTTTCATGCGTGTTTTCCCTTACAAGTAGCCACGCATGACAGATTTTCTCTGACATGTAGAGCAAATTTGTGATGCTGTCGGCCAAAGATAGTTACACTAACACAGTTTTTTTCTTGGATACTTCCCGACGCTGACCCTGTTCGACAAGAACGTGATGTACAGCTACAACGGGCCGCGGACCCTGGACGCCATGCTGCAGTTCGCGAACGGCGGCTACAAGGCGGGTAGTAGCAAAAACCTGCCCTGGAACGAGTCCATCGTGGACAAGGTGAAACAGCACGTGGAGGAGTACTTCACCAAGGTCGGCCAGATCATGGCCTTCGAGCCGACCATCCTGCCAATTTGCTTCTTCCTCGGCTTCTTCTTCGCGTTTATTTTCTTCTTCCTCTGCTGCGGCTTCTCCTCCTCCTCGTCCCCGGTCGACAAGAAGGAGCTGAAAAAGGCGGAAAAGGCAGCCAAGGCGGAGTAAAGGAACAAAGCATGGAGTTGCGACAAAATGGAATATGATGTAACAGCAGAAGTCAAGCGGTATGTGCGAACAAGAATGTTTAGCGTAACATGATCATCTGCACACTTCGAAGAAAACGAAACACCGTTGCTTTGTTCTTTTTTCCCCGGGAAGATGATTTTTTTCTTTGAAGAACACTTGGTTGGCACTTTCTTGCTTGCACCGCTCGACGAGGCATTCCGTCAGACCACGAACTTGGCTTTTTGTACACTACACGACACACTCTTCACTTCGCTCACATTGACTTTCTTCAAATTGTACACACTCACTGACTCGCAACTGCTTGCATTTCACCTATACGTATCACGGGAAGGCGTTTTTGCCTTTATCGTCTTTTATGGCGGCTTTCGACGCACCACACCTACGCACTCAGGGAGGAAGCAGCCAATCAGGAGGATGGATGGCTTTCTCGAGAAACCGTCTTCGCGACTGTTTTTATGAAAACGAAAAAGCCCGCAAAAAAAGCAAAAAAATCCAAACCAGCGGAGCGCTGTTAAATACCGGCGTAGAGTCTTAATCTGCACCGCGTGCGTGTCTGTGTCTCAACCCGTCTGTTTGAGTCTGAAGTGGAATAGGCTGACAGACTTTCATCTTTCAGGGATAGAAAAAAGAATTAGTGTCAGTTCGAGGCTCAGTAGACGCTTTTGAGAAAAAGGAATGTTGAGTTTAGTACACTGACGTGTTGAGCGGTTTCAGACGAGGGTAAAAAATGATGACAACGTTGTAAGAAAACGCATTGATTGAATTCATGCGCTATCGTGGCGTGCTCGTGTGTGTCGTCTCCGCTAGAATTCGAAACCAAGAATAGTTTTTCTCAGTCACGATCGTGAAGAAAGATGGCGGGTGTGCTAGATCAAGGTCGTCGACCTGCTGCTGCGCCATCTCTCGCGTCCCCCGCCGCCGCGTCCACTGGTACTGCGATCAGCTTTAATCGCGCGTCCATGGAGACGGAGCTGCGGCTCTTTTGTTTGGATTTGGTTGCGGGCTACCGCTCGGACCTGCAAAAGCAAGTAACGGAACTCCAGCTCTGGCGAGCAGGATTGGCAAAGACGGGCACCAGCGAGGGTTCCTTATTTCGCGCATCCGACACCGACGTGGATCATCCCGGGGCAGACGAAGCTGCAGGAGACGATGTTACTACCGAACAGCGGATGAAGCTTACTAGCGGAGCACGGACAAAGTACTTGTTTGCCACCGAAGATCCGCACAATTCAAGCGCAAGCAAGAATGGTACTTCTAAGACCACCTCCCAGATGTTGAGCGGGGACCCCTCCACTTGTTCTGATGCGGACGAGGTACGCAACTACTTGCAACGGGAGCAAAATGCGGTGGAATTCCGTGCTGTCCTACGCGATCTGCTCCCCGAGGAGTGTCAGAGCGAGCTGCGGCGGGCCATCCACTTTTTGGCCACCGGCCGGGACTTGGATACCTTGCGCGAGGACCTGGCTCTGTTCGAACAGCGGCGGCAGGAGGACGAGAAGCGCTTGCGCTCCCTGGAAAAGCGGATTGCGCACGCACTGGATCACGGTTTTTCATCAGGAGAAGTTCAAGGCAGCATCGGTGAAGATGGTGAAATTGAAGCAGCGAGCCAGGAAACTGACACTTCTACACCGGGCCGCGCACCACCTGCAATGGCCAGCAAAGGGAAGATGTCATCGAAACCTGGTGCTAAATCGAATCTCACGGATCATGCTGGAGGAGAGCAACTTTACCAACCAGCGTTGACTCCCAACAAAGGGGGCGAAGATAAGGATAAAGCAAACGCAAACCCTGCTGCTGGTGCTCCCGGCGCGTCTTCCTCTACTGCTTCGGGCAACAAGGCAAACAAGACTGTGCTGATCGTTCCAAAGCAGAATACTCAGAACACGCTGTCGCCGTCTGCTGGCGGTGGAGCCAATGATGGAGCAGTCCAGTCTTCGGGTCGCATCAACTCGAAAACACTAACACTGCTCCAGTCCTCGGATCACCAAGCGGGGGCCCACGGCAGCTCCCGGAGCCCGTCGAAGACCACCCGCGCATTGTCACCGCGTGGCAGCTTTAACCTTGGATCCTCGACGTCGACCTCCGGCCTAGCAGAGCAAGCGGTTGGCGCAGCAGCACCGTCTCCAGGACATAAACCTCCAAGAGGCATGGTAGAGATTACGCGGGATATCGTGGTCGGGACCGAACCGCCGAAGCCAACCCCGACGTCGACCTCAGAACAAACCAACCAGCAGGCTCCTTCCGCACCCATTACTTTTTTGGAAGCGCAGAAAATGAAGGCGGAGGCAAGAGACCGAAAACGCGAAATCGACGAAGTCTCGAACCACGTGGAGCAGCAGCTGCAGCGGTTGTGCCGGGAGTTTGCGCAGCTGCAGAGCAGCACCACGCGCATGCTGGACGGACTGCAAACGCAGATCGACCAACTTGCAGCGTCCTTCGACACCCGCGACAGCGAGACGCGCAGCATGTTTGTCAGGTTACAGAGTCACATAGATTTGCTCGTGCAGCAACCCGCTTTCTACGGGGGTGTAGGGAAGAACCGAGATGGAAACGAGGAAAGTGTAACACCGACGGAGCAAATTATTTCCTCCGGGGCACAAATGAGCAGTCTTAATGCGGAGCCAGGGCCTGCTCCTCCTGATTTCAGAGATGCAATAGACCTAGGCGGAGATGAGGACGAGGATCATCGCGGGCGGAATCTTCAGACTGTCGATGTAGTGCGGGAAGAAGCAAATGACGGCGCGCCACTAGAGCGGCAGTTCAGCGAAGAGCAAGACCACATGCATGTTGGTAGCGAGCCAGTACTGTGGGAGACCCGAACGGAAGCAATGCAGCGAGTTCGGGCGCAGATGGAAAAGATCGAAGCGCGCTTAAGCGCTGCGGAAAAACAGATTCAGGAGCGCACGTTGGTCATGCAAAGTGGGCTGCGAACGGAGTACGATCGCCTGCGGCATGCTATGTTGCAGCAAGACGGAGAATAAGTACGGAACAGTGAAAATCGACTTGCACTTGCTCGTCACCAGCGCGTCACAGTAGAAGAAAAGGAAAGTTAAATAGAAAAGGCTTGAATTTGTTGATAGTTTTGGTGAGTGTGTCGTAACAAGAAGATGCAAAAAGTAGTAAAGTTTGTTTGGTAGTTGTGAAAAACAACTCCTTCGCTGAAAGAAACACGAAACTTTTTTGACCAGCCTGCCGCTCGCCGTCAGTGATGTGACATGATACGTGACAGAGTATACAAAAATACCGCCAGTGGTGCTGCCGCAAAAGCTTACCGTGGGATGGCACTCTCATCTCAAATCACAAGCGTTGTTCTTCTTGCAGCTAGTGCGTTCGAGTTCTTTCTCATCTTTTTGGATCTACTTTTTTTCCTGATCGCTCTAGTAGAAGACAAAAGCCACTGAAAAATAAAGCCCCGGAATGTAGTCGAACAGCACTTCGTGTGGTGGCGACGCGGCAGAAATGCGGTGGCATTTGATGAAGATCTGTGGGCCGGGTCTTCAAGTACAAGTTCGCAGATCCGCAGGCTCCCGCGGAAGCTAGACACAGGCCGTGCACTCCCATTCGTGGGCACACACTAGATGCAGACGCCGCACTTGGTAACCAGACCCAGAGCCACAAGCAGCATGCGTTTCAGTGTAGTAAAGTCGCGCTCGCGCCTGTGGCTCCGCACAGTGGCTGGCATTCTTGCGACCGTGCACGGACTGAAGCTGCATGGATCTTCTCGAGAGGACGACGGTAGCATCTTTCGCGCGAAAGTCGAGGTCGCTAAAGGCGACATCATATGGCTGCAGCATGTCGAGCCTGGATCCACCTCTGGTAGCGCTACCACAGCAAAAATTCGGTTCGGCCACGGCTTCTCGTCCGGGTCAACAGCAGTCGCCTCTTCTCTTTCTGGTCCAGGATCCGCTCCGCGAGTCGAGGACTTGGAGCCGCCTGTTTGTCTAACTTGTCCACTGTGCACCGAGCCGTCGCCGCTCGAATACGATTGGCGCTTGCTGGCCAGACAGTCAGAACAGGCCAAGCTGGAGCAAGAAAGTATCGAGTGAGCCCGTATAATCCGTTCTTTTTGGTGTCGTCTAATCATGTACTTAACCACACTAGTTCGGCGATGAAGATGATCTTCTACTTCGGAGGCCACAAAAAAATGTAAAAGATCCAAGCGACGGGGACTGAGATGTGAGATTGTAGCGTGAAGAAGTAGTTTAAAACGCGAACGAACAGAGACGACGGAGCCGATCGAGCAGCTGTACTACATGTACAACAGCGACGCGGTGCTGCGCCTGCCTCTGCGTGTTTCCCCGGGCGATGGCGTCGTCTACTTTTCGGTGCTTAACGCGGCAAAGATGGGAGGCATCGGTTTCGGCGAGTTTTTTCCCCGCGGCTTGGCGAAGAAGTATCTGCTGTACCAAATCGCCATCCGCTGGCCGGCGGAGCACTCCTTCGCGTCTTGCGACAGCAAAAAGGACTGCTTGGAATTGCAACTGCTGCACGTGGCCGAGGACCTGTCGCAGTCCTGGGTGAGTTTCGGGTTCTCACCGGCCGTATCAACAGTAAAAATGTCTGGGTCTGGAAACTTGTGATGCTGGGTGGCGTCTCATGATGAGGCTACAGATGCTGGCTCAGCATGACAAGTTTCTGAGCTCCTACGTGTTGCCTATTCTGCATGACAAAGCGCGCTTCTGCATCACAGAAAAACGGAGCTCTCGGGTAACTTGCATGACAGATTTAAGAGTCATGCCAGACAAGCATGACAAACATGAATTCTTCCAGACCCAGACATTTTTACAGTTGATAGGCCGTGGAGCCGTTGCGGCCGAGTTTGCTCGCGCAGCTCACGCAGATCAACCCAAGTACGGGGAACCGCCTGCACAGCGACTTGGCGCCGGAACTGGCGGAGAACGAAGAGCTCCCGATTGGCACGATCGATTTGGAAGCCTTGTTCGCTCCTTTGAGAAGGGACGAAAAAGACACGAGTGCGGTTGGTCTTACACTTCACGCGAACGGCACTAGTACTGCAGCGAATAGAACCAGTCGCATCTACGCCGCGCAGAAAAGCAATGAAACGACCACGAGTGGGAATTATCTGGAGGCAATAAACAACTCGACCGCAGTAGAGCCAGCGCCGCCTGTGAAGGCAGGGAACAAGGACAAGAACGCAGTTGAGTTCGTCACCTACGAAGACCCGGGAAGTGGTACGGCCGGCACCGACAACGTCGCGCCGTTCACTCCAACCCGCTGGTTCGTCCGAGCAAAAGAGGTATTTCCGATGAAGGCTACCGTGTTCGAGAAGATCAAAGCTTTTATCGCACTTCACAAAGCCGATGGGAACAGTAGGGCGTCGGTTGCTCCGAAGCCTGTATTGAAAAGTGTCGTCGGCAGCATGAGTGGTCCGGAAAGTGGTGGGAACGCTGTGATGTTTTACGAGCAGACGAAATCAGCAGAGCACAAAATAAGCAAACCTCCTACAGTGGCGAAATCATCATTAGCTTCCGGGAGTTCTTCTTCTACCTCTCCTGCGATGCCATCGTGCGTGCCAGCCAAACTGATGCCCTCTGCGGCCGCCCGACCGCTTCTTGCCGCAGTCCCGCGCGTGGCGCCGATTAGCGGGAAGCTGCAAGGCGTGCAGGACATTTTCAATCGAATCGAGGCGGAGAACGCAACGAAATCAAAGCCAGGTGCGGCCGCAAGCGAAGACGAGCCACCTAGTAGTGCGGCTGGAACAAATACAAGCGCCGCAGCCGCCGTTCAGCTTGCGCTGCCGCCCAAGCCGGAAGATATCACGATCGACTGCACGACGTGTGGCGCCCGCGGGATTGCCTACCGCCATCCGAACGTGATTTCTCGGAGCCGCACGAACCGCACCGCGGAGGACCTCGCAGAGCACTGCAAACTCGTACAAAGCGCACAAGCGGTGGTCAAGGAAAAGCAAAACAAGGCCTTGGCGATCGCAGTGGAGCGGGCCCGATGCAGAAATTTGATCGACAGCCGCAACTACAATCCGTACGCCCCCTATGCGCAGTGCAAGCACGCCATTCAAAGGCTCGAGAAATCATACGCGGACGCAAGCGACGAGCTGACGAAAGCCCAACGGGAGAAGGATCGGATCAAGAGTGCGAAGGCCGGAAACATCGCAAAGGCGCAAGACATGTTGGATGCGGCCAAAGAGGCCGCAACAGGCGATGACGCAAAGACGGTGACCGAGGCGCCATCCGAGCCCGGGGTGGTGATCCCGGAAGAAGAAACCTCCACGACGCCCGCGCCGGCAGCCACTACCGACGGCAGCATGATCTCGAACCTGATGGGTGCAGGGGCAGATGCGAACGAAAGGGAATATCACCCGCCCGAGGACCCGCTGGTGTGTCCGGAAATCTTTTTGAAGCCGAAAAAGACGAACTTCGGTTGCGCGTTACAGAATGTCGACCCCTTCGTGATGGATAGTGCAATGACCTGTGCAGGAGAAGTGCCGAGTGACGCCAATTTCCGGTTCGGAGATCCGTCCGCTGACTTGGTTCGCTAGTAGAAGAATAGCGTTTGTTGGTGGCCCACTTTCTTCGTTTCAATTCTGCACTTTTCTTTTCCGTTTCGCTCGCAACGTGCTCTCGTTTCGCTGGTCTGACAGGAAGAAGGTAAACGGTTTCCGAAGCCGGAGTATTGTTTTCGACGGATCCTGTGCAATAATCCTCGCTGGATCGTTTTATGTTCTGAGGTTTCTGTTTATCATTATCAACAATGGGTCACTCTTCGTCTTCAGATAGTCTCAGTACCAGCACAAAAAAACGAGGACAGTGGTACAACAAAGGAGAGATTTGCTTCTGCAAAATGGAAAATGCAAATTGCGATCAAAATCATCAAATACGAAAGAAAAATAATACACGATGTTATTTAAGTATATTCATATACCGTCATGAAAACCAAAACTTGAAGTAGCGGAATAGTTGTGCAGCTTCTGGTTTATTTGCGATGCCGCAAGTGCTTTCTGTGAGCCTCGTGCTTCCTCGTTGTGCGTTTTTCCATGGAAAAATGTTGAAACAGACCGAAACTCATGATGATCTGCACATTGCTTTTGGTTCAAAATCAAAAATGATAGGGGGGCACTACGTCACGTAGCGTACCGTAGTACCACAGCTAGTAGAAAACATCATCACGCACACAGACACGCGCAAGCGCGTCACGTCGTGTGTCTTGAAATGATACTGTGAAAGATCCTGCTCGTCCTCGTGCCTCAATCCTCTCTCGTTCTTTTTTGCCCATATTAATATAGCCCTTGCAGTAGAAGCTGTGTTTTTTTCCTAAACAAGAGTCCGGGACTACCATCGATCGGGCCAGCGGCACGGCTGAGGACCTGCGAGGCCGCACGTCTGCTGCATCGATCATGAGCTTTGTTGCCACCATGGCTGAATCGTGGCCGACAGCAGCAATACGGGGTTGATCAAGCTGCGACATGAAGATGTTACATCAACTTCTGTGAAGCTGAGGACGACGCGCAAGTGTAAGGACGACCAATCAGGTCGTGGAACAAAAGCTCCCTGAATAAACGGCATCCATTCGGCCACCAGTACTTCTATCCAGAAGTGCAAAAATGGAGCTGGCCATCAGTGAGCAGCAGACCCGCGAGACGCGGCGCGAGCGGCAAATGCGCAAAACTTTATCTACTCGACGGAACGAACAGTACTTGACCAATTTGGAGAAACGGAATGAAGAAAATCGAGAGCGGCTGGTCGACCGGGCGGAAGCAGACTTCTTCCCCGCGCACTTGCTGAAGGACGTTTCCCGCGTTGAAAGCGACGAGGAAGAAGACGACGCAGAAACCAGTGGCTCTTTCTATCCCCCCGCAGCCGCGGACGACACAGACCTGAGTAGCTCTTGTACTGCAGGAGCGAACCACCAGGAAGATTCGAACTCGTCTCGGCGCTCCGCCAGCTGCTCGAGCGCGGCGAATGCAGCAGGGGGTCAGCAACATCAAACAGCGTCCGCCTTGTCTACTTTCCGAACCCCATTCACCAGGACCACAAGCAGTCAAATACTAAAACCCGCGATTAACCACAACTCGCTGGTGATTAAGAGCCTGGCGGGCGTTGCGAATCCGGAAGAGCTATCAAATGTAAAAATGTCTGGGTCTGGAAGAGTCATGCTGTTTTTGCATGACACAGAAGGTCTGGCATGGAAGCTCTTGCATCACAGATGTCGAGAAGCTTCCGCAATGCCGAATCCGCATGACAAGTCCCCTATTTTGCTGACAGAAAGTGGGGAGCTTTTGCTACATATGCATGAGAGACTTTGCTGTGTTCTGAAATACGCATTACAAGTTGCATTCTTCAGACCCAGACACTTTTGCATTTGATAAGAGCGGGAGCAGCGGGAACTGGAGTTGCGGGAGATCTACCTGTATTCTGTGCAAAAGTATCGTACTCGTACAAATGCAAGCCTTGCATTACAAATCTTGCTGCCAAGGCAAATCTGCATGACAAATTTAATTTCTCATGCTGAGGAAATTTGTAATGCATTTATACGAGTACGATACTTTTGCACAGCATAACCTGCGAAAAGGCATTCCCTTTCCGGACGACGAAGTCTTGCATACGAACCTCGCAGGAGCTACCACATCGAGCAGTTTGATCAGCTATCAAATGCAAATATGTCTGGGTCTGGAAGAATAGGACTTGTGATGCTAACTCTCGATCATACAAAAAACTGTATTGCATGACCAGCAAAAGATGCTCAGATTTGTGCAACCCGGATCGGGCATTTCTCATGCAGGATAGGCATGAGAAAGCCTTCGCGAGGGCTGTGATGCTAGAGAATGCATCACAAGCATCGTGGGTCATGTACAATTTGCATGACAAACACCCAAATCTTCCAGACCCAGACATATTTGCAATGCATATCAGCGACCGGACGAGCAGCGAGGTGCAGCACTACACCATGGAGGACGACTATGGAACTGTCAGAATCAAAATTGACAAGGTCGAAAAATCTGTGATGCATAAAATCGATACCAGTTGGAGCCTCAGTTTGTAAGTGGCGCATGACAAATTTCGGGAGCAACCAAATCCAGTCTGTCATGCTGTTTGGGCAAAGAAGACTGCTCCTGTCGTGCTACTCTGGCAGCACATTGCATATCCCTAAACACACTGACAATCAGTCTCATTTTCCTGCTCCCCAATACAGGCCTCCAGTGCCCTGCATTTTATGCATGAGAAATTCTTTCTGCGGTAGCTTCACGACCTGGTGGCCGAACCATCTGCGGTGAGGTGCCCTTACAGGTTGTGTAGTGGTTTCGGTCGGTTTAGCATGAGAAATTCTTTCAACTTTGTCGATTTCGATCCTGACACATCCATAACGACGACGACGATCTGGAGGACTGCTCGGCCGGCGCTGAACTAGTCGACGTCTCGCAGAGCGTAGTAGAGCAGGATGAGGGTCGTGGCGGCTTGAGAACAAGTGGCGGCACCACTTCTACTGCGCCCGGGGCAGCTGCACCTCCTGCAGCTGAGCAACAAAAGACGACCGAGGGCTTGCTCCTTGCTGCGAAAAAATTGATATCGGCGACGAGTGACAGCTGTACAAGCACCACGGAAAACGATGAAGCGCAGGTTCCAACAACAACTTTTTGTTCTCAAACCAGCACTGGAAGTTCTTCTGGGATTGTACCAGGAAATTATAGAGGCGCTACAACTACTTCTACGCCACCACCTGTGCACCAGCAGAACCGAGATGGGCGTTCGGGAACGTCCTCATCTAGCGAACAAACGACAACAACCTACGAAAGTTGTGTGGAGGGTGGAACTATGGTAGCTCCAGCTGTACCACATCCGCAATCTACTTCTGACGCAGACTTCCTGCCAGCCCAGGAGCCGGCGAAAATGCAAGCGCAGCGCCCGACAAAACTCCCGCCGTTTACTGCCGCCGTGACGCCGAAAACTGCGACCTCGACAGGGTCGTCTTCAAAACGCCGCGACCAACCTCCGCCGCGCTTTTACACCCCATCCTCCGGCGGGGCCCCCGGAGCAGATCGGGGGGACGAGTTGTACAGAGGAGGAGGCGTAGACGAGGACGATGAATTATCGTGCCAACAGCAAATACCGGTTCGGAAACAGTCCGACTTCGCCTCACCGGCATCGAGCTACAAGACCACGCACAGCGGCGCCACCTCAGCCGCTGTGTCCCCGGTAAAAGTGCTAGCTGCAGTAGAGATGAAAATGAATACAAACGAGATCGGGAAGAACAAGCTTTTTGTACAACCTCCAGGAGCTGCCCCACCTCATCTCTCGACGACGGGTGCTGGGGTAGTTGCTTGTGCTGGTGTAGACAACTCGAATAAAGAGCTGCCCGACGACGTGGAGGTGGTCAAGACGCTGCCGAACATCGAGGAGGACCCTTGGTGGAAAGCTTGAGTGGAGTCAGGAAAAGGTACGTCTACTTGCACAGGGCCGCGACTTGGTCGATGAGTAATTGTAAGTGAGTCAATGTCTTCTATCTGTCGCTCATCAGCAGCACGGGGGGGTAGGTAGTTCATTCGCCTGCGCGGGACCGCTCAGGCGACAGCTTTTTGGGCTACAAATTGTCACAGGAAGTATTGAGGGCGGAATCTGAAAGAATCATCGTGCCTGAAAGTCAAAATAAGTCAAAATGCAGCTCATGTACACGACAGCAAGAAGAACGTACTCGTACACAACTAACACCATCATACTAGCATGGATAATTTGCAACTCACGCGCATTCAAAACCGATACCGAGATTTTTTGTAGCATTGACCTGATACAGTTACAAAGCTTATAAGCCGAATCTCGCTGCCTGGAGTAGATGAAGCCCCCAGTTTGTGCACTGGAAGATATTGGAAGTCTGATCATGCCAGCCCCTATAATCGCTTGCCAAGATGGTGCAGTATGCCGATGTTCAGTTCAGTCCTTGTCCCAGTTGATATGCGAAAGAAAAGCAGACGGAGAGGTGCTGTTGAGCCAGCCCGATTCAAAGAACAATTTGACTCTGGTTTGGAATGTTTTGTGCTCATTAGACGAGTTATATATAAGTATATTCGCTGTTCGAATATGGCGTGACCATCAGCGAAAGGTGATCCCGATAAAATAGCAGAGGAGATCTGCGTGACCACTTCCTGATGAATATCAAATCAATGAGAGCAGATCTCAGTAAGGCTAAAGACTTCCCCTTTATTCTTTTGCATCCTTCTCATGTAGAACAAGAATTTGCAAATTACTTGTTTGTTGATGTTCATAAAAAGGTCGTCCTTTTTCCACCCAGTGAGCTGAAACTTATCTCTACTTACTACCTAGCCACCACCTGCTGGCTTTTTTTCCTGTCAGAATATGAATAAGTTATTTCCACCTACAAAGATGAACGAGTAGTCTCCTCTGTCCGTGTCCTCTCTCTGTTGGCTTCCGTCATTTCTTTGGAACAGCAGCGTGAAGATTATGTTGAAAACTACAGCGAGCTTGTGCTTGACCCTAGTAATATGAAACGACATGCGCTAAAATTCGGTGAAGACGCTCCGACGTTCCAGGAATTTCGCCAAAAGCACGACAACATCCCCTTGCGTCTTTTGTTCAAGACGTTCTGTGTCTACCGGCAGCTCGACCATCTGGGCCAGTGGGAAAACTTGGAGGTTGTTGTGTTGGATCTACTTCCGTTGAACGCGGCGGCGGCGGGCGGCTCAAAGAAGACACTTCTACAGAAAACGAAGGACCAAGACAATACCGCATTGTTGCTGTCTTCACGGGCAGTTGTGAGGGAGACCGAGGAGGAAGTCGTGATCCGTGGGAGGAACAAGGTAACGAACGAAGTCGAGACCTTCGTTCCGGTCGACGCCTTCGAAGATTCCGTTTGCTTGCAGTCGAACGGGGAAAGAACAAGGCACGCAGGGAAGGATACGCGTTTGAAACTTGCTGTTGTTGACACGGACGGTCTTGTGGTCATCATCGACGTAGGCCGAAGCAGGTCTGCGCAAGAAGTCGCAGAGGAGCACCTCCAAGCGGACCAAGAGAAAAATCTGCTACAGGTCGTGTGAAATATAGCCTAAGCCCACCTCGGTTGTATCTATCACGTAAGGTGAGGTAGAGCCGAGACCATTTGTTTGAAGAAACCCGTTTTCCCCCGCAGTAGTAGATCTTCAAGATGCAGCAGGTCCCTTGGTTGAAAGCGGTGGTGCAATTTTGGGCACTGTACAAAGTTCAGCTGATACTTGCCGTCGTCGTGATTTTGGTGACGTGGTGGCTTGTATCCGGCTCTGAAAGCGAAGATGCCGACAGCAAAGGCGGCAAGGGCAAGAGCAAGGAGCGATTTGCTGTCTCTTTCTGTTTTCAAATACCACCTAATACGGCGAGTGGCGAGGAGGACGCAAATACGCCACTAGCGGTACAGTTGGTCAGCTCCCTGCGCAAAATCTACGAGAAAACGCGGAGGGGTGTATGGGTAGACACCTATGCTTTCGGACAAGTGAATAACGAGGGCGGGCAGGCCGCAAAAACAGCAGAGAAACTTCCAAAGGTAAAGCAGAAGGAGCTGATAGAGGAGGTGACAAATACATTGCAGAAACTCCATCCTACCGTAGAATCCCACAAGCTTCTGGTTTGCAGCTCCCTCGAGGGCCGTGTTTCCATGGTGCGGCAGCTCAACCCGGCACTGCACTTCGACACGAATTCTGACGTCGTGAAGCAGTTGCAACAGGTCAAAGAGATGAAGAACAAAGTATTTCACATTCCGGTTTTTCTTGGCAATAAAGACGGAACAAGTGCAAGTGCATCCCCTTCAGACACGAGCGCATCTGATGCGTCAAGTGCAACATCAATCTGGTCAGCGACACAGGCCGTCGACTTCATGGAGTCGACTTTCGACCAAAAAGTGTTTGAGCTTCTCAACCCCAATGCAGTGAAGCCAGAGTCGCCGGCAACGTCCTCTCCCGCGAGGTCGCCAAGAGAGGGCATGTTGAGCAGCGGTGCCTGAGTTGCTCACTTGAGCTTGAGGATGCTGCTAGAAGACATTCTGCGAGCAGGAGGACCACTTGTAGTTCGAGTAGTTCTAGTTCGTACGCGGCGAAATGACTTTCTCGCAACAGTTTTTTACATTGATAGCGACCAAAATTCCACATCCTGCACCCTTCTCTCATGGGGAGAACAAGTGTAGAAATTCAAATTCCGGCGTGAGCCTTTGTGCCAACAGTGTTCATGCATCTTCGATCTTTCGTCATTTTTGTCGTGTTCAGCATCAATGGTAGTGAACAGAAAGCATCAATATCGTTTCGTAGATCCTTCGAGCAACTACAAGCGCGTCATGGAGCCGAGATTCATTCAGATTGGACCCATCGTTTTTTTTTTTTGGTAATCGCAGTCAGTCACTAAGCTCCAGTTTTGCGATCTGAATCACAGGGGGGGCGCCTCTTTCGTCGCCATCGTCAATTGGGTAGACCTCGTATTCTTGAAGAAAGTCGTAACTATCGTCAACTAGAGGTTGTTGGAGTGCTCCAGCCATAGCAAAAAATCTGCTCGTGGATAGTACAAGGCAAAGTTTTTGAGGTTGCAATGATATCGTCTGTCGAACGTAGTTTTCTTCGTTGCTCCCTGAAAATATATACTACAAGCCTCGGGGCGAGCCCTGCTGGGCTCGCCTGGGCTTGGGGTTGTCGGATGCGACCGGTACGTCGGTGACTGAGTAAACTGCAAAGAGACAGGGAGAGGGGGCCCGATGTCAGTGGGGGCGTTGTGCGCGTTCGCGCGCCAGCCTTCGACAACCCCGTGCAAGCGGCTTGCCCCGCTCCGGCCTGCCAGGCCGACTCTAGCCTCTGCCTACCGGCTGCCGCTAACCTGCCGGCTGGCTGCAGCTAGCCCGCCGGCTGCCGCGCCCGCATGAGCCCCTGCCGGCCGGCTGCCGCTGGCCCCTACGGTCCTCCCTGCCGGCTGCCGCTGGCCCCTGCGTACCTCCCTGCCGGCTGCCGCTGGCCTCCGCCTGCCGCTGGGTGGCCCCTGCCTGCCGCTGGCTTCCTCCTGCCCGCCGCGGGCCTCGGCCTGCCGCTGGCCCCTTCCTGCCCGCCGCTGGCCTCGGCCTGCCGCTGGCCTCGGCCCGCCGGCTGCCTGCGTGCCGCTAGCCTTTGCCGGCGGGCCGCTACCCTTTGCCGGCGGGCCGCTAGCCTTTGCCGGCGGGCCGCTACCCTTTGCCGGCGGGCCGCTACCCTTTGCCGGCGGGCCGCTACCCTTTGCCGGCGGGCCGCTAGCCTGTGATGCTTGCCGGCGGGCCGCTAGCCTGTGATGCTTGCCGGCGGGCCGCTAGCCTTTGATGCTTGCCGGCGGGCCGCTAGCCTTTGATGCTTGCCGGCGGGCCGCTAGCCTTTGATGCTTGCCGGCGGGCCGCTAGCCTTTGATGCCGGCGGGCCGCTAGCCTTTGATGCCGGCGTGCCGCTAGCCTTTGCCGGTTGCCGGCCGCTGGCCAGCCTGCCGACCGGCCACTGCTAGCCTTCCGGCTGTTGCTGGCCTACCGGCCGCCGCTAGGTAGCCTGCCGGCTGCCTTGCGCATGTTGGTGGCTCTCCTGTTGTGGTCCGTGGCTGCCGCTCTGCTCACGGCAGCCAGGGCCCTGCAATATGTAGCTTTTTGCGCCCTGTCTCCTGACGAAATCGCGTTGGCCGCTCTGCGGGCTCCCTTAAGCATCCCCTTAAAGATCCCCTTAAAGATTCCCCTAAGAATGCCCTTAAAGCTGCCCCTTAAAGATTTCCCCTTAAAAATATCGCCTTAAAACCTTTCGGCCTGAATCCATGCTATGGGCCCGGTTTTTTGCTGGGTGCCAAAACCTTGCGCCATCGCGCACAGAAAAACGCAGCATACCGCCGGTGCAAAAATGAACCCCCATGGTATGAATGATTCCGCGCCCCCCCTTTTTTTAAGGAGTTTCTTAAGGGGAAGTCTTAAGGGGAGGTCTTAAGGGGTTATGTTCATAGGAATAAGTAAAGGGAATAACAATGTGAGGTTAGATTCAGAGCGGCGGCAGTTGCGTGGTTTTTTCAGATTCGCTTGTTAGCAGGAATAAAGCTCTGTTTACTATTAAAACCAAGATGTCCGTCCGGTTTCCCTGCCTTTTCGCGGTAACTGCAGAGTATTGACGGGCCCCTGCACCACCAGAAGCTTGCAGTTGCATGTACTGGGTTTTCGCGCTCTTTAGGTCGTGTTTACGCATTGGTATAGTTCGACGGGTACGACGGAAATTGATATGGTGAAGAAATGAGCAGAGCAGAACCAGAACCAGAAGCCTGTCTTCCAACAGAGTCTGTAATCAAGGACCTGTAGAAGTCCTGCCGCGACGAAGGAACCGCTGACGCTCACCACCAGCGATGGACCTCTACAATTACTCTATCAAGAAGCGGCGCCCGCAGCTGCAGCGGTCCTACACAGATGGCCACGAGCAGGTAGGTGGCTCGTCTGCGAGCCTGCGGAGGGGAACTGCAGCAGGCTACCACGATAGCTACAACTTCCCCCGAAGCGGGGCCAGCGCGACCCTTCTTGCCGGGGGTGCAGTTGGTATCAGCGACGGCAACAACGGTGGCGGAAAGAACACGTCAGGGACGCGGAAGCAGTTGAAGAAATCTGTGACTGTTTACGGAGCGTCTTCCTCCTCGTCTTCAAGCAATTACAATGCACTTTTTTCGGCGCCAAGAAACAATGTGCCAAGAAACATTAATCACGCCAGCGACGGCCCGGAGGCCGCCGTGATTAGTAGTGTTCATACGAGGTGGTCGGACCACTTGCAGGATGAGCACCAGGTGGAGCAAGGCAGGGCTCATATTGGCGGTGAATCAGGAGGTCTACTTCACAATCCCGCCAAAAGCACGACAGGATCTGCGCAGGAAGTAGTTGGGGACCATTCCAACAATTTTGGAGCTGCTCCGTTCATCCCGCAACGAACTAGTATGCTGAGCAAAGAACACGATCTGAAGGGAGTTCGAATCGAACCGAACGAGAACTCGAACTGCAGCTCGCCGGCCGACTATCCTGAATGAAATCACCATCACCTGTTCTTCCCCGCAATTTGGAATGGTGCAGAACATCTTGCGAGATGTTGTACTTCGTAGCTTGTGATGTATCTTTCTAACTATGCATGTTCGTTTGTAGGAGCACATACAAATCCAATTGTTCGTACGGGGTGAGCAGTCTGATTTTGCACAGGATGCCGCGCACAACACAAAGATGAACGAGGTTGGTGTGATGGTTGGCTGTGGTCCAGCAACTTCGTCTTCTTCAGCCGGCCATCATCACACGGCGGGAGGCGGGTCCTCGTCTGCTGGTGGTACAACAGGAGGCCAGCCATCTCATCGACAGCATCACGGAAATAAAAGTACCAACATTTCGACGATGAACACAGTTTCCTCGTCCACCGCGGCCGAGCAGAGCACAAGGTGCTGCACGCGTGGCGGTGCGATGTCCCCGCTGCTGCTTGAGGAGATGAGAAGCCCCGCCGCGAATCGCCTCGATTGGTCGTCGACGCGGAAAAACTTGCAGTCGGGGTTCAAAAACGCCAACAACGCCACGACCAGCGCAAGAAACAATCACTCGAACACGGGCTTACTACACGCATCCTCCTCCAGTGGCAAGAAACGCAGCAAGAAGACGGGCGGTGGAGGACAACAGAATTACCAGAAGATGGGAATGAACAATAATGATAATCCGTACTTTTCTGCGGTGTTTGGCACACCCAACGGCTCGGCGGGAACTGGAACTGGTACGGCGACCCAGAATGGAAGAGGTGGTCTGGGGACAAATAAAATCAATGCAGCGACTGGGATGCTGTCAACGGTGAACGAGGATCAGCAGCTTCTCAACCATAGCGCGGTTTTCCTCGAAGATGGTGCAGCACATCATCATCGAGGCAACCACCAGGTAGAAGAACCCAACCAGTTCTCCCCGGTCCGACCACTTCAGTTCGAGCAGATTCCACGATCGGACGATGAGTCCGTGTCCCTGTCTGCACAAGAACGTCAAGCTGGTGGAGCGGGGCGAAACAAAAGTCGGAGGTCATCACAGGGTGACGCAGCAGATCGAGACTACTTTCGGAAGATTAAAGATAGAGGCTCCTATTCCTACGGCGGAAGCAGTAGCTCGAGTGCGCGCATTTGGTTTTCGCCAGGACAACGCGGAGATGAAGGAGGTTCCTCAGGTGCAAAGAAGGTGGAGCTTGAAGATTTTGGCAGTGCTGTATTTCACGACCGGAAGCAGCAAGAACACAATGAACTACACACAGCAGCTCGTGCCAATGCAAAACCTATGGGGGACAGCGAACATGATTTCCTGAGAAGGAAGCCAAAGGCAGCCTGGGAAGACCAGTTCTTGAATGGCAATGGCGTAGCACAAGGGACACAGCGGGGAGATGATCAGTTAGCAAGAACAGCTTCCCAACACTCCACTTCGCAATCGCGGGCAGTGTCTGCCACTGCAAGTCAACATCAACAGCACGCTGAGGCAGCAGACAACTTGCAACGAACAACCTCGGCGCCCAGTGCGAAAACCAAAAAGACAGTCTCCATCAAGCTCCCAGACGAACTGTACCGCAGCGCCCTCAACCCGGCGAAGCCACCTTTGCATGCGCAGCAGCCGAATTTTTCCGATCGGTTCATCCCCAGCCGGCGAGAGACGGATTTGCGTACTGGGCTTCTTGTGATGGACGAGCAAGTAGATAGCAATCAGAACAGCCACCAACCCACGCAGGCGCTAGACAGTGCGCAGGACGAGAACACGCGGGCGTACACAAATCTCTTAAAGTCCGAGCTACTCGGTCTTCCGCAGGCGCAATCTTGCTTGACCGGAGACTACGGTCCGGTCAGTAACGTGAACCCGTCGGAACTGCCAGGGAACCTGTTCAAATTCAAATCAGCTCCGCAATTGCGCTGTGACGACGCTTTCTCGCTGTCCACGGTCCTCTTTCACACCGACACGTCGCAGGCCGCACCGCGGAAGCCGCCACGCAAGATTGCGAAAGTACGGAATTTGTTCTTGGAATGTGGTTCATCTTTTTTCAACAGTGCTGCTACATACAAGTTTTCTACTCAGCGAGCAGGCCAAAGCCCACAGGCCTGAACGGTTGTAAAAAGCATTAGCATTCTTAGACTCGTGGTCGTGAGAAATTATTAAGCTCGAACATGACAGGTTCCGTACAAGGTTCTCGATGCCCCGCAACTTCAGGACGATTTTTATCTAAACCTTGTGGACTGGTCCTCGACCAACTGTCTTTCCGTCGGGTTGTCGAATTGCGTGTACCTTTGGTCCGCTTGCACCTCCCGAGTCACCAAACTGTGCGAACAGCAAGGAGATTCCGTGACCAGCGTTTCCTGGACGCAGCGCGGTACCCATCTCGCGGTCGGCACGAACCGCGGGGAGGTTCAGATCTGGGACGTCGGTGCGGGTAGGAAGCTGCGAACGATGGGCGGGCACAAGGGGCGCGTTGGAAGTATGGCCTGGAACGGGTACGTGCTGTCTACCGGCTCACGGGACCACCAAATTTTACATCGCGACGTGAGGCAGCAGGTAGTACTGATTTCATCTGTGAGATTCATATTCAATGAAAAATGTGTAATTCTTGGTGCAGTATACGGAGATGCGATTCCGATTCATGGGCGCCATCTTGATCTGATGATCATTAATGAAGCATATATCGAACAACAGGTTCATTACATGGCCCGTCTGCATATCACAGGAAAAAGTGTTAACGTTGACGGAATTTGTGACGCAGCAATGCATCACAAAACATGCCAAAATTTGTAATGCATAGTAGGCATATTGGGCTACATTTGTGATGCATAACTGCAATCTGTGAAAACCGTTAACGTTAACACTTTTTCTTGCGATACTGCAAGGACACAAGCAGGAGGTTTGCGGGCTGAAATGGAGTTTTGACGACGGCCAGCTCGCCTCCGGTGGCAACGACAACAAGCTACTCATTTGGAACCTCCGGAGTACCAGTCCCGTTTTGAAGTTCACGGAGCATCAGGCCGCGGTGAAAGCCCTGGCCTGGAGCCCGCACCAGCACGGCCTGCTCTGCAGCGGAGGCGGGACCGCGGACCGGTGCATTCGCTTCTGGAACACCGTCAACAACACGAATCTGAGCAGCATCGACACAGGAAGTCAGGTACAACTTACGTACGTAGTAGAGGAGCTTTCTTTCGAACAAATAAAGGGAGGAGTGGCAGCTTCTCGTGAAGATGTTCCATGCAAATAATGCGAGAAAACTACGTCCTCGACTACATGTACTTATCGCTATCCATACGATTTTTGCGAAGTGAAGATCCATCTTCTACTATGTACAACGCAAAAGTGCTCAGGTCTGCAACCTTTCCTGGAGCACTTCGGTGAACGAGATTGTGTCTACGCATGGGTATTCGCTGAATCAAATCATCGTCTGGAAGTACCCGAGCATGCGGAAAGTCGTGACCCTGACCGGCCACACCTACCGCGTCCTGTACCTCGCGCTGTCCCCGGATGGGCAGTCCATCGTAACCGGGGCGGGAGACGAAACGCTGCGGTTCTGGAATGTGTTTCCGGGCAGTTCGGGCCGCAGCAACGGCAATCAATTGCTGTCGCTGCCCTTTTCTACAACGATTAGGTAATGATTGCACTCTTCTTCTTTGTAGCGCTCTGTCTTGAAATTAAACGTGGCTGCTGGTGCATGAGGGACAAAGTAGCGAGTCCTCAGGAGAGGTCTCCATCGCGTTCATTTTTCTTCAACATCAACAAAAAACAAAATTTAGACGTAGAATGAAGCACTAGCGCGCATTTTTCCCCTCGTGAGCAGAATTAAGCACTTTTCTAGGTTCACGCAGGTGGAGGTACTAACAAAAATCCCAAGAAACGAAAATTTTGCTAGCTACAAGTAGTACAGCAACAAGCTACCACCTTTGAAGATTTTTTCAGTAAATTCACTCGAATCTTTGTTCCAAAATTGATCAATGTCTTCTGTACATTTTTTACGAAGATGCCACCTCTGACCGAGACCGACCTAACGCTCTCAACTGACTGCATCTAAACATAGAGATGCTAGTCGGCACTCTCGAGTAACTCGCGAGTCTTCAGAGTGTCAGCAGCTTTCACTTTTTCGATTTTAGTTTATTTTTCAGTTTTCTGCTTTCGCTTTGTATTTGTTTCACTTTGTTTCGTCAATGGATACCTGTACCTCCCTGTACACCTCATTTTCTGGAGGAAGTGTCACTTGGAACCAACCCTTGTAAGAAAAAATCGCCTCGACGGCACCACCGTATAGCTTGTACCGAATTTCATTGCGCGTACCTTTTTTTGCAATTTGTGAGCCACACCACGTCATTTTTGCGAAGGTTTTGGTATGTTTCAGCAATTGAAAACTAGTCTCCGGTGAAAATTAACGGTCGCTGTTTGTGTCATTGTCTATTGTCATTTGAGCAACCTCGCATTCGCTGCCCGGAGACAAATGAGAGCGCAGGCTTTTTTCATGGCTTGAGTTTGCTTCTGTGGCAGCATGCGAGTCTATATACAAAGTTTGATTTTTCTTTCTGTACAATCTCAATAAAATCTTTCACTCAACGACGTAAAACAAACTTGTACCAAAAGATTCTTGACGTTGCTATTAGCGACGGCTTCAAATAAGGCACATTTTCCTGCTGTACATCAAATAGAAATATTCTCTTAGTGGCATGGTTAGGGACGGCCCTACTAGAACCAGAATCCTTCTTGTGTTCTGCCATGAGAACAAATTGGCGCGGCCAGCAGCGGAGTGATATCTACCCACGAGGTCATCATGCACGTTTCTGTTGCGCATGGGATAAGTAGTATTTCTTGAGCAAAAAATAAAGCGTGACGTTCTACTGCGGCGCGCTGCTAGAAATCGAATCCTCACAACTTCGGATGTGGTCTTCGGAGTGGCCGCGGAGGGGTAGTCAGCCACCACAGCTTTCATTGGTCCTTGTTATGCCGTTTAACCATTTCTAATGAGAATGTAGCTAAACGTGTGTTAGAAGGAAAGACCCACAGCAAGATGGCACAATTGCGACACAAGTGGAGATGCCGATGGACGTGACTTGAGAAGTCAAGTCGTGTTTATCTTCGTTCATCTTCGGGGTTCCGGTTCATCTCGCACGGCCAAAGTAGAACGGCAGTCATGGTGGACTTCTTTTTCACATCTTCTAGCGGGGAGCGGCTCCCTCACCGGGGCCGCCGAGCCACCAGGGTCGTCGGTCGGGGACGCAATTCGACCTGCACTGCAGCGCTTTTTCTTTACGGTGCGATGCAATTGCAAGTGCAAGTAGGCCTTGCTCGCCGCATCCAGGTGGGAATCCTGAAAGACGAGAAGCACCCGCACCACTTAGACCTTGCGGCCATTGAAGCAGAGAGGAAACTTGACGAGGCGCTGAACGCTTTGGAACACAAAATGGATGTCGTTCCAAACATATCAAATGTAAAAATGTCTGGGTCTGGAAGAATGCAACTTGTGATGCTGCGTCTGCATTAACCAAAAATCTGTATTGCATGAACAGGAAAAGAGGTCTGGTTTTGGCCCCGGCGAGGAGAGGGCATTTCTCATGCGGTATAGGCATCAAAAAGCCCTCACAAGATCTGTGATGCTAGGGCATGCATCGCAGACATCAGGAGTCACGCAAAATGTGCATGACAAACCTAACCTTGCATCCTTCCACACCCAGACATTTTTACATTTGATAGAACAAGGAATTCAAGCACGACCTGATTTTGCCCGACAACGCAATGGGCGGCAACAAACAGGACGGAGCTGCTGCTGCTGCTGCCACCTCGTATTTTGGACATGCGGCCTCCCAGGAAAGCTCCCTAGCGCAGACGGATGTCAAAGCTGGAGCTGCGGGAGAAGAAACGGCCGAGGATCGACAAGGTGCGTTCTTCCGGGAGATGGAACAAAGATTCGGGCCCGTCGTGCAAGAAGAAGCCATTTACGGAGGACCACCGGATCCGCTGGAAAAAAAGAAATCGTCCTTGGAACAATCAAAACCGATCAAGCCCCATGATCAGCAACAGACTAGTGTCGGTACTAAAAGCGATGATCCCACACCCACTTCTTCAACAAGTAGAACACAACCAGCAACCGACGAGCAGGAGTCATTCACCAGTTTTGTGCAAACAAGTATGACCTTGCCGGCCGTGACGCAGATGCTGGCGGAATCTTTGCTTCCGAAAGTGCAACAAGCGGTGTTGGACCAGGTTCAGCAGAGTCCATCGCTACAAAGGCAGGTCGCGGAGGAGCAGCAGGAGCGTGAGCGATATGTCGAACAGGAACGTGCATTACCGCTGTCTTCGGAAGCGGTGTTGCGACAGGATGCCGGAAGAGACAGGGATGAAGAGCAGGGAGATACAACTGTTCCGGAAGGTCATGACACACAGCTGCTGCAAGAATTTCAGGATGGGCGCAGCTTTTATACGAGTGAACTTGGACAACCGCCAGGGCCAGCACGAGGACCTGGTAGCGGTGCACAAATAGCTTCGGAACGAGAGGACCTGTACCAGATTTTCCTTCTTTTCCTTTCGTACTATGAAGGTTAAGGTTTCTTTTTCATTTTCTTCAACGACTCCTGTGTGCGTAAAATGTGGTCTCTTGTCGCGGATGACTGGATAAAGATTAAGATTTCATGCTGCTCTTCACCTTAGCCCAATATGAACATCCTTCACCTGAATCTCAGGCAAAAGGATTGCACATACAACATCTATACACCTCATCAGCTCTTCGTCGTTCCCAGACAAAAGCACAACGGCATCAGCATCTACTGCTTCGAATTCGTACCCGGAGCTCCAGAAGATGGCAAGACCACTCTCTTACCAGCAAGCACCCCCTGAAGACATCGAGGCGAAGGCTGCGCGGCTCGACCAAGCTCTCGCAGACGTGATACGAAGTATGAAAAGGCCGCCCTCAGTGCCGCAGCAAATGCAAACTGAAGAGCAGCAGCTGGACATGGACTACAGCAGCGTCTACGGAACGACCAGTCGCGATGAACAAGATGAAGGTAGTAGGACAAGAGGTCTCGACATCGACTCAGCACCACAAGCGGACGTCGAGGACTCTTACGCCGCTTTGGCAAGAGACTCACGCATGGCGGATCCCCACCAATCGATTAGCTTAGTTGAGAATAGAAACAGTCGGGCATTGGAAGAGGTTGTTCCTTCCTCTCCTCCAACACCAACGGTGCATCCGCGCCAGAAACTGAAAGTACAACACGCTGCCGACAATAGGCAGCTACCATTACGCGAGCACGGGCGCATGGACACGACCATGAACATGATCAATAAAAAACAAACGAGCGACGTCGCACGTCGGGAGAGCGTCACACAGAAGCGAGCGGAGTTGATCGACAGAATTCTGACAAACCAAAAGAAGACGCCGATCAAGAGCGTCGCAAGCAAAGTGGTTGCTGCAAGAAAAAAGAACATGAGTAGAACAAGGAGCCCTCCAGTGTCTGCCCCTGTGGCCGCTCCAGGGGAGGTTGCGGCAGCGCCTCAAAGAAGTTCCGGACAAAAAGAGCAAGTAGCTCTTAGTACCGGGCCGGAACATACCGAATACATGGGCGCGTTGCAGCCGGCGTCTTTCGGCTTATCGCGCGAGGGAGAAGAACACGATGCGCCACCGGCAGCACAAGCAGCTGCAAGTTCGCCGATGAACATTCCTCCCAGCACCTTGTTGGGCACCACTGACGCTTTCTCAAAAGTAACGCAGTCCCCTGCATCATCCTCTGCCGCGAGTCCTGCTGGCGCAGCTGCACCAAATCCTTTGTATAGCTCATCTACTGCGTCCGCCAACGGTTTTGTTCCCCCTCCTCTACCTCCGCCTCCCCCAGCCATGCCCTCTTCCATGATTCCCCCGAGCGACAATGTTCTGGGAGCCATCCCCGTACTGACAAACGTCGCACATGAAGCAGTCGCTGGAGTGATGTCTCCGACACTTCCATCCCCGATCGCAACCCCTGCTCCGGCTGCCACCGGAACAATGTCCCCGGCGTTGCAAGTGCTGGATGAGCAAATTCGGGAGCAAGAGAAGAAATACTTCGCGGGAATGGAGGCGCAAGAAAAGGCCGACGGCACCGGTAGTGTCGCTGACGCAGTGGAGAACCTGGCCGCCGCACTAGCAAAGGATCGGCAAAATTCGAATGTCGACCCCGAGCTGTTGGAGAAGACAGAGCAGACCTTGAAAAGCTTGGAAAAAGTGTTCCGGCAGCGCGCCGTCGCAGGTGAAGGAGCTGGGGGTGGTGCATCAGTTGCACCTTTGTCTGCCGCAGATGCTGTTGCTCCAACAAGTGTATTTGCAGCTGGTAGCACGACTCCGCCCGCTCACTCTGCAGCCGCAGCGGCCCCCGCGCCTGCAGCTCCTCCAGCTCTTGTTCCAGCAGCTGCGCCAGCAGTAGTTGCCCCGGCTGCTACTGCTTCCTTTGCGCCTTCAGCTCCGACCGGCGTCACCGCAGCGTCCTCTTCTCTTCTGGAGACGCAGAGAGCAACTTCGACGTCAGCCTCCGCGGATGATAATGGATTCGTGCCACCATTGCAGCAAGTGCCAACTACGGACGAGATGAAGAAGAACTTCGCCGGTTTGGCGGACAGCATGATGCTGATGGAGACGGGTAGGCGGACGATTTCCGGCATTTCGGCGGATGAAAAAGAAGAAACAACGCACAAATTAGTTTCTGAGCGGACCCTAACCTCATCCGAAAAAAAGCTCTTTGACGAGACGCACGCCATGACCATGGCGCAGCCACATCCGAAGCAGCAACCGAAAAGTGTGGAGGCCCGGCGCACGCCCGACAAAGACGAGGAGAGCGAAAATTCTTCAAAAGATCAGCCGGATGTGAATTTGAACCAGAAGAGGAAGTCTGAACAACCAACTGAACCCCACCGGAACACGGGAGATGACGCAGCGCAAAACGCAAAAGGATTCGAGAAGCCGAAGGAGAGAAAAATCCCGCCCCCGGGGTCCCAGCCCATCGAGCACCCGGTCGGACCTGCGACCAACCCGCACGTCTACATCCCGCCCTCTCCGGCGCCGGACGTCACGATTGCGAACAAGGAGTCCCTGCAATCCTTCCTCGATCACAGCATGGAGGTGAGAAACAATGCGGCGTCCGCCACGGAAAAAGCGATGCAGGCTCCGGTGATGGTGGAGGCACAGCGGACGGGCCAGCAGAAAAAAGGCAAAGCCTTGGTCGTGTCGTTAAAGGAGCAGAAGAACCCGATCGACCCAAAGCTTCCCCACGAGGACAAGGCGAATTTGAGTGTGAAGATCACCGATGAAAATAAGGAGCAGGACGGTTCGTTAATCAACAAGAACAAGCAGGGTGCAGGGGGTTCCAGTACTGCGGCGCAGGTTCTGGACACGATCACCAAGACTATTTCGGATATCGGGAGCTACATTTCTGGCTCAGGCGATAAAAATGCTAAGGAGGCCGGTAGTAAGGTGAAAGTGAGCAAAAAGCTAGAGATGAACGTAGTGGAGAAGCCGCAAAAGCTATCAAAGACAAAAGCCGAGCTATCTGTCAACGTCCCCGATGAAGGAGAAAAAAAGAATGTGGGCGACGGTGTAGCAGCGCTCGCGAAGAAAAAAGAGGACGTGGAGGAAGAAAAGAAAGAAAACAAACTCAAGACGACCACCAAAATTACGTTCTCACTTCCGGACCAGCACAGCGCTGAAGCAGGTAGTTCCTCATCGCCTGGTGAAGATACAGCCGCAACAAGTCTGGCGGCAGCATCGACAGCGGTTGCCGAAGACGCCGGAACAACTGCAGCGGAAAGCAAGTCAGACACGGCCGTCGACGCTTCGAAACTTCCGGGCGGCATGCCACCGCCTCCGTACGACAAAGCACTGTTCGAGCGGCAGAAAAAGCAAATCGAGCAGATGCGCGTGATCAAAGACAATCCGAGCACGCCTTTGAACCCCGGACCGGGGAATGGAAACCCGAGCTCGTTCGCGCAGAAAGACATGGAAGTGGTGCGCGGAAAGATGGGACAGTACATGAAAGACGAGTACTCCAAGCTCCAGCAGAGCATGCTCCAGAACTTTGACGCCTTCGCGGCCAAGCAACAGGACAAGATTGAGGCCCTGGAAGCGGAACTGGCGAAGGAAAAGGCGGCGCAGAAGCTCTCCCACAGCGCAGCGGACCGTCCGGTGACGGCGCCGCCGGCTCTGTCGCTCTTGGAGATCGACTCTTCGAAGGACAAGAAGGACAAAAGAGATGGTGGCAAGAGTGCAATAAAAACCACCGTGACGATCGATAAAGCTGTGGACAAAGAGAAGAAGCCAGAAAAAAAGGACAAGGACGCCGAACGAGATGCAGATTTGGAGAAGCACGCCAAGGTGAGGGAGCACCGTCATAAAAACATAGAACCTTCTTTTGGCGGTATCCATGCTGATTTGCATGCAGCTGTTGTTTGAGGTTGTCTATTTCACTTTCACATGATGTGATTCGATTGACTTTGTTGACCACATGATATCCGACACAACAGACCAACAGCCAGCTGACGAACGAGTTGGCCGCCGAAGCCGCTGCGATCGGCGACATAATCGACAAGAAGCCCGCGGGCGCGGCAGTAGCGGCGCCGCCAACGGCCAGACCAACCAGCGCCTCTGCCATGCCAGAAAAGCCAGACGCGGGTGGTGCGGCGGCGGCGGTGCCCCCGGCAGTTGCTACCTCTTTGACCGCCGAGAAACAGAAGGACGACGTAGCTGCGGCAGCACCTCCGACACCGGCCAAGGTGGAAGTGGAAGTGGAACAGTCCCCGGCGGACAAGCGGGAAGACCTGGCGAACTTTTTGCACAGCAAAACCGGGTCGCAGCAGACCCCTACGGAGTCGATGGTGACCGCCGCCGCGGCGAAGGCGTCCGCGGTCGAGGCCGCGGAGTCGGGAACGCAGAAGTCCGAGGCAGCTGCGGCCCAGGCCGAACTTGTAGGCGCCGACCAGGCGGTCGGCATGGCGCTGGAGCAGGGACCACCGCCCCAGTCGGCCGAGGTGAAGATGACGCAAAGCGACCCGTTTTCACCGCACTACCACTTGGAAAACGAGGGGGCGGACGTGGTTATTTCGGGAACCATGAAAGTGGAAGTGATTAACGTAGAAGCGTTTTTGGCCAATCAGCAAACAGAACTCGCCGTCGCCACGCTGATGCAGGACCTCTTCCAGAGTCCGCTGTACGACTTGAAAATCAAATTGGAACAGCAGGTGCCCCAGACTGCGGCGTCAAACGCGACAGCGGCAGTGCCCTTTTTCTTGCAGCAGGTACTTATTTCAGTACGACGTTCTTTGCATAGTAACGTGAAGCCTGCTAACAAGCCACGATCTACATACGTGCGCGTTGGGGTAAACACGATCCTCGAGTGCGTGTTGTACGAATAGGAGTCGATTGCTTTTCCGTCTTTTTCTCTGCACAGTCCTCCTTCTTGCTTCATACTAGTCCTACCTCTCCCGGAGCAAGAAAGAAAAATCTTTTCCCAGGACGCAACGAGCATTCACCATTCGGTAACCAGCGTAGCGGAGAACAAAGGACAGCCGCTTTACTTGCCGATGTTTGACACCTCGGCCGCAGACCGGGCTCGTGGCCGCGCCACAGCAACGAGTTTCGTCCAGACCGGCATGGTATCAACTGTAAAAATGTCTGGGTCTGGAAGACTCATGCTGTTTTTGCATGACACAGAAAGTCTGGCATGGAAGCTCTAGCATCACAGGTTTCGAGAAGCGTTTGCAATGCCGAATCCGCATGACAAATCCCCCATTTTGGTGATAGAAAGTGGAAACTTTTTGCTGCCTATGCATGTTGAGAGATTTTTCTGTGATCTGAAATGCGCATCACAAGTTTGTATTCTCCAGACCCAGACATTTTCTACTTTTGATACATGGGTAAAAAGAAGGCGGATACGGTACCGGCAAACATTCTGTTCGAGTTCCGCGTGAAGAAAGTACCCATGCAAATTCAACAACTGTTGCAGACCGGGGACATTGCGTCTAAGTGGGATACCATGCGCGGCGTGGGGGGCATTGACCAGGTGGTTGATGTGAACATCAAAGTGCACGAAAATTGGGCCACCTGGAACCAAACCGTTTTCTTGCCGATCGGGTAAGTACTTTACTTGCTACTTGATTTTTTTGTGCTTGTCATGCTAGAAAACGTCTCGACGGACTACTACTCTCTCGAGACGTTTTTTAGCATGACGCTTGGTCAAAGACCGTCACCGTCTTTCATGACACGGAACTTTTTTTTCCATCCATTGTCACAAAACTGAATGAAAATTTGATGACGAGCTTGAGCAGATTATAACGGGCATGCTACCAACATCAATCTAAACAGCCCTGCCTCCTACTCCGACTTCACCAAGGACATCGGGCTCGAGTGGCGCCCCCGCGTGTGCCCGACGCCGAACTTCGACCCTGCCACCATCTACAGCAAGCAGCAGTGTCTCGATTGCGTCGTTGATTTCTTCCAGACCGCGTACTTTTGCGGCTCGGAGCAAACCTGCCAGGGTTTGTGGACGGAGTGCGCGGTGGACTGTCAGCAAAATCCCGCCTGCAAGGCTTTCAACTACAACGGACGCCTCTGTCGGCACGTGATCCCGAAAGATCCCGCGGACACCACCTTCACACTGATGGGCGACGGACTGACGCAGTGCGGAACGGCCGACGCGCCCGTGATCGCACAGGGGTGCATGAACTGGTGCACCAAAGCGCCCCCGATACCTGCGACGGCGGCAGGAGGTGTGGGACTGCTGCAAACCGCTTTCAGAAAAGCAATTTCCAAAGCCTACAACATTCGATAAAGTGGAGAAAAAAGCAAAAATGTTGAGAGCATGTTGTAGGGGTGCGGCATCTGATACCGATTCACCTTTTAGGAGGCGGAGCGGTTGTTCGGCATAGTTGCCAAGCAAAAGAGGAAAGTAGCACACGTTTTTTCACCAGACAAATCAGCATGGAACTAATGAATAAGTACGGCTCCCTCCACTTCAGGATACTGGTTTCAAGCGAAAGCGAGGTATTCCTATTCGCATTCCTCGTAAAAAAAATTATCGTTGCAAGGTATCTATACTCCTACACAAAAGAAAGTCAAGATTTGCCCAAGCGGTGCCGCCCTCAAAGGGGGCATGATTTTTTTGACAAAAGAAAACAATCAAGAAGAGGTGGGCAAACAAAAGCCACTTCCCGGAAAGGAAAAGCTACATACTTTGACTATCTAATTTTCAAAAATGAATCATTGAAACAGAATTGACATTGATATTAAGTAAGACCCTATACAACCGAAAGCATGAATGAACGCATGGATTTGAAAAACAAAAGCAAGGCCAAAATAATCACTGTATAATTTGTGATGAGACAACGAGGAGTAAATGAGTACGAGAACGACTATGGAATGAAAAATCAAATAAGCACTTGCTGCATAGATTTTGCAATATTTGCTGCAAGCAGTCGTAGACTGTGTCAGTGCCAGAGTCTTTACTTCGGGCGGCTGCTTTTTTTCTTGATCTGCTGAACTACAGTGGTGTTCTGCTCCAGGAGTTGATCGTACTGCTGTAAAATATCGACAAGATTGATCTATTTCTTGATCGTGTGGTGCTAATGCTCTGTGCACCTCAGTGTATGGTGCAAAACCCTCCACCGGCTACGGTGCAAAATTGATCGTGCGTCTGATTTTTCTTGTTTGAATCGTGAGGCTGTTGCGAAAGAAGTAGAAGATGATCTGACGATGCGGATCTACTTCTGACGAAGCATTGTTCGTTGTGGAAACCTTCGTCTAATCCTTTGAAGCTTGTGGATATTGCGTTTGCGTCGTACTCCGGCGATGTTGAAGAAGGTCTTAGTATGCTCGAAGCTGTAGTTTTTTTTTGCAGTATGTCGAAGCGTGGAAGATCAATATTTTTTGTCATTCCATGACGCGTTCCACGGTGCCTCTTCTACCTATGTAACAATGCATGTGTGTACCACTAAAAAATCGAAGCCGATGAAGTTAGACACATGATTTACTTCTACAGCTCGTAGAAGTTGTGTCTTGGTTGAAGGCAGAATGGAGTGTATGTGAATCACGTGGTTTGATTGATGCCAGAAAGCACTTCTAGGCCCACATCCCTACACTGTATCAGTTCGCGTTTCGAGGGTAACTGACAAACTGAATGGTTTCCTAGTATTCTTCTAGCACCGGACCAAAATGTTGTTGACGACCTTTCCCATGTCTCGAAAAGCAAGCAGCAACACAAGGCGAAGACGATCAACGAGAAGCAGCACAACGTCGTCGCGTGGGAGGAGTACCACAAAAGCACCAACAACCATACCTGTAGAAGTGTCTGCAATAAAGCGGAGTGTCAGCAGGTGGAGCAGACGCGACGGTTTGGGTTTCCAAATTTCCGCAAGCACGAGATAGTCCAAGGCCGGTCCTTGTTGTGCTCGTTGCTGCAAGAATCCGAAGCCACCACAATGGCCACTGCGACTGCAGCACCAAGCGCAGCCGCCCCGGCGGTCGAGAGGGTAACCGTGTTGCGCAGCGCGGCACATGGTGTCTCCGAAAATGTGCTACGACAGCTTGAGGAGGAGAATCTGGAGATGCGTAAAGAATGTGACATCGCGCACATTGAGCTGGCCTCCGCATCTCATTTGGTCCGAACCCTCGACGCAGAGACCTTGGAATTAAGAAAACGAATAGCTGAGGTACGTGCGACAAGGGGCACTGTCCACTGATGTTGAGTTTATTGTAAATACGTAACCTTGACTGTCATTTCATCAGATAGAACCAGAACCATTTTCCATGTTGAGTTGCTCACTCGGTTTGCAATTCGAGAAAAAAAAAACTTCAGCTTGAACCAATGGAGGACAAAGCCCAGAAGGTTGTCGAAGAGAATGTGAAGCTACGAGCCACACTGCAGCGACAAAAGACGACGATTAGAAAAATGATGGGCGAAGCTTGTACGTGATTATCATTCATGTTTTTTTTTGATGTGTGGCCGAGTTTGTCTGGTTGTGGACCTTTCTTTTTACAAAAAGCAAAAGGGAAGCTCGTGCAAATCGAAGGGTTCTCTTTGAATTTTTCGCTTTGCTCAATTTTCTCTACCCACCTGGCAGACGACAGCGACGAAGACGACATTTCGATGGAAAATCTGAAAGAGGAGCTGCTGTCACTGCAGGAAAAGTTGGCCGAGGTAACCGCAAGAAAGGACGACCTTCTCGCCGAAAACGAAAGACTGATTGCGCCCGGCCAGGACGACAACGAGCTCGCCACTTTGCGCAGCAAAGTGGAAGGTATTTACTTAAATAGAGTCAGTGTCAGCTGTCATTGATTTGTATTCGTTAGAAGCGGCCAAGGCTAGTAGGTACACACTACAGGCTCAGGCGTACATCAACTGCGCACCAACTGAGCCCGATTCACGTCCGCCACACAACATTGGCATCGTACACGACTGTCACCGTACTTTTCACGACACATGATGACAATAAAAACTATCTTCAGAGCTCGAGAAGGAACTCGCGTCCGGAAATGAGGTTCTGAAAGAAACCGAGGAGCAGATCGAGGAGATGTCGAAAACGCTGCCCGAAGTGGAAAACAAGAATCTGGAACTCCACAAGGAACTGCAGCTCCGTATGGCGTTCTCAAACATTACATTCTCAACTGTTACATGGATTTGCAATGCAAGAACAGCAACAGTGAAGGCGACAATATTGCAGCTTTCGCATCACAGATTTGCCACAGATTATCATGCTGTTTAGCCTTTCTAAAATTTGTCATGCTAATTACCTTGATCAAGTGGAGGCTGATGGCAATTTTGCATGACAAATCCGTGTAACAGTTGAGAATGTAACAGTTGAGAACGCCATACTCCGGCTCGAGGCCGAGGAAAATTTGAAGAAGAAGCTCCAGGTATTACAATGAAAAATGCCCCCACCCCCGAACTTGAAAGCATTTGTATTGCAAACCTTTCCGAATGAAACATTCGCCCTCTTGCATGTATCAGCATCACAGATTTCCGATCGTGAATAGTAAAGATTTGTATTGCAAAAGATCCCAGCAAGAGCGGTGCTTGTCATGCAAGCGATGCGAAACACGCCTAGACTCTGGATCAGAAAGATTCATAGTACTTTCATGCATGACAAAAAGTTTTCATTTGGAAACTTCGCATCACAAATGCTTGCAACTTTGGGGGTGGGGGCATTTTTCACTGTAATACCAGGAACTGGGCTACGATCCGGAAAACCTCGACGGTATCGTCGGCCCTGGTTCCTGCACGACGGCAACGCCGTCTGATCATCAACTTCCCTCGCCCGCGACGGACCTGTCCGCTTCCAGCAGAAGCAAGGCTATGAGCTCTCCCACAGAGCCGCAGCTGCAGGGGAGTGTCGTGTCAAAAGAAGTTGCTCTGCCCGCTATTCCGGATGACGACCGGTCGTCGATCTCATCGGGGATCGGGCGGCTGACAGACGATGATGACGATGATGGGGAGGTAACGCCCACGCAAGAAGCTGTCGCGACCAGCAAGCACTTGGACACAACACCGCAGAATGCGCCGCCCGGAAACGCGGCTGCTGGGCTGTCTGCGATAGCGCCGCCTACAACAGCAACAGGATCTGGAGCAGCAGAGCAAGACCTTGTTCCTCGTCCGGTGGTGCTAGAAGAAGCGGCAACGCAAACCTACAGCAGCGATTTTCCGCGTCGAGACTCCGCTCAGTCTCCGCGTCACTCTGAAGGCGTTCTGCGTCTTCCCGCGGTGCCGCTGCTTACAGGGTCAAGCTCGTCAAGTTCGTCGTCTTCCGTTCTTTCGGGATTGAGTGTGATAGGAGCTCCAACACCTCCACCGGTTCATCCACAAGATCCGTCCTCATCGTCTAGCGGAATAGTGCTCCTCGGTTCAGTTCCTCCTCTCTCGACGTCTTCACACCAGCAGGAGCAGCAGGAATTCGATAAGGAGCGGCAGAAGTTTTTGCGAAACGAGCGCAAGTACCAGAAGATCATCAAGGACAGCCTGGAGCACCAGGGTGTGTTAGAAGATCAGCTGCGCGAACTCAAGGACGTGACATCCAAGCAAATGTCTTCCTTGCGGACCGAGCTACGACAGTATCAGCTGCAGGAACAACAGAAGATAACCTCTACTGTTGCTGGTACAACTACTGCGACTGCCTCTTCATCTAGCGGTACTAGTCGAGCGCAGCCAATGCGCAGCGCGGCCTGCAACTCCACACAATTCGCTGAGATTCTCGCGGGTGCGGGGTTGACCGAGCCTGCCGACTGCAAAAATGATCCTAGCTCTGCCTCGTCTTCAGCTTCAGCACAGGAGGTCGCTTCAAACGAACAAGGACGAAATAAGAGCTGCACAGAAAGGCAAAGCACAACTTGTTCCAAGGAGCCGCCACCCTCGGACGTTGTATCAGTCGAGCAAGCAGATTTGCGGCGGCGCTACGAAGTGTTGCAGCGCTCGCAAGGCATGCTGCTGCAGAGCCATGCGGCGGAGCTCGCGAAGCTGCTCCGTAGCAACGACCAGTTGAAAAATATTCTGCTGCAAACGTGCAAAAAGTACGGGGTGCGGAAGCGAGAACTTGCGGAGTTGTGTGCTCTGGATAAGATAACCACGACTGGTGGTACACCTGCACTCATTGTTGATCAGCACCAGCGGGAACAAGAAACCCTGATAGAGGATAAGAACGCATCTTCCTCCAGCACGACATTACCAGGCGTAGCCGACCGTGCCGCCTCGACCAGTAGAATGTTGGCGGCAGCTGAACAGGCAAAAGCATCGCCAAAGGGGAAGGAGATGGAGATCACGTGAAGATCATGGCTCTTGCCGGCTGCTGTTTATTTTCTGGCGCAGAGAGCAGCGTTCACACGTCACACCCGCAAGTTGTGCGTTGGAAATCGAGAACGGATCATGGCAGCGCCGGCAGACGACGGAAAAAAACTTCGCCTTTCATTCATGCTTTTCTACCTTTTTCCACTCCTACTCGACCCGTTCTGAGAAACTGTGTACGAAATTATGAATGCATGTGTACGTATAGCGTTAGCGCACGAGCAGATTCGGGCTTGCTTGCTTTTTAAGTACTTTTTCCGCGCATCACCTGTTGGTTCTATAGACGGACCCCCTTTTTTGGTTTTTGATGAACCGGGATGATAGATTTTGGACAATAACAAATGAACGAAAATTTCTTTGGATCGTAGGAGTCTCTACGTCCTGACGTGGTTTTGTGCAAATGCAGAAAGTGAATGGGAAAGCAATGAACAACTGAAAAGAGAACTCGAAAAAGCAAGAAGTCCGATTCGCAGGAGGAAGCTCATCGCACGGCGTTGTAATGTGGATCCGCTTCTTGGAACCACAAGCACAAGGATTTCGTCGCAAATTTGTGTGCATCTGCATCTTGTCACCTGTATTCGTAGAATCTCCCTTTACCTTCACGTAAAAGTAGATTTTTCTCTATGCCAATCGGAATCGCCATCGTATTGGTAATTCGTAATTCTCTTTTCCATGCTTGTGCTTTACACCATCTCGGCGTACCTACGTACTCCTCGGTCGATCTTTAACTTTGTTTGCTTTGTTTCTGTCTTTGTCTTCGTGATATTCGTTTCATCGACATTTGGTTTATAAATATCGTTCTCGTCTAATAAAGCGAGTGGGACAGGTCAAATAGCAGCGAGTGCCGATTGTGAATACAAAAATCGCAGTCGTCTTTGTGGGCGTTTGAGCAATTCGTATTAGCTGTCCAGACCAAGATGAATTGATGTATATCTTTCAGATTCAGACCGTGATAGGACACAGACATACGTGCACTATCAAGCTTCATTTCTATTTCTGCAGCAGTGCACACGCAATTCTATTTCTGCAGCAAACTCGAATTCTTGCCCTATCAAGATGCCTGGGATCATCCTTGCGCACGATCGTTTTTTCGATGAACAAGTCGCTCTGCACCATGAATGGAGACGTGGCTCCGTCATCTCGATGAGGACCAGGAGTTTGAAAACCAGTTTCGCAACTTCGTGCGACCGAACCAGAGCAAACAGCTCCGCGGTCAGAAATTTCTTTTTCGGCGACAGTTGCTACTACGACGACCTCCACGACGCCGCCCAAAAAGCAGAAGCCGCTGTCGGTGTTGCCACCGCCTACCACGAAAAGTCAGCCCCGATTCCCAGAACCTTGCACTACGTGAGCAGTGCTCACAGCGCACTGTCCTGGTACGACAACCTGCACACCGGATCACCCACCGTGTCTGCACTGCTCATGCGACCGGTTTTGTCGTTGCTGCAAACGCTGCCTTTGAAAATCTTTTGTTACCTCTTGGTCGACCTGCCACTGCACAGCATTAGACTGACCTCACACTTAGCCTTACAATCTGCGCAGAACCAAGCGGTCTCGCCCAGATTAGAGCATTTGCTCAAGGGAGCGAACGCGGCGTTGAAAAATATCGACGGTATCGACCCTGCAGCGACCGTGTACGTGAAGAAGTGGCGCGCGAATCCTGAGTTCAATAACTACGAAATCCACAGCCAGCACGCTCCGGGAAGAAAAGTACAGCCGTATTGGCGAAGTCCGTTTGAATGGCTAAGACACTACGACTACACGCCAGGACAGTTTCTTTTTTGAGGAAGATCGCATAAAATCATGCGTCCGAACAAATTATAGACGCCGGGCTTAGGTAAAGCTAAAGAAACGAATATAGACAAACTCAAACAGAATTCTGCAACAAGTAGCACGGTGGTGTGGGATCTTGTAGAAAGTACATACTAGTACTACATCTACATGCTGCTGCGCGAGGGGAACCAGTGTGTATTGAGTGTAGGTCTGTTCAAAAGTAGCAGGACGCACACAAAGTGTAGACAAGATCATCCTTGCTTTATCCGATTCAAAAACGTAGCAGAAAAGTTCTGTACGAGAGAGAAAACTAAATTGGTACTCTGGTGTACTGTATTTTATCGTACTTGAATGATTTTGGCAGGATTAAATCGCACCGGCTCCGCCCGACATTTCATAAATTTTCTTTTTGAAGCTTGTATCGATATGAGGAGTTGATTTTTTATTTTTTAGAAGTTTTCACATCTTCTTCTTCAAGACCACGCATCCAAAAAGAAAAATGATTGGCAACGGCGAGGCATATGCAAACCGAAACCCGGATAGCAGAAACACGTTCTACGACACGACAATCGGCGAAGGAAAATACAAGAGTGTTGGAGACGGGAGGTATCATAACGGGGAGCCATGCGTTTGCAAGTTTCTCAAGACGGGCACCACGTTTAGTGACGATTGCTTCCTCGATGACGTAAAAAATGCTGAAGCAGCTTTGCCGTACATCGCTGGATTTCATGAATATGTGCGAAAGTCCTTGCCGCAGTATGCAGGGAGCATATCGATCAAGGTTAACATACCCGAAGTCTGGTCGCAGTCTAGTAACGGCTGGGGAAAGGGACAAAAGTTTCTGGTCGAACCCTTAGTGCCGAACTTTCAGAAGTTCAACAGTAATTCCGGGGCTGCAGACACAACTGCCGAAGTAGCACAGGCACTCAGTCACTACAGCTATCACGTTTCTGATGGTCGCGAGCTGCTCTGTGATTTGCAGGGTGGGAAGATTGGAAACTCCTACATACTCTCGGATGTCGTAATTATGAGCGCGGACAAGAAGTACGGCAACACCGATCTTGGCTTGCCGGGAATCGAAAACTTCTGCGCCGAGCACGAATGCGGCCGGTTTTGTAGCAGAGAGTGGAAAAATTGGAGCAACGCCAAGCGCCGCTACCAGCCAGTTATGTCCACAACAATCACCCTCGACGTCGCTCATGTTCCCACTCCGCACACGAACAGGCAACACGTGCGCGAATTTCCTTGCGATATTCTGTTTACGCAAAACAGCATCAAGGGCCAGGTACTTCACTGGTTGGGCAAAAATGAATGGATTTCCGCGTTTTCGTGCTGTCCACAGTTTGTGTTGTTGTTAGTGTTTGGATGGAAAAATAAGTATACTTTACACTCACGACATGGACTTCTTGGACTTTTGCTGTCAGAAATCTTGATGCGTAGTACTGATATAAAAATGATTGAAGCGAATACGAAAACTCAGTTTCAAGACGGCAGAACGCTTCTGGATACCGCGTTGGAGCTCGCCCGGCAAGACATTCAAAAGCGCGATATTCCGATGATTACTGCAGTCCGCTACCAGGGAGATTTATGGACGCTCGACAATCGTCGACTTGCAGTGTTTCGTCTGCTGCAGATGGCGAACAAGCTCCACAAAATCAAGGTGGAAGTGGTTTCCTTTGATCGGGTTGAGGACGAGTTCAATCGAAAATGGGACGGCGCCAACGGTCACACGATAGCCATCCGACAAACCAACTATGTCATTGGGCGGAGCGAGTCAAGCACACAGTATCCTGGGTTGGCGCAGATCCGGAACACCTATCCAAGCGAGAGCTCGACGGACGCAGCGCTTTCCATCTTCCTGGGTACGCTAGTCGACAATTAGAATTCGCCACAGTCGCCGCAGGGGTTCGGGTTGTTTAGGTTTGGGATGAGTCACAGTGACTTCTGAATGCTCCATTCCAGCAGCAGCACAACATCGCTGAAGATCACGCTTTGAATTCTATAATCCCTTGGTGACCAGATAATGTAGAAGAGTTTTTTTTTTATCTTAAAGCCAAACCTGCTAAAGTCGATATCGACCGAAAAAAATGGCACGAAAGAGGTGCGAATCGCACGCACCGCTCTTTCCTCGAAGGCAGGATCTGCTGGTGGAAGCTGCTTGTCATAAATATCGTTATGGTAATCGTCAACAAGACCGCCAGTGCCAATGAGATCTTCAGTAAGGTTCACGCCAGTTTCAGTAAGGATCACGCCAGTTTCAGTAAGGATGGTCACGCCAGTTTCAGTAAGGATCACGCCAGTTCCAGTAAGGATCACGCCAGTCGGTGAGTACAGATCGAGATATTAAACGCTTCTTGTATGTTTCAAACAAAATCATAAGCAATAAAGAAACTCAAACAAATGAAGATAGAACAAGAGTTGGGCTGCTGTCGTTGCTGTTTTAGTGCGCAAATTGCCCGCACTGCTGTTTTGGAACGAATTCGGTTGAACGAGTACGAATTTCTCGTCTGCTTGTGTAACTACTTAATTCCTACCGTAAAATCAAAACATCTGCGTTTCGTGGGTCGTCCTCGTAGATAACGCCGTGCGTCCCGAAAGGTTCAAGTTGAACTACGTGAGAGATGCGCATCGTTTGTCATGAGTACCTCATGAAGATCTTGGCGAAAATCGGAAACAAAACATCATGGCGAGCAGCACAAACAGAAACAGCGGAACTGACTACTCCAGCTTCGCGAATTGGAATCCTGTTTCCAGTTGTAGGTGGAACCACGAAAAAATCATCGGCGCAGGAAAGCACAAGTTCGTGAAAACTGGCACGTACGAGAACTACCCGGGAAGGGCGAACAGTAAAGCGTGCGTGGTCAAGCTCCTGAAAACCGGGGCGAATTTTAGCAGCGAGTGTTTCCACGACGATGTCCGTTGCGCGGAAGCCGCCCTTCCTTACATTGAAAAGTTTCACGAATATTTCCGGAGCGCTTTTCCGAAGTTTTATCCCGGCGGACAAACTTTTATCAAAGTAAACGTGCCCACGGTGTGGCAGCAGATAAACGACCACAACGGAAACCGGGGACAGAAGATTCTCGTGGAGCCCTTGATTCCGAATTTTACGAAATTCAATTCGAATTCGGGCAAGGCGGACGCGCGGTGCAAAATCGCACAAGCTCTGAGCCACTTCTCGTATCATGCGTCAGACGGACGGGAGATCTTGTGCGACCTGCAGGGCGGCCGGGACGGGAAAAACTATGTGCTGTCGGACGTTGTTGTTATGAGCGCTGACAAAAAGTACGGAATTACGGACCTGGGTTTGCCCGGGATCGAAAACTTTTGCGCGCATCATGTTTGCAATTGCTTCTGCAGTCGCCTCTGGAAAACGTGGAGTGGGGCCCGTCGGCACTACCAGCCGGAAATGTGCACAACGATCACGCTGGACGTAGAGCACATTCCCGTGCCGCTGTCTGCCCGCAAGTACCAACGCGTCTTCCCGTCTGACATCATGTTCACGCAGAAAAGTATCAAGGATCGGGTAAGTGTACCAAAAAGTTGTATTTCAAAAATACGTGCAGCTGTTTGCAGCTTCACTTGTCAACATGATAGATGAAGCAAGAACAGTCTTGTCCCGTAGTGTTGTTTCGTGCTGCCTTCTCGTAGGGCTAACGTCTGCACTAAAAAACTACTTACTACAACTATCCAGTTCCACGATGGTAACACTCTGCTATACACGGCGTTGACGCTTGCACGCCAAGAGATCCAAAAGAGTGACATACCGATGATCACCGTTGTGCAGTGCAAGGACGGAACGCTGCGTTCCCTAGACAATCGGCGCCTGGCCGTCTTCCGTCTCTTGGGCATGACCAGGAAAATCCACAAGATCAAGGTCGAAATCGTTCCGGTCTCCCGAGTGGCGGATGAATACAACCGCAAGTTTGACGGCGGCAATGGCGAGGAAATTCATGTCCGTCAGAGCAACCAGACCATCGGCAGATATGAATGGACCACGAAGTTCCGGCAACTCGCGGAGATCAAAAATACGTACCCGAGTCAATCCCCGCAGGACGCAGCCCTTGCGCTCTTGCTGGGGTCGCTTACCGATGAGTGAAGAGAACATCAACAAGAGGCGGCGGTCGTGGCGGAGAGTTCGTTGGATTCGTCAAAAATGGGAGCTTTTCTTGCCTTATCGCAGCCCATTATTTCATCCACAGAGGAACGACATTGAATGTCGCTCGTGAGAAACCAAAAAAATCGCGACTCGAGTTTCTTTATTCCATTCTTTGCATTGTTCCGTGCTCGCAGCACTACAATGTGTGGTATCAACATTGAATTTGACCCGAAATCTTCCTGCTCGTATATGCTTGTCTGTGCTTGTAGTTCTGTTCTTGCGTAGGCGACTGTTTCGTATCTTCATGTCTCAGCTACAGCTTGATTCTCAAACCTAGAGAGGGAGTGCGGAGTTGTCCGGCATAATATGTTCAACGGACGAGTAGAGCTGCGTTTTGACGTACTTATTTTGAGGCTTCAAGCAGAAGATTACGATGAGCCGAGCGCTGTCCCTCGGTTTTGCACAGTAGGTGGCACAATCGAGGGAATGGGGAGGTCTGCTTTGCTACGAAACAAGAAGTCAATTTTACGTTTCTCTAGTTCAATTTTTTGTCGTTCACTGGGTGTACAACTTGTAGTTCATTTCTCTTTCTGCCCGCGTTCGAAACAGGTTTTTCTTTCCGAAAATGAAAGTGCTGTCTTCTTTGCGCGTACGCGTCTTTATGCACCAGCAATGGCGCCCAGCGCTGTCACGAACACGATCACGAATAGCCGAAACCGAAAAACAAGCACTAGCTGTGGTGGAGAGGACGTCATCTAGCTTCCCCTTGTTGTCCACATTGAAATCGGAACTGAAAACACCTCTGGTCTTCTCGCAAAAAGTGCGGCACAGCAGCACGAGTCGGAACTTTTTATGGCAGCTACCTCCCGAAGAGCGTGCCGGGCATGTGAAATTATTGGTGTGCGACATGGCTGGCACCACCATCGATGAGGGCGGTCTGGTTTACACAACGCTGCAGAAGGTAATGAACGACGCAGGTCTTGAGGTGTCAAACGAAGAAATGCTCCCGTGGCACGGGGCACAGAAGACCGAAGTCGTCGCCCATTTCGTGCAAGATCGCCTGCTGGTGGACCGCCGAACAGTGTCTTCCGCTACCAGAACAGGAGCGGAGATAAAGGGTGCTGCTGCTCCACTGAACAGAAAACTAAGCGGCAAGGACGGCAGCAGTGATTCTGGCTCGTACTACAGCTTCCGACCATGGTCGTCGAAATATCGAGAGCAGGACGGCACTAGTACGCCACCACCGGGAGCTACTACTAGTAAGAACGCCTCGTCCTCTCCGCCAGGAGGCCATCAGCACCTGGAGGCTTTGTTTTCCGACCCGAACCTCGGTGACAAGAAGAAGCTCGCTGCGTTTCTCGCCGACAAGATTGATCAGCAGTTCGAGACTGAGATTGCCGACGCCTACTTCCAACCCGATTCGCCTGTGCGGCTGATTGACGACAAGCTGTTGGATTCATTTGCGAATCTGCGGAGCGCCGGACTGAAAATCGCACTGAATACTGGGTACCCGGCGCAGATTCAACAGAAGCTGATCGAGAAGCTGCGCCTCGGGAATCACATCGACACAGCGGTGTGTGCGGGTGATGTGCCGAAGGGCCGGCCCTATCCCTACATGACACAGCTTGCGATGCAGCAGCTGGGGATTCTCGACGTGGCAACAGTAGCGAAGGCCGGCGATACAGCGCGTGATGTCGAGGAGGGGCTGAACTGTGGCTGCGGCCTGGCCATCGGCGTCCTGTCGGGAGCAGGGCAAGAGCCGGGGTTGCGAGCGGCGGGAGCTGATTTGGTGCTTGAAAACGTTTGCGAATTTGAAAAACTTGTTTCTCCGACTAAGAAAACCAAAGCGGGCTACTTAGTTTTCGAACGTAAATCGAAAAAAGATTCATGTCAAGTGTAGTGTATCACCATGCAATCCCAATCCAGTTTTTTTACTTTTTCAATATTGAGACGCGACCGGTTCATTGACTCACAGCCTAGTACGGTGAAAGAAGAGCAGGACATCGCCGAAATCGATTTGCTTCGTAGGCTAAGTGGTTGCAGCATCAGCAGCACGACCATAGATAAGTATTGCATATTGATATCATTTATGTTAGTGCATTCTCACTCGCTATAGTACTCTTTTGCCCTGGACCTTCGCGGTACCTGCATGATTCATGTTGATGTTGTAAAAGATTCGCAGCCAGCTCCAGCACGCGCTGAGAAGAAAAGGACAGCTTTACTGCCGAAGTCCGTTGGAGTGGTTGAGACCATACCGTGATACACGACCTGGACAGCTACAGTCTGTTTTTGCGAAAATTATGGCAGAAAGAACTACCTTCCTTGCGCAAAATCAATTTTTCAAAGCGCATGACACCACATGCATCGGGGTTGAAATTTTCAGAGCCGTTGCTGCAGCTGCAACATTGGCATTATGAGTAATTTATAAATCAGCTGCCAACGAGAAGGGCATGGTTGCTCCATCAGTCAATGAGAAGGGCATGATACCACAAAGCGAACTACAGACTACAAAGTCTAAGTTTCTAGATACAACGTCGATCGACTGTAGTTGTTCTGATTCCACTTGTTCGATCAAGCTCAAGGAAATTACCAAGAAATGAAAAGGAAAAAACGGTTGGCAGATGAACAAGAAGATTGATCAAGATATCGCCATATAATAGATACAGGCGTATATGTAGTCGTTTACGTTTTCGTAACACTATGTACTTGTACAACTTTTTGTGATTTCAATTTCTACTTGTATTTAAGTACTTACTCTACACTCACTTACGCTACATATTCGTGTCGTTTTTCAGTTTCTGTAACAACTCACGTAGTAGGGACAAGAAGCAAAACCCTCAAGATGGACACGAATGTTGAATTTTACGCAAATCGGAACTCCGATAATAGCGCGAGTTGGAATCCGAGTTCTGAAAGAATCGGCGAGGGGAAGTACAAATATGTGCAGAAGGGACATTACGATAATGGGAACGAGTGCGCTGTCAAATTTCTGAAATCCGGGACTACGTTCTCAAGCACGTGCTTCCTTGATGACGTGAAGAATGCGGAGGCGGCTCTCCCCTATATTTCGAAGTTTCACGATTATGTTCGACAAGCCTTTCCAAGTCACGCAGGACACATTGCGATAAAGCTGAATATGCCGGCGGTGTGGTCCCAGTCGACCGAAGGGACGAACTTCGGACAAAACTGCCTCGTGGAGCCGTTTGTTCCGAATTTCCAGAAATTTAACTCGAACTCGGGCGCTGCCGACGCAACTGCGGCCGTTGCGCAAGCTCTGAGTCACTTCTCCTACCACGTGTCGGATGGCAGAGAACTCGTTTGCGACTTGCAGGGCGGTCGAGATGGAAGGAATTACGTTCTTTCCGATGTCGTTATCATGAGCGCCGACAAGAAGTACGGCAATACGGATCTCGGTCTGCCGGGAATCGAAAACTTCTGTGCGAATCACGTCTGCGGGCCGTTTTGCAGTTCTCACTGGAATATCAAATGCAAAAATGTCTGGGTCTGGAAGGTTGGAACTTGTGATGCTAACTTCGGACTCTAAGAAACTCTGTATTGCATGACCAGCAAGAGACGTCTAGTTTGTGCTACGCGGGGAGGGCGTTTGTCATGCGGAGTAGGCATCAGGAAGCCCTCTAAAAAGCTGTGACGCTAGGGCGTGCATTATAGACGTCCCGGGTCATGCAAAACATGCATCACAAGTCTCAGAATCTTCCAGACCCAGACACTTTTGCACTTGATATGGAAGACCTGGAGTAACGCCAAGCGTCGGTACCAGCCGGTAATGTCGACCACCATCACGCTCGATGTCGCTAGCATCCCGACTCCGCTGTCCAATCGCGAATATCAGCGCGTTTTCGCCTCCGACATCATGTTTACGCAGAGCAGCATCAAGAATCAGGTATCAAGCTGCGATAAGGTCATGTATGAAAAGTGAATTAAACCCCCAAGTAACGCACGCAAATGAAACATTGAGCAGCGACTCATAATTGTGGCACATCTACATGCATTTGCATAACTCAAGTGCGTGGATGAAAATGTACTTATATGAAAACCAAAGACCACCAAAAATCATTCTCAGTTTCAAGACGGGAAGACGCTGCTGCAGACCGCGAAAGAGCTGGCGCGTCAGGATATCAAAAAGTCTGACATACCGATGATTACGGTTGTGCGGGTAAATGGGACAGTGCTTCGTTCCTTGGACAACCGGCGCCTCGCGGTTTTTCGACTTTTGGAGATGGCCAACAAAATTCACAAAATTAAGGTGGAGGTGGTTCCATTGGAGCGCGTCCGAGAAGAGTTCAACAGGAAGTGGGACGGTGGAAGCGGCGACAGTATCCAAGTGCGCCAGGGCAACTATGTCATTGGGAGAACCGAACTGAGCACCAACTTTCCCGGCTTAGCGGAAATCAAAAACACGTACCCGAGCGAGCAACCAACGGACGCAGCCCTCACCATCTTCCTCGGGACTCTTACCGACGAGTAGATGCGACGGCAGTCGTGTTCTTCTACTTGTAATAAGTCTTTTTTTTTCCTTCATGAGGAAACTCATCCAAGACTGCACCTCTGTCCGTCAATGAACGCCGTCAGAAAAAGCGATCACTTTGGAGGAGCATTCCAACTACCTAAGTTCTATGAATTCTTCTTTTTTCAGAGTGGTGCTGTACAAGGGGAAGACGACCTCATTCATTTAGTCCTTAAACCATCGCTCGCAAGGGAAAGCGCAGCCTTTTCGTCGTCATCCCAAGCAACATTCCTCATTCGTGACTAAGAACGAGAACTGGAATAGATTGGTTCCGTTCAACTCTAACTCATTCCATTCTGAAGCGCATTGCAATGCTATCAAAGACCGCTTTCCCTCTCCTCACATTCCACCATCGCAACGTTATTAACGTCTTTTCAACGATATTGACGCAGACAGACCGCCTTATGAACTTTTGTACGCGGTGTTGTTGATTTCGGGCCTCATCAAATGATTGACGGCTATTAAGCCAAACCGGTGCGAACAATAGAAAGTTTGTTCTGATGTCGGGGAGGAGCCAGTGTTGTGACGATTATGGCTCGAGCCGTCTGAAAAAGAGTCAGTGTAGAGACACTTGGTGGAAGTAGATACTGGGGATTAAGTATTGGAGAGGTGACGCAGTTAAAGTGTCCGCGATTGCAGCAGATGTCAGACTCTGACTCCACGCACGGCTGCTTAATTCGCCTTCAAGGCAACTCTCGGTACATTTGAGGGAAGTCGCTGAGTCACAGTGAGTTACAGCCACGATGTCGATGTTTTTCTTCGCATTTTTCGTGTTTTTTTGGTCGTACCTCTAGTCGCCGCCGAGAAGGAGATAGAAGCCGACACAAAATTAACATCATCGACTCGTTGGTGTTATTTTCGAAGGTGATATGTAGCGTTTCCCTTAGACTGGGTGTTTTCCGCTACTAGAATGAGCTTCCACTTTTACGCGATTGTAACTCAGTTTGAGCGTCGTGACGCATCTGGTGCGCAGGAGCAGCGCATGACACAAACTTCGAAAGCTGGCACCAGTACTAGCGGTGACGAGAAGGAGGAGCACCCACGTCATGACCGACGCTACGACTTCAGCATAGTATCTGTGGTAGGTGAAAAGGCCCGGCTGTTCAAGCAGGCCTGCTACACCTCTCGGTTGCATCCCGTATGGATAATGAAAAATTTGTGTGACAAAGCAGCGGGTTTTGCCGTTAATATCGCAATCTTGGATAATAACTGCTAAACAACGTCAACAGGTCAGTGCGTGTCGTGCAACATGTGAAAAAGCTGAAGGTCTTTCCAGAGAAAATGCATATTTCGCTGCAGTAGTTGTGCACAATTTTTTGTCTCTGCATACGTGCCCCCATTGCTTTACAGCGTCGCTATACGCTGCATGTACCTCCTCCTGCTTTTTCTGCTACTACTCATGGTGTACTTTCCGGTCGTGTACAGTACGCCCGTAACACGACACTTACTGTGCAACATGCACTTTCCCATCGCGTTCGCGTGAGACGTTGACAACGCAGTGATGAATTTCCTGGATATAAATAATCGTTAGAAAGATACCATCGGACGGCGCTCCTTGTACATGAGAAAGATTTACAAAAATGATACCAGAGAAGAGGTGGATAATGTAGAAGAAGCACCAAGAACCGTCTTCCACTTGCTCTAGTACTTACTACAAATCGAAGTTTAAGGGACGCGATTGAAACTCATGCGTCAGCACTGACTTTTTGAAATCTAACAGAGTGAAGCGAGACCACGTGAGAATCTATTTACTGTAGTCTTTTGTTATTTTTGCAGCAGATGATGTGAAGAACCAGAACGGACTTCAACTTGGACTATCCGAGGATGCAATAGAAATTGCAACGATTTACACACGTTTTCAAATGAAAACTGGACATCAGGAAACCCCACATTCTTGCCCCCAAGACATACACATTACGAAGCGTATTTTCCCTGAGAAAAGGATGATATTGATAACGATTCATACGTAAATGATTAAGTGTTTCGTCCCGCATACACGGTAACTGTAGTTTCTATTAAGCTCTGAAGCTAGAGGACCACACAATCAATTTGAATTTTTTCTTAGGCGTTTCCGTTCTGTAAATTCGAAGTTTTTCACAAGTGACCACTGGAGAAATCGTAGTTACAAGAAAATCACATTTTTTTTGCCGCCAGTTAGAACCTTCACAACTGTCATATCAATCTGCAAGCAAGGTTCCCGTTCCGATTGAGCGTTCCTTCTTGCTCTGCGGCATACGGAATCGTAATTCAGAAATTCTCCACCTATTGAGAAGACAAGCCCGATACGAACGAAATCGAGTATGGTCATAGTAAAGTTTGGTCTTCGTCTCCGTTCACAAACGTGCCCCTCATGACTCTGTTGCTGTATGAAGAACCGGAGCTAAATTCGTACCTGTAGTGTCGCATATGATTTGTACAGCTTTTTTCCTCTCTAACTTGGCGAATGGAGCTGGCTTATAAAGGACACATTATTTTTTAGGCTCATACTAGAAGCCAGCTACGAGCATAAGGCGTGACCTTGCTATTTCTAGACGGATTCTAAAAACATGTGAATAAATTTAGATCGATAATGCACAGAAGATAATACCTACACCTAGAAAGTCTAATCAAATCCGCACGCTCTATGCGAAAGACACCAATTCCGAGCTATAACTCTCACTCTAGAATCGCGAGGACGACCGGCTGAATCGGAAATTGATACACGGAAGTTGTTTCCGCGCAAGGATAACCAAACGTGGAGACAGCCCTGGTTTACGGAACAGCGCACACTACAGCAGCCGCAAAAATGATGTGGTCGTCTCGGCGTCCACCGCCGCAGGGGCGTTTGCTCGAGGACGAGCGCGACGATTGTTCCGCAGCGGTTGACCCTCGTTTCGACCGGTGGCGGGAGAACCTGCAAATCAACTTCAGCAATGGAATTCCCGTCGCACCATCTTCGGCGAGTAACGGGATGAGGACGAACAGTGTGAGCACCACACTCGTGTCGACGACGAGTCTGAACGGAGGTATCGCATCTGGGGCCGAGCAGGATGCAGCTACCGGTAGTAATGGTGACAAGACGCGAAGTTTCGCGGCCCTACAGAAGTTCAAGAACAGTGGCAACGACCTGTCCGACATTCCGGACGATTTTGTGCTGCCGACCGGCTCCGTGAAAAAGGGCCAGAAGTACTTCAAAAAGTACTGTCGCCAGTGCCACAGCATCTACAGCGATAACCGAGCGAGTCCATTCGTCCAACCGCTAGGCCCCACCATGTTCGAAGTGTGCGGACGGGTAAGTACTATTTTTAGTCAAAGAGTGATCGTGTTAATTATTAATGATTTTTGTCTCTGCTTCCGAGATTTGGATTTCTAATATGTTCTTTGAGGACCACACGACCCACGGCACTCAGATTGATCAGTGAAATTTCTCGATTCAGTGCTACTTCCGCAGCGCAACTTGCGCAAAGCAGTATGCTTCTGAATGTTTACTAACAAAAATCGTTTTCGACTCAGGCATCCGGAATGGAAGAAGGTGCAATCCGCGAGCTGAATGAGAATCGTCGTGCCTCGGATATTCTTTGGACGGACGCCGCCCTCATGAACTACATGAAGAATCCGCGTCTCACCGCCGGCGGGCCGACGCAAATGTCCTTCCCCGGAATTCGAAACATCCAGATTCGGGCCGATATCGTTCACTACCTCCACACCCTGAACGCGGAACAGAGCCCCGAGTTGGTCAATTTCAACTTCAACCAGGGAAGGCGGTTTCGATAAAAAAACGAGATACGAAGGTAGAAAATTTAGCATAGCACGGACGTGGACTCTGACGTTTCTAGTTTCGAGCAACATGATCACCCCCGCGGTGGATGAAGAAAAGCAAAACACGATGAAATGGACATAATCTCCCGGCTCGTGCCTCCACAGCAGAAGGCGGGCATATCATGAAACTTCTTCTACCAGTGTCTGTAAAGGATTTCACTCGTGTACGTGTTCGTGGTTCGCTCGGCTGCATTTTTTGCAGGGCGTCGCGTCAAGTTGAATTTTCAGTTATCCTCTTCTTGCGTGCTTGAGTTTGTTCGTGTTTAATCGATCGTTGATCGTACTGCGAAAATTCTTCGTTTCTTTGTACAAAACTCCATCGTGCAAAACTATGCGTCTCATCGTCCTCCTTCGTTCTTTTTCATTAGAGGTAGTTTTCCGGTTCCCTCGTGCTTCATCGTTGTGTTTTCTTCTGAATCGTGGTCGTGTTTGTTGGCACGACAAATATTGGCTGGCATGACCTGTCTAAGTAGCTTGACGATTGTGGCGACAAGCAATTTTACATACACAACTTGCATACCACAAGCAATTTTACATGCCAATTCCTTATGGTTATGATGGTTTGTCAGCGACCTCGTCTAAACCTCCAACGACAACAGGTCCTCGTGAAGATAAACAGGAGTTGCGTTATCTTATCCGTAGCGAATTCGGGTTTAGCTTTAGGGTTTAGCTTTAGGGTTTGTCTAGGCTTTCGGGAAGCTTCAGCTTCGGCAAAAGTATTTTTGGGAATCCATCGCGATCTCCAAAGTCGAAATTTCTTGAAAAAATGTCGCACGCCCACGGTGCGAGCGACGCGGATCCTTTCCGGACCATCTCGCTTTTCAATCTCAGTGGGAAGAAAGTTGAGAAGCGTATTGACACGTCGTCTGGCAAAACGGAGAAAGTCAAAGACCTTGCCACTGTGGAAATACTCGGCGATTTTTTTCATGAAGAAGAGGAAGATCCCCTTTTTCCACCATTGCATCGTGTCAGATGGATAAGCGTAGGACAAGACGATCCTGATCCATCTATTGGTGAGGAGCCACCCGCGGGTGAGGATGAGGGTGTTGCTTTTGAGTACGAGCGTGATGATGACGGGTTTTCGGATGAAAGCGCACTTCTTCCCGATACCGCTGCGGAGTCATCCAAAGGTGTTACTGGCGAGGACGAACACGAAGCTCGTTATGATGACGGGTTTTTGGATCACAACTTACTTGTGGCGGATTTGCCGCATGCGTTCCAATTTGTTATCGTGCCGGAGCCGAACCCGTTTTGTCCGCGCGAAGATGGGGAGACGCGAGAAGCTTGGACAAGACGTTTTGAAGAATGTTTGGCACGCGAAGACGAGTCGGTTTCGCTAGAGCAGGCCCGGAGCTTCATTTACGACTGCGACCACCTCAATTTTAGCAGAGACAGCTACCGCTTGGCACGTGAATTTTTTCCGGCTCCTGACCCTGGTTGTGTGTTTCCCTCGAACGAAGACGAAAGGGAGGCGTCAGACGCATGGCTTCGCATCCGGGATGAAAACTCTGCCGCGATCGATGTCGAAGAAGAAGAGGATGATGATGATGATTCTGACTCTGAAGCGGAGTCTGAGGAAAACATCCCAGACTCGTACTACTCACGCTCGTACGCAGCTTCAGACTCAGAGTCTCTCTCTAACTCTGAGGTCCAGAGTCCAACGAGCGACAGCAGCAGGGACGACAGATCCAGTGAGTCGGATGACGGTGGTGCTGACGACGGAAACCGTTCGTCGTCCAGCCGGCTGCGCGATTCCACGGAGCGCGAACCGTCGTGCATGGTGCACGAGACGGAAAACGCGATGTCGACCAAGGATATTAGGTCGTTGAACGAAGAGAAGCCACAAATTCTTGGTGAGTTAGAAGAAAGCGAGGCTTGTTTTACTAGTGATGACGAGTCTTCGTCGTCCGGCTCTGACTCTGAGGCTTCCCCTCACTCGTTGCGAGAGCTAGTCGAGGAGCGAAATGGGATTGAGAAAGCAACACGCTACATACGCCAACCTCTAGTAGACTACCACCAATTAACGTTAACCGAGCCGCGCTTTCTTCTCAAGGCGTACCCGATTTTTCTGCAAGCAGTTTTCGAGTTGCCCCGTGCGGAGATGCGCAAGCACGCACGGACGTCGGACGGGCGCTACTTCACGGAAATTCTGATGTTGAAATTTGCTCGGCGCGCTCGACGACGATTGTATTTTCCTGAACGACCGGAAGAGAAACGGGAGGAGGAGCCGGAGCGACTGACTCGCGCACCCTGGCTTGTGCGGCTCCTCGCACTCTCAAATCTCAACGGGCGCGAAACAGCAGAAGAACTTGTCGCTGTCCTTGTTTCGAGATGGTTCCTCGAAAATGCTTATCCTGATCGGTATGTTAGTCATGAAACTCCTCTCTACACGCTGCTCAACGACGAACATTTACGCACTTCCGGCTTGCTGGAAATGATTGCGCAGGATCTTTTGCGAACCCGTGAACAAGATGACGGCAAGCGCGCTCGTGATTTTTGCGCATCTTTGGCGGCGTCAATCTTTAGTGCCAAAGCTGTAAAAAAGCAGCTGAAGAAGGCGGTAATTGCCGACACAATGGACTTCGACGGAGTCTCTTCTTCTAATTTCAGTAAAGTACAGCAGTGGGCGAAAGGCGAAATCAAGATGTCCGGCAACTATGTGTTGAAGCGAATGATTGAAGAGCCTGCCGAGCACCTTCCACGAGTCGTCGACTGTCTGACCTTGAATCTCGAGCTAATCCAGAACGCGTTGCGGAGCAACTTCTATTTCTATGACTTCTGGGCAAACGTGCGTGACCTGAACTACCTAAAAAGCCGCGCTGCTTACCCGTCTGGTTTGCGAACTGTTCTGGTCAATGAATTCAACCTGCCGTCGTACTACGCGAAGAGACTGGCAAGGACTTTAGACTTAGGAAGTCCTCTTGCAGGTAGTGCGCTTCAGGATGTAGAAGATCTGTGGAACCGGCACTGGCGGTGGCGCTCCTTTGGAGAGCGGGAGAAAAAGGAAGCATATTGCGGTATATCCATACGAATATAAAGGTACCGAATGCTCATGAGCTGTAGCCCACAGCCTTTTCATTTGGCTTTTTGAAGTTCAAACTTCGGTCAGAAGCTGTTGAGTCGTGGTGAGATCGGAATCGCTCGGCTTCGGGACAGACATGCACTACGTGATGGATGCGCGCCCGTGCGCCTGCGTGCCGGCACTCGCGGCTGAACCGCCTTGCTATATACGAGAAAATGAAGCGACTTATACTCGCATATTTGCGCATTGCCCGACCGCCCCCGGCGCGCAGCGAGAGTAACTACAAGAGTAATGCTCTGAAAGTAGATCTAGACTCTTTTATTTTGTTGACGCCAAATTCATTGAAATTACAGAAGGAGAAGCCGAATCGGAACCGGAAGCGACCGGAGGTCAACGCCGGTGGAGCGTCGACGTTGCGATCCAGCTTCTGAATGAGAAGGCAGATAGAGACGAACTTCGCTGGCAAAATGCAGATGGCGACGCATTGCGTCCGGTCACGTTTCTAATTCAAACAGAAGAACCGGAATGGGTACTGGAAGAAAATGCCAACCCTCTGCACAAGCGAGAGCCTGTCGCAAAGAAGTTCAAGACATTGAATGGAATCGCATCCCCCGGAATGCAAGCCGCACTACTGGACGACCGCGTCGACAAGCTCACTGAAACTCCGCCGCGATCGTCAAGCTCTTCTATTAATGCGATGACGTGCCGCGTTTCCCTGGAACGTTGGGAGGAATACTGCGCGGCAAGAAAGAGCCCGACCTTTCCAATTCAATTTGACGAGGTGCGTCGTTTTATCGGTCTTGCAGACGACACGAAAACCGCAGAGGAATGGATGGAATCCCTAAAACAGGCGTCCGCTGTGTTGCGTGCTCCCTTCCTTTCGGCTTCCGAAGAGATGAAAATTCGTGCAGTGATCGCAGGTATCGGAAAACGTGACCAGTTCCACCAGATACGCGACGACTCGTCTGAAAGCTACTCAGATTCTCGCGATGAGCTTGCGTCTGAAAGCCGCTCAGCCGATGGACCTGATCGCCGGTGGTGACACTCACGACGCTGATGCACTGGATGCAGAGCCCGTAAGTAGTCGATCGGGTTAGTTTCAACTGCCACGAGGGCTGGCGCGTACGGTAAACGCGGCGCGATGCATCATGGTAGAAACCTTGTCAAAGACATATCGATATGGCAGGCTCTGAAACGTTTCTAGGGTCTAGTTTGACCACTGCGTGGCGCAAGAGATCTGCGTATATTTGTCGAAATTACAATTATCATATTTCCAGAACCGAGAGCAGCGCATGGACTTCACACCAACGGACTTTGTTCATGTTCGCGCTTTGCTCGGCTTCATTCGCAGGATCTCGTGTCTAGGTCGTCTTTCGTTACTGCGTCTTGTTCATCTTCATCTTTTTATTTCCGTTCTTCTTGTTTGATCTTTCGTCCTACTGCAAAGATCCTTCCAGCTCTGTACAAAACTAGCACGTCGTACGTAACCAATACGCGTCTCATCGTCCTCCTTTTCATCGTTCATTAAGGCTAGTCTTCGGGTTCCCTCGTGCTGCATCGTTCTGTTTTCTTCTGAATCGCGTTCGTGTTTGTTGTCACGACTATTGGCTGGTGTGCCGTGTCTGAGTAGCTTGACGATTGGGGCGACTAGCAGGCTTGCTTTTACATACACAACTTGCAGGTCTAGTAAATCCCAAAAGGCAACTCCTGCCAACTACGACTACAAACTGATTTCTTCTATTGCTAAGCGTGCAGAAGTTTTGCTCACCCAAAGAAACACCAATAAAAAGATGTCGGCCGTCGCTCGTCCGGGTAGCGCCACGGCGCTGCCAAAGCCGAAGGCCAAGGCGAAGGCGAAAATCGGGCCGCCGAAGCCGCCCGGTGATGTGGACACGATGATTTGCGGCCGCGGCCAGTATATCAAATGTAAAAATGTCTGGGTCTGGAACAAAGCAACTTGTGATGCTGAATTTGGATTCTACAAAAATCTGTATTGCGTGAACAGCAAAAGAGGTCCAGTTTTTGCAACGGCGAGAGGGCATTTCTCATGCAGTATAGGCATCAGGAAGCCCTCGCAAAATCTGTGATGCTAGAGCATGCATGATAGACATCACGGGCCATGCAAAATGTGCATGACAAGCCTTGCAATCTTCCAGACCCAGACACTTTTGCACTTGATACAGTACCTGCAGAAGACCGGCGCGGATAGCGTCCGCCACACCGCAGACGAGGACGGGAAGACCTTCGGCCCGTTTGCGCAGGTCTTTTGGGGCATCGCGGAGCACATTTCGGAGGACGTGCAGGCCCACTACATGGCGCCTCTGCTCGGGGACGAAAACAAGGGCAACGTCTGTTTGCTGTTCTTCGGCGAGGACTCCTTCAAATCCGAATTTTTCGGCGACACCCACATCCTCTTGCAGAAAGTCGCAATGGGCCTGAAGGAAGAAGCAGCGGGGGGGTTGAAGGTACTACTTTATTTAACACCTTAGATCGTTCCTTTCGTGCATCTGACTGTTGTAAATGCGCTATTCTTTTTCGCATGATCTACATCGTAATCGTATCAATTTCATCCATTTGCGCCCGAACGAATACGAAAAAAACTCGCTTCTCAGGTGCAAATGGTTTTCTGCGCCACAACGAACGAGCTGACGGATGTTCTCGACGGTGGCGCCAAGCTGGACGCCAAGGAATTTGATTCCGCTACGGGGGCCCACAAGAGCGCGACCGCGATGACCATCAGCTCGCTGTCGAACACGCAACTGAAGGACTTTTTCGCGACGACGTACAGGAAGCCGGACCCGCTGGGGTCAATCTTTTACTACTTCAAGACCCCGAAGCGCTTGGTCACGGTGGTGGATTTTTGCCCCGAGTACTCCGTGGGCCGGCAGCTGGCGACCGACCAGCAGGCGAGTTTGACGTTGGTCGAGGCGCAGTACTACCTGTTATTCGGGGAAATCCGAGAGGCCCAGAACATCGCCTCCAACTCCGCGGTCGCGGCCTTGAAGGCCTGCATGAACGTGGTGTTGAACAAGACGCAAACGACCAAAACGGGCGTTTTCTACTGCGTCAACGGCGACGACGAGCACTGCAATGCGACGTTGGAGCACGCCCGCTGCATGGTGGAGAGTCGGGCGAACCCGGCGGGCACTGCGGGCGCCGCGTTTTCGCTGTTTGCCGACGCGCTAAACACAGAGCTGGCACGGATGCAAAACGATTTGAGCACTATGATCCCGGATGGTGACCAGCGGGCCGGTGTGTTTTCGGAACCGCAAACGGGCAGCCGGAAGTCGCTACTGTACGAGGATTCGCGCGCCGCGTCCGCGTTTTCCCACACGGAAGGGGGACAACTACTGCAGAAGATGCGCCAGCTGCGAGACCGGCCGGACATGTTGAGCAAACTGTTGACCGCGCCGCGATGCGAGCTCTTTGACGGGTATCAAAAGTCGATCATGCTGGAAAAGGAGGTGCAGACAAGAGATACGGAACTCAACGAAGCGCTAGAGCACGAGAACGAACTGCAGGAAGCCAGTCACCACATGAGCGAGATGCTGCTCGCGGCCACGGACGAGCTGGAAAAGACGAAGAAGGAACTGGTAGAAAGCCAGAAGGCCAACGCAAAACTGCAGAAAGATGTCGCGCAGATGCGAACGGAGAGGGCGGAAATCGAGCAGCTACTTTCTACGCAAAACGCGGAGATGAGACAGCTCATGAAGCAGGCACAGCAATACATGAAAAACATCTACAACACAACGCATTGAAATTGATTGCACTCGCATTTTTGTGGAGAATCCAGCCACGACGCCCATGAAGATACAACTACAGTTTTTTGTACCCAACCAAACTCGAAATCTACGTCACTAGCAAGCGCCGAAAATTTCTACGACGCTTGACGTGGTCCTTCTCTCCCCGCCTACCCCGATAATTTGCATTCATCGCAAACTCCCTGCTAGAAAGACGGTCATTCGATCTTGATGTTTCAAGGTGATACCAACGTCCGACTCCAATGTTGTTTTACTTTTTTTGTAGTTTGCATACGCATTGGTACTAGTGGTCGTCATACATAGAGTTCAGTTTCTGACATACTCGTCGTACCATCTGAAAGTATTTCTTATTCTTTGCTCCTCCATCCTTCGCCTTCCTGTGACTTTTGCTTTTCTTCTTCACATTTCGATATTCGTCTTGGTGATTTGAAATCTATGCGCACTGTGTCTCATCCCAAGATTCGCTGTGAAGCATCTATATTAGCTACGTTGTCTCAGGACGAGGATTTTGGCTCCCTGTTGTTCTAGTAGTTGCCTCTTATGTCTATGCGCTTGCAGTGCGATGACTATCATCATCTGCCACTACTTCTACTTGAACTTGTCCTACAGTCGGTTGATCAATATCGGTCATCTCCATCAAAAATGTGCCTCTGGATGGTACGAGTCTCAATCTGTTTTTTTTCCCAAATTTGTCGTGAGTAGAAGGATCTATTAAGCTTTAGCTTAACTATTGCAAACATCGGTACTACTAGGCACTCCGCGGCCTGCTCTGTAGCAGGAGAGCTGAAGTCTATGTTAAGTCAGTCCAGTAAAAGAGTAGAAGCTTCGCCCCGAAACATACAAGGCGAAGCAAGGCGTCAACTTGTTTCCCGGCACACTCGTATCGGAACGGAAAAGTAAGAGCACTCGCCAGAAAAACGCATTCTAGACCAGGGGGACACGCAGACCTCGTCAAGAACTAGAAACTCGTTTGGTAGGTAGCTAGTACAACTTAAGATCACTACAAATTCGTTGCACACGACCATAGAGTAGAACACATGTCTTCTGCCTCCTCCACAGCCCCCATGGTGCTTTCGTGGGACGGCCTCGCGAAGGAGGACGGATTTTCCCGGGTAATCAAGGCCTACTACACCGGAAAGGAGGGAAAGGAAGTACCAGAGGGTCTCGACTACGCGATGACAATTTTCAAGTACAAGGTCACCCCGGAGAAGGTCGCCGTTATCGTGTGGGACAACCCGACAAAGTTCAACGCCCTGGATTGGACGACAAATTGGGAAATGCTGCTGATGCTGGAGTTCTTCGAAAGGAGCGACAATGTCCATGTTCTACTCTGGGTCTCCTCCACCAACAAGGCCTTCTGCGCCGGGGCGGACGCGACGGGGCCGAAAAGCAAGGTCCCGAAAGACATCATGGCGGGGTACAAGAAAGTCAGGAAAGGTATCTATGTATAAGATATAGAGCGGGGTAACAAATTCTGGCGATTTGTGGTCATCCCACTTTTCACCCGCTCGGCCGGGTGGGTGAAAAGTGGGACGGAATCGGATCCACGCGCACGCGAACGGAGAAAAGCAAGATCCGGCCAGTCGGTCAGGATCCTGATTCTGTCCCACTTTTCACCCACCCGGCCGGGCGGGTGAAAAGTGGGATGACCACAAATCATCATAATTTGTTACCCCGCTCTAAGCGAGTTGATGTTTTAGTTTTTCGCTCGGCAAAGTAGTGTGTACAGAGGTGTTTCAAGCCGTGGGCATTCATGCGCGAACAACATTATATCGACCGCATGTTGATGTTCCGATCCATCTATGTAGGTCTGTGCGAAGATTTTCCTGACGGGGAGGACCAGGCGCAGATTGATTTCGCGCTGAAGGGGCTGGTTCTCCGGTTTCACACTTTTCCGAAAATTTCCGTCGTCGCTAGCACCGGCGTGGCGGTCGGCGGTGGTGCCAACATTGTCCTGATGCTGCACGACTTCGTTTTTGTGGACGGAAAAAGCACGTTCCGGTACCCTTTTACGGAACTCGGAGTCACCGGAGAAGTGTCCAGTACCTTCGTCTTGCCAAGGGTGCTCGGCAACATTCGCGCAAAGGACTTGCTGATGTCGGGCAGGTAGAGATTGATTGCCGTCTGTTTTGTACGCTAGTACTTGTTCAACATGGGAGAATGGAAAATTTTCACGACCGAAAGAAGCAAAGCCAAACGCAAACTCAGCTCTGAAAGTTGCATTTAGCACATGTTATTCGATGTCAGGTGGTTTTCCGGCGAGGAGTGCGTGAAGCAGAATCTCGCGACCCAGCTCTGTACAGACCAAAAACCTCTGCTCTCTACCGCCTGCGAGTTCGCGACCAAACTCGCGAAGAGTAGTCAGGTGTCGCTGCGAACCAACAAGCAGCTGATAAACCGGCAGACCGACGAACTGCTCACGGCACAGATGAACAGTGAGCAGCGCGACTTTATCGCGTGTATGATGGACCCGGAAACGCAGAAACTCTGGATGGCATTAAGGGAGAAAGTAAACAAGAACAAAAAATTAGATTCGAAATTGTAGAAAGCAAAGCAACAGGAACAGAAACAAGGCAGCAGACCCTAGCGGGCGTGTTGATGAAAGAACAATGGCGCGACTCGCAGTAGATTTTGCCGCTCCCCTGTACTAGCAAGGTATATTCGCTAGTACTGCGGGTCCGGGTATCACCTCTGTCGTGCTTCGGTCAACCGTTGTGCTCGTCTCATGACACTATGATCATGTTCTCATCCTCAGTCTGTGTGCAAGTGCATCGCCTTTCGGTTTAAGTAGTATAGAACAGCACTATAGCAGCTACAGTTGCAGCAATGAACGTTTTGTTATTGCGCCATTTGCTTCGAAGGGTTATGATCATTATCTGGCGATGTGGATTCTGCTAATATGAACATCATCGTTGAGCGGGCAGTGTGACGAGAGAATATTAATATGGGCATGGGGAGTGCTTAAACTGAGAATAAAAATGGCTTTCGTACTAGTAGGTAGCGCGATACAAAGTGCTGGTGCTGGTGCGTACCGCATATTTAAATGGCAGGTGAAACATCAATTACCCCAAAAGTGATTTAAGTACCCGAAGAGTAGTTCCTCGAACACGAGAAGATCTAGCCGACGTATTATTCTCGTCGAAAAAGAAGTTCACAAACAACACAAATTTGGTAGACCAGCGAAACTTTTTTTTATTCCGAGGAAACAAATAAAACAACCGGGAGTCTCGTTGTAGAAACCAAAAAAAAAGATGGTCGAGATCGTGTGCCCGCCGGTGGACGTGGAACCGACCAAGATCATGGGTGAGGCCGGCGGCCCGCAAGCCAAGGCTTACATCACCAAGTTTGAGGGTGGCCGTCAGGCGATGCGCATCTACATCGACGGCGGGTAGTCAGTTTCAGCTTTGTTCATCGTGCTGGATGAAACAAGAACTTCTTTCGATATGAGAAAGCTACTGCGAAGCGGAGATAAAATAAAGACACACGCGCAACAAGTGGTCCATGAAGATGTCTCTGTTAGAGAGCCACGCTGAGGTGGATCAAGATGCGTAGAGGTTGTTGGCTGCAACCAAATCTGCCACGCGCTTTCTAAACGGCCGCCAACGTAGTTGCACACATTGCTATCGCCCGGCCACGTCCATGCGCGCGCTGCCCAATGAATGGTTGGAATCCCACACAACCAGGCCGCCAATGACGCGATTTGAAAGCAGATGACGGTGCCGGTTGATGGATGTCGTGGCAGCCCTCTTCGGAGGGAGAAGTTGATTATGGTGGAGGAAGCAGGTAAATTGTAGCCCTGTGCTGATGTTGGCCTTTCAGGAAGATGAGGAGGTGACTTCTTTCTTGAAGATTATCGTGGTGGACCACGAGACGGGGCGCCACGCACGGGCCTTTTATTTCATTGCCTGCCATCATTGCTAGAACTGCTACGTGTACGTGTAGTACCTTGCAATCGCTCTTTCCAGAAGTGCTGTCCTTTGATTGTTCCTGTCTTCTGCTAGTCGGTCTCGCTCTCGCTGCAATTCACTCGAAGTCGAAGACGATTGATTTCCAGTTCGAATAAATATACGAACCCAGGTTTGATTGGAAAAAGTCCGTGGCTCCGATGCTGCCGGTATCAAGTGTAAAAATGTCTGAGTCTTGAAGAATGCAACTTGTCATCCTAAATCTGAAGCATACAAAAATCTGTGTTGCATGATTACCAAAAGTCGTCCAGTTTTGGCCAAGTCGGGAGGGAGTTTCTCATGCAGGATAGGCATGAGAGAGAGTGCACAGAATCTGTCATGTTAGGTCCTGCATTACAGACCTCATGGGTCATGGAGAAGCTGCATGACAAATCGCGCGGTCTGTTAAGCATGACAAATCGCGCGCTCTTCCAGACTGACCCAGACATTTTTACATTTGATAGCCGGGCTGCCCGGACTGGTGCCCCGCGACGCACTTCGGATACTTAGAAGCTGGGGAGATGTATCCCACAGAAAAAAGCTGGCAGGTCACATTTGTAATGCAAAAATAAATACACAAAAATGAAATCTGCATTGCGTATCCTAAACAGCATGCTATGAGGCCGCCCATATTTTTCTGTGTATTTATTTTGGCATTACAAATAATATGCCCTGCCAGCTTTTTTCTGTGGGATAAGATGGGTATCAAGATGCAGGACGGAACTGAGAAAACCATCAAGGCGGGCGAGACGTACTTTTTTCGTTTTCTTGAACAAACGAAAAGACTGTTTTGTCTTCTTCAAGGTCCATAGTTCTCACAAACGAGATCGGGACATGCGTCGTGCTGCTACATGGGCATGCGATGAAGACATCCCATTTAATAAAATCGTAAATTCTTTCAAGAAAGTACTTGAAATACTCATCAGCTACATGGTGCCCCCGGGCCACCTGCCCATTGTGACGGAAAAGGCGGTCATGGTCGAATTCTCGCAGGACACTACCTACACCAACGACAAATTTATCAAGGGCGAGAAGGAGGAGGGCAAGTAAGTCCTCCGGTGGAAATTTGGTCAACTGGTTTGTGATCACTTGGACTGAAGAACACAGAAAGAAAACCGTCTGTCACTTTGTAAATTTCCTTTTCATCTCTATGTATGAATTACAAAGTTGAAGTAGGAGAAGATGCTATCGCGTTAGCGTTAGTGCTACACAAATAAATCTCAATGAGTTTGTAAACAAAATCCGTCGACAAATTTTAGCTCTCGACAAAGACAACTAAGTACCTTCCTGCCCGGAGATTGTTTTCGAACCGAACTTTTTAGAAAGGGCGCCGCTTCTTCGCGTTGCTCGAGGAGTACGGCGACGACCTTGACATGTAAAAATCATCTCTTCGTTTCAGTTTCACGGCGAGATCGCAACAAACAAAAGTAAAAGAATACCGTGCGGCAGCTCCCAAAAATCATAGAAGTTTCTATGGGCGGTACCTGTGGAGGTACCGCTTGATTCTGAAGAGCACATCAACTCGGAATATCATAGGCGCAGTTTTTTTCTTGCAAACTTCTACTCTGCGAATTCTGAAAATGATTTGCTGGGAGAAAATCACTTGAGTTTCTCTTGTTGATGTTAGATAGAAAAGCTACGGCTACTAGCCTCTCATAGGTACGCAGCCAAAGCGCAAATGACGAACGTCAAGAACCATTCGGCGGTGAAAGCCTTTTCTGATTCTGATATATCATGACCCCATTCAAAAAACTGGTGTTGGGGCAAGAGAATTATGACAATGCGCTTGTCAGTAGTTTTATTGCAAGCAAGAACGTAAAAAATGAACTTCGACGCGTTCTCCACCTTCTTTGTAGTTCATTGATGAATGATCTAAAATTTTCGTATTTCCCTAAGAAACTACTTAGATAAAGATCCGGATCCCAATCCGATGGTGCGATCCTCATTGGATTCGTTTGTCTGTTGACCGGCTTGCCGCAGCACGGGTAGCAGGGAGAAAAAAGAAAACCTGGTCGCAAGTCGAAGATCGTCACCTTGGCAATTTTTTTTCAGATCATCAATGTCCACAGATGCTCCCAACGATCCTGTGACTTTCACTGTCAATCGATCGAAGAACGAAGACCCGACTACCGACTAGGACCACTACGTGTTACTCGCAGGCTTGTCTCAACAGCTACTTTGCTACAACTTCTTACCACTCACACTCTAGCTCTACACAAACTACAATAACTTACTATACACACTTCCTCTCGTACTTAGAGCTAGACTCTGTCGTTGCCCCGTACCACAGCGCACACGCATACACACTACGACAGACGGTCGTCAGATATCAAGAAGATGATGGTCCTTCGACTTCTGTGGGCCACCGCGGCTGGGCACCAGCTTCTGATGGCGCAAACAAACATCATTTCAGTTCAGGCCGCCTCCAGCATTCCTTTTGACAACGTCGAGGGTCAGTGGGTTCAATACCTGGAAGCCAAGGGCTGCCCGTGGCACTGGCAGGTTGTGACGCGGGAATTTCCAGGCGGAGATGGCTTTGAGATGTTGGGCCGACTTAATAGTGGAATAGCCGCGATGAAGTCGCAAGGATATCGGGACATCACGCTAGTTGCGATCAGTCCTGAAGGCGAGGAGTCCCGCCTTAATATGAATGAAGAAGAAGAACAAGGTCTACAACCAACTACAGATGAGCTCAGGGAGCAGCTCATGGAGCAGCTGCTGGAGAGGCATCCCGAAGAGCAGCTGCTGAAAGCTGAGCTGGAAAGGAGGAGAAAGTTGGAAAAGTCGAAACAAAATGCTGGCGCCGCGTCCTCGGAGGGGGCCAAATCTGAAACGCGGTCAATCGGGAAAGTGGAGGAGCAAAAACCGAAAGAAAAAGCTGGCGCCGCGTCCTCGGAGAGGCAGGATAAGAGGAAGAACAAGAAACAGGGCATCTTTGGCTTCGCGAGCGGTTTTTTGGAGGAACCGGGGGCTAAAGCTAAACCGGCCGCCAAATCTAAAAAAGTGCGCTTCGCACCCGAAAATAAAGTGGAGAGCGGAGCTCCTGCTGATGCGAATCACGCCGGATATCCCGGGTCCTCGTCGCGCATTGGCACGGGGGGCCAGAAGCGTGCAGCCACCAGCAAGTCCGAGCTCTTAGTGGGAGGTCGTGAAGACGTGACGATTGATGAGGATATGAACAAGATGTTCGCAAAATTGATGTTGGCGGGGTCTAATAGTGATTGATGTTGAGGGTGTCTTTACTTAAAGGAAAGAAAAGGCACTATCTAGAGAACTCAAGATGGCTGCTACGGCTAGCCTTTTAGAAGAAGCGATGAATTATACTTCTCTGCTCGTCGTGTATGATTTAATTCGAACCGCAAGAACGATATTAACATGTAGTTGAAGATACGGGCATTACATACTAGACTCTACAGAAACACAAACAACTACTAACTATCTTTATACCAGAAAGCTCTCGAGTAGGCAGACAGGGCGACCAGAGTGTTGCTCTGTTGGAGAGGGTGACTCCAGTATAGCTACTGACGAAAATTACTTTGTTTGGCTGGTTCTCACCTCAGAAGTGCGGAACTGGCCGGCCTTTGTTGTGTCTCACCATCAGAAGTGCGAACTACGAGGGCCGGGGCGTACCACCTAAAAGTAAAACCTAAAGCTCCAAAATAAAAGATCGCGCTAAGTGTTCGAAAACTTTCGTTTTATCGCGTGACCCTACTAAAGATAAGGGAGCTGATTTACATCGCGTTTCGTTCTTCTCATAATCATGAATTTATACTTCTACCTTGAAGTCTAAGTCTTTTTGAGAACTACCTTTTCTTATTCTCGCCTGTACGTAGTTGCCGCACCCGCACCTCCCTCTTGAATTTGGAGTATTTCCACGGATGGTGGAAGGTGTAGCCACCTTCTGCTTCTTGTCCTTGGGCGCTACAGATATCAAACAGGAGCTGACAATTACTTTTTGAACAGAGAGATTTTGGCAACATGTGAAACGCGATAGGGCTTTGTCAGCGTTAAAAAACTGGACCACTGCAGATTAGCAATTATAAGCCGCTGCTCGATTCCATGGAGTTTGAGCGCGCACTTTTGTGATAAATAAAAAAAAGCGCGCGTGTGCCCTGTAGGCACGTATTACCTACCAGTCGTGCGTCCAGACAACAAAAACAGGAAAAAGAAAAACGACTATTGATCGACGCCCGGTAGCGCTTGCGGGAATTCCTCCGATTTTTGTTCCGACACCTGCATAGCATCCGACATCGTGAAGATCGAAGACCCAGAGATAGTGATAAAAACATCTGGCAGCTGTTTGGCGGCAAGGATTCTCACAGAAAAGACGGCTTGGTTTTACAACTAGCAACATTTCAAGGACATGAAAAAAAAAGAGAGAACGCATTTCAAGGACATGAAAAAAAAAGAGGCCCGCTGCTGTCCGCCGCCCGCCCAGGAGACAGCGGCGGCGCACTCCTGCAGCCAGTCTTTTGGAAGAAGACGGCCGCCGCCCTCCCCCGCGTGGGTGGGGGCAGGGTGGGTCAGGCCACCGACCGGGGGGGCCACGGGGCCGGGCGAGGGGGCAAGGCCGTGCTCTGGGGGAAGCTAGCGCTAGCGCGCTTCGAGCCAAGCTAGCAGCGAGGGCGAGGCGGCCCCGGATCAAGGTCTCGGCTAGGATGAAAAAAATGGTGGGGCGCAGCACTTTCGTAAACAAGCAAGCCGGGAGGTAGCGCCCTGGCAGGCCGACTCTCCCCCCGCCCCGGCCACCCATTGCGCCGCCCTCCCTGGCTTCGCTTGGTGGCGCGCCCCCTCGGCGCCAGCCAGCAACCGCGCGGGCGGGCAAGATTCGGGGCACGGTTGTTAGTTTCGATAGGGCGCGGCCGCCGCCCCTGCGCTCCGTCCAGCAGTGTCACTTCGGCGCCATCCCGCCCAACATGCGCAAGGAAAACGGGTGGGCCTTGTTCCCTCGCACGCTCGCCCCTAGCAGCGCCACTACGGCTACCGCAGGGCCTCTGTTCTTGTACCCCTCGCCCCTCGCGATGCCGCTTCGACTACGTCGACCGCTACCCCAACAACCTGAACGCCGACTGCTACGCCCACTCCGATTTCCACGCCTTCTTCTACACCTACTCCCACGCCTACCGCTGCGCCTGCCTCTACGCCTACGCCTACGCCTACGCCTACTGCTACGCCTACTCCTACGGCTACTGCCGCGCCTACTTCTAAACCTATTTCTGCGCCTACTTCTACGCTTGTGAACGCGCCTATTTCTTCCCCCACTCCTACGCCTACTTCTACGCCTGTTGCCACGTTTCTTGAGTTTTGCGCTTCCCTGTGCGCTTGCTTCTACCTCCGTGGCCACGGCGATGCCTCTGGCAGGGTGCATTCGCAAATGGCCCGGCTCCAGGCACTCGGCGCAGCCGACTTGCCCCCCCGTCGGTCCGTCCGTTAGGCCACTGAGGCTTTTTGATGCCGCGTCGGGTCAGTAGCAAGCCCCGGCGGAAGCTAGGGCCCATGGAATGTAGTCACTTTGCGTTTTCTTTGGGCCGGTTGTTTGCTTCATCCTTTCAAGCAACCGACCGCATGTGGACCAGGGACGGAGCGCGTGAAAGTCTCCCGGGCTCCATCCTCGCGGACTTCTATGCACTACATATCTACGGACGCTGCAAAATCTACAAGCCTTTGAGTCAGCTCGTCTATGTTTCTATGGTCCCTCAATTATGAAGAAGCTGCCGCGCCGTTGTGCCAACACGGCGGCGCGAGTGCAACATACATTTACTGTAAGAACGTGAAAAATGAACTTCCTAGTCTAGTTTAGCGACGAATCATGATCAAATAGTCCCTCGTATTTCCCAAAACTAGATCCGATGCGATCTTCCTGATTGGAGTCGTTTGCCCGCTCATTGGCTTTTCGAGGCACGCTTAGCAGAAAAAAGAACTGGACGCTGCAGCTGAGAGTCAAAGTTCCTCACCTTGGCAGTGTTTTTTCAGATCAATGCCGATGCCCACAGATGATGCTCCCAACGATCCTTTGATTTTCACTGTCAATCGATCGAAGAACGAAGAACCGACGAGGACCACTACCTCCTGTTTTTACTCGCAGGCTTGTCTCAGCTAGTTTTCTACAACTTCATACCACTATACACGAACAATAACTTACTTAAACTCCCTCTCCCGTAACTAGAGCTAGACTCTGTAGTTGCCCTGTACCACAGACACACACGCATACACACTACGACAGACGGTCGTCAGATATCGAGAAGATGATGGCTCTTCGACTTCTCTGGGGCACTGCGGCTGGGCATCAGCTTCTGATGGCGCAAACAAACATCACTGCAGTTCAGGCCGCCAACATCCCTGGTGCTGGAGGTCGTGCATCCTCGGGGCCGCGGGAGGACAAAAACGAGGGTAAGTTGTGGAATGCACACCTGCAGGCCGGCTCGGATTTCTTCTCGCTTGTTCGGGCGGATGGTGAGGATGAACCTGCGATGTTTGGGTTTCAACGACTTAATGAGGGACTAGCTTGGATGTCGACGCAAGGACATCAGGAGCTCACGCTAGTCACGGTCAGTCCTGAAGGCAATGCTACCAATACGAAAATGCGTCAACAAGGTCCAGCAAATCTAGGAATGCTAAGCTGGAAAGTAGTGGACGAGGAGGAAGAACCGGAACAAACTACTGGCGCCGCGTCCGCCTCGGAGGAGCACGACCAGGATGAGAGCACGAAGAAAGTAGACGGCATCTTTGGAGGAGGTGCTGGAGCCGGAACGCCGTTGGGCCGCCACGCCGTCACGCAGGCCAAATCTGGAACAATGTCAATCGGGAAAGTAGAGGAGCAAAAACCGGAAAAGCAGGATATTAAGAGCAAGAAGAAACAGGGCATCTTTGGAGGCGGCTTCGCGAAAGGTTTTTTGGAGCCGAAGGCTGAAGCTCAACCGGCCGCCACCCCGTCGAAGGACAGAAAGCCCGAATCTCAAAGAGATGAAGAAGCTTCTGAAGCGGCTCGGGAAAACCAAGACCGCGTCGTACTAGAAAAAGAGGAGAGCGGGGGAGCTCCTGCTGATTCGAAAAAGCACGGATATCCCGGGACCTCGGTGTGCACTGGCACGGGGAGCCAGGAGCCTGCAGCCACCAGCAAGTCCAAGCTATTAGTGGGAGGTCGTGAACAAGACCAAGACGTGACGGCGCGCTTCAATGAGATCGATGAGGACATGAAGATGTGGGAAAAATTGATGGCGGATATGGCGGAGTCTGATAGTGATGATGATGAGGGTGATGGCGTCGCGGCCCTCGTGGAGAAGCTGAACATGATCCGGAGGAAGTACGTCCCGCTCGCCCTAGAATCATACTCTGGTGGCTCCGCGAGCGGTTTTTTGAAACCGAAGGCTAAAGGTAAACCGGCCGCCACGCCGTTGGAGGAGGATCCCGAATCTAAAAGAGATGAAGGAGCTGAAGCGGCTCGGGAAAAGGAAGATCGCGTTGTAGAAAAAGAGAAGAGCGGAGCTCCTGCTGATTCGAATCACGGATGTAGTTCCGGGTCCCCGTCGTGCACTGGCACGGGGAGCCAGCGGCCTGCAGCCACCAACAAGTCCAAGCTATTAGCGGGAGGTCGTGACGTGCCGACGAGCGTCGATGATTGGATCTCGAAGCTTGCCAAATTTGGCCCTCCAGGTCCAGAGCGTTTGGCGATGGCGGAAAAACAACTGGAGGACATGATTGCAGAGCTGGAGCGGGACGGAGCCCTCAAGCCACGTGAAGAAGGTGGCATCCCAGATGAGCTACTCGAGTTGTATGCTAGGCACGGATTCGGGACTAAACCGGGAGAGCCGCAGTGGTCGCCCGAAAAAGTTGCACCCGAGGTGAACAAATGGGCGGCGGAGTACGCCGACAGGGTCATGCTCGCTCAAAAAAAAAAATCATCTGCTGGCCCTGGCACTGGCTCCGGAGGTTCTTCGTCCTCGCATTCGCGCGGCCCCGCGGACGACCCAGCAGGACTCTCGGAAACTTTGAGAAATCTCAGTCTCGATATGTTGGATAAGAAGTAAAAAGCGAGGAGTTAATATTGCTGGGACAGTACGTAGGGCCTTGGTGGTGGAGAGCAGATTCATTTAGAAGATACTGTCGATCTCGCCTTTGAGAACGAAGTGTTGTGCTGGTCTCAGGAAGCAAGCATAACAAGAAGAGAGGGGACTGAGTAAGAGAAAGAGGTAGGAGAACGAGATGGACGGAACTCCAGGTCGTGGTAGAAACTGCACTAAAGAAAAAGCACTAACACATCAAGATGGCTGCTACTGCTAGCCTTATAGAAGAAGCGATGAACAATACTTAGCTCGTGCGTCGTGTATGATTTGATTCGAATCGCAAGTAGGGGGATATTAACATTACTTAGGTGGAAGATAGGGACGCTACATAATAGACTTTACAGAAACACAAACAACTACTAACTATCTCGATACCGAGAAGCGAGACATGGTAGCCAGGGCGACTAGGGTGTTTCTCTGTTGAAGAGGGTGACCGCAGTAGAGCTACTGATGAAAATTACTTTGTTTAAGTTTGGCTGGTCCTCAACATAAAAGATCGCACTTTGTACTCGAAGAATTTCGCTTTATCGTATGGGTATGATCCTACCAGGGATAGGGGAGCTGATCTAGAAGATTGCGACTAGTTCTTCTCATAAATCTATATTTCAGACTTTTTGAAGTCTTCGAAAACTACCTTTTGTTATTCTCGCCTGTACGTAATTGCCGCAGCTCCCTCTTGAATTTGGAGTATTTCCACGGATGGTGGAAGGTGTAGCCACCTTCTGCTTCTTCTCCTTGGGCGCTACAGATATCAAACAGGAGCTGACATCAATTACTTTTTGAACAGAGAGATTTTGGCCACATCTGAAACTTGACGCAAGGGCTTTGCCCGCGTTGAAAAACTGGACCACTGCAGATTAGCAATTATAAGCCGCAGCTCGACTCCGTGGAGTTGGAGCGCGCACTTTTGTGATAAAAAAAATGTGGCCGTGTGCCCTGTAGGCACGTATTACTAGTGCGTGCAGATAACATACAAAAACAGGAAAAAGAACAACGACTACTAACCGACGTCTGGTAGCGCTTTCGATTTTTGTTCCGACACTTGCATAGCATCCGACATCGCGAAGATCGAACACCCAGAGATAGTGATAGAAACATCTGGCAGCTGTTTTGCGGCCAGGATTCTCACAGAAGAAAGATCGCAAGCGCTTGTTACATTTACTGTAAGAACGTGAAAGTAGATGAACTTCTTAGTCTAGTTCAACGATGAATCATGATCAAATAGTCCCTCGAGCCGATGCGATCCTGATTGAACTCGTTTGCCCGCTCATTGGCTTTCCGAGGCACGCTTAGCAGAAAAAAGAACTGGTCGCTGCAGCGGAGAGTCAAAGATCGTCACCTTAGCAGTGTTTTTTCAGATCAATGAATGTCCGCCGATGCTCGTCGTCCCAACGATCCCAGTGATTTTTTTCTACGCTCCGCATTTCCCTCTGGGATCTATTTTACGTACACTTTTCCATAAACTCTCTCCCTCAGCGACATCATGACTTTACGGACCATATCGACCTATCCTTTGTGATTCAACATTTCCCTTAAAACAATATGATTTTTCGTATTTAACACTTATCTCTCACGACCTCCACCTCCCCTTCGCGTCACTTCCCGTGATAAATGGTTGTGCTTCATTTGCTCTCTCTGTCTCTCCAAGAGTTGTAAAGCTAAAGCATGGCAAGCGGAGGCGCCCACACGGGCGTGGTCGAGGCCTTCGAGCGCAACCATGAAGCGACAATTTACGTGGGCAACATCGACGCCAAAATTGATGAGGACGTATTGTGGGAACTTTTCCTGCAAGTAGGGCCCCTGCAGTCGGTGCACACACCAAAGGATAAAATCACCGGAGTGCATCTAGGGTACTATTAAGTGGCCGCAGTTGACGAGACACAATTTTCTCAGCAGTACAAATAGTGGCATCTGGCGGGTCTGCATATGATTCTCACTTTTTTTCAAATCCTTTCACCACAGGTACGCCTTCGTCGAGTTCAAAAACGAGGATGATGCGGAATACGCTTGTAAGGTGATGAACATGGTCAAGCTGTTTAACAAGCCAATAAGATGCACCAAATCCAGCGCAGACCGAAAAACCCAAGATGTGGGCGCAAATTTGTTCATCGGGAACCTCGATATTGACTGCGAGGACAAGACACTGTATCTACTTACCTCACATTTCAGTTTTACTACCTCTTTTCACAGCACGAAGCCGTTGCATCATGATGAGTAGACTCCTCCTGCCTGCTGCTGCTATTGTGGCTGGACGCTAAAGCTCTCCCAGAGTGGGAGAAGTGCGCCCTTTTCGACGTGTCTCGAATACTTATCAGAATAAATAAAATGAAAATGAAAAACCTTCACCAGGTACGACACCTTTGCTTCCTTCGGGCACATAGTATTCGCGAAGATTATGCGAAACCCGGACCCACCATACGAAAGCCGAGGGTTCGCCTTCGTCTCGTTCGACAGTTTCGATTCCAGCGATGCCGCCATGGCCGCTATGAACGGACAATTTTTGGCCAACAGCCCAATCAATGTGTCTTACGCATACAAGAAGGACACTCGCGGAGAACGGCACGGTGACGCAGCGGAGCGATTGATTGCCGCCTACAAGCCGCAACAAATCGCATCACAGTACCTACCCGCACCGGAGACCCTTGGTACTGAAATTGATTCGAAGAGCCGCGGCTTTTTCATCTGCAATCGCTTACTTATGTTCGATGAATAAAGTATAATTACACGACAAATAAAGGTTAAGGTACTGCAACTTCTACAGTCGTGACGAAGATGATGTAAATTTTGATTTGAAAGAAACGTGGTTTCATTTTTCATAGACTGTAATTCTAAACCAACTCCAAAACAGCATCTGGCCAGGGTTTGGCGATTCCCAATGGTCCAGCACCTATGATCCGCGGAGGAGTCGCACCCGGCGTTGAAATGCCCGGAGCCGGGAAGGGCACAGGCCTCGGTACCGTCGCCGGAGCGCCACCACCGTTCCCGGGCACGAGCAAAAATGGCGGCATGGGCAACGGTGGAAAACAGTGGGGCAAGGGATGGTGAAGGAGCTACGTATAATAAGTACATCATCGCGAGCGCCGGCGCCGCACTTTCACTGTGAACAATGACAAGACTCCCCAATGAACTTTCGAGCGGCATACGTATCACGCAGAAGTATCAACAACCTCAACCGAAAAGCAAGAGGGTAGCGAGAGCTAATCTATATACCCGGCACGCCTAGAAGAGACGTGTTCTTAACTAGGCAAAACAAATAGATTAGGAGGGGGAAAAAAGCTCGCTATTCAATTTTGGTCACAAAATGGTGTGGTCGGTGCTCCTCTCTCGAGTGCATTTTCTTCCATATCTGACTCACTTTCGGTCGTTTTGCGGACGATAAAATTTTCGGTTTTTTGAAGATCGACTTCTTATCAATCTGATACGATTTACATGCCTTTTTTGCTGACTTCGTTTCTACTTTGATTCGCTCCTGATTCATTTCTGTTCCATCACCCAGGCCAATAGCAGCTCCAGTGTCCCAAAGAACATGTAACCCTTTCGCCCTCAGCTTTTGTTTTTGTTTTACTATGTATACTAGTTACAACGCACCGGCACTTTTTTTGCATCTTCGTTGTTCATTTTTTTGCAACTGAATTTCGTATATTGTTTCTTCTGTGCCCGACCCCGCATCCGCAACATAAAAAAGACAAAGACACACTTCTATTCATTGATCTGCTTTTACCAAAGCACGTTTTCACCCACAAGCACATCTTCATTTTCACTGTTGCCGAGACCCCAACAAGAACAGCCGATATCATGGGAAAACTGCAAGAAGATTCTCCAGAGAATTCCCCACGCAGCCCCGCCGCGGCCCGCCGCCGGTCGAGCTTCCAGGTGGTGCCGGCGCTGGTGGAGCCCGCAAGAGTTCTGGTGGAGTACTTCTGTGGTGCTATCTTCTTCCTTCTCCTGCCGTTCTGCCTCGTGTGCTACGCCTTCTCGTTCGTCCTTGACAACACCCTCCTCTTTCTCTTTCTATGGTGCGTTGTGCTGTTCGGAAGCGTCTACATCTTCATGACGCTCTTCGACAAGCTCCTGGACTCAAAGCAGAAACACGCCACGCAGCACGTCCGGGACGAAGTTGCAAAAAGCAAAGGAACTACAGCGTCAGGCAAACTTACAGAAGGGACAAACAATACGACAAATTCTGTTTCTGGACGCGAGGGTGCCGTGCATATTGCGCCTCACGGGCAGCTGGAGCCGTTTCCGGTCGGGGCGCGCCTCCGCATGGGTTTTCGTCGAGCCGTATTCCCTGAAAATTGTTCATCCCTATCCACTTTTGGCATGGATGACAAGATAAACTGAATCAGAATCCACTCCGTGTTTTGCACGACAGATTGGATCATGGGGATGGTTAATTTCGAGGGAATAGGCGGAGTTTGTCTGGACCGCGAAGCACATTGCGGGTAAAGAATTGCGAAAGTGGGAATACGTGACCGACGAGCAGGGCGACAAACTGTTTCACGAGCAGCCGTCGCTGACGTCGGACGAGTTCATCGAGCGCATCAAACCCTTTGCGGAGTTGCCCGATTGGGTCGATCACGAGTTGCTCAATGCGGGGTGCACGTTTTACCGCTCGCTCTGGCCGCTGATATCTTACCAGTTTTCCTGGGCGGTGGTGGGCGGGTTCGGCGCGGAGGCAGCCTCAGCCGTGCTGTTGAAGACGCGGTACTGGGCCGACAAGGGCCCCACCGGGAAGATCGACACCTGGAACCGGTTACGAGAAACGCTCTGCTTCCTGTACGACCTGTGCGGCCACGGTGCGAGTGGCTTTGACGTGGACGGCCCGGCGTGGAGAAGCTGCTTACTCGTCCGATTTCTGCACGCCCGGACGCGTGAAGGGGTGTGGAGACAAGATAGGGCAATAGATGTTGACCACGATGATGTTCTACTTCACAATCAACAACAACACGCGGCAAACAACGCGAACGTAATTCCTGCGTCTGGCTCGAGTGCCTTCACGACAGCAACCGAACGCGACAGCCAGGATCATGAGGAGCGCGACGACTCAGACAACTCAGAAGATGGGCAGCACCCCGACGGAGAGCACAACGTGATCAACCGGACGCCGTCGAAAGACAGCGACAGCCCACAGTCATCTCCGAAAAAAAGATGGGACCGCGAGAAGTTCGGGGATCCGATAAACCAGGCGGAGCTGATCGGCACACTGCTCGGCTGCTCCGCGCTGCTGCTGGACGGCATGGAAGAAATGTCGTTTGGCGCCAAAATCCCGAAGCACCAGCGGGAGGGGTTCCTGCACTTGTGGCGCCTCGTCGGGTTTCTGTTTGGCATCAAAGAGGAGTGGAACCCGAACCGGAACAGCGAGCACGCGAAAATCGTGATGCAATCGCTGTACACCTTCGGGATCCCGGCCCACCCGGACCCGAAGCTGTCCGCCGTGCTGGCCAACCACATCATGGACTCCGTCGCCGAGGGGGTGAACCAGGACCTGCTGAAAAAGAGCATGCCGGGGTTCGTCAGCTCTAGCATGGTATGCATTGCAAAAGCATCGTACTAGTATAAACTGCATGACAAATTTGCCCAAGAACAAAAATGCGATTTGTAATGCTGTTTCCCGTTAGAAAATAGATCTGTCATGCATGGCTGCAATCAGTACGAGTACGATACTTTTGCACAGGATACATGGTCGCGACCACCGGGTGGCTCTTCCTCGGGGACGAGTACGCCACGGCACTGGACTTGCCGAAACTCTCGCGGAAGGACCGCATCTACGGCTCGCTGCGGAAATGGTCTCTCGGGCTGTGCTTGTTCGCGTATTTCCGCTTCATCGCATTGTGGGAGCTTTTCCGGGTCACTTTGGTGGTCGAGTACGCCATGCACTTACTCTTCAAGAGCGCGTGCAAACAAGTGTGGAACACCCAACCCAAATGCCGCTTCGCAAAATCCCTGTGCCCCTTTGAGAATCTCGTCCCCGGAGGAAGAAAGTCGACGAGAAAAAGCGAGATGGGCAAGCAAAAAACGGCATAGGGAAAGAGACGACGAATAAATCTTCCTGAGGTGAGCACGCTGTGCGTTGTACTATGACATCGAGGTGAGGAGGCCCGAGGGCGCCTCCGTTTCTGGTTCAATAATCAATGCTCATACTACCCATGAATATGAAAAAAGTACGCATTTTATTCGTTTCCATCCTCTAGAAGGATCAAGTAACTCGAACAGCTGCCAGAACAGTATTGCGTACGGCCTCCGTCTCGATTTAGGCGCTTCGAAGAAAGTGTTCAACGACGATTTTTATTCGGAAACTGACAATTAAAATAAATCCGTTAGAACTGCTGTTCGTGCCTTGTTTATCGTATTCCTTGGCGTAGCACTTTCTTCGGTGTTCCATCACTGTCTGTTGCGTATCTTACCAACACACGGTCGGAGAAAGAAAAGACCAGACGAGATCGAAATCGAAAACGCGGATCTTTGTTGTTTTAGCGTTTCTACTCTATCTCTTTCTCTACGGTTCTTCTTGTTGCCGTGGCTTTTTGTTTCTGTATCATGCGCTTCAATGCTGCTCGTTTTGCGAAGTGCCGTAACGCACACCTCTGCCCCTGGTCGCAGGCGGTGAACATGCAATTCCGCGGCATATGTGTAGGTGCCGCATCGAAACTCGGTGCCGACCTGGGCGGAGGCGGTGCGTCAAGGACAGTAATGGGAGAGGTAAGTAATGCTAAAAATTAAAATGCTGATTTCCTGAATTCGAAAGGACGAAGTGAGTTTTTGTCTTTGTTCTCAACAATCGATTGACTCGTCGCGGCAAATACCAGACAGGCCCGACTTCAATTTCTGTTCTACAAACCTTATCAAGTACTCTCTCACCTCGTCAGGTTCCCTTGCAAGCTGGTTTCGCGGAGCAGGGTCCCGGTATGAGCTCTGCATTGTCCGGCGCTATCAACTTCCTGAACGCAAACGAAGACCTTGGGAGCAGTATTTCAGACGAGGTACGAAAGGGTGCGTGACGCAATCATAAAAATGCGCCCGCATTTTCTTGTCAATTTTCCGGAAATTAGCACGCGCTGACGACGCTCATGACGTGAATGATCCGCATCCGATGCATTTATTTGAGAGCGGCGCTCGTCGTCTACTTCGAACTCGCTTTCCAAACTGCATGAACAACAAACACCAGGTCGCAGACGCCGTACGGCAGTGTTTGGGGGAAAACGATCTAAGTGCTTACTTAGATCTCGGAGGAATGGAAAGCGTAATTAACATCAATTCAATATGAAGTGTGAAGAAAAGCAAGCTTCCTTCTGACACAGAACGCAATCACCATCTTCGCGATCACTGGGTGAATAAGGATAAGTGCTTACAGATTCATGCTCGCATGAACAGCTGCACATAGATCGAACAGCATGCTGAGCTTTTATGTTGTATTCAAGATGCACAAGAGCAGCGCAGAGACGAGAGACGCCACACTCTGCATATCTCTCTGTCTCTCTGAAGATAGTGCAGTCGGTATGAAAGGCTGGCGCTTTTCCTTTCCACGCCCCTCTCTCTTCAACTTCACACTATCATGCTGGCACACAGTCTTCGACCACGCTCGTGAGAACAAGTCCATGCGCAATATCATGCATTGACAGCAACATGGTACATTTCTGACAGGGCAGCATATGGTACTTTTGCGGCGGACTCAAGGGCAGGGAAATTTTAGCACGGCCGCCGTAAGCGTGATTCTGACCACGTCGGTATCAAACATCACCCTCTGCCGCCTCTGGACGATTTCCACCTTTGCCATTTGGTAGGAACTTCAAAGAAAAATGCAAACGAAGGTCCGCATCATGTAGTACGTAGAAATGAAAACTAAAAAGAAAATGAAGATGACCCTGATACGCGACAACTCTCCGTGAGCGGTCTTAAAATTCGTGCTGACTCTTCACTCAAATGAATCATGGCTATTATGGTGGACCTGATGAACTTTCTCGTGCAACAGCAGGATGCATTACCAGACGTTCTTTTCGAAAATCAAAATGTAAGAATCGACTACTCACCGAAGTTGTAGAGTCCTTCATCATGATGTTCGTGCGGCCGCGGCAAAGGTGGAACAGCAAGAAGTGAGTCCTCCGCAGATTAATACTCAAAGTCGGCGACTTCTTTCTCTGTAAGGTTGTCGTTGGCGTCCGTCTCGTCGTCCGCACTGTCGTTCTGACCCGTGTACTGCTCTTTATCGTGTGTCGTTCTTGTCGTCGCGTCCATCGTCTTCCTATTCGGCTCTGTCAAAGGCAAAGCTCAAAGACAACTTTTCTACCGCTTCATCGCTATAAAAGTTTTCGCGCATGTCTATATGACGTGGTGCATCTTCGTGTTTATAGGAACAGGGTCCGAGGTTGTAAAGTAGCTGCACCCATTCACATTGTCGTTCAAGTAGAATTTTTCAGCTTTTCGAAAAAGCTTCAAGGCAGTATCAGTACAACGAACTACGAACGGAGACAGAATCGATTGTCAGGAATCAAGTCATCGAAAGAACGCAGTCCTCGAATAAAACATGCCGCTGTGTTGTGGTAAGCCGAAGAAAGAGGAGCCGAAGGAGCCGATTGTGTCACCGGAGTGCTTTGTGATTCCAGTTCCGGGCGAGAAGGATGCACCGACTCGGACCATAGGCGACAAGGGGGAGCCGCAGTCGCGCGTCTGGTTGAAAAAACTTCCCGCCGGGCGTATGACTTTCCGCTGCGAGTTCGACGCTGGGTAAGGTTTCTTCTATGTTCTTTTTTCCTTTTTCCACTGGTGCGAATGAGCGTAAGAACACACATTCATACGGAAGCGGAAATATCAATATATATGTCGCGCTATTCTTTCATCTCGTAACGCTTTCACGTTTATGTCTTTCTACTTTTCCAGGCGCATGCTCTTCATCCTGCAAAAAAAAAACAGGTTCGACTGGCTGAAGTCGGTTTCTCCGAAGCTGGCGGATTGCCCGCAGTGGTGCCCGACCGCGCGGTTTGGGGTGCTCGAGTCCGGCAAAATGAAGATCAAAATGGAAGACGGGTCGGAATACACGATTAATCCGGGCGACACGTTTTTCGTCCCGCCGAACCACTTGCCGATTTTCGAGGAGAAAACGGTCGTGATTGAGTTCCTGCAGGAGGAAGTTCCCCCCGCACCTGCTCCCGAGCCCGCGAAACCGCAAGAACCGGCTGCCGCAGCCCCCGCAGAACCCGCGAAAACGGACGCGGAGGCGCCGGCGAAGGCGGACGCGGAGCCAGCAGACAACAAGGTTTGAAGATGATCATGGTGTGAACATCAGTGCAACTTGTGATCAAAGGAAATCCGTTCAGCCATTCGTCCGACAAGTGTCGACACTAAGTAAATCTAGATTTTTTCTGTTGATGATGTTGAGGCGATCAGCCGACGGCTAAATTTTTCCTTTTTCCGGTGAAAGGAGAGGATCGATGAGGTTGAGGAACGGGATCATTGTCCCTCTGTCGATGTGAGTTTTTAAATGGCAGCACGCAAGCCGATTCGTGTGTGCGTGTGGGTTTGCTCGCTGGTGGTGTTGACTCTTGTGTTCGTAGGATTTCGTGTGCGTTGATGTTCGGCATGCATATCCTCGATGGAATGAGATGAATACTGGAAAAGTAGAACTACTTACAATATTCTGGTGCAAACGCAAACGGGGACAAGAAAATGCAAAATCGATTTATCGACGTAGGGTTCATCAGTCGGTTGATAGTGCAAGAGCTCGCGCTTTCATGCTAGCTTGGGGCACGAATTTTGGGGAGTCCGAGGCAGGGGCATGAGAGGCTCTTTCGACGAGAGCCTAACTTGTAGAAACAAATCGGCAAAAGTCGTATCACTTAGTTGATCATAGATCTTCATCTTCTCTCCACCACACTTGTTCGTTCCTCATCCTCGTATGTCGTCAAATTTTACGTATGAAAGCGCGAATGGTACTACACCCTCTCTCTTTTGGATCTTACGATTGATTTGAAAAGAGTGCCATTAAAGCTCCGTGATGGAATCGGTCCTGGTTCTATCGTTTCTACTTGTTGCTCCTTCGCGTGTGATAAACAAACACAGCTCGTCAACGGGAATTGAGACCTTATTTCGTAGAGGTTGTGGGTTAGTCAGAAACCGAATCGGAAATCAAATTCAGCATTGAAACGTCGCTATTGTTTCTCGAAAAACCAGCAAATCGAAGCAAGAAAATGGTGTGTTGCACAGGAGCGCCGAAAACGAAGGAAACGGTCGAGGCGCCGGTCGAGGCCCCGGCCCCCGTCGTCGAGGAGACCAAGGCTACTGTAGAAATATTGACAGCTTTTACTCAAAGCTTTAGTTAAGCTGTAGGTGCACTACAATGATCCCTGTTGTTTTCCTCTTGGTTTTGCCTCATCAAGTTTGAAAAGAAAGCTCCTCGGCATTAGCATGCCGCTTGCCACGTGTGGCGTGTGAACACATTTTTCGTGCGTTTTGCTTTGCGATTGCGACATGATTAGCGCTTTTATGATTTGAACTTCTGACATGAAATGCAATTTAATTTGGCAGCGCGCGCCCCCGAGCCCGACGTGAGCCCGATGCGCTGATGTTGAATAACCCGCCTGGTACGTGTAGCGTGAACACGCAGCGCCCGCGAAGGCGATGATGCGACGCGGACGCGCGGTGGGCCGAGAAGCAGCGCCCGGTGGTGGGAAAAGCATTTGGCTGATGTTGCTCCTTTTCAGGTGCAAGTGGAGTACTTCTTATTTGCAAAAAATAAGAAGTAGAAGTTGATTTTGGAGGAGGTGCTTGCTGGTGGTGACTCCTTGCTGGTGATGTTGATGCTGCAAAAGATTTCTTAGAAATCCAAATCTTTCTTGGATCAAGATCTACAATGTGGATGTGCATGTTGTGAAAAAATATGCGTCCTCCCTGACGCTGCCGCGATTCTGCAGGTTGACGTGCCACTAGGGTCGTGGAGGTCGAGGTTGCACTTCTGCTTCGAAATAAATAAATAATCCGTGCATCGACCACAGGAGCCCGTGGCTGCTCCGAAGCCCGAATGTGTGGTGATGTGCGTCCCGGTGGATGAGGTGCCGACGAAGGTGATGGGGGCGGAGGGCGATCCGCAGGCGAAGGTGTGGCTCAACAAGCTGGACGGCGGTCGCCAAACCATGCGCATCGAGATTGAGCCGGGGTACCACTTGATGATGATTTTAAGGACGACGCAGGAGGAGATCCTGCACGTTGATTTCGCGTTTTTCTTCTTGTAGTTTCTGTACGTGTTTTTTCTTTGGATATTAACATATATCTCAGTGTAGCATGGTGAAAGCATGATGCCAAAGTACCTAGTGACCAATAAAACTTCTTAAACTTCAAAAGCTTTGATTGGTTGAAATCCGTCTCTCCGCACCTTCCGAATTGTCCGGCCTGGTGCCCGGCGACGCACTTTGGCGTGCTGGAGTCCGGCAAAATGCAGATTAAGATGGAGGATGGCTCTGAGTTTACCATCAACGCCGGGGACACCTACTTCGTCCCCCCGAATCACCTGCCGGTCGTCGAGGAGAAGACGGTCATGATCGAGTTTACGCAGGATACCACGTACTTACTTATTCGCGCTACTAGCAGCTTTCTTTGCGTTGTCCACCTGTTTGCTACGGCGCACTATCATGATTTTCGTGATCCTGCTTCAAATTCAGATTCAGTGTGAAGAATGCCCATTGTCCGCTTTTCTTTCAAGAAAGTAGAGATAAAATAGTTCACCCTATTACTCACAGGTACACCAACGATAAATTCATCAAGTCTTCGTGATGAAGCGGACACCGGTGCTGGTGGTACTCTGGCAGAATCCTATTGCGGGAGGTGATGATGAGGCGGGGATAAGAGTCTGAGGACGACAAGAAATAATCGCAGTAAGAAGAAGCAGAGGACGACGAGGACGAGCTTTTGAATGATATAAATATGGAGATGTGATAGCTGCTGCAAGTAAAGTTGAACAGAATATGAACCGCTTGTATGATCGATGTCTCGAATCTCGGTTACTTCGAATGTTTTCCAGCAAATTAGAAACACGACACACCAACCAAGAGCAAGAAAAAGCACACTCATGCCGACTAAAACCAAGGAGGTCTTCTAGGTTTTTTCAATCAACACTTGTTCCGCTGTCCATCAGAGTGCGCGGAAAGTTTTAACAGCAGCTAATCCTCATACTAATGCTCTGCTTTTCTTTTTTCTGTCCGTCACTTCTTACGCTCTTTTGTTTTCCACTTTTTTTTTACGGCCTTTTCTTTTAGTTGAGGGATCTTCACTGGGTGCGGGACTGAGTGCGGCATAGTGCACTATGACGAGACATGCGTTGAGTGATCAATTTTTTGGTATTGTTATTTCTGACCCTGATCAACAATAGAATTACAAACCAATTGTACGAGAGAAAAGCAAAAGGACTGCGAAAAGCAAAACTGTACGACTCGGATGTGCCGCTTAGAGGGCCACTGATTCACGATGTCGTGGTTGTTGGTGCTGGGCAAATCATCTCCATCTGAGGCGAGGAATAAAAACATGAAGGCATCTTGGTCCAGTATGCTGCGCGTTTCTGTGCCGTTTCTGCTTTCTTTATGCTTCGTGTTTCTGGGAGATTATGCGGGTGCGGCCACAGCGACCCCGATCGCTGAAGGAGATAGAAGTGGTGAGGATCAGATAGTGCAAATAGAAACGGCGGATGGAACTGGAACAGAACAAGAACACCATCACGAATTTTGGGACCCAGGCGGAGAACTCGTCATGCGAGATAAGATGGAGGAGGGGGAAGGAGGAGCTAGAGCTTCGTATGGAGGTGAAGAAACAAAAAGCGCTTCAACTTCTACACCCGCAAGTGGAAATGAGCGACCTGCTGCCTCTACCGTATCGGTAACCGCGGGCCGCGAGCCTCGAAACAATGTTCATGTTGGAGGTCCTGCTTATGTGGAATATAATGACGGCACGGCTAAGCAAGTTGAAGTTCTTCGAGACGACGCCAATTCTGTTTCAACATCGAGATCAAGTTCAAGACCAGGAGTGGCCCCTCCACGACCGCGAGCAACTACATCATCCTCGCATGAAAACAGACCCGAGCGTGAATCTGAGGAGGTCCGGGCGAAAAGGAGCAAAAGCAGGGACGACAAGAACGATGGAAAGGACAGACACCGGCCCACCGCTATGGAGCAAGCGGACCCGGCCCACTCCATGCATCACGACAAGGTACGGAACTTTCAAACTATGGTCAAGTCCCCCCGCGAGCGGGCAGGCTTTTATCTGAATCAGGCACGAAAACCCATGACTGTGGCGATCGATGAGGTGCACGATTCCTGGTTGGATTCAGTTCTCGAGGCGGAGGAGCTGCATGCCTGGCAGTACGGCGCGCCCAGTAGTTTCATGCAGCAGGTCACAGAACAAGAGGAGCAGGCAGATAGAGCAGCGACAGAGAGAAGTACTAGAGGCACAAAGAACCACATAAGTCGAGCTGGGTTTCGCAGGCGGGGTGATGATGCAAAAGCCAGCGATAAAAATATTAAGGACGAGGAGGACCAAGAACGGGTGATCCGAATCAAGAGCTATGAATACGACTTAGATGCGTACCCGATGAGCCCCATGGTGCCTCCTTATCTCTGCATCGAGCCGAAGGCCAAGGCCCCGTGCGCAGCTCGGTTCAAGATGACAGAATTCAAAGAGCCCGATCACGGAGCGCCTCCCCCCAGGATCCTCACGCCTGACCCCGAATCCTTGGACATTGGGGGCCAGAACGTTAAATCGACGTTGAGTGTTTACACTATCACAATCGAGGCGTGGCTGCGGGATTCGGACCGCTCCAATAACGTGTTTGAAACGGTGAAGCGGCCGGCGACGAATGTCGCCGATACAGTGAAGGCAATCTCATCCAGTCTCTCCAGTATGATGCCGTCGTTTGCGACGGACCCTGACCACGACAAGATTGCGCAAGAAAACTTCAAAGTAGCTTACAAAAACCGCGGACGCTTTCTGTTGTCCATGCCCCAGTTTTTGGCTTTGGTGCAGAGGGGCCGAGTGGCAAACACGAAAGACCGGGAGTCGTGTGCCAACGCCATTCCTGCGCACCGACAGAGCTGGGAGATCCGGCGAGTGGTGGACGCGAGCGTTCGTTCGGGACACATTGCGCTGGGCTCCATGTCGGGGAGTGTGCGCGCCGACATTGCGATGGATCTGCGCTACACGCTCTTCGTGCCTGAACGGCTGCTGCAAAGCGAATTCGACACGTTCGAGCACGTTCCTTCGACCCTGCCGGGCCTTGACTTTTTCGAGAAGGAAGATACCACTAAGGACAGTATGTACGAGGCGCTTGGGGCGCCTTGGGACTTCGGGTGCGAGAAGCACCGTGCGGCGATCCTCACGGAGCTGTACCTCGTGACGAAGGACCGCGCGCAGTGCCGTCTGAAGAAGCTCCCGACGGCCGCGGACGCGCCCTCAGATTCGAAGGGGCCCGCAGGTAAAGAACCGGAGGCGGAACCAGAACCAAAGTCGTCTTCTGGTAGTCAAACGACAGCTGCGTCGTCGTCGACGTCGTCGTCGTCTTCTCTGGAAATCAGGCACGAAGTTGCCTTAGGAAAAGAAGAACATCACACAGAAAAAACAGAAACGGGCCTCCAGCGGTCAACTGGTGAAGTTGTGCTGGAAAGAAGAACGTCGGAGAAGGCGGAGGTGGACGGCGCGCAGGTGTTCGTGGTGGACAAAGATTTTCTCTCGCCGTTTGATGCTGATGCGACTTGCGGAGACCATACTTACTTTGTCATTGCCACGGCGGAGACCGCTATTACATGGCAGCAAGAGCAGGGCAAGTACACCAGCTCGCTTAAGAAGATGGTGCGGGGTGAGATGGAAGAAGGCGACAACGAGGAAATAGTGAAAAAGTACGCCGACCAGACGCTGGATCTCGAATTTCGATCGCTGTTTGCGGAACGCGAAGATGCCCTGTATTAATACTGCTTATGGGTTGTATTTTTATCGCTTTATATGGAAAGCTCAAGCTGTAGCTAATGATGTATTGGTATTCACGACACGGTTTTAGAAAATAGAAAAGAAAGCCAGAACCGAGAAAAATATTTCCTCAACACAGCGGCAAGGAGGCTTTGGATTCTTACAAGGAGGCCCTCGCCGAGACCACGCAAGTAGGAAAATGGTTCGAGACAAATCACGACAAGCTGGATGATCTCCCCAGCGTGGGTCTAGATTTTCCCGATCCCGTGCGGTTGCACCATGCTTTACGCGGGCAGGCGGGGTACACCGTGCTCTTGATGCCGTTCCCCTCCAAGCAGATCGTGAAAGAGCAGATTTCGTCGGCGCTCGACGGGGAAACCTACCTCTACCCCGACAAGGGTTCGCACCCCATCGCGGTCGTGCCTTTCCTCGGGGACGAGTTTATCATCCCGATCGCCGATGTGCCAGAAATGCTGATCCGGGGACTGGGAGAGGGCACCGGGCGGTGGGAACTGGAGAAGGAAGTCAAGGTGCCCTCGAATCCCGGCGTCCCCGATAAGAAGCTAGAACGCTACGTGACACTGCCCAAGGGCTACACAATCCGGTTTCCCAAGTCCGTGCAGAAGAGTGCGCACTACATGAAGGACGCGGAAAAGGGGGGCTCCCCGATTACGGTGGGGAAGGAGCAGCTGCAGGCGCTATGGCGCGACCGGAAGTCCAATCTGTTGAATCTTGACAATCTCGCGGTCCACAAGGGGGACCCAGACTCCGGGCTAACTTTCGCTGCGCAGCGAAACCCGTTGCTCCTCGAGCTGTACCGCTACCGAATGATGTTCCCCGAGATGGCGGGCCGGCACGTTTTGATCTATCACCTGAACGTGTACCGGGACGCACAGGCACCCAAGGGGTTCCGGATCGAGACCCCCACGCGGGAGCCGTTCCAGGAGGAGCTCTTCGCCACGCTGCTTCGGGCCACGTACCGGCGGCATGACGTGGAAGAGACGGCCGACAAGTACTTCGTGTCGCCCCTGTTTCCCTTCGTCCTCGTGTACCTCCGTACGCCCGAGGGCAGCGCGGAATTCCCAAACTCGCTGCAGTACATGGAGGCCCGGGAGACTGTGTACGAGCGGGTGCAGAAAGTCGTGGAGACCGCGGGCTGGCTTTCGCCCGAGGACTCGCTGCGGCCGCCCGTCGTGCCCGGTGTGGTCACCGTCCCGCCGGAGGTGCAGGAGGGCGAGAAAGCGCCCGAGGGAAAGAAGATGAGCGTGCTCAGCGACCTGTCCGCGCCCCGTATCAAGAAGATCGCTTACGATTGTCAGAACGCGTTCCTCCTGAACGACGACCCGAAGCGTCCGCGACTGTTTACCTTCACCGACTTCGCATCTGTGCTCCTGCGGCTCCAGGACGCCGGCCACGTGTCGCGGTTCCACGGGTCCACCTGCCCGGTGGCGGGCGACCGCGAGGTTGTGTCCTCCACCCTGGTACGGCACAAGGCGACCGACACCAAGTTTGGCGCCGAGGTTGCGAAGACGGTTGCGAAGAACCGGCAGAAGATGACCAGTTACGCATCCAGCTTCGCGACGAAGGGCGGCACGGCGGCGGTCGGGGCCTTCGTGAGTGGGACCACCCCGTTTTCCATGATGACCCCGTTCCAGTGGGTCGGGGGGTTGGTTATGAACCCCGCCGCCGCGGCCGGTGCACTTTCGAATCCCGCCGTCTGGGTCGCGGTTGCCGCCGGCATTGCCCTGTTCGCGACCATACGCCCCGGACTGGCGGCCATTGGAAAGCTCTACGGCTCCATGACGGCGGACCGGGATGGCCGATTTATGATCCAGCTGGACCGGTTCAAGTCCGCTTTGGTGGACTCGGTGCTGCGGGCGCCCATGTGCTCCAGCGAGATGGTGGACCGCCAGCGCCGCCTGTACGAGGCCAAAAGCCTGCTTGACGGGGGCAACACGGTGGGTTACCGCGATTGCTACCTGCAGGAGTTCTGCCCCACCGACCGTACGGGCGAGAGCGTCAAGTACGACCTCATCTACACACTCTTTCGCCCGGGGAGCCAGCGCAAGGAAGAAAACATGTACGAGCTGGGTATCACCTGCAGCTGAATGTTACGACCGCGTTTTTTCACACTCTCAGCAACCAAGTAGAATGAGAATCGTGCTACAAGTAAGTACTTAAGTTCGTGGTACAACTTGATTCTTGCAAACAAAACTTAAACTACAATGTAGGATATGCATAGCTTCGAAGAGGTTTACATTTTACGATACAGTGTCACGAGTGTGGAGGTGAGATCCCCCTCATGCGCCGGGTCTCTCGTAGTCGTATCATTTACATCTGCTGAAGAAGTTGTATCTTTCCTATCGGAATGATCCTCTGCCGGAATCATACACTGTTAGTGATTCTCTAAAGCGTCAGACATCTTTTTGGTTTATCCTTGCGAGAGCAGGAACAACTACAACCGATCTCCTGTAGTTGAGGGTGCTGAAGAAAACAGACGTCTGATTTTGTTCTGATACTCTTGTACGACGTTCAGACGGTGTTGGACAACCCGACAAGCTTCTACGAAAAATTTCTGGGAATGAGTTTCAAGCTCGGGAATCTCTGGGAAGTGGAGACCGTCTGTATTACAATGAAAAATGCCCCCACCCCCACAGTCGCAAAAATTTGTGATGCGAAGTTTCCAAATGAAATTGAAAACTTTCTGTCATGCATGAAACAAGTATGAATCTTTCTGATGCAGAGTCTAGGCGTGCATCGCATCGCTTGCATGACAAGCGCCACTCTTGCTGGGGTCTTTTGCAATGCAGATTTTTGCTGCTAAGGATTGGAAACCTGTGATGCTGATAGATGCACGAGGACGAATGTTTCAATTGGAAAGGTTTGCAATACAAATGCTCCCAAGTTCGGGGGTGGGGGCATTTTTCACTTTGATAGTCTGCCAGGATCAGGAGCTGGACGAGTGCCCGGCTGCGGACGTGCTCGTGGACGACAGTCTGCACATGATCGGAGAGTCAGAGATGCTCGAGGAGATTTACCTGGCGCCCTTGATCATCAACCCCAGGTAAACATGTAATTCTTGCATCCATTTTTGCAGAGTATCAAGCGGATTTCTATTTCAAGACATGTTGTAAAAGCATAGTCCGCCGGCGAATTATATATGCCAGCATGGTTCTGATAGCTCTCACTCTCTGGCTCTCCGCGACGGCTTACTAGGTGGAAGGTGCATCTGTGTACCTGTAGTTGCTATTCTGGAAGAAATATAATATCACAGATCAACCCGAGAAGTCTCGTCAACATAGATCAAGGAATTTATTGGCGTACTACTGATAGAACAAGTGAGTGACGTTGAAAATCATCAGAATCCGTCGGTTTGTGGAGACCAGCCCGGCGTTGCAGGAGTTTGAAGAGAATCTGATTGACGAAGCGCAACAGCAGTTTTCGGTGGGGACGGAGACCGCGATTGAGGACTGCGAGCGGTGCCAGCAGACCTGGGGACACCGTTCCTGGGGTTCGGGGCGACCGCGCGCGAAGGATGGCGGCATGTTCAACGGCGCGGGCACGGACCTCAACACGCGGGCCGGGTTCAAGCAGATCTCGGCGCCCGCAAAGATGGCGCGCATGCAGGACATGATGATGTCGGGTATGTACATTCCGAACCAAGACGGCGGCTACGAGTGCGAGTTCACCGGCGTCCCGTTGGTCCACACGCCCCCCCAGCCCATCCGCAACTCTGCGGGGTGCAAGGCCGCCGCAAAGGAGAATGGCCACGAGTTTAAGGGCTTGGTCCGCTACCCCAACCCTGCGCAGGGCGGCCAGGACACTGCGCTCATGACCCGGTGCGCCTGGAGCCTGGAGCACGAGTTCGGGTTCGAAAAGCCGCTCGCGAAGTACATCATGGATAAGATCAAAACCATCATCTACACCGTGATGGAGACGACCGGATCCGGCATGACCGAGCGGGAGGCCACGGAGAAGGCCGCCGCAAAGGCCAAGCAGGAGGCGATGAAAGCCAAAATGGAGGCGATGAAGGGCGGCGGAAAGGGGACAAACGGGCCGCCCGGCGGCAAGGCCGACGCGGCGGGAGCCGCGGCTCCGGCGAAAGCGGGGGGAGGTGGGAAAGCCACTGCGGCCGCATTTGTGCAACTGAGCGAGGAGGTTCTTGCAGGCGGTCGTGGTGGAACTGGAAATCCTGCTGATGGTACTACAACGAGTGATGGACGGAAAAGAAGCAAAGCGAGTAGCAGTGTCCTGCAGATATCTGAGTTGGGTCTCGATGACCACTCGGCGGACGGCGAGGTGGAACAGAGCAGCGGCGCGCGCGATTCATCTACTTCCATGTTAGAAAGAGAAGGAAAATTTAGGCGCGGAAAGCAAGTGCAGAAGAAAAACAAGGGAAAGGTATCTGTCATGATTCGGCAGCTGATGCAGATCGCGCAGCGAAAGTTTGGGTGGGCAGCGCTCGAATCCTCCTGGCAGCGGGGCTCTTTGCTGCAGCTGCTTCAGCGCACGGGTACGACAGGGAGGACGATGTTAGGAGGGTCACGAGGAGATCCCGGAGCAGCCGATGCGGCCGAAAAGCCGCAATGCCCGGCGGAAGCGCGCACGAAATTCCCAGATTTCCGGACGGTGTGGGGCGACACCCTGCAGCAGATTTTGCGAGAGCTTAAAGACCCCAGTCCAGATCCAAACGCGGCCGACGCAGAGACACACACCAAGGCTGTGGAACAGATTCAGAAGTTGAACGCAGCCCGGGACAAGATGGTGAAAAAGCTCGAGTTTGCGACGGAGAGTGCCTTTTCCGATTACGGTGGTAAATTCCTCCACGCCGGGAACCACAAGGACGAGGAAGCCAGTAAGAACGAAAGATCAGCGTTTTCGCAAGCACTGATAAAGGATCACCAGCTGCCGCCAAAAGCCGCCGCGCGCCTCGCTATCTTGTATCCACCTGCGGTGTCGTGGATGGTCGTAAAGCTACAGCTGTTCTACTCGCTGTCGTGACAGAATCTCTACTGCGGGCACGACCACACTATACTTTACACACCAATTGTGTGAAACAGAAAATGTGCATGTTGTGAATTAGTACGAAGATGAGAAGCACGAAACAATGGTCACATAGAGGCACTGCTCCGCTCAGTATTTATGTCGCTTGAGTGCTGGCCTCCTTTCGCTTTCGGTGCCGGCACCCATGCTCCTGTAGTAAAGTTGGTTTTGCTCATTTTTTATTTTTTGTCGAACAGCAGTAGCTGTAGCAGAGATCTTCACGGCACTTCTAACCCTTCCGTTTCATACCTTCGGGGAGAACATGCTGAATGCGTGCCGCTCAAGATGTACCACCAAGGAGGAAGACGAGCAGGTCGCGCGCTCCAAGGCCGAGGGAGCCCGCAAAGCATGGGATGAGAAAAAAGAAGGAATGTTGAATCCAGTCACCGGGGATATTTCTCACGCGATTGATGCCGGGGTCACTATGTTGACGGAGTCCAAAACTGTCGTGAATGCTGGTCCCGTCGACCCGGTAGTCGTCAGCACCGAGACTTTCACTGGTGGCGTGAAACCGCTGGTACAATCCCCATTCAGCAGTCCGGGCAATCTGCAGGCCTGGCTGCACTACCGCGAACGGATGCTCGGCGAAGTCGGGCTGATGGTGGTCGCCAAAAGTAAAAGCTTTAGAGAAAACCTCATGCAATCAGCCTTCGGCGACAAGGAGATGTCTGAGTCATTTTCATCTTCTGCGTCCTCCTTCATTGAGGAGGGACAAGGGCGAGAGTGGCTTTTCCACGAGAACACGGACAAAATTATCATCAAAGAAAAGCCCAGCTCGTTTGTGGAGCGCTTTTTTCCCACGTGGATGGGCGGCACCGGCATGGGCTCGTCGGGTGAGACGGACGAGCAGTCCGCTACCACAGTCGCGCCCAGCACGACTGCCCCCGCCGCCGGAGGTGGAACATCAACTGCTGAAACGAAAACTAAGTCGTCGTCCCCTGCTGTGAAAGACGACGGCGCGTTGACGTCGGAGGAGCTGGACAAGGAGCACCAGGAGGCCGGGCGGACGGGGTGCATGGAGTACCTCGGGAGTAACAACAAGGACGGAACCGGGCTTCCGGGCGCCGGCTACTACTTCGCGCAGACCTTTTCCCTCCGCAAGAATCTACGGAACTACCTGACAGAACTGTCTAACAACGCGGTCGCCGGCCACAGCCTGACGTACCGGCCCCTGGACGGGCCCGCAAAGGAGATGAAGCAGTACGATCCGGACTCGATGCAGTTCATCACGATTTGCCGCGGCATCCTCGGCGCCATGAGTCCGGAGGCGGCGGAGTTTTCCTGCACCATGAGCGACGACATGGCGTACGAGCAGATCCAAGCCTCCCGGGCCCTGCAGGAGGACAGCCACGACCAACTGTGGCGGGAGATGGACTGCCGCAAGCACTGGGTCCGGTTTGACGCCGCCAGCAACAAGCAGGTCGTCGACAAGTTGACCGCCCGGCTCAAGGAGGATGGGTGCCTGGATCGCGTCTACAACGACACGATCAACTCGCTGTTCCACTTGGAGGCGAAAAAGCTGAAAGAGGAGGGCAAAACGGCGCTGCGGGTGCAGATGGTGCGGCAGGGCGGGCTGCGGGCCGGAGCCGACTCCAACCCGGCGGGGCAGGCCGTCGTGCGCGGCATCGAGCAGATTCACCTGGCGAACATGAACTGCAAGAAGCGCGGAAAAAAATACTTCTCCGTCTTCCCCACAGATCCGACCAACGTAATGCAGTCCGCGCAAGAAAACGCCATGGGCAGTAGTGCCTTGCAAAGCGGCGAAACTCACATAACAGCATCATCTTCGCCACAATTGGTGCACTCCTCAAGAAGAATGAAGAACATGCAGCGGGGAGATGTTGGGAAAGACACTAGCAGTAGCAGTGTACTGCAAACAGCGCAAGACAAAAGCGGGATGAACAACGCGGCCACGTCAACACGCAAACACAGACGCGGAGATGGAGGTCCCAGCGGCGACAAGAATGGGAATAAAGAACCCGGCGCCACTGAAGAGAACAAGAAAGAGCTCAGTCGCTCCGGATTGTGGCCTTACCACGTTATCGCTGTCATCGAAAGCGCGTTGCACGTTCGCCCTAGCATCCTTTACGACCGAGACATCACGCCCCCAAGTCCGACCTCCAAGGAAGCTTTTGTGACTGGCATAGAGAATTACGCGGGAGAGATGAACAATGCCTCGGAATGGCTCAGCTCCGGCATGTTTAACAACACCAACAGCCAAAACCGGCACATCAGTGAGTGGCTGGCAGACAAGCACATGTTTGACGTACTGGGCGGGAAGCCGGGACTCTTCCACAAGCGGGTGCAAGGAGCCTATCCTAGAAAATAAACGCCCACTCAGAAAATTTGCAAATAATGCTTGCTTTAGGTAAGTGTAGTCGAACGATTCGTACTAGCGTAGCCAGAATCGGGCTTTAGTGCCGTTTTTAGGACACTCACTTTGCGGCTGCTCTCTCTCGGATTTTTTGATGTTTTGATCTGAAAAGCTTTTGCATGGATAGCGGCGACTACCACCAGCACGGCCGCGTGTACACCACTTGGATCAACAACATCAACGCGCTGGCCTTGCGGAAAGACGAGATTGCCGAGGCTGTTCATGGAGACCCAGGTAAGGCAAGAGAACTTTGACGTCTCTACTTGATGTTTATGTTCATCATCCTGGACAATTGCAGTCCGCAAGTTCGTTTTGGCGCCTCCAATTTGGGAAGGCCAAGCAATATATGCCTCCGATGGTCAAATCCAATCGTCTGTGAGGCAAGGCAAGTTTCCACGGGCATAGGATTTTGAAAATCTCCACCACCAGGTGCTAACATTGCCTTTATGCAGCTGCCCACGCCGAAGTGCTACAGCGGCAACTTCATGGCTCTGGGTGGTAACATGATGGCAAATGCCAAGACCGCAGGCACGATTGGAGACCTGATTACCAATACGCTGGACGACGTGGATCGGGTTTACAATGAATTCACCGAATCTAGAATGACGGAGGAGGAAAAAAACAACCGTACGGCGGACGAGAAAACGTCGACATGGCGCTATTTGACTATGAGAGTGCACAAGAAACCCTCCCCTTCTCCCTCATTTGTCATGCAAAATACGAAGTCGTGCCAGAGCCAGCGTCTTTTTTTTTGCATTGCCTCCTGGTCGTGGCACTGTAGTTGTTTTCGCCACATGTAGTTCTGGACGCCGAAATAATAGCATCTCCCTGTGACCAACTACTACTTAGCTGCATCTTTCTTGTACGTGCGGCTTTTGCAGCAGTTTCTGTCGATCATGCCCATCAAAAGATGGGGCGGAGGGGGCCCCAACTTCGTTGTGCGCTGTGATATTCACGAAGGGCAGGCGGCTGCGAGATGTGAAGGTGCGGATCGGGCAGGTCAAGCAAGAATTCGAGCGGACGAAGGGCGACCACCTGACCAAGTGGCTCGACTCGACCTACGAGGAGCGGCGCGTGAACATCATCCAGCGCGTCTGGATGCACTCGCTCACGTTTCCGGAGCGCAACGGGCATTTGGTGTACGTGGGGCGTTGGAAGGAAAAGAACGGGCTCTACGACAACGAGATCCTGATCGCCGAGCTGCTCGCCCTGGCCTACCAGCGGCTGGACGCGCTGGACCACCCCTACACTTGGTCGCCGCTGTTCGCCTTCGTCTGCGTGTACGTGGACCCCAAAAGCCTCAATGTGGACCTGCAGATGCTGAACATGTACAGCAGCAAGGGCGTGGAAGACCGCCGCCTGCAGGAGGAAATCCAGCAGTTCTACACCATCGATCAACAATATGAAAGCGGTGCACAACTAGAAGTCCCCCGTCCCCCTCGTAATATGCCAAATCCAGCACCTAGCTGTGATGTCCTTTTCATCTCCTTTTTATTGCACTGTGTGCACGAGGGCATATGATTATGAACGCGAAAGCCGAAACAGTACTACTTACAGCCGGAGCACCACTAGCTTGTCATCAAGATGCGCACCAGCGGCCTTCAGGTGAAGTCAGCTGGTGCTCGTGTTTTTATTGATGTTCTTCATGCGCTTCAACTGGAACTGACGGGGAGGGGGATTATTGTGCTCTTTGATAAGCAGCTGGAGCGGGTCGAGCAAGAGATCGAGGGTGCGGTGATGCGACTATCGGCCGTGAAGAAGATCGAGAACGATATGGCGCTCTCAACTGTTACATTCTCAAGTGTTACATGAGTTTGTGATGCAAGAATGGCAAAAGTCAAAGCAGGGAGGTTGCACCTGTAGCATTAGCACTACAACTACACGGCGCGAAGCGACGACGGCAGCATACTAAATTTTCGAGTAAGCAGTTTCTACTTCTGCGAGAGCTCCGGCATGGAGGAGGCGACGGTCTGTGGCACAGTGTTCCAGCAAGACCGACAGAGCAAAATATGGGCCGCCGTTGACCCCATGGCCTAAGGGCGAAGAGGAAAAAGAGGAGGAAATCGAGGAGCGATCCTCAGGCAAATAGATAGCAAAACACTGCGCATCTAAAAGAGTTCCATGAAAAAACGAGCACGAATATACTTAGATTAATCAGAAGCTCAGTCAGTCAGTACAAATTCCACGCAGATTTAGTTGCTGTTTAGCCTTTCAAGAATTTGTCATGCGAAGTAGCTTCACCTTGTGGATGTTGATGCTCATTTTGCATGGCAAATCATGTAACAGTTGAGAATGTAACGTTTGAGAGTCTCATAAACGAGTTGGCCACGTTCAAGGCGCGCATCGCGGAACGCATGCAGATGGAGTACCAGGTCATCTACCTATCCTGTGCAAAAGTACGTATCGTACTCACGTAGTACAACTCGTGCTGATTAGTACAATCATGCATGATGTTGTTGACAAATGCAAATCAGCAGCACGCCACTGACTTTTGAAAAAATGTTAAGATTCAGACTTTGTATATGCAATTGGTACCTCTAGGAGGGTCGTCGTACGTTACTTTTGCGATGCATACTACCGAGAGCGGGACGACGCGCTGCAGCAGCTGCAGGAGATGGGCGGTGCCAGCCCCACGGAAATCGAGCGGGTGTCCAAGGAGTGGGAAAACAAGCGGCAGGACCAGGAGCGGGCGGCGGCGAAGGAGATCGCGGACTTCGAGAAGAAGCAGAAGCAGGACCTGCAGATGCTGAAGGACGAGAAGGAGGGCAGCTATGCTGTGCAAAAGTATCGTACTCGTACTAATTGCAATTGCAAATATCAATATGCATGACAAATCTTCCTCCAAAGGTAAAACAGCATTACAACTTCCACTTTTTTTCTTGCGAAAATTTGTAAATACAATTTATACTAGTACGTTACTTTTGCAATGCATAGCAGCACGCAGTGGTGGATCTTTCCGCAGCCCTCGGATCCCGGGACGCAGGGGGACCCGCCCTGCTACCAGACGGACCGCACGGTGCTCGAGGGCCCGAAGACCGGGGGGTGCAAAAGCAAGCCGTGGTTCGGGCCCCTGGCGAAGGGGTACGCGGCGGAGGCCTTCCAGGCGTTCAAGTCCTCCCCACCGATGACCATGTACCCCACTGTGTTCCTGAAAGAAGCGATTGGCGGTTCGCAACTGAAAATGCTCGGCGGAGACCCCATGTCGCCCCTGACGAGTGACCGGGGGAAGAAGCGGCTCTACCTGTTCACAGACTACGACGAGCTGACTGGCCGCCTGCGCGACGACGGCTGGCTACCCGACGACGCGACACTTACTGACGGCGCGGATGTGAACCCTATTCTGAACAACGCATGATAAGCACAACGAGCTCCTGCGGGAGTTTTTGTATTTGACGCCGCCGGAGGGGCGGAGGACGACGAAACGCGAAGACGAAATCAAATTTCCATCTAAGACACTACAATCATAAATACGTGCTACCAAAACTACCAAATAGAGCTACCACTTTGATATAGAAAAATTCACAAAAATATACTGGAAAGCGCATTTGCTTCAATGAATTCAATTTGTATACGACTTTGTGATGTAACGTTGCGCACAAGAGCAATGGATATGGATTTTGATTTAGATTTTGCTACAGAGGAAAAACAGATACCAAAAGAACGAACGACAGCGACGCTCGGTTGTCTACCACTTCGAAATGTCGATCGGACGAAAAATTCCTCGAAGGTTAAAATGACCTGTAACTATGGTGTAGTTTTTCGCATCTGGATTTCTCTCGAACGTCAATCTCATCCAGTAGAAAGAATCGAAAAATGCACAGCTCTGGAAACTAGATGTTGCCGTAATTCATCTCGCATGTGATTTCTTGCAAACCCAAAAAATGTATCTGCAACCAAGTTGGAAAAGTGACGCAGGACTGTATGCTGGTGAACGCTAAACGAATGCCGGTTCTGGTGTTGTAAAGTAAAACAGCTAGAGAGAAAAAATGAAATGCAGTCCATGATACCTGCTAAGTCCATGCCCTCACAACTGGAACGTCCTTGTAGCTTTAGCGCAAAGTCCCTTTTCATGTTCGAACTACTAGCACCTTTTCTGCAAAAAGCAGAGACTGTATCACTGCAGCACGCAGGTGGATTGACGGAAGACGAAGATCGGAGCGCGTTTCCTTTCCTCTATTATCATCGTGTTTCTTTGGTTTATGGTTTTCGTCGCATTTTAGCATTTGGTCAGTGGGACGGACTTTCTTAGGCCCAGACCACGAGACAAATACAATCGTGTTGGAGAACCGTGGTAAGTGAAAGTTGAAGTTCGACCGAGGAAAGCGAAATAGATAGAGAAGAAAGATGAGAGTCGCGCAACTAGCATGGAGAAGAGAGACCGTGTTCTTTCTGAGGGAGAGGGAGTGAATTGGCCGCAACCGCAAGGTATCACCAATCATGGACGGTGTCGGTGTCGGAGGTGGAGAGCAAGTATTAAGTTGCATTTGTAGAAACACAAACAGCAGAACAAGAAAAGAAGCCGCATCAACGACAAATAAAAAAATCGAGGAAAAAAGGATGGCGGGCTCTTCTTCAGCATCTTCCTCCGCATCGACGGAGCAGGCGAACCAGGACCGCACCACTTTAATTTGCAGCCAGATTTTGGACCCGAGGCTATTGGTCCTGGAGATTTTTTCGGGAACATTGCTGAAGCTTTACGTGCGGGTGCTGGAGGCAAACGACGCGCAGGAGGCTGCGAAGCGTATTTTTTGAAATTTTGTGAGAGTTTTCACTTGCAACTTGTGATTAGGATTTCTTCCTTGTTTCATTCTTCTCGGTCAGATGTAGTACCATCAAGACCATCAACTACCAATACTCCGTCGTTTTCCGTTGCTCCAGCAGTCTGCATGAGGATTTTTGCGTAAAAATCCTAACAAGGTTCTACTGCGTCGAGTGGTTCCCCCGGCGCTGCGCGAGAAGAGGAAACCTATGAGAAGCGTCGGCGTCGGTTTCGGCTGCGCTTTCGCGCAATTTCGGAGTACTTGGTACGGCATTACCTGTTCGAAAACACCGAGGACGCCCTGGAGCCGGCGCAGGAGCAGGATCCAACGCAGCTTCTGGTCAATGCCATGCTTCATGCGAAGGACCGGATCACGGGCGCAGCGACCACTACTTCCAGTCAAGAGGGGGCTTGTTCCAAGAAGGACGACGTCGGCTTGAGTAAAGGGGAACTCAAATACTGGAGCCAGTTGGCACTGCAGGCAGGAATTCAAGCCATTCAGGACACGTGGACACCTTTGCGAAAGTACTCAGAATGCTGTTGTACCTAGTTGATCATTTCATGAAGCGTATAATTGCTTTCGCAAAGAGTTGTACAGAATCAGTTGCAGTAGACAACGAACTGTCACTGTGTACAATTTTTTCGGATCGATGAGCAGGATTTAAAAAGCTCAAATGGAAGGGAAAATGAAAAAGAAAAACAACGCATCACAGAATTCGTCGCATGATTTACATGGAGTATGCCGGTCGGATCCCCAAGCTCGAGGTCAAGGAGTTGTTTACGTGTTTGTCTCCTGTGAGCGAATCCGTGGAGGAAATCTATGAACTGTAAATATGTCTGGGTCTGGAAGAGTCCAAGTTTGTCATGCTAAATCTGATCAACGCAAAAGTCTGTATTGTGGGACCAGCAAAAGTCCTCACTTTTGGTTACCAGAAGGCGACATTTCTCATGCGCATTCAGCATTGAAGGGCCTTCTCAAAACTTGTGATGCTAGTGCTCACATTCCAGACCTTCTGGCTCATGCGAAAGCTGCATGACAAAGCTTGCGTCTTCCAGACCCAGACACTTTTGCATTTGATAAAATCAACACCATGCTGATTCACCTGTACATGCAATGTTTGGCGTCGCAAAGCTTCGAACCCGCGGCCTTGCAGGAGTTTCTCACCAAGGTTGGTCTTTTTAATTCTGAGACTTGTCATGCATGTTTTGCCTGGGCCATCATGTCTGTGATGCATGCCCTAGCATCACAGATTTTTTGAGGGCCTCGCGATGCCTATAATTCCGCATGACAAATGCCCTCTCCGCGTAGCAAAAATTACACTCCCTTTGCTGCTCATGCAATACAGATTTTTTTGGAATCCAAACTCAGCATCACAAGTTGCATTCTTCCAGACCCAGACATATTATTTTTTAGGAACGGACGGAGCCGTTAATGCAACCCGCCGAAAAGTTGGCCCAGAATTGGCCAGAAGTTCTTGGCCAGCGGCCATCATTACAGCGACCCGAATCCAGGCGCCAGCGCGGCGCGGAATGTAGCCCGATCGCCTTCTTTATGCAAGAACCCCAGTTGGCTCAAATTTTGAGCCGCACGAGGTTCCGCGGGTCCGCTTTCGTGGCCTGTCCATGTTGTGCATCGCTTCCCCTTGCGGCAACATGGGCGCGCCATCATTCGAGAAGCAAGTCCGCTCGAGAACTTTGTCCCGCCAAGATTCCGGCCAGAGAGGGGGGGGCGCGCCGTATTTTGCCCTGCTCCGGCTAGATTTTAGCTGCAGGCGCTGTTACTTGGGACAAAGGCGCGGCTACCATTGCCGGCAGATCGGCGCCCTTGCTCCCTGTGCCCGCTGGCCGTGCCGGAGCGGATTGATTCGGCGCCAACCCAGGCGCAACCTTGCCGGGAAGAGGGAGGGCCCACCAGCTGAGTCCTCATATGCGCCTACGCGTGGGGCAAAAAGTAGCACACGATCCCGCGCGCCTTTTTGCTCAGGAAAATGTGAAGCACCCACCAAGCCCGCCGCGTGCGCGTCCAACAAACAGGCCGCCCGCAACGTGGCCAGCTGCTTTGTATAGGCCGGCCGGTTGCGTAGGTCAGTGACTTGCTTCGGCCCGCTGTTTGAAGGCTTCGGAGAGTTCCGGAAACAGGGCGCTCGGGGCCGTTTGACAGGGGCCCCGGCCAACTCTGCAAAAAGGGCCAAAAAATGAGTGGTCGCAAAAAGTTAGCCAGAGGAGAGTAAAAAAGCTAGCCGGGAGCTCGCTAAAAAGTTAGCCAACGGCCGGATACAGGTGCGGAGAATTTTCCGACTTTCTAGAACAAAAGTTGGCCAAAAGTTGGCCATAGCATCGCCCTTTGCCGAAAAGCAAAAATCTGCGTTTTTTGCTTCCCTTCCTTGGTTAACGTCTTGGCTAACTTTTGGCTAACTTTTATTTTTGCGGCTAATGCAGGAGTTTCTCACTTTTGGCTAACTTTTGGCTAACTTCGAACCCGCGGCCTTGCAGGAGTTTCTCACCAAGGTTGGTCTTACTTGCAAACTTTTATTTATCCCCCAGAAAAAGACCGACAGGTCATATTTGTAATGCAAAAATAAATAGACAAAAAAATCTGTATTGCATGCCCTAAACAGGATGTTATGGCCTCGCCCATGACAGATTTTCCTGTGTATTTATTTTTGCATTACAAATATGACCTGTCGGTCTTTTTCTGTGGGATATTGTTTTTTGGAAACCTGAACTTGTTGAGGTCTTGGACCCCACGACGAGCATCTTGGTTGTTCTGTGTCGCCGTCCTGTTCACTTCCTTCTCTATGCTCTGCCTTTCTGTATGCACAACTATAACTTTAACTATTTTCACTACGGGTTTCTACATCTACGTGTACCTGTACGTTCAGGTTTCCGCCGCCGTGGTCGACACCCTGCAAGAACACGCCGCCATGGGCGGTAGTGACGATGTCAGCCTGGTTCTCGCACTGCACATGCTCTGCCCAGAACAGCCACAAGTACCGACCGCTGCGAAAAAGCAGGACGCCGAGAGTGAGTTTGTGGAAGAAAAAGTTCGCGAGGCGCTACTCGACGCCTTCCACCAAGGTGCAGCGCTTTCGCTGGTCAAGGGCGCCCTGAGTAGCGACAAGGAAAAGCAAAGAAACAAATGCCTGAAAAAGCTACTCGCGCACCTCGTGGAAAAGGTATTTCTTCATTTTGTGTGCCACAATGGTAATGGAATGCCATAGATTCATGTTGACTCGGCAAGTAGAAGTGCGAACAAGAGCCTCCGGTCCTGTCAGATTTACATACAAAATGAAAACTTAACATGTTCTGTTGGTATTGATCTTATCACATTCCAACGACCAGGCAATTCTACTGGGCAACCACCGGGCATTGCGGGCATCGGAAATCCGGCGTTGGACGTCTTCGGACGTGCTATTGTGGGCGTTCGAAATGCAATTGGGTCTGGACGTGTTTTCCCTGCTGTGTCGCGGCGACGTGGATGGTTTGCTGCTGTCTACGTTGGAAGACGCCGATCTCGAATCCCTCAGCGAGAGCCAGCGTGCCAACTTCTACGCGTGTCGCGACGCAGCGCTAGTGAAAAAGCCAGCAGTAGTTGAAACGAATTCGACCTCGCCTGGTGGTCGTGGTGCAGCGGCTGCTAGTACACATCATCAAAAGAATCAAGCAACAACGACCTGCTCGTCTCTCGCCGACGGCAGCGCGATTCTCCTCGGGCAAGTGGGCACCCCGGACGTGGAAAGCACTAACCAGAGGATGGGGCCCCTGCTCGCGAAAGGGGGTGACACGTCGCCGGAAAAGCTGGCGAAACTGCTGGAGGAACAGATGTCCTCTAGCGTCGCCAGGATCGAGGCGGCGGAGCAGGCATTTTTCCAAACGCCGGAAGTCGGTGCGGACGAGGAAGGTGCAGCAAATAATTATACCGACGCAACAGCTGCAGCTGCTTCGAAGGGTGGAGCTGCAGATCATGGCATAGGAAATATTAGCGCTGGAGGTGGCGCAACGACCGACACCGAGCTGCAGTCTTCTAGTTCGTCGAGCGCGCGGGGGCAGCTGCAAAAATTTCTGTTCGAGCGCGTGCCAGGTAACGTGCAGGAGCTGGTGGACGTCTATAACCCGCTCAGGTGTTACAATCTCAAACGTTACAATAGAATCTGAGACTGTCTTGCATGATGAGCATGACAGATTCGCAGAGCTTTCCACTTTCTGCAATACAAATTGCGCCAGATAGTAGTGGCGTTTGAGGCTCCGGAACTTGTCATGCGCAATCCTATGAGAGTTGGCTAGACCATGCGCTTTTGCATCACAGATTTCCATATTCTATTGTAACGTTTGAGATTGTAACAGCTGAGCGCGTTATAACGTCGCCAACCAGTTTCTGGCTGCGGAACACCAAGGGCTCGAAACCAAAGACGACGCGGAGGGAGGTTCTTCCGGTCCGCGCTTCACCCCCCGGCTGATGATGAACCGGGACCAGACACTGAGCAAGTGGGGCATCGAGCTCGTGCAGGGCGGCGCCTCCGTTTGCTGCTGCAATGTGGAACAGGTGATGGGCTTCGTTTTCAACGCCAACAGCAGTCCGAAATCGAAAGCCAGCTCGTCGTCCAATAGATTGTCGAGCAGTACAAGCGGGACGACCGCTCGCGGCGGCGGTGGCACAACTGGTGGAACTTCTGGTGCTAAAACGGCCGGGGACTTTCTGAAGGATTTCCTCGTCGCAAAGCAGACCTATGAGACAGCACTGCGCGAAAAGCAAGAGATCATCGAGGTGTTGCTCCAGGAACTGGAAAACGAAAAAAGTAAGAAAGCCGGGGGAGCAACAAGGGCGCAGCAAGAAGACCAGGAGGAAGACCACACAGGGTGGAGTCCCATCACACCGAAAGTGGGACAGGCCGCCGAGGAGAGCGCAGATAGTAATGACGTCTTGCGCCTCCAAGTAGGTGAAGAACAACAGCCACCGACTGCAATTTCTGATACGAAGGACAAACCCATTGTCGCCTCCCCTCCGCCCCTGGAGGACAAGCAATTGAGCGAGTTGGCGGCGTTGCAGCGAGAGTTTCTGGATGAGGTTGCGGGCGGGAGCAAACCCAACCGGGTGGACACCGCCTCATCGGTGACAGAAAGTTTGGAAGAAGTGGAGAAAAGTTTGGAACTCGTAGCTGTCGGCGCCCGGGTGAAGACTTTCAGAAAGAATGAAGCAGGACCTAGTACAGGAGCAGCGTCCGGGCGGTCAGCCGCTTCATCTGCAATGCCCCCGAAGAGCCAGGAATTGGGTCGTGCGATGTCCGTCGACGAAGACGGACTACAATGCGAATTGGAGTCGCCGCAAATCAACGGCATTCTCACCGAGGAGCCTCGGCCGGCGACGAGTCTCCGTCCGGCGGCGGACGATGGGGCGAGCAGTGTAGGAACGACACCGAGAACGCAGGGTCCTGCACGCGGAAATACAGTGCTGAAGAAGAACAATTACATGCAACAAGAGAAAAATCTGCCCCGACCCTCCCCACCGAAGTTCATTAAGGCAGATCCGATTTCGTCTCCTATCGATGCAGCTGCAGCCTCCTCCGCCGCAGCGACACCGCTGTCAGACATGAAAATCGCTACCAAAAGCAGGAAGAACAAGGACAGCAGTAGTACGAGCCAACCGCCACCGCCTCGCATGCAGAGTCTTAACTTTGCGGTGAACGCAGCAAGTAAGCTGAAGGCGTTTCCGAAAGCGGGCGGCCTGGTCATGGCCCCGCCGAAGCCATCGCCACTGCTGAAACCGCGGCCGTTCCAGGGCGGGAGCCCGCGGATCTCCAACTTCGCAGCGGACTCGACCCTGTCTCCGCGGATCGAGGGCCGCGACGTCGTGCTGCAAGCAGGTGGCGTGATGCGCTCAGCTTCCTCGTCCTCAACATCACAGGCGGAAGACGGCGAAACAAGCGGAAGTGTGCTTCGCACGCGCGGCTTTCACATCCGGTCTCCTCGGTCAGGCTTGCAACTAGCTGCGGCGCACGTAGCGCCGACGCGCAATGCACTGAATTTTGTCGGCGCGCCTCCTCCCAGAACGAACGTAAATAGCATGGTCAGTGTGTCAAAGCCGACATCGGGAATTGACGAAGCGAGCCGATCAGTGCCTACGCAGGTCCCTGCGAAGCTATTGGCTGAGTTGGCCGGCGAGACCTCGGCACTTGCCGCTGGAGCCTCGTCTACAGCATCGGTCGGGGCGCCTCCACAGGCCGCTGTGGGCAAAAGGTACTTGCTATCTCTTTATTCTTTTTCTTAACGAAGGAGTGCATCATAAAGTCAGTGGGACTAGAACTAGAAAGCATGCCGTAGATGAAATGCTCTGTATGGCATCGAGATCGAATGCGAAGACAAGTACAATTGTCTATGTCATGAACAAAGAGTGATTTTCATCACAGGCCTCCGTCTGGACGTAGCCAGCAGGTTCGATCTCGCGAGAACAGTAAGCAGTCTTCTTCCGGGGCGGGTGGAGTGCAATCTCCGAGTCTTGGCGCGAGCCCCGAGGATGCCGGTCCAACTTCGGAGGCAATTCTCGCAGCTGCGAAACAAGGCTCCAGCGGTGCAACCGCACGCGCAGGATCCCAATCCTCAAAAGATACGAAAAATAAGCCTCTTCCGCAAACAACTACGAAGCGGCTTGTCGAGCCTGTCGCAGTCAATCAAGAGCCCCAGTTGCGAGGACGCACGAGAGCCCCAGTCCACAATGTCGTGAAGTCCTCGCCAGAGCAAGCTGCGTCGAAAGTGGAAGACGGCTTGATTGGCGCGCCCAGCACTACATCGAACAAATCCGCACTGAAATCCCCGACCTCAACGTCTTCCAAGCTAAGTCAGAGCAAGGAGAGAGCCGCGACGATGAAAACTGCAAATGTGAAACATGTGAAAGTGTTGAGCAAGCCCGTAGTTGAGATCGAAGAAGACAACGTCCCCACCTCCGCCACCGAAGCCAATGGCAGCGCATCAGCGAGTTCCAGTGCGGAAGAGGGAACAAATGCAAGTGGTTTGACGGTGAAAAAGATTGCCGCATCTTCGTCTTCCGGCGCCGGCAATAAGATCGTCGTCTCCTCCCCTTCTAGCGGCTCAGCGAACACAGTAAAAAAGATCCCCCCGCGCGGTGACCGACCTCCAATGAAACTTGTCGGTGGAGGTGGACAGGGATCATATCGAGCGCAAATCGACATGCCGAATCGCCCGCGACTCCCGCTGCCCCAGGTCGCGGCCAACATTCGGCACCGCATGACGTCAAAGTCCCCGGATGGCCGTCTTTTGCAGTTTCAAGTCGCGAGGATCTCCCCGCATATCTCGCCCCGGGTAAGTCCGAGGAACGCTGCGGTGAAAATCAAAACTTCGAAGTGAAGAAACAAAAAGAACTTCAAACAGGAGGGTTGAGTCGTCTCTATCATGTTGTGTGCGCAAAGAGACTCTGTAGCATGTTGAGGTCAAGGTTTTTTCCAAGTAGTAGATGAAATGGAATGATGTTGTCGCCACGCGGGCACCATCGTCGATAATTCACATCGATAGGATAGATTTGCAAGCGTCCGGAAGCTTTGTCTTTATGGGCGTGGACGATGCAGAATTTTCGCAGGTGATGAATATGAATGAAAGTCTTCGCCTAAAAGAATAACGTCCTAAAAATTGCGCACCAAGTTGGTGCGCAATTTTGCAGAGAACTTAATAAAGCTAGACTAAATCCCGAAACCCGAAAGACGACACCCAGTAAGGATCCCGAATCGTGATTCGGGAATCGGACAAACAAGGGAAAAGGTCGTATTTTCTTTCAAAGATTCAATCGAAGCACGAGCGCAAGAGCCGACTACTGCCCTATTGTGGAAAAGAAAAAGATACATTCGGATATGATGTGCGGTTGCGGCTACAGGCTGCCGCGGCAGTGTGGTTGTCAAAAAGGAAACTCACGTTGCGATGTTGAAAGTCAAATAAGACTGCAAACTCACGACTTCGCTGATCATCAAGAAGAGACATACTTCTGTCCTACTAGGATGTGGATGGACCTTGGAACCTGATCAAGTACACGTGGTTTGCATCATCATTGCCAAGACAGTTGTACGATGCGATCGATGAGGAAGATGATCAATAAAGCTAGGCGAATATGCCATTAGGCCATGATGGTAAATAATTGAAGATCATGAAGATCTGCAATGCGTGGACATTAATTTTTACCAAGATCGACGACCGTCCTGAGGTAGTGGCTGCCAATGAGAAGAATGATCTGTGTAGTGGCGGTTCAGAGAGTAGTTGAAGGTCGTGCTCCTTATATTTCATTCCGATCATCCACCTTTCGCCCCACTTGTGGTTGCTACGTAGCCTTTCGCCGATCCATCTGATCACGACCGCCGACAAGCTACATGATCAATCTAGGTGCGCCAGGACATTGATGTTTACGCTTCCTCTGAAAATGAATTTGTGGCGATTTTTTGTTATCAATTTTACTAGATCATCGACCCCTAAGAATTTTCGCTTCCGTTTATTTGCCACGAATTATTCATCTTAGACGCGTTCGAGCGACCCAGTGCTTTTCTTGTTAAGAGCATCAAAACAAAGCGAAAAATGTTGCACAGCCGAGCATCACTATTACTTCTGCTCGGGTCGCTGGCAAGCTCCGCGGCGGTCGCGAAAGCAAAAGCATCCAGAAGGGATGAAGATATTTTACACCACGACGCTCGCGACAACGCGGCAACTTTGTCCTCCGCTTCTTCCACTACATCCCAACCAGAGACCTCCACATCGCCAGTGCAGGACGCGGAAACACCACCAGCAGCAGAAGCCGTCGATGGTGAAGCTGGGACCCGGGCCAGCACATCCGACGTCGAAATTCACGTCGAGCAGATGCATGAGAGCAACATAGAAGAAAACGAATGGCTTCTCAACAGTGGCAGCGACTATGAAGTAGATAACGAAATTTCTGCACATCAGGAGGTAAAGCGAGAACACGCTGCCACGAGTTGGGAGAGAGTCACCGCGAAAAATCAGAGTGAAGAGGAGCAAAGTAGTGTTGAAATGCTGCAAACAACTACCACCTCGACTTCTGAAGTCGTACCCTCAAGAAGTACAGAACCGAATCACGAGGACGGCGAGGCACCAGACGCAGCCCCAGCACCTGTTGCAGAAAAGAAGAATTTCCAAATTGACCCGTCGCAAACTGAATATCACGTATTAATCCATAGAGCTGAGTACCTAGCTACTGTTACCACAGCAAGCGTTCTTTTGACTACAATAAGCCACGAGTTTCGTTTCTAGAAGTACTGTGACCCCCGCGCCCGACGTACTTAGTTTAGGACGAGTCGGAGCCCTGCTTTTCAACCCACAATTTGCTTTCACTTCAGGTTTGCCGACTGTTTTGCGAGCGACCTGTTCAGTATGCCTCTGTGGAGCGGTTTTGCGACGAAGTCGTGAACGGGGAGATCGTCAACATGATGCCGATGAATGAACACGTGCACCTACTGAAGACGCTCCAGGAACTCGGCCTCGATTTGCAGGAGCTGGGTCCGCAACTGCGTCGCAAGACACTGGGGCTTTTCTACGTCAGGCGAAGATACCACGACCGAGAAACGGGCAAGGTACGCCAGATGAAAGGCTGTTGCGTGATCGCGGTCGTTCATGTGTCTGTTTATGGGGTTGCTTTCGTTTCAAGTTTGTTACCTCTAGAAAATCAAAAATACAAACCAACAACGATTCATCATCATGTTGGCATTTTTAACAGGTGACTGAAGGGGACACTTTCGAGCTCGTTGAATTTCACGAGCGCCCGAAAGGCTACAAGCGTGAGCGCCAGAACGAGACGGCGCTGAAACAGTTTTTGCGACCGTATGTGGAGCAAATCCGGGAATTTCTCGCGGACCTGGGGGTATTCCGGGGAATGGAGCAGACCAGAAGCGCGATCAATGCGGCTTCCGCCTTTGCAAAAGCCAAAGCAGCCAATTTTCTGGCTGCGAGCCACCTGGACGTGTACGCAAAGAGCGCATACCACGAACTGGCAAGAGTGTTCCCAGTGGATCATATTCTAGATCTGGCAAAGACCTTCCGACGTGCTGGCGTTACGGATGAGGCAACAAGCAGAAATTATGCAGAAATTAAAGTAAATGAAGAGGAATTTGGTGCCAGTGGTGAATTAGCAGCGGAAGTACAATCGTCCTCTAGTGCGGCAGAACCCAGCAGCGCAAAAAGTGATGAACAAGAATCTTCGATATCTACATCTACTCTGACGAGCGCCGGTCAGCTGCACCAAAATGCAGAAGAAAAGGACTCCGAGTTGTCAACGACTCTAGAACCTTCGTCGTCCATGTCCGAGACCGAAACTTTTCAATCCGTTCTGTACGTCTTCAACGATTACTCGGACGACGAGCGCGCAGAGACGGCGCAGGAAGCACAGCACCAAAAAAGCCATGCTGCTTCTGAAGAGGACAAGGAGCACGAGCACCAGAGGAAAGATAAAACGCAGCCGCGCCAGGAGCTGCCCTCTATCTGTGCGGAGCAGTGCGTCGATTATCCGTTTTACCCGAAACACAATCACATCACGTTCGAGGATATCAAGTGCAAAAGTGTCTGGGTCTGGATCTGGAAGGGTGTAACCTGTGATGCGCATTTCAGAACAAACAAAAATCTCTCATGCATAGGTAGCAAAAGCTGCTCACTTTCTGTCACCAAAATGGGGGACTTGTCATGCGGGTTCGGTATTGCGGAAGCTTCCGGAAACCTGTGATGCTAGAGCTTCCATGCCAGACCTTCTGTGTCATGCAGAAACAGCATGACTCTTCCAGACCCAGACATTTTTGCATTTGATAGAGGACAGCGCCGCAAGCTTCGAAGAGTACACCGCGTCCCACTCGCTAAGCTCGGATCGAGAGGCGAATCTGGAGAAAAGATTGCTCGCGAACGAGTTTTGCAAAGGCAGCTTTCTACGGACTTGGGAGGAACAGATGTCGGATCCCACGACGTACATGATGATGTGGCTGCCATTCTTCTTCGCGTGAAGGTGATCAACTCATTATGGACTCACGACCGTACGCACTTGCGAACAATATCCTACGTTTTCAGAAAAGCAAACGAGAAAAGATTCAAAATTGTGTCACCCATGGTCAATGAATATCTTTCTTTGAATGTGTTTCATCACGATGAATGAATCGGATTCGGAGCAGAAGCGTTTGCGTTAAGTAAATCGCACATAGCTCGTCCCAATGGCCACACCCATTGTTTGTTTCGTTTTCTTTGTCAGGAGTGTCGAAGTCGAAGAGGAAAGTAAAGAATAAAATCGCAAACAAGTTTGGTGAGAGCAGAGCGTTCTTGAAGAGTGACCCACCAGAGGACAACCTTTACAAAGTTGTACAAAATGGGGCAGATGAGTTTTTCTTCGTTTTGTTGCTTTTCCTTTTTCCTTTTCACATTGATTCTCGGCGGTCACGAAGTAGATGAGAGATGAAAATTTCCGGTTTCGAATTCGACATTTGCAAACACAGGTATAGCAGTTTGCGTTTCTCCATTCCGTTTTTTTCGAAGAAGTTTGAGCGGACTGTTTCCAGTCTTTGATCTTCCTTCCCAGAGTTGTTGACTTGAACAGAAACCATGCCTGGAAGTGTCTACTCGGAGCGATCAACATCTTCACGGTCGGCAGCCTCTACGGCTTATTCGATCCAGAAAGCCAGACCGGTGCGGAAGACCGCCAGACACGACATTGTCAATGGTAATCTACTGGTTGTGCCCACTTGGGGCTTGAAGATTGATCAACGCTGTCTACTTCATGTTGATGCATGCATCGTAAATTATTGTGGAAGCCGTAGCTACTTGCTACTTGGTCCGTGTAAACAAATCTCAGGTAGTGTCATTCATAACCCGTACACGCCGGAAGTGATGGCGGCGCTTCGCATAACGTATTTGAAAACGTCCCCACCCCATAGTTGTACTGCAAATCTGCATGCTAGGAATGTTTCTCATGCGGAGCCCCATAACAAGCATCTTCTAGTCGTGTTTCGGAAACGGAATCTGTCATGCTCCAATCAGCATGATATACGAGATCTGTTATGCTGTAGTTGAGCTACCTTAAACATAAACAGCACTACACTACGAGTCCAAATTTGTCATGCCAAACATTCATAATTTGGGGACTTGTCTAGCGGATTACCCCATCTTGACTATGGGGTGGGGACGTTTTTACATAGGATATCGCAGTCGCGGTGGTCCTACGTGGCTTCGCGGCCACGTTGAGCACATGTCGGGCGTGGACGCGTAAGTTGTTGTCTTCAGTGATGCTTAGTGCATTTTTTGATATGGATTTGAATTTGTTCTTCAGTCACCAGTTACTCGCATACCATAAGATGCGTGCCAAGGGTTGAATTTGTTCTTGAGCGGCATAAAGGCAAAGCGCAATCGGAATCGTCGGGGTCGTATGTAAGTAGTTCCTTTTCTTCACAAAAAATCACTAACGCCAGATGAAACCAAAATCAAAACCAAAACGCAGTTTGGGCTATAATCACGGACTGTATGCGGCGGTGAAAAATCTGGGCAATTTCGAGGTAAATTTCAACCAGCTGTTCGGGCTCTCCGCAGCGGAAGCCGACCTAAACAAAACGTTGATCAACCGGCTCACGTTGGCGCTTGAGGCGGTGGCCGAAGATCGCCACGACGGGCAGGTAGTACAATCTAGAGCTTGTTGTCGGACGGGTGGCTTCACTGTTTGTGCTTTCCTGTTTGATTTTTTCTGCACGGGAGGTGAAAGAATACAAAAATGAAAATGATGTTATGTCTCAATCATCAATTGCATTCTGTGCATCACGGCCAGTAAGTATGGTCGAGGAGCTCGAGGTCGAGAGAAACTCGCCCACAATAAAGGAGCCGTCAATAAATCACTGCCAGGGTCGCGCCCTCGACATGCGATTATTCACGGAAGCTTGCCACCAATGCGGGCTGGGTCATTTGCGGCCGCAGACGATGAAGAAGATGTTTAGCCGCATCGACGCCTCGCAGGACGGCTGGATGAGCTTTCGCGAGTGGCTCGCCTTGCTGGACTCGGCGCACCCGAAGACCTCGAACCGGCCATCGGTGAACCTCGACGCCCAGCAGGAGACGAAACAACAGATGATGTCCAGCACGGTCGCGAACAGCACGGGGCGAACGAATCTCGTGGGCCTAACTGGTGGAGCAGACCCGAGAGCGGTCTCGCCAAACTATTCCGAAATCGAAGATGACGAGGAGATCATCGAAGAGGAGGAGGCTGCGGTCGTGCAGGACAGCAAACAAATGACAGGTAGTACGGTGCTCGCATCCTCGGCGAAGCACCTGCAGCCGTCGCGGGCCTCGAGCAAAAGCACTGCTGCGAGCCTGCGGGAAACCAACGGGTCTTCGAAGCTATCGTCCTCGTCCTCCAGTCCGACCTACGACCACGCGCCGATCGTTGTAACCGCGCCGCAATGAAGATTTACGTTGCATATAGCTACAACATCATGTTTCCAAAATAAGTCTGCCGAAAATTTTGGTGTTTAGGTCATACGACCACGGTTTTTTTTGCTCGTCTTGCTATGATGTCGTTTCCTTGCAGGGCCTGTTTCGAGATAAGTAAAAATTCGTCGCTTTTTATTTATTACGACAAAAGTCTACTTACTTTTTTGGCCCTTTGCCGCTGTCGATGTACAATAAAGAAATCAAGTAAACAAACAAAATGGAAATCGACATCAATGCTCCTGGCTGGAAGGGCCGCAAGAAGAAATTGCTAAAAAATCCGACTCGAGATTTCATCGTTGGCGGTCTGGCACCAAGAAAAGGAAGCTCATGAGCACCATGATCATGCAGCATCCGATCGGCTGAACCTTTCGGATTGGCTTTCTGTCTGCGCACGACCATGTTGTTGATGCTGCGCTCCACCTGCGGATTGATTGTATGCGATTGATTATCACCACAACCTCTTCCTGGCTTGATCCAGCGGCTCTCGGTAAAAGAAATACTTTTTGGACTCGGTTTTTGCCGTCTCCCCTCTTGAGGGGAGATAAGTATTGCCGCCAGAATTCTGGTCGTGCATCTTTTTGAGCGAAAAATTCTGAGAAGGAGTCCAATTAGTTCGTCAAAACTAGTAAAGTAAAGGCAATCGCATCACGTACATTGAGTCATATATCATTCAGTGAACATGTTGGCACAACAACATGCCCGGTAGTCTACTATATCGGCTTCATTTGCATTTTCTTTTTCAGTAATTATCATAATCATTCTTGAAGGCAGTACAACTGCTACTAGTCCTTTTCCTTTATTACTTCTCTTTGACAAGCTCATCGCAAGTTCATCAGCTTGAACCGGTAAAAATTGTACTTGCAAAAATATTCACCAATATCTAGCTTCAGATTCAGGTAAAGAAGTAAAAAAAACAAAGAAAAAGATGGCGTGTTGCATCTCCCCGGGCAAAGCCCGCAAAGCAGAAGGCGAAGCTGTGGTTCCGCCGGTAGAAAGTGGCGGGAGCGTGTGGGCGGACAAAATTTCCAAGGAGCCCTACTGCCAGCCCCACCTACTTACTGATGGTGTCGATGCAGAGAAGCTCGGGGCACAGTTGGGGAAGCTGGACAAAGGTTGGAATGCTAAAAATTGTGATATTTGTGCCGTTGGTGTTGATCTTTATTCAGGTCTTCTGAAATGAAGCACAAGCAGAAAAATGACCCTCGCCATCGGTGGAGGATGACAGAGACAATCAACGCTCGTGCAAGCGCAGCATTTGCATTCCGCCAATAGTGTCGTGGCAAAATTTCGTTGATTCTTTTTTTCCGAAAACTATCGAAGAACACCAGAAAGAAAATCAAATTTCAGGTATTCCCGGCGGTCTGGCGGGGTACATCGAACGTTCGAAAAAGTTGTTACACGAAGTGAAGAACGACGTAAACCCTCTGGCCGACTACACAGTCAGCCAAGCGACCGGCGTTAACCTGAGCGGCGACGCCGGTCCCGGTTCGTTGCAGTTCGAAGAGTACGAAAAGCTTGGGATGCAGAAACTTGGCAAGCTCGGCTTCGTCCTGGTGGCCGGCGGCCTCGGGGAGCGTCTCGGCTACCCCGGCATCAAAGTGGAGCTACCCGTTGAGATGGCCACCGAGCTCTGCTTTCTGAACTTGTATTGCAAGTACGTTCTAGCGGCGCAGGCATACGCGAACGAGGGAAAAGCAGTACACTGTTGTTGTGCTTTTTCTCTATGATCAATGAGCTTGGACCCCTACCGATTATGGTTCGCGCCGGTGTTAAGAACAAATGAAACAAGGAAACTACTACACATCAACATCAGGACAAGGACAAAGTCGTGCTTCCGCTCTGCATCATGACGTCCGGGGACACGCACGACAAGACGGTTGCACTACTCGAAAAGAACGGCAACTTCGGGTTGGCTGCCGACCAGCTGTTTCTGATGCAGCAAGACAAAGTTCCCGCGTTTTCCGGCGAGAAGTGCGAGTTCGTTCTTATCCCCCAGAAAAAGACCGACAGGTCATATTTGTAATGCAAAAATAAATAGACAAAAATAAAAAATCTGTATTGCATGCCCTAAACAGGATGTTATGGCCTCGCCCATGACAGATTTTCCTGTGTATTTATTTTTGCATTACAAATATGACCTGTCGGTCTTTTTCTGTGGGATAGTTCTCTCGGACAGCAAGGACGGTATCGAGACCAAGCCCCACGTATGCAATGCAAAAATGTCTGGGTCTGGAAGATTCTGAGACTTGTCATGCACGGCTTGCATGAGCCATGATGTCTGTGATGCATGCCCTAGCGTCACAGGTTTTCTGAGGGATTCTTGATGCCTATGTCGCATGACAAGTGCCTTCTCCGCGTAGCAAAAATTAGAATCCTTTTGCTGCTTATGCAACACAAATTTTTTACACATCCAAACGCAGCATCACAAGTTGCATTCTTCCAGACCCAGACATTTTTGCATTCGATACCACGGGCACGGGGACGTCCACACTCTGATGTACATGAAGGGCATTGCCAAAAAGTGGCTGAAGGACCTGGGGCTGGAGTACGTACTGTTCTTCCAAGACACAAACCCGCTCGCCTTTCGCGCACTTGCCAGTTGTCTGGGCGTGTCGGTATTGGATGGTGATGCAGAATCTCGTGGTCTTCACGACGTTATTTTGTTTCATACTGTCAATTATCGCATCATGTGGTCCAAGATCAAGGAGATTTTCTTTATGATTATGACAATGTAAAACTATACTCAAACGCAGGTAAAAAATGAGTTTGCGATGAACTCGCTTGCTGTTCCGAGAAAAGCCGGGGAAGCGGCTGGTGCCATTGTGCAGCTGGTGCGCAAGCCTGGCGCGGCGGACACGGGCATGCCGGCAAATTTGGTGATCATATCAAATGCAAATATGTCTGGGTCTGGAAGATTGCCTGGTTTGTCATGCTTGTCTAACATGACTCGGAACTCTGTCATGCGTAGGTGCAAAAAGATCGATGTGTCTGTGATGCAAAAGCGCAGTCTGCCATGACATGCGGAATACGCTACACATAGCAGCTCAAAAACTTGTCATGCTTGGCCATGTATGACAGTGCGCCCAGTATTCCCTAGCTTGCATCACAAGTTTCCAGACCCCCATTTTGCATTTGATAGATCAACGTAGAATACAACCTCCTGGGCGGGCTGCTCGCGGACCAGGGCGGCGACTCCGCCATCAACGAGGCCAACGACTCGGCCTACCCGGGTAACTGCAACATTCTGCTGTTCCAGCTTGAAAAATACGTGGCCGCGCTCGAGAACTCCCAGGGGGTGATGCCCGAGTTTGTCAACCCGAAGTTTCAGGACAAGGAAAAAACAAAATTCAAGCCCACCCGGCTGGAGTGCCTCATGCAGGACTTCCCGCGGCTTTTCGCCGACGCAAAGGTCGGGTTTACCAAGTACGACCGGTGGCTGTGCTTCACGTGCGTGAAAAACAACTTGGAGGACGCCAAGAAGAAGTCCGCCGCGCTGCAGCCGCCAGACTGCTGCTTTTCCTGCGAGTCGGACATCTACTACTGCACCAACAAGTTGCTAATCCTTGCCGGGAGGCCAGCAACGGAAAAAGTGGACGTACAGGACGTGGAGGAAGAGGTAAGTAAGTAGATAGATGATTTGCTCTGGGCGCGTCTTGGTCGCTCTCGATTGCGATTCGTGTGGTAAACGCTTCTTTACGCCTGTAGCTTCAATAGAAGATGCTGAACAAATTTGCTCGCTTTTCAAAAATTGGACGCAGTGACATAAAGTGCTACTTTGCTCTTCTGTTAAAGGATAGTACTTGTTCCCAACACACCAGATGACCTCCATCAGCGAAAAAACGGAATTTCTCGGGATAGAAAAAAACCTTCCCCCGGTCGCGGTGTTACTGCCAAGCTTCGCGTTGAGTCTCGCACAGTTGCGCGAACGCCTGAACAACAAGCCACTCAAAATCGACGCGGGCGGAATGCTTGTGGTGGAGGGCAATGTGAAGTTTAACGGCTTCACATTGGAAGGCGCCGTGGACCTCCGGTCACCGCTCGGCGCTCCTGCCACCGAAATACCGGCGGATGCGGTGGCAACGAACGCATCGGCAAAACTGGTCGCTATGGAAGAAAAAGACATGGACACCGATGTGAAGAAAATACGGGGGTACAGCCTGCTCAAAAACGACGTCTGGGATTTGAAAACGCTGGTTGAAAAAACCGCAAAATGATCTACTCGCACCAGCGACCACCTGCTGAAATAGGAACTGGTTCTTGCGGTACTAGTCCTCATGCCGCAATGGGCGCCGGGGGCAAAGCCTGTTTTGCTTCGGCCGAGCGGGATCGAAGACGTTTGCAGCAATTTTCCAAATCTTGTTCGCGGCAAGAGGGCACAGTATCCAAAAGGTCGAGCGCGTTTCACATTCTTGTAAAACCAAAGCAAAAACAAAAACAAGTGGCTCATATGCATTAACTTCAGATGCAGTTTTTAGTTTCATTGCGCAAGCACTATACACTTTTTCAAATCTTCCGAAAAGGACAAACAATGAGATGTCCACTGCAGTAGCAAACATTAACATTATCATTGATGTGAAAATCAAATTACCAACGAGTTTGGGAGCCTCATAAAATAGTGCAAAACAAGAGCAAATCTACGGCCTTGTCTTGCATTACAGCTGCAGCTGCTGACGAACATGCGTTGTAATTGAGATACGGTCGTGATGGTAGCGTGTCGCTGAATGATCAAATGTAAATGATTTCGCGGCCGCACTCAGTCTACGACGTAATCGTAAATTAAGAAGAACAATAGTACACAGAGAGAAAGGATTCGACTGCAGCGTAAATGCAGAAAAGTCGACGACATCATCTGTGCGTGCGATCTGTGCCGATGAAGATCGAAGTTCGTTTACTTTGCGCAGTGTTCATCGAGCATTGGAACTAAGTTGCGGACCAAGGTCACCACGTGATGCACTGAGTCCATCATTCTACTGATTCTGAATTGCAGCTGTGGCGTCGTAGCCGTGACTTCTTTTCGAAGTTTTTCTTTTTGCTGGGTGGGCGGGGCATCTTCATTTCCTTAGTTAGTTATACTTTTATTCGGAATATTCCGACGATCCAACACCAAAACACCCTTGTCGTGATTTGTCTTGTTTATTGTAAACAAAACAAAGAAGTCGAAAGAAACAAGTTGTAGCACCGTCGTCGTCGGGGAGTCGTTGAGTGATAGGGATTGACTGGGGATCATTTATCGTCGTCGAAAATAAATGCTGCGATCCATTGCCAAAAGAACCATGTGTCGTGTTTCGAGATCGACGTACGAAGTTTTCGGACCTTTCTTTTGTCTTTTTCTGTCTTTCGTACATGAAAAAAACAGCCCCCGCTGAGAAACAACTGATCATGGATACATATCAATTTTAGGAAACGCAGCAGGCTTGCGCTTGATGATCTTTTTTTGTTTAGATGTGAAGATGATACCTACTGGGGATTATAACTGGGGTAAACAGAAAGCAGAATAATCAATGATATCGCGGCGAGAAATTGGACTTTTTTGACAGACTTTCATCTTACTGTGGATCTCGACGAAAAAATGGCTCAGCTAAAACCCGTTGACGCAGAGCGGAAACAGAAGTTTCCATCTCTTTACGGCAAAGAAAGCGCCGCCGCTATCATAGAACGAAAGGAGCTGGAAAGTCTAGACGTATCAAATTGATGACAAGCGTTTAAGTTTTTTCTGCCTATTTTCTTCTAGTTGTCGTTCAGGTTTTGAGTTCGCTTGTTCTGATGTTTGAGATGATTAGCCATTGATATCCTTGACTCTATCAGGTCGAACCGGGCCCAGGGGCTTATTTCGGCCCCGACTCGAGCGGATTCAACGCGTTGGGCAACCAGAGGTTTTCACGATGTAGGTCTGAGCCCTCCGTGAAATTCGCACAAACAGGCTGGCACGAATGGCGTGGGGTCTTTGTAACGAAGCAACACCGGCCGGCGAAGGCCGGTGACGACGTGCCGGGGGCAGGAACGTACTGAATTTTCCTTCATGTGTTGATGTTGTCTTCACCAGCCAGTCTCCGGCTCTGAAAGCAAGAGACAGGATGAAAAATCGAGTTTATTTACGTCACGAACGGGAACCGGATCCGGAACATCAACATGTATGTGCTTGAGCATCTACAACATCATATAATTCACCTACCATGTGATTGTCAACCGCTCGAGTACTACAACAACTCAATCGATTTTTCTTTCACTTTCAAGAATCACGTATCACGATAGGTATTTCGACAGCATCGACCAGTTGAGCACGATGAACGTAGAAAGCGGTGTCGAAATGCCGAAAGCGCAGCGATTTCCGAAAAAGGCATACTCAAGTGCGTCACCGGGCCCAGCGTACGACATTCGAGGAAAGCATCAGAAAGACGTCACGACGATAACGAGGTACAGAGCAGTGTCTTCGCATTGCTTGTAATTGTATCATGTGAACGTAGGTGAGTTCAATCATGTTCATGGAATTGCAGCAGTGGAATGGGATTATTAGGTCACAGACGTGCAACAAGTAGGGCGTCGTGCAAGTGCGCTCGGGGAAAGTAATCTGGTTTATCCGAAATGACTTAAATCTACCTCTACTTCAGGAAAAACAACGCCCAGAGATTCGGGAAGGCAGAGCGATTTGATATGAGCACAAAGAAGGACAGCATATCCGGGAATATCGGGCCAGGACAATACGATCGCAAGGACACTGCCATCAAGCTAGGTATACTCGTTGACACTCCACAGTTCTTGCAAATTCATCTCTACCACCTTCTTCAATTACGCAAGTTCATTCTCTGACTTGACATCAGTGTCGCTTATCAGCGTTGCTTAGTGCGTCTTGCATATCGTTTCGCATCGACTCTCAAAAATGTTATTTGATGCATTCATTGCTAATATGATGTACAGACTACGCATCGGCAAAGTCATTTGGACTGGGGTTATGAACTGCAAAAGTGTCTGGGTCTGGAAGAATGCAACTTGTGATGCTGAATTTGGATTCCAAAAAAATCTGTATTGCACGAGTACCGAAAGGAATGTAATTTTTGCTACGCGGACAGGGCATTTGTCATGCGGAATAGGCATCGCGAAGCCCTCAAAAAATCTGTGATGCTAGGGCATGCATCACAGACATCATGGCCAATGCAAAACATGCATGACAAGTCTCAGAATCTTCCAGACCCAGACAGTTTTACATTTGATAGGGGTTCGAAGCATACCAGCGCGTGGTGTGTCCCGGGTGGGAGAAGGTGGGACTGGGTATTGTGAGGCAAAATCCCCCCTTCCCATATCGAAACGAAGTTTCTGATGCTGGATTTGCGTACACAAATCAGATTGGTCTTGCAGAAAGTGCTTGGCGGCATTTTCTAAGCCTGTCTTGGCATGCAGAAGGCTAGCAATTGCGCATGGCAAACAGGTTTGCAGTAGTCGAAAGCGCATGACAGACTTGCTCTGGAATGCGTCAAATGGCTCCTATTGCCCTACATGCAAGACAAAGATGATTTGTGGCCGCAAATTAGCATCACAAATTATATCCGTTTTGATATGGGGAGGGGGGATTTTTCATTTTGATACAGGGAAAGGAATCCAAGGGACCAGGACCACCACTGTGGAGAGATCCGCTGAACGGTATGCCTTTTTACATAGTGTTGAACGTAAAGCAAGGCTGCTTATTATGCTGTGATGAATGAAATCAATGAATAGATAGAACCTGTTGGTAGTTGTACGTAGGAAATCTTTCGCGTTTCCCATGTAAAATAAAATGTACCGAGCAAGGAACAATTATGACATACGCAAACAACAGCAAAAGACGTGAAGACGCACCTGATCCCCAAGGCTAACCGGTGGGGTCCGCGGAAAAAGAGCGACGAGGTGCCCGGGCTATCAAATGCAAAAATGTCTGGGTCTGGAAGATTGCGAAATTTGTCATGCTTGTCTGGCATGACCAAAAAGTTTGTGATGCGTGCCCAAGAAGAGACGCTTTCGCCTGTCATGCAAAAACGCAGTTTGTCATGCGAAAAACGCAACAGAAAGTGAAAGAAGCGCGCATATTTCTCATGCTTGGCTGTGCATTACAGAGCATTCATCATTCCCAACGCAGCACTACAAGTTTCCAGACCCAGACATTTTTGCAATCCATACTGGCCTGGGATGTACGACCGCGGCGAGCAGGACTGCAGCAAAGTTACGCTGGAGGGCTGCAGCCTGGCCCAGGTGCCAAACCCAACCTCGATCAAGTTCGGCTATCAAATGTAAAAATGTCTGGGTCTGGAAGGGTCCAAGGTTTGTCATGCACATTTTGCATGACTCCTGATGTCTGTGATGCATGCCCTAGAATCACAGATTTTGTGAGGGCTTCCTGATGCCTATACCGCATGACAAATGCTCTTTCCGTGTAGCAAAATTTGGACTCTCTTCGCTGCTCATGCAATACAGATTTTTTTAGAATCCAAATGCAGCATCACAAGTTCCAACTTTCCAGACCCAGACATTTTTGCAATCCATATCGGCAAGCCCAGCACGAAACCCCGTTTCCGACAAAAATTGCTCCTGCAGTGCAACTATGCATTGCAAAATTATCGTACTAGTATAAATTGCATCACAAATTTTTTCAAGAAGAAAAATGGAATTTGTAATGCTGATTTACCCAAAAAGGGATATTTGTCATGCATGATAGCAATTACTACGAGTACGATACTTTTGCACAGGATAGCAACAACGCCGGATGGGGCTATTTTTAGTTGCGGAGTTCTTGCTTTTTTCAAGTTGGTGTGCTTTGATTTCAATCTGAACGCGATAACATCAACGACTTGTTGCCGCCAGAAAAAGGCCAATGTCTTTTAGAAATGCAAAATTATAAATTTTACAGTAAATGCTCTTGTGGTGCTTTTTCTTTTTGTGAGCCAACGAAGGCTGCACGCCAGCGATCTCCGTATGCTGACGAAGGTGGAGCTTGTTGCAAGCTGTAATGTTGTCAAAGCAACATCGTCGGCATGGAGATGATCATCATTGGCCGGGACAAGTGCAAGACAGTAGAGCGGCTTTTACTTTATTCAAAAACACATTATTCAATCTCAATGAACAACAAACTCTCCGTTTCCTTTTTCCTTTTATCTATCGCTATCGCAGAACCGAATCCGAAATGTTTAAGTGTAAGTGAACTCCTGAAGATGATCCATCAACAAGAACTTGTAAGAAATATGGTACATCATCGAAACCTGTAGGGTCTTCCTCTTCCCCGTTCCGAGGTAGGGACTCTGCTGGTTGATGTGGATGGCAACAGCACGGCTCGCATTTTTCAAACAAAAACTGTACATAGGATTGTGGTGTAACAAAATACACGGGGATGAAACCTGTATACTAAAGAAGGAAGATACGACTGCACAGCTCTTATTTGTGCGGTTGCACTGGGCTAGAAACACGATGTCCCCTTCGGCTGGCGTGGTCGCTGAAACGAGTAAGATTATCGACGAAGGATGTGGCTCCGAGATCATTGATTCGTTCGCATCAAACGCCACCCTCAAGCGAAATTTCAAATTCAGGCGATCTCATTTACGATCGAAAAAAGCCGACGATCTTTTGCTTCTAGTGTGAAAGATCATTGTGATCCATGGGATCTTAAAGTGCCCGAATCGATCTTGGTCTTGCTCGATGGTGTTGGTGATATTGAAAAAGATAGATCCTCATCCTCCACGATAGATTGATTTTGATATAGCAAGAGGATCGACCACACCATCCTGCACGACACCTCCTCGACGGGGATATGGAGGCCGCACGCATGGAAGGCGAAAACTTGCGGTTGGAACCCAGGCGCGTCACCGGAGCGGGTGCCCCAGGACGGGGGGCACCCGAACAGGTATAATTCCACTTCATACACATGCGGTTTTTTGGAGAATGAGGACCATCACTCTCATGCTGGCGCGGTTGCTTCCCCCCCATACAACACCCAGGTCCATTTCCACCACACGGGCAGCATGACCATCGATCGCTACTACGGCCACGGGGCGTCGCGGTGGTGATTGGACGGAACATCTGGAAACGGCACCATGGGAATTTGTTGATCGATGAACGGAGAAACGACAACGAACAGAAGATGAAATCTTGAAATCCGGATCGAAGACACAATGACATTTGGATGCTGAATAGAAAAAATTATTATTGGAAAGGAACTCATCCTGCTGACGAAAGAATCTTGAAACCTAGATTCTCTTCAACCTCTCTTTGTATTTGAACGATCGAAAAAATATCTCACTTCGAACAGATTTCATTAGAATATGTAATTCGGTATTTTATCACTCTGTTGGTTTTTTTGAAGAAAGAAAGAATCGGATCAGGAAATTGTTTTTATTGCGAAAGCAGTTGTCGTTGCAAATCTAGGAGTCTCTTGTTGTTTATCACTATTTAGAAAAAATCGAAGGTTATACTTTTATAGGAATAGTCTGGTGAAATTGATGGCAATGAGATCGGAGATGAAGAGATGGCGATCAAGTTGGACACTTTTAGGGCCTTGAACATTTGATGCCGTGCCCGGGCACGGAAAGAAAGAAAGAAAGAAAGAAAGAAAGAAAGAAAGAAAGAAAGAAAGAAAGAGGATCAGGCGAGATCACGACCTATGAATCTATCAGTTCTTTTCGAAAGAGTAACAGTAAGAGCAGGTGTTGCATGTTGAGTGAGGACAGGTCATTTTTCCCCGAAAACGACCTTAGCAGCAACTGCAACAAAACAATGTTGCGATGCGCTACTAGTTAATTTCTACTTTAATTACGTGCACACGACAGAAATCATGAAAGCGGAAATGTCTTCTTCGAGCTCCGCAAGCGGTCAGGTCGTGCGAGGAGCGAATCCGCGCACGGCTCAGCGGCAGCGCCTGGTGGATGAGCAGATTCGTCGCGCCGAGCAGGATCTCCACTGGTGGACACCAGGGCCTGAGGATTCGCAGCGGAACCAAGATGTTTGGCTTTCCAATCCTTTTGCCGTCGACGCACTGATGCTGCAGCGACACCAGGTGAACCAGTCGCAAGAACAAAGCCGCTATTTGAAAGAGATGGTAAAACATCAAGATCAAGCTCCTTCGTCGGGCTCTGGTCTTGCATCGAGTGCAGCAGAGCCTCACTACCGCTCCCTTCTCAAAGAGGCGCATCCGCCGTGGTACGAGTGGGCCACCGGCGCCTTCACAAACGCAGCCTTCAACGAAGTCGATCGGTGGGTAGCGCGCGGCGCCGGACCTTGTCCGTGTTTTATCCACGAGCGTGCTGCAGAAGGTGGAGGTGCTCCTTCTTGTTCAAATGCACAAGAGGATCAGCTGGGAACGCGGCCAACGTCGTCCGCCGATTCTTGTAAAAGGCAAAATGAAAATACTAAATCGACTTCAAATATCACCACGTACAACGATCTGCTGCTGCACTCGAGCTTTGCTGCTTCCGAGCTTTTCTCCAAATTGGAACTTCCGGATCGCGTGTTAATCGTCGGACCGAATATCTTATCAAATGCAAAAAGTCTGGGTCTGGAAGAAAACAAACGTGTGATGCGCATTTTAGAACACAGAAAAATCTCTCATGCATAGGTAGCAAAAGCTGCCTGCTTTCTGTCACCAAAATGGGGGACTTGTCATGCGGATTCGGCATTGCGGAAGCTTCTCGAAACCTGTGATGCTAAAGCTTCCATGCCAGACCTTTTGTGTCATGCAAAAACAGCATACTCTTCCAGACCCAGACATTTTTACATTTGATACATCTACGACCACGTGGTGTTTGCCGAGGCGTGCAAGCGCAAGGGCCTCGTGTACACCTGTCTGCCCGAAACCATATCCGCCGAGATCGCCATCGACCGCATGAAGCAACTGGACGTGGCCGCGGTCGTCATCCTGTTCCCTTCAACAAACGCGGAGCTGCACCCGGTGGGTGGGTGCTTCATGCCCAGCACACAACCCTTGCTCGCCGAAATCGACACAGATGAGGCGGAGGCGAAGGTGATCGTGCAAAGAACAGAGGAGTACAACGCCGCAGAGGACACTAGCTCTTGGGTTCCTGCAACAGACGAAGTAGAAAGTAGGAAGCGCGTGAAAATTACGAACGGTGCACCGGAATTTTTATCTGCCCCTTCATCATCGTCCACATCGTCTTCACCACCTCTGGCAGCCCCCACCCGCGGGAACGCGAGCTCGAATAGCATGACAAACCTACTCGACCTGGCAGTGAAACTGGCGCGCCGGGAAGACGAAAAGAAGCGGCCAAAGTTCCAAGTTTTTGTTTCGGATCTGGAGACGTTCAAGAACTCCGGGCGGATGCGGCAGGGGGAGTACTGCAAAGCACTAAAAAAGTTCGTGTGTATCAAGACGTTCGTAGAACAAAGCGAAAAGATGAAACGGGCGCGAATGTACTTCAACCTGGCACGGCAGCTGCTCCATCCGGGGACCAGCCGTGCGGCGCTGAGGGAAATGCAAACCAATCGCCTCGAGTACGATTCTGCCGGAGTAAAGAAAGACAGTGACAAGAACGCCGCTTCCACGATGACGCTCCAGTCGCTCCTGCTATCTAGAACGGAAATAGCGCAAGACGCTGGCTCACTATCAGTAATATCTTCCGGTACAGATGAGAAGACGCAAAGCCAAAGTAGCAACAGCACTAAGGAAGAGCTCGACCGTGTCGATGTCCTGCTGCGACGCCATTTTTGCCAGAGGCAAACCCTTTTCGCGGACCATAACACTACTGCTGCTGGCGTGGAGAAAATACACTCTACCCGCAAAAGAAGTGAAGGAAGCTCGGACACTGATGAGTCATCAAGTCGTGATTGTGCAGCATCTAGTTTTAGTACTCCGACTCCAACTACTTCATCTTCATCAGCATCGCCTGACTCTGCATCAAATGGGGCAACGAACACAAAACCTTCCTCGCTTATCCCGCTTACATTTTACGAGTACTGTTGCACGCACTTCGGTTCGCCGGTTCCGGTCCACCCCTCGTACCCGTTGTTCATCGTTTACACCAGCGGCTCCACCGGCCCGCCGAAGCCTATCGTGCACACCCACGGCAGTTTATTGATGGGCGTCTGTGCCTCCATGAATGAGATTTTTGCGGAAAAGACGAACGACAACGACCTTTGTTCATCTGAAGTGTTGGACACCAGGGCAAAAAACATCGTAGAAGCGGGCGCGACGTCTTCGGGTACTGAAACTGTCGAAAACGAGGGCCGTGCTGTCACGGCTCCTGGCGCTTCTACAACTGCGACGGTCGTCCGCACCCACAGTGCGAGGAAGTTCCGCGACAACGACAAATTTCTTGTCCTGGCTACGCCGGCGTGGATCACGGGGCAGAGCTACATGATCACCGGTGCGCTGGCGATGGGGATTCCATCTGTGCTGCTCGAAGGTTCACCCACAACCCCGTCGCCGACGCGCTTCGCCGAGGTCATTCAGCGGAATGGCGTCACGCTGTTCAAGGCCGGGAGCACCTTTCTCCGGGGCGTCATGGCCGATTTTTTTCAACGAAAGAAGAAGACACAAGAAGGCGATGCTGTCCCTTGTCCAGATGGAGGCACGACGGCACTTGAAGGCGTGTTGGAGCAGGAGCCCAAGGAGCAAGAGGAAACGAGCCAAGAGCCTTGTTGTAAAAGTACATCTCGTCGTCCGGCGCTTTCGCTCAAGCAGATGTGTCAGACGCTTCGCGCCGGCGTGTTCTGCGCGGAGCCGGTCAGCCCCGTAGTGCATGAGTTTGCAGTCGAAAACTTGTGCGCGAACTACCGAAACTGCTACTGGGGCACCGAGCACGGGAGCATCGTCTTTGCGTCACCCGAAGTGGTCACGCCGGGAGAAGTCGGCATGCGTCCGCTCCCCTGGGTCGCGGTCCAGCATCCGAAGAGATCTATGGGAGCGAATTTTCCTGCATGCAGATGCAGCTCCGATGATCAGGACCGAAGCAGTACCGCTCCTGACCAAGAAGCCGGTGTTGCTGGACGAGTTCCTGTCGACGCGGAAAGGAAAAGCGCCCCTCGTCAGCCCCAAGAACCAATTACAGACGCCCTCGTCGAGCAGGAACATGAAGCTGCCGCCACTAATGTAGTCGATCTGCGTCTCGACCTGTCCGACCGTGGGATCCCGTTTCCCTCCCTGGCACAAACCGTCTGGGGAGATTTGAAAGGGTTCGAGCTGCAGCCAGGTGATATCGAGGAGCAGCGCTCCACCGCCTACGGACGCGCTTTCCCTACCGTCGTCCTGTCGCAGAAAATCGTGAACCGCTGGCGGGGGAATCTCCGGTTGTGGAAGCAAACGTACTTTCCAGAGCTGTGGGCGCGCGAAGAAAGGGAAACGAAGTTGCGGCGTGGTGGGGCTGCAGTCGCCGGTGGCTCAGGATTTGGTACGACCGGGGACCGCGGCCATCATTCACGTTGTAGTGCACCTACTGAAGATGTTGGAGAAAACAACAACGAGCCGCAGAGTTCAACACCATCTTCTTCCAGCAGTTTCTGTCGCAAAGATCCCGTAGAAGAACCGCCTGTGGTGAGTTTCGTGCAGGGCGACTCCGTCTACTACGACGAAACAGCCGATCTGTACTATTTCCGCGGTCGCAGCGACGATGTGCTTAATGTCGGCGGTGTGCGGGTTGGCACCGGCGAGATTGAGTCTGCCTTGCTGCAGAAGCAAAAATCGGCAAAGCTCTGCGTCGCAGCCGCTCCGGACAAGCTCGCCGGCCAGGTGCCGGTCGTGTTCTACGAAAGAAACAAGAACTCCGCAGCTGGGAACAGTATGAGCGAAAGTCAACAATCGCTAGACTTTTCCGCTCTGCGGGAAGCGGTGCGAGTCTATGTCGGCTCCGCCGCGGTGCCGAGGTATTTCATTCCTTTGAACCAGCTGCCGAGCACTATCACGGGGAAGTTTACGCGCGGTCTGCTGAAAAAGATGCTCGAAGACGTCGAGTACCAGCCCGCATCGGTGGCAACGTTGCAAAACGCCGCAAGTGTATTGCAAGACCTGAGACGCGCGATCAAAAAGCACTTTCTACTGATGGATGTGAACGAGGAAGAAGATGAAGTAGATCGACACGACCCTGGTCGAGTACATCAGAAGAGAGCTTCTGAGAAGGAAAAAGATGCTGACGAAGCAGGAGATCATTTTCTCGTCTTTGAAAGCGACGATCTGCACCGGCTACTGCAGGACCAGGGCTACGCGCAAAGCGTCCCCCTCATTCAGCTCGGGCTGGACTCGATGGATCTGACCAGATTGCGCGACTCGCTCGCGCAGAACTACGATATCCGCTTTCCAAACACGTTTGGCGCGGGCGTAAACAGCCTCCAGAGTCAAACGCTTGAACAGCTCCGGGAGCTCGCCGACCAGAGTTTGGAAAAGCAAGGCTTGCGGAAACGCATACTAGCGAACAGTTGGAGTCCTGTTGCAACAGGCGCAGCTGGTGACCACCAGGCCCAAACGGAAAAATCGGAAGGTCCTTTATCTCAGTCAACTACCGCTGATGTGTGCGCGCTGCACCTCAACACCAGCTGTAAGAAAAGTAGCGCGACCCAACGCGACAGCACCCTTCCTCCAGCGAGAAATGATGCTGTCGCCACACTGCCGGCGCACGCGAGGGAGCGAGACCTTCCAGAGTACGATGTGGAAGATCCGAATAAGAAGTACTTCTTCTGCAAGAAACAGCAGCGCAACATACCGATTTTGCAGTACACGACAAAGTTCGGAGGCCTCAAAGCCTGCAAGGTGGGCGATCTGAAGCACGTTGTCAACTTGCTGATGGACGCTGACCAGAAACTACTCAAGCATCTCGAAGAGGGAAGTAGAAAAACACAAGAACATTGGGACCCACGCTTTTACCGGTGCCGCAACGACTCGAATGCGTTACACTGGGCCTGCACGTCGGGAAACCTCACACTGGTGAAGCTGCTGCTCGACTGGATTTTTCTGCAGGACAGTAAGGATAATCATGGCAAGAACCTGGGGGACACGGTTCTGAACCACAAAAACAAGGAGGGGCGCACACCCGTGATGTTTGCGTGCAAGTACGGGCATCTGGAGGTCGTCAAATACCTGTATACCCTCGCGGAAGAGGAAAGGAAACGGGAAAAGGCGGGGAAGATGCATCTATTCCGCAACTCCGTACGCGGCACGTTCCAGCTCAGTCCGGAGCCTCTGGAGCCTGCTGTGATCCACCACCTCCGGATCGCGAACTTCGAGGTGGAGTCCAACGATGGCAGCAACGCGTTTGACTGGGCAATGTACTCCGGCAATCTGGACTTGATCACGTACCTGTGCGACATGCGCCCGGACGCGCTGCTCCGCCGCAACAAGTTCGGGTGCGCCGCCGTCCACTGGGCGGCCAGCGGCGGCCGGGTGCCGGTGCTGCAGTGGCTGGCGCGGGTGGGCGAGGCAGAGGGGAAAGCGCGCAATAACGCCTATGTCGATATCTTCAACGACGCCGGCCATTCCGCAGTGTCGAAGGCTGCCTGGTTTGGGCACCGGGGCGCACTGGAATTTCTGTTGCTCGGAGAGGAAGAGGAGGTATCGCCCACTGCAGCACACGCGGCGACGGCGACCGACGCTCTTGCACAAAAATGCAGTCCGGCCGTTCGGAGATTGAATCTCAAATGGCAACTCGCCGTACCTGACGCAACGGGGCTGACTCCCATCGACCTCGCCCGCATGGGGCAACACCCGGAACTCGCGACTTGGCTCCAGGGTTTGCCCATTCCAGACGTCGAGTGGAGTTATCAGGAAGCTGTGGACGCGGGAAGCGGAGACATGAAAAAGACGGTTGTGATCACAAGCATTCGAGACGTGTGATGCAGCTGCTTAAGATCTCGATTCATGCACGACATCCCGATCAGATTGTATTCCGGAAAGCCTGTGTAGACTAGTTCTAGATCTAGTTGTGTAAGTACAACTTTTCTTCCTATATTACTCTATTCCTTCGTGTGAAGTAGACACGAAACAGCGACACCCAGCACATCCGATTACTGAAAATGGTGCGGTAGTTGTTACACCGACACCAAAAACTAAAACGGAAGAAGGACGAAAGTTCAACCAAGAGTCACGATCTCAATGCAGCTACAACTGCTGCTGGCGCAGATGTTCTCCTCCGTTTGTCCGTGCTCGATTTTGCCTGTCCTTGACACTTCAGCTGCGTGTGTAGTTCGCTGAAGCGCTGTACTTAGCAGGATCAGACAGCGTTACCTTCATGTTTTCATCTGGATCTTCATGTCATTCGATAGCCCACTCATCTCTCGCTCTTCTCAACATCAACTGGAATCAGTATACACTTCTCAGTTGAAGAGCGAAATCTAACAGAAGAAACTGAGCAAACAAGAAACTGAAACATGACCTCCAAGCGCAGCATCTGTAGTTCCTCCGATATGGTGCCTGCTCGTAGCGGAAATCCTGCATCTCACGAAGACGATGAACCGAAGCAGACCATCGGCACAAGCCCGACATCCTCTATTGGTAGTGAACCTCCGCCCTTGTCGTTTGGTGCGGTGCCGGAGGCGCTCTTCGGGGATCTCTACGGGATGCAGTTGGAGAACGCGAAGGACGTCCGGAGCACGCTGCGCGACATTTTCGTTTTTCGTGACAACCTGATCAATTTCAAGAAGCTGTGCCAACGAAATCTTCGCAAAATCGTCGCTCTCCTTGACAAAACCCGCGCCCCGCACCAGTTCTTCCATTACGGCATGCGTGTCCTTGCGGTCTCCCCTGACAAGCGCGGCCTGGAAACGATCATCGGGGAATACAAGCTCGTCGCGGAGAACAACAGCACCTGTGTCAGAGGACATAACGTCGAGGAGGAAACTTCTCGGAAACGGAATAAAGACGTGGGCGCCATAGAAGTCTCTTCTGGCCCCGCGCCTTGCAATTATGAGTCCGTCCTCTGGGAAACGGAAGAGGTGGATGGCAAAACTGCACACAACGCTTGTTCTGCCCAAATTCAAGATTCTGTTTGGTCTTCCGACAACGTCACCCTCACTCAACCATGCCCGTGGATACGCGAGCCGTGCCACCTAGCAAGTCTCGCCGATGGACGGGACGGCGAGTCGAATGAGCGCGACGAGAGCGAGAAGCTGTCAACTGTGCCTCGTAACGAAAGAGCCTCTTGCAGCACTGAAAATACAAACACGATTCCCACATTCCGTGACCAGAAGGATCACTATTGGACGGAGAGCAGCCGTTATGCGGAGATCACGCGTGTCAGGAATCGCTTGCAGGGCTTCCGTGACGTGCTGATGCATTTTCGCAACTTGACAAAGGCGCTTTGCTTGATTTCACGCGCCCCGCCAGAAAGAAATGCTGCCGGTGTTCAAGGTGCTGCAAGTTCTGTTCTGGAGCCAGCGCAAAGATCTTCCTCGTCTCAAACGAGAAAACGAGTGGACAACGGTACACACGCAACGACGTTGCTGCAGCCTAGCAACGCACCTCTCGCGGCAGGGGCCGCTTGGTGGAGGATGCAAGAAAAACGAGCAGAATATTCGCCTCCAGGTGAGCAACTGCAGCCCGACGGTCCGAAAAGAGACGAAGCGCCGCTTTGCGTGCTGCACTTCAAAGATGCTGCGGAAAAACCGAACGGGGATGGCACCACTGCGCATGTAGAAGAGAGGGCCGAAGTAAACAAGACGAGGAACCGCCTCGCGGCGTGCGCTTTCATAGCAGATCAGAGTTTCTTCGACAAAGGTGATGCAGTCACGACGAAGCAAGTGCAAGGCCAGCCGCAAAACAGGAGCAACGAACAAGTAAATTGCCTTCAACTTCAGGGCGCTGTGCGTTTCTTCCTCGTGCAGTCCGGATCCTACAAGTACTGGCGCGCACGGGAAGGCTTACGGGCTGCGTACGCTGATCTCAAAACAGCGAGTGAGCAGCTGGACAAAAAAATCAAGCAGTTGCGAGAGGAGTTGGAGGAAGTAGTGCGGGGGAAAAATGGTTGCATGCTGTCCATTCTGGAATATGACCGTGCAGATTCGGGTTCGGGGTCATCTCGACGTCGCCACAAAAGTAACAAGTCACATGGGCTTTACCGTCTAAAGGCCGATCCCGGGGGAGACCTCATATTTTTGCCTCGAGGGGAGGGCTTTGCTGCCTGCTCATTGGAAGAGTTCCGCCAAAAGACGTCAGCCTACCATCGTACGACAAAGAAATTGGAAAAACTGGAGGGGACACGCGATGCGCTCTCTCTGCTGCTGGATAGTGCGGAGGCTGTGTTGTATCAAAAAGGGCGCATTGTGTCTGCCAGCGATGCGTCTGGATCATCGTCGTTCTTGAAAAAGGGCGCAGGCGCTTCAGCATCTTCCGGCATTGGGGGCGTTGCTGATATGAAGATGGGGTTCGGGAGCGATCATGAGTTGTCAGGTGGCAACGAGCTTGGAATTCCGTCCATTTACACCAGCATATTGGCACCCATGGAAACTGAGATAGAGACACAGACGGCGGTTATGCTAGCCGTTCTCAAAGACGCTGTCGATGTATCTGCTTCTCCAGCGAGCGATGCCTCGACAGGCGCAGCCTTCCTCTCGGAAAGATTCGAGAGACACACAAACGAACCGCTGGTGCACTGCGCTGTCTGTAAGGCGCAGCTTCCGCAGTCCCTGATGCTTTGCAACAATGGAAATGGCGGTGACGCGAGGACTGCGTCTGAGGGCAATCCCAATGGTAATGACGATAAAGTCGCCAAACGCTCGGCTCCTAACTGCTGCCTTTTGTGTGCGGACCGGATTCGGCACGACAGAAAGATATGCCCGCAGCGTTTCCTCGCTGAAAGTAGACGTCATAATGTCGAAGCAGGCCAGCATGAGAAGAGCGCCAGAAGTACTGGCGCTGCGCTGAAGTCACATATTTTCTGTCCTCACCAGCATCGATGCTTGGCTTGCGACAATACGGCTTTTGTTCGTTGTGGCGAGTGCGGACTGGCACGGGGCGGTGCGGATGAAGTTCAAGATTTGGTAACGAAATTAGTACAAGGCGAACAAAGTGCTGCAGCCCAAGGAAATAAAAGCTTTGCCCATCTCTTTCTCGACTTTGATTTGACGCTTTGCTCTACCAAGGGAGGGGCAAACCCGCTGAAGGGTGCGCATGAGCTCGATTCAGAGCTTGTGGACGTCATCAAATACCTGCTGTCCGGCGAAAGAAAACATGAATGTGCTGAAATGCCACAATGCACACACGACGACGACCACGTAGAAGATGATTCTGCCGCCGGCTTCCCTGAAGAGCAAAACAAGCGCGACCTGACCACCGGGCGAGTGACCATTCTGACCAAAAATCCGCACCGCGAAGAGATCCGGTCTTTCGTTCAACGTGAGACTGGTCTCAGTGTGCGCGTAGTCACCGTTCCCGGCCGAAGCAGCAAGCGCGAGTGGGTCGCGGAGAAGCTGCAGCAAGGCAGCGTGGTGTTTGTCGACGACGACATAAATGAACACGCAGCAATCGGAAATTTGCCTAACCTCTGGAGAATTCACTTCACAAGGGATGAGTAGACTTGAACTGCTTGACTAGCAGGGAAGCAAGAATTTTTATGCAGCAGCACTCTGCCTCTCAATTTCAGTTTGCAGGACTACGAGGTAACCAGCTGGATTGGTGTTGCAGTTTCATCTTTGATCACCTTCCGCGTGATCGGTCTATCTGAGTTTATTTCTGCGATTTTGATCATAGCAAAAGCGAAGAAGGAAATTTACAAAAAGCAAAACGAGAAGAATGAAGTGAAGTACAGAAAGTCGAAGGATTGTTCTTGGTGTTGAGGCATGATGTATAGCACGCGGACGAATTGTTGGTTTTGGCTCTCGGGAGGATGGGGTATATGATCGAGGATGTTGTTTACATCTGTCCACCTCATTGAAAAGTTGCTCAAGATCCACACTAGCTGCAAATCCTGTGCTGCTAGACTTTTTTCTTTTTGCAATTCTTTGTTTCCATTGCTATGGTACTTGTAGCTGGTTCGTGTGGATGTCCGTCTGTTTCTGAGGGATTCAGATTCGTATGTGCATTAGCGTGAAGATCATGAAGAAGCTAAAGATCTAGATCCATGGACATACATAGTGCCGTTTTTTTTTTTCGAGCTAACAACGAGCGCCTTCGGAACGAGCGGAACTGATTCTTCTATTTGCAATTTCTGTCTTGTCTTGTTTTATTTCATTTTCGTTCTGAACTAGAATCCAGGATGTAGGCGGGATTGGACCAGGAGCTTGCAGTTGTACGGGTTCAAATGGACTGCACTCCGAATGAATCAATTACTAGATTTTATTTATGATTTGAGATTGACTACTGACACTGCATTGGAACAAAACCCCGAAGGTGAGACTATTATCTGAGAACTTCTCTGTTTTGTCCTTACTCCAAATTCGTAAAATTCTCTTCCAAATTTCGTCACAAAAATGTCCGCGTCATCATCTTCGTCAACAGCAGCTCCTTCAAGCTCCGGTCGTGTAAATTTTGGAGACCTCATGTTACAGAAAGCAGGACGTGGAGACAAGCTGAGCTACGCGGAATGGACCAAGCAAATGAAACAACAGCACGACGAATCCTTTCGCCTGCGGGTGCTTGCGTCGATGGTATATCTCGGTGGTAGAGTCTCAGTCTGTGACTGTGAGCCCTTTGCGGTTGCTTCCTTTTGTGTGCTAATTTTTTAATAGGGCTTCACTTCTATCGTCTCTGTTGTGTTTGTTTCCATTTCATTCGCCGTTTTCCATGTTGCTGCAACCAGGTATCCGCCTGGACGCAGGCCATCCGCAGAATTACGCCCGGAAATTGTCTTCCCGCGCTCCCAATCGAAGTCCTCAGGATTATCCTGAGCTTTGTCGGGTCCGTCATGCCACCTCCTGCGATCCCCAGTCGGGATGAAGTTGAGAAGTTGTGTCACGAAAAGCGTGCGGAGGAATACGGAAAAGTGGCGAAGTACTACGCGGATTTAGCGAAGGCCGCAGCGCTGCAGGGAAAAAGCCGCCTCCTCATCACCAAAGAAGTTGCGAATGCCGCGCCGAGAATCTTCGCCGGAGACGACGAGGACGGCGGCAGAAGTGCCGGGCGCTTAGGTGTCTTTGGTATCTTGAATCTGCGCTATGGTTATGAAGTGCGCGACAGTGATGGCGACCCCATTGAAAAGGCTCATCTCTTCATGGAAGACAGCGACGGCTTTCCATACTCCTTGGAGTGGACCGAGAGCAAGCGCAACAAGGCCGACCCGAAGCCGCTCGTCGAGGCTTTTCGCCGGATGGAGGAGCGGAACTAGACCCGTGTGGGGCAGGCTGCGAAGAAATTGCCGAAGCGCGGAGAATCGTATGTAGTGAGGTCACGAACGTTCTATCCTAGCGGTTTTTTTGCCATGCATCACGCAAAACGACCCGCAGTTTTCAAGCGGCCGGAAGTGTTTTGGGGCATAAAAAGTTTTTAATTATCAAGCGGCCGGGGCTTTGCCAACAAACAAGCCCGGTCGAAAACTAGCGATTCCCGCTGGATAAAACGACGCAGGGGAGCCGGCAAAAGGGGCGCCCTTCTGAGGCGCCCACCGCCTTAGTTTCTGGCGGTTTGGGGCGCCCAAAAAGTAGCACTCCGAAAAAAACAGCGAATCCGCATGGTATGGGCCTCATTTTGGCCCACATTCGGGCCCCGCAAAAGACGCCATCAAAATCCGCCATCTCAGAGGCGGACTCAAGGCCAGAAGATGCGGCATTTTGACAAAAAAAAAAAATAAAGACCAAAGTCCGCCAAAAGCAGAAAGCCAATCCGCATGCTATGGGCCCGATTTGGGGCTCCCAAGCGGCCGACCATGGCGGGGGCCCTGGCGGGTCCATAGCATGTGGGGAAGGTTTTTCGATTCGAAACCAAATGGAGGCCAGTTCTGGATCGATATTTTTAGCGACCGCCGTGCCGTCCTGCATAACATTACTCACGATGGCACGGTGGGCAGAGAGTTCGCGTCTTTTTTTGGCGTGAAGACAAAAAAACCGCCATGACCTCACTACCCCCGCTGAGGCGGCTATTATTGGTACATGGAAAGAGGTGGCACACTTCACTTAATTGTTGGAGTCCTCATCATGTGAATCGACAGAGTGCTTAATAAAAGTTGAAAAATTATTGGCGTGTCATGTTTGTCTTCGGAGAAACTGCACGTGCGCGGTGCTGGATGTGGTGTTTCTGAATCGTCTTCGAAAAAATGCCTGAGTAACAAATAAACAATAGGCGTGGGCCTGCGGGCCTAAATTCCGGAGTTGAGTCCTGTGCTTTTGCTGGTGAAAGAAGCTTTGCTAAGCGTCCCACCACTTCTGGTGTCGCCAATACTTTTTCTCTGGCGCTTTGCAGGTGGCTCCATTTTTTCCCCAGCGGGTGCTGGGCGCAAATTTATTTCTCAAAACGTAAGACTAAGAAACTGAAACAAGAGAATGCAAAATTCCAGCTTTTTTGCGCATCTCCATTGATCATTTACGACGATACACGATATGAGGTTTCTTGGGCTTCTCGTCTGATAATGATATGACCCAAGGCCGCCATCAGAGGATGACGCTTCACTCAACCTGATCTGAGTGATCTGTTGATCTCACACACATGAAGATCTAAAGATCGAGAAGACGCGAAAGAACCAAAAACGCAGCGTTTGCCTTGGTTAGAATTGCAAAAACGTCGCATGCTCCTGGCCGAAAAACATCAAATAAGACAAAAGCAAGCAGCACTTTCAAGAGTGACAATTAAAAGAGTGACTTGTTGTCTTCGCACTTCTGCTTGTCCAAGCCACGCCCAGAAAACAAAAACTGCAAGTGCCCCACCGCGAAATAAGCGGCGCGCTGCCATACTGCGCAAAAAGTTACTCATCCCTTGTGAAGTGAATTCTCCAGAGGTTGGGCAAATTTCCGAACGCTGCGTGTTCATTTATGTATGAACAGGAAGGTGTTATTGAAGTAAGCACCAATTATACCATCTTTTCGGGTTTATGGCTTCCTACCGTGGTCTGATTACAACAACAACTGCACTAACGCTCGCAGTGTGATTAACTTTCTGAAATTTGTGAGCTTCGGTTTGCGAGTGTGCCGCGTTTAAGAACAGCAGACGTATTTTATTTGGAGTAGGCGTGGGCCTGCGGGCCTAAATTCCGGTGGGTTGGTCGGTTGGTTGGTTGGTTTTGGACAGACGACATTTGACCGAATTTACGAAGTATGGAGACAAATCCCTGCTCGCTCTTGGCGAAGAGCGGAAAACCATGCACCTGTCGCGGAGACAATAATCTCCTCGAAAAGATTATTGTCTCCCCAACAGGTAGATGGTTTTCCGTGGAGATTATTGTCTCTCTCGCCGATACGTAGAGGTTGGAAATTGAAAATCGGAGCCCTGCCCTCGGGGGTGGGGCGGCTCCACGGTTTTGAATTTAGAAGACAGCCGCAACGGCAAGGAGGGCGAAACATGATAAGGGGGTGGTCGGGGCGCGCGGCGCACCTGCCTCCCTACCGGGGCTGCAGCCCGCCCCTGCGAGGCAGAGTTCGATGTGTCCACGCAACACAGACACAAATCTGTGTTGCGCGGGCGCCAATCTGTGTTGCGCGCACCACAAATCCGTGCTGCGCGCAGCTCGCCGCAGACACAAATCTCCGCTGCGCGCAGCGCAAATCTGTGTCGCGCGCAAATCTGTGCTGCGTGTTGCGCGCAAATCTGTGCTGCGCGCAGCTCGCCGGAGACAAATCTGTGCTGCGCGGACGCAAATCTGTGTTGCGCGCAGCACAAATCAGTGTTGCGCGCAGCTCGCCGCAGACACAGATCTGTGTTGCGTGGACGCGATCGGAGCTCCGGGGGGCCTCGTGAGAATTTGCGCGAGATAGAAAGAGGTCGGGGCTCCAGTGCTGCATTTTTCTCCAGCCGCGACCTGCGTTTCCTGCCTCAACCCAAGCAAAGCACATTTGGGAAATAGAGACATATTCGCGCAAAATTTGGATCAGCCCCCGCTTGGTCATGCCGAGCGGGGGCTTTTTGCGCAACGCAACCCCTTGGCTGCGCGAGTCCCTTGCTTGCAAGCCCCCTGCTAATAAATTGAGCCCCTGGGGAGGTCGGCAGGCGTGGCCACCGGGTGGCGCGCGCGCGCCGACCCCTGCCAAGGCAGGTGGGTGGGTAGGGTCGGCAGGCGTGGCCAATAGGCAACGCACGCTCGCCCCACCCCCTCCCGCCCCCGCTGGCTTGGCAGGTGGGTTGGTAGGTCGGTAGGCGTGGCCAATAGCCAACACACGCTCGCCCCCCCCCCCATTTGGCAGGTGGGTGGGTAGGTCGGACGCACGCTCGCCCCGGCCCCCCCCCACCAGGCAGGTGGGTGGGTAGGTCGGTAGGCGTGGCCAATAGGCAGCGCACGCTCGCCCCACCCCCCCACCTGCCTGGTGGGTGGGTTGGTAGGTCGCTCGGCAGGCGTGGCCAATAGGCAGCGCACGCTCGCCCCACCCACCCACCAGGCAGGTGGAGGGTGGGTAGGTCGGTAGGCGTGGCCAAGAGGCAACGCACGCTCACCCCACCCACCCACCAGCGAGGTGGGTGGGTAGGTCGGTAGGCGTTGTCAATAGGCAGCGCACGCTCGCCCCACCCGCCCACCAGGCTGGTGGGTGGGTAGGTCGGTAGGCGTAGCCAAGGGGCAGCGCACGCTCGCCCCACCCACCCACCAGCGAGGTGGGTGGGTAGGTCGGTGGGCGTGGCCAATAGGCAGCGCACGCTCGCCGCACCCACCCACCAGGCTGGTGGGTGGGTAGGTCGGTAGGCGTGGCCAATAGGCAGCGCACGCTCCCTCGCCCCACCCACCCACCAGGCAGGTGGGTGGGTAGGTCGGTAGGCGTGGCCAAGGGGCAGCGCACGCTCGCCACACTCACCCACCCACCAGCGAGGTGGGTGGGTAGGTCGGTAGGTGTGGCCAATAGGCAGCGCTCGCTCGCTCGCCCCACCCACCCACCAGGCTGGCGGGTGGGTAGGTCGGTTGGCGTGGCCAATAGGCAGCGCGCGCTCCCTCGCCCCACCCACCCACCAGGCTGGTGGGTGGGTAGGTCGGTAGGCGTGACCAGTAGGCAGCTGTCTCTGGGTGGAAAGGGATAGGTAGGTAGGTGGGTCGGTGCGATCACGGTACTACAATGAATCGCAAAGGCGCCAGGTAGGTGGGTAGGTAGGCAGCTTCAACAGTAATAGTAGACGAATCTCAGAAAAACACAAAACACAATGCAGCGGGGTCGGTCAAATGTCGTCTGTCCAAAACCAACCAACCAACCGACCAACCCACCGGAATTTAGGCCCGCAGGCCCACGCCTATTGCAACTCCGATGTTGAAGATGCTCTCGCCTCGCAGATTGCGTCGTCAGCCGCCGCAGCTGCCTGTGTTGGCTGCACCGGGAAGCAGCCCCGTCGCGGTTGGACGGAGGCGGACCTCATCTCGCAGCCGGTGGGGGTCTATGCCTTTAAATGCACACCACCGCATCGTGTCCGGTACCACGCTCTGTTTCCAGTTTCGCGAACTGACCAACGCTTCGCAGGCTGCTTTGCGACGGCGCAAGAGGCGGCTCAGGCTTGGGACGCAGCAGCTAGAGCCGGCGGTTGGAGAGTCGTAAATGCTCCCAGGGACGTCGTGAGGGAGTTGGCATTCCCTGACTACCTCCGGGGGAAAATTGCAGCTGCTAAACAGCCGGCCGCAACTTTTCCGCATCCGCCGTCGGAGGTTAGGTGGCGCACGAACGAGCTTAAAGAAGTACTACGTGACGTGGCAGAACGGCCCGTGTCCAAGATATGGAACGGTCCTCGTGGTCTGCAGCAGGATGACCATGACACAGCCGCGGGAAACGAGCTTTGCTGGTCCTTTCACCCGCATGCGGCCGAGGTGCGAAAAACGACCGCACGCGGAACGACGCTGCAGGGAACACGCCCATCGGCTCTGGACACCTGGCATGACCTCGCGTTGCGAGCCAAATGCGTCCGGTCCTGCATCGAATATCGGGGAGACCAAGAGGTTGGATGAAATCACTTTCTGACACACAGCACGCTCTGCACAGCTATAGTCCTCGACAATCACGTTTCTGCATATTGTTATTGACGTCGTGAACAATTAGTATTGCGAGAGTCCATGCAATCCGTCGCTGTACTAGTTGCGCGCAGCAACAATGTTTTCCTCAAAATTACGTTGGACAGGTATCGCGTATGACGCTTGCAGGAGAGCTTCGGTTTATGCAAGGAAGCTGGGTCTTGAATTTCCAGCCGCGTGTTGCCGCGGCGATTTATGAGCGGTTTGCAGGTACCCACTAACGAGTTGTTACCCACTAACGAGTTGTTACCCACTAACGAGTTGTTTCAATTTCAATCAAAGTATGCACGATGACGGTTCTCGTGGTCTTGTTCCGCAATAAATGGGTCCGTCAGTGACCCCCTCCGGGCTCCAAGCGTCTCGAAGATTTACCATCCTTCGACAAACGTGCACAGGTAACGCTGCGGTCGTCTACGACAGTTCTGCCGGATGGGGTGGTCGCCTTCTCGGCGCTTTTCTTGCCAGCAATGTCAGCAAATACATCGCTTGTGAACCGAGTTCCAACACATTCGCAGGGCTAGAGCAGCTACGAGACCTCGTACTGGAAAAACTTGTAGATGACAAAAAAGGGGGCTTTGTTGTCTCAACCGAAAATGGCAGGCGGATGTGTTCACTCGACATCGAGCTCCACAAGTGCGGAAGCGAGGACTTCGTGCCGCCGAAAAACTCCGTCGACCTCGCTTTCACTTCCCCGCCCTACTTCTCTCTCGAACGCTACGCTACAGAACCTTCACAGTCACACGTTCGTTTTCCAACCTTCCCGCAATGGTGCGCAGGGTTTTTGCAACCAACCCTTACGCACACCTTCGAGGCTCTCAAGCCCGGTGGCGCGATGCTCATCAACATCGCGAATTGCAAAATCTTTACGGACCGCGGGATCGATCTCGAGGCGGAAACAGTGCGTATAGCGGTTAAGGTGGTTGGTGCGCGACAAGAGACCACACTCCGTCTGCTGAAGATGGACGGCACGGAGGACAATGGGGAGCCAATTTTCGTTTTCAGAAAATAAGATTATCACAGAATTACACTATTTCCTGGTGGCTTTAAAGCCAACCCTCAAATCCCCAAAACAAGGCGATCATACAATTCCTCTAGAAAAAACAACGACACCGATTCTCCATTGCTCAGTTATAGAATTGATTGATATTGCAGCCGTCTCTGCGCACTACAGTAGTTTACGATGACGGTGAGGTGCACGCTACACGAAGTTCATAGAAAGCTTCTTTGACTCATTTTCTTTGTGTTCAAAGCCTAGTATGTCTAAAACCAAACATACGGTCAAAACGGAGCCGGCGGGGCCGTCGCACCCCTTCTCCTTCAGCCCACACGAAAGAAGAGTTTTAGAGACGATTCTTCGTACCACGGTATGCTAACATCAAGCTGAACAAGTGAAGTACTTCCTACTTTTCTTTACAAAAACGTGATCCCGAAAAGCAAATCACAATCAAAATGGCATCCACGGCAGTGAACCCGCGGTCTTTTTCACGATGGTTCGCGCACCAACCGTTGCTTCTCACACTGGTTGTTCTTCTGCTTTCTGGCGTCGACCTCGCGTTTTCCAAAGCTCCGGAGCAGATCGACCCCAACATTTACGCCCGGCTTTTCCAGAACAACCGCCCCACGTTTGACCACATTGCTTCGAAGGTCCTCGCCGACCTCCCAGAAAGCCGCAACGGAGTAGCTACCGTGCTGGATTTGGCGTCGGGCCCCGGGGAACCGAGCGTGACCCTGGCGGTGATGGACAAGGACGCACCAAAGCTCGCGAAAATCACCACCACTGATTTCCAGTCGATGATGGTCGAAAAGGCCAAGTGGCGCGCGGAGATCGAACACGTCGAGGACAAATTGGCCTTCGCGACCACCTCGGCCGACGACCTCTCGCAGTTTGCCGACGGCAGTTTCGACGCGGTCACTATGAGCTTCGGTCTGATGTTCGTGCCCGACCGGCAGAAAAGCTTGCAGGAGATCGCACGGGTGCTGCGCCCCGGCGGTCGGGCGTATTTGTCGGTGTGGAAGGAACTGCCGTTTCAGACCTTCGCCCGCTACGTCTTAGAGCAAATCGCCGGAGAGGAAAAGAAAGCCACGTTGCCGCCGTTTGCCATCAATCCGCTGGCTCTGCAAGCCGAGAACGCCGTGGAATCGCTGGCGGAGAACGCAAATCTAGTCGTGAAGGGCGACGAACGGCTCTCCTACGACTTCCACATGGGAACCTACAAGGAAACGGCCGACGGGCTTCGGATCCTGGCGGGCACACTGCTGAAAGAAATCGAGGAGGAACAACCCGGCGCCCAGGCACGGTTCGACTCACTCGTGCAAGCGGAGATGGAAGCCCGGGGGTGGACGGGCGGCGCGATTCCCGATAATTCCCCACAGATCTTGACGCTGCAGAAGCCGGCGCAGGGGGAGGCGTCCGACTTGTAAGTAATGGTGACGATCGTATTTTTGCGGGACGAAGCAAACCAGAACGCCTTCTCGGTGTTTAAAACGACTTTGCACGGGAGCAGACGTTTGTGATACGAGTGAGGCCAAATCGAAGTCGCACCAGCCGTCCGTTCGAGTTTTTGATGTGCGAATTTATTTCAAATCCGAAATTAATGGTTTGCTCGAGTGGTTTCTTATCCGAATAGATTTCGGAGGACTGCGAACGCGAAGAAATACGGTTACGGTATACAAAAATACAAATATTAGTGATTTTGAAGTGGAAGACGAAGAACGACATTAAAGCGAAATACAGCGTGCGCATTTTTCCTGCAGATAGTGTTTCGTTTATGAGTGAAGTTCGTCAATATCGCGACTGCCGCCTACGATCCAGGGGAGACAATGCACGGAATTTCGCATGTGATTTCGAAATTTGTCGGCTCTGTTTCTGGCAGTAGACACACGGACTTTCATGATGTTCGTTTGATTTTCTTTAGTGTTAGTCACGACGACTGTATAAATTTATTGGGTGCCTCTAACTATGTTGTCGACCACTTAATGCAACCCCTTTTATGAAATCCAGCGACAGACGCAGCACGGTTTTCAAAAAGAGTTTCGAAGAAAAAAAACCGCTCGACGAGAAACTTACTACGGTACCAGCGACAAAACCAATTGATCACATTATATATCCATAAATAGAAGTACAGAGATTCGTTAAGACAGACAGAGATGAAACGCGAAAGCTTGCACACTTGCTCAACATCTGTATTAAAGAATTGAAACGTCGACGCGCCCTGCTCGACTCGCATTCAAAATCATGGCCGGTGGTGCATCATCTAGCTCCTCTGCGGCTCCCGCTCCGTTCGCGATCCCGCTCGGTGGTCCCTCATTTCCTGAAGCCGCCGACGCGTCGAGCGCTCCTCTACCAAAGCCCACCTTCGTGGATTTGCTGACGCAGGGAAAAAAGAACGCCAAGGGAGATGGGTACGAGAAATGGGTCCTTCGGCTACAGGAGATGAATGAGAAGACCTTCGAAAAACGCCTAGTGTGTGCCATGGTACGATGTAGAAGATGAGTTTGTTGTGCTTTTGAAGTGATATCATTCATCCATTCAGGAGAGGAGATGAGTCATTTTTATACTTTGTATGTTCGTTGCGGTGCGGCCCCCGTAGTCAGTCGCTCGCAACGTTTGGTAGGTGTAGGACGCCGGGCTTAATCATTTACCAGGTATCCTCCTTGCACTTCGCTACTTTTCGCGGGAAGGCGGGTCTGGCGCCGGCGTCGTTACCAAATGAAGTGGTCGGTCTTGTTCTGGAGTTCATCGGGACTGTCATGCCGTCGAACGACACCCAGGAAAGAGCTTTCTCCGTCAACCATTCCACGAAACTCGCTAAGCTGAGCGATATGCAGCGCGGGCGTGATTGGAAAAGGGCTGCGGACTACCTCGTAACCCTTGCCCGCGAATCCGCTGCTTCAACTGGTGCGGGAAGCTTTGCCATTACCGCGGAAATTGCTGCGAGCATGCCCAAGATGTCCGACGGCAGCGCCCCACAGCTGAAGCAGATTTTTGAGATCTTGTCCAGCTGGGGACACTTTGACATAACCGACGCCAATGGCGAGGAGTTCTACACCATGCGCGACGACAGAGGTCGCAACACCCACGTCGGGCGGATTGGTGACGACACCGAATTTGTCGACGGTTTTCCATACAAGCTAATTTGGGACATCCAGGAGCCTCTCGAAGTCGATGGTGAAGACGCGCGCGACTTGGTGGAACAATTGGAGGCGGGTAACGGTGTGTACGGTGCATTACCAGGCATTCCCGCAGGTAATTGTAACGCAGCGGCAGGGTCGAGGTTTTTCCAAAAGTTCCGGAACGTCGTTATCGAGACGCAGAAAAAAGTGCTGAAGTACCTCCTCGACATCTTCGAGGAAGCCGTGTCCAAGGCAAACACCGAGATTCAGCTGACAGAAGAGCAGTACAATGGTGCGCCCAAGCTGCCAAACGGAAAGCGGTACCCTTTTTTCCAAAACGATGTTGCTGATCTGCATGTCCAGCTCGACAGGTCGGATTTCGCCATGTCCAAAATTCTGGCTCAGACGCCCGGCCTGTACGTCCCATTAGCGCAACGCGAACTTGGCGCATTTCCCATAACGATCCGTCTTATCTTCGAATGAGCGCCGACGCACTCGCGTTGCATAGTACGGGATCGGATTCTTTTCCGGTGTGAAGAAGCATGATGCTACTGAGAGTTTAAACTGCGACTGCCTGGCGGGGCCGTGATCGTGGCGAATGAACCAAAATGAATCAGAATCTCAGCTACTCCACTAAGCAGTAGACGGAACAAGGTTCCAAATCCAATGATTGGCGCCATGGCGTAGACCATCTACACCATGGCGTAGACAAGAACTAGTATCCTGGTGCGAATGCGTAAAGACGTAGAGTCGTGATACCAAGAGCACGCTGAGGCTTACTGGGGTTCCAGCTCTGATTTGCGCAAGAAAAAACTTGAACTAAAGAACTGAGCTATTTCTTCGCGCAGCTACCTAGTTCTGCTTGTGCTGTTTGTGGTTCGGAAAGACGCTCAGAGATGTTCTTCTACCTGTCAGCAATCCGACGCCAAACCGAGCTGGGAAAATTTGAAGCAGACGGGGAAACATGGCATTGATACTGGTCAGTACTCGCGTGGTGGTTGTTCGTTGTTGCAGCAATGTCGACAACCTCAACTGGTAAAAGAGAAATGAGAAGAGTTTTCTCGAGCGACCGCACGCAAGACGACGAGACAAACACTAACACATGCGAGACTAATAAATGTGGAATCGTTCATCGATAGTTCGTCGTGTGACCGGACGACAAACAGCAAGACGATGTTCTTGAGCTCGATGAGATTTGTGTATTATCGAACGTGTCTATTCTGACCGTGCGTCGGGTGTCAGTTCATGGCGTATTTATGATGCCTTCCAAGTTCTTCGTGGCGGAAAGGAACAGCGAATCTCGTTCCTGAATGCAACAATATTTTTCTCATTGCCTCACATGGTAGAGAATAGAAACAGTAGAATAACTTATAGGATATCTTTCTAAATCGCAAAAATAGATATTCCAGCAGACGTCCGGCAAGGACGACATAGAACTTTCGTGCACTTCCACTGTGGTCGATTGCTCCCAAACGCAAAAATTATTGCGCCCCTCTTTAAGAGCGCATATCCCAAGCCCGCGTCACGCGTTGCCTCGCGTTTGTGAGAGACGAGCCGCTTCGAGCCGTGAAACTCTTCGCAGGTACATCACAATAAGTGCTATAGCATAACTGTGAATCAGCAGACCGCAGTACTAGACCTCGTATTCATTTCTTCTGGTTTTCTTCTAACTCTGACGATATGCATCACACCAAAACGCACAGCACGAAGATTGGCAGGACTTGTAGTCCGGCGGTGTTGCGCTAACCTCGACAATGAGCACGCCACAGCAGCAGGACGAGCGGGACGACGTTTTTCGGCGTCTTGGCCTGGCCACGGATTCGGAATTCGAAAATCAGCAGAAGCAGAGTCGGTCGCTTTTACTCCGAAACCAAGCCTCCGTAAGCCGGACCAGTGTGCCACAGCCACCATGTAAAATAAGTATAAGAAATTCGAGTTGTGACTGATGGTTCTCTTCCAAAAAAAACGACGAGCATAATTCAAGCAACAACGATTCATTACCGGAGTTCTTTCTACATGTCACTGCCTCGGTGCACATGATCTACTTTGCAAAAAACAAACAGCACTGCGACCTGGCGGCGCACCATCGTCATCCATGTATCCGCCACAAATGGGAGCGCCAGGAGGTGGCGACTCTGCTGCTTCATCTTCTGGCTACGCTTCCCAATATCAACCTTCGCAGCAGCCCTTCAGCGTTGGAATTAGTGCTCCTTCAAGTTACCAGCAGCAGGCCAGCAGCGCAGCGTCAAACTACTCTGCCTACCAGCAGCAACGGGAACAACTAGCACAGGCCCAGGCGCAGCAGAACCAGATGCTAGCGGCAAGGAGTAAACTGTACCAGCAACAGCAGCAACAACCAGGTGTGCACCTGCCACGCCAGCACATGAGCTCAAGCACCTCCGCGGCTTCAGGTTCCGACGGCGAAGATGCGGACGTTTTGAAGCGCTTAGGTTTGTGCAGCAACGAGGAGTATGAGCGGCAATCGCGTGCGGAGCTAACGGACGCCGTGCGGTCGCTGCGCAACATGCAGGACCGGCTCGGCGGTGGTCTCATGTGAGGAGGTGATGTGTTGAGAACTTATCACAGTTATCAGCTTCTTGTTCATCTACTAGGTAAAGAACGACGCCTGAAGCATTTACTTTTTAAACGTGTTGACCCTTCCGCCTTGCCGCTGTAGGTAGTACGACGCGACCCCGGGTCCTGGGCCGTGACAAACAATGTACACTTCTTGCGTATATTATCTATCACTATCAGGGATATCATCATACGCACAAAAGAACAGATCAACATGAGGCGACTTGACTAGACCCAGAGCGAACGCACGGCACCGTATGTACTAGCAACTTTGGTCTCGTACTCGTACTCGCTCATTGTCCAACTCTTCGCCGGCCTACAACAAACTCGAAATGTTCATTTAGAATAAGAGCAAGACCATACTTTTTTTCGATCAAGAACCTCCGTCGTCCTCGGAAACGACGAGAGGTGAAACCTTAGCACTGAAAATGATCTGGGTCGATATCTGTCAAACAAAGTAGGTCGATCAATCAGTTGTAAACTCAAACGGGATCATCTGGAATAATTGCACTTTCACCTGCGGTTGCGATCTTTTTTCGTTGTCGCCTGCTGTTGTAGTGGTAGATCGGAACCAGCATGACTGTGAGATGATAAAAAGCAAAAATCGCTGTATTTTTGCGGATCGACTTTTACTTTTCTTGTTGTTACCGATCCATCATCATCGATCTCGTTCGCTCCGATGGATTCAAATGCAGAATGCTTTTCTGTCTCGTCTGGCCGGTATGGTGCTGATCACGTGCGCACAAAAATGAAACGAAATTCCGAGAAGCAACGGATGGCCGCCAGATCTTGCGGAATAGAAGCCGTGTCATCTCCCTCCCTCAAGTTCCAAATAAAAAGCAACTAATTACGCAACTTTTAGCCTTTATTGGAGTCGACAGAACAGACACCTCAGAACAGACGCCTCAGCCAGCGTTCAGAATTCACATTCACCAAAAACAACAGCGACAGTTGGATAGTTGTAAAGTTTTAGTCGATCGATTTGAAGAATTTGTCTGTTACCAGCAGAAGCGGAAGTCTCCAAGTGCTGCATTTATTTGAATCTCGACTGTAAAATAAGTCATCCTCTTTTCTACCTTTACTTCGGCTTTTGTGTGTGTACCTAGTACTATACTTTTCTACTTGTTCCTTTTTACTTGCACCTCCAGTTGTGTTTCATTGACTTCGAGTTTGTAAGGTGTCATTGACTTCACTTAAATTCTATTGTTTCGTTCCCGACGGATTCCAGCGTGGAGAAAGCAATGCAATTGAGCACGAAATTGGACAAGAAAGACTATCACCGTGAAGGACCCGAAATAAATACTCCGCATTTATTTTCTACTTCCACATCCACATCTGATTCGGAAGTCCAGCATTCGTCATCCACTACTCCGAGAACAGCTGTCCCGCTGACACTAGCGTCAGACAACTACAGCAGCAGCGAAGAAAGAAAGGGTTTGAGTAATCCAGTGGTCATTTGTACACGAAGCGACCAAGGACGACGAGGCTCAGCGAAGGGTGGACGTCGACCACCGAACAAAAATCTTCTCACATCTAAATACAAGTGAGCTGCACGATGAGCGGTGCTCCGCAAATGCCGCCGGCCAGCGTCAAGCCGCCCACGATCCGGGTGAGCTCGTTGCACGAGGGTCAGGAGGTGCACGCCTTCCACCGCTATTGCCAAGACCCCAATGGAAACTATTTCATGGTGGACCACAAAACCATGGGCAGCATGCACCCCAGCATGGGCCGCACCGACGGCTGGACCCGGGCAATTATCGTCCAAAACTGGGACGCCACCGGCTACGATATCAACGTGCAGGAATCCTGGCCCCTCGTCAGGTGGCAACACCCGCTGTGGTATGACAGGAGGGGAAGAAGGTATTGCTGATTATGAAATTCGTATGATTCCACTAGATCGAGTTACTAGTTTACTATACCAACACCACAGGAGTAGATCTAGATATTTTGCTTTTGCATGATCTTTACCTGCACCTTTTTCCGCGACTTTCATCTTGTACGTTAGTTTGATGTGGCAGATGAAGCCGCGGCGCTAAGCAAAAGACTTCACCACTTCTCGATGACACCAGATTGGACACGTCCCAACCGGGGCATGTGACGCAGCGCGTTCCGGCAGAGCAGATCCGAACCTTCCAGAACCCGGAGGAGGCGACGCAGAGGCCAAATCTGTCGATCCTGTCCGTCCGATGGGGCGGCGCGCAGGTGGTCGACCCGGTCACGGAAGGCGTCGGGGGATGGGGCGTTATTGGCAGCACATGCTCGGATAACTACATCAACTCCTTTGAAACCCAAGTTTTCAACACGTGTGGACCCACCTACGAGATTTTCTCCTGCTTCATCCAGAACTCCAGCGAGTTGCACAAACTGAAGTCGCCACTCATTCGCCACCAACTCAGGGGAAAATTCGTGGGCGCACAGTATAATTGACAACTTTGTTGACCATTATTCCCATTAAATGTAATACCGATTTTGGTGACCTACGAATGACTTCTTGTTTCATATGTTCGAAGCAAGCAGGCCATGATTTTTCGAACCACACGCCCGAAGGACGAATGTGGTACTGCACGACCTGGTCGCTAATTTTTATTCACGAAAACCGATGCGTCGATTGAAAAACAGGTATTATCTCTGGCCGATTGGTTTCGATGATGGGCACGAGTACCCGGGTTACGTGGAGCGAGAGGAATTGTTTGCCTTAATCATGTATCACGAGTGCGCTGGCGTGCCGACCCGGTTCCCGCACAATTCGCACCTGTACCGAATGTTCGCTTCAAAGGAGTGGACCGCCGCGCAATGTATAACTTTTTCATCTTTATCTACTTCAGCATGGATTTTATCATCATATTAAAATAAAAAGGCGTTTGAAAACTGTAAACTGCTCGAGGTTCCTGTTTCACATCGATATAGTCGCATGCAAAGCCTTCTTCTAAATTTGATATTGATTTCTTACCAGGCCTGAACCCGCAGCTGCGAACGCCGCTGACGACCAAGGTGCCCCGCGCCCTGATCGCCCAGAACCCGGAGCGGGCCGCCGCACAGGCTTATGACGCTTTGAACGCCATGTCCCAGGCTCGAACGAGCATTTTCCAGTTTCCGGAGTACACGACCCCGAAGATGATCACCCAGGGCGTTGCAAAGCTTGGATGGAGTTGGGAAGCACTCGACGTCCGGAAGTGGACCAACCAGGAATCCCTGCAGAACGCGTTGGTGGACCTGGGAGAACAGCAGGGCAGTCACATGGAATACGTTTTTGTTCAGGTAGAGCTTGTCGCTTCATTTTGTATGTACGACGTGCCCAGGCAAAGCGAAGGAAAAGCAATAGAACAAGCAGAAGCATATTGATATTCTTTTATACTTGATGATCCTACTGTGATTTGTCTTCATCCTTGAGATGATTGCAAAATCCTGAAACACAGGAATGGGTGGAGTTTGACGTGGAGATCCGAAATTACGTGGTGCTCCCCGACCTCCGAAACCCCCCGTCGTGCTTGCCGAAGGGAGCCGTGTGCACCATGTTCCAGGAGGAGACCCAGAACGGCGGATTCACCAACTTCACCCGCTTCGGACGGGAAGAGTGCGCGGCCCGAATTTTCAAGGGGGACAATGCCGCTTTCGACAGCTGCACCGCACAGATTAACGCCTTGATATACAAATGGCTCTGTATAATTCTTTTTTTTTTATGTTTATCATTATTCCTTTTGCTTCTGTACGGCGACGGCTCGCTGTGAAAAGGCGAAGTGCCCGCTAAAAAGTGAACTTCAGCGTCTCGCGTTCTCCGATTGAACTATCCATCCAAGTGCAAGTTGTATTTCTATGACGATACCATATCAGTTGCTATCCGAGCGGAGTGTGCGGAACCGCCAGTGTTTGTCCGATTCGATATGTTGTGCAAGTACCGTGGAAACGGCGTCTGCGAGGTGATGACGGGAGAGCTGACCGAACTCGGCGGGTGCTTCCTCGGATGGCAAGAGGGCCCGCAAATCGTTTTCAATGCGATCATCGACTCCTACTTTGGGCGTCTGTCCGCGAGCTGCCTCCCCCAGTTGAACGGAAAGAATGGTGGTGCGAACCCGGTGGCCACCGGACCGGGAATCTCGATGAATGGGTTGGTTTCGACGCAAGGCCCGACGAACAAGGTACGTAATAGTTACTGTGATTTTGTTTGATCATTGTTGACGTTGAAGCTGAAGCATATTGAACGATCGCAAGCTTCCTTTAGTATTACTATTAGTACCAGAAGCGCAATTGTGAATGTGATTATAGTACTGAGGCGAAGGTTATTAAACTTCATGGAGCACACATCATAAATCTAAAAACCTCTCAGGTTGCGCCCCCGCCCGGAGAACAGAACAATCAGAAGCCGCCACCGCCGCAACAGCAGCAGAACGAAACTAATGGGACAGTGCCACAGAATAACGTACCCTCACCGCAGGCGAATGGAAACCACGCGTCGCAGCCGCACCAGTAAAAAAAAAGCGATTATATCGATAGAAGGGAGAATTCGATCAGATTGTGCTGCTCCTCGACAATTATTCATTTACCGCGACTTTCACCGAAGATGAGGTTTATTCATCCTATGTTGAGTTTTGCAATCACGACGACAAAAATGACGCGCCATGTGTTCTAGATCTAGTGACAGTAATACATCCATCTTCTCGCTCGCCGCAAGTTCCTGTCATTTTCCTTTTCCACGACTTTTTCCCACCACATGTTGGCACCCTTCACTCAACTTCTTGCTCTTTTACATCTACCAAGTACAGGAAACGATGCCAAGACGGAGAAGCAGAAGCGCCAGATTTTCTTCTTCTTGGCGTCGGCACAATATGAGCAAGCGATTATGTACGAGATCGTGCAGGTTTTTGTGTACGCATCGTTTGTAAATCGACAGCCACGGCGAACAAGATGAAAGCGAAGTATGTTTTGTGAGAAGAAAAACAATCGACATTAGCTCAAGTTAGGGAATCGAACTCGAGAATACAGCAGGGATCTAGCACCGATCCGGAGCACGCACTGAAGAGCATGATCTATGCCAACGAATGAACCGACGTCACCAAAAATTGAAGAAGATATTGAATATCGCGATAAAAAAGTAAAGAGATTGTCCTTGCCGGTGGAGCACTGAACATACGCAGGTGCTGCCGACGAGGCGTGTCCTGTCTCGTACTTTTGCGACAGCGACTACGTCCTCACTGGTTTCTGACACGACATGAAAGTCTACCGCTGTCGATGTTCGCCCAAATGCAGTAACGCCAAAAAAATTCTCAACTTTACTAGGAGGCCGAGACACGACTACGCCGCTGAGCCAAACTTGCAAAAGAACGGTTACATTCCGAATCAAGTTATCAACTCGGAATCACGTTAGTGGAATCAAGTTTACAATAGAATCAAGTTAATGGAATCAAGTTAGCAGAGTCTGGGTTTGGGGTTTGGGGTCTAGGGTTTGGGGTTTCTGCTCGTCGGCCAGGGCAGCCGCCGCCGGCCGGCCGGCCGGCGGCGGCTGCCCTGGCAAGTGGCTCTCTCTTCTCGCTGTTGCGCCAAACAATGCGCCCCCGCGCCTTGCCCGCCTTTGTTGTTGGCGCGCTATTGCCCCGCCGTGGTTCCCGTTGCTTCCGTGCGCCAGCTCCTTCGTCGGCTGGCGGGCTTTTGGGGCCGCCCGGCGTTCCTTTGGGTTGTAAGTTGCCTAAAGTTGTTTCGCTTCCAGCTCCTGAATCAACTTGATTCGGCAAACGCACTTCCCGATTTGAACTTGAGCAGGCACATGCACATCTTTGGGCTGCTACAATCGAAGCAGCACAATACCGGAGCGATGTAGCGGCTTGGTCGTGACTGGGCGCGCAGCCGAGTCCTGATCTCGGGAAGCTACGCGAACAGCACTTATAATTGACTGCGCATCTTATGGTCGTCCGTGAAATTAAACCACTACAGATCGGTTAGCGAAAATGGCGCCGGGAGCTGCCCGCGGATGCCGCTTCGCGATTGTCGCAACCTGCGCCATCACCGTGGTTTCCGGTTTTTCCGCGATCAAAACACGTAGCACTGCCGTAGGCGCATCTGCCAAGACGTCTCGCAGAGCTGCCAGGAGAACAACTGCGACAGCTCAAGTAGCAAGAAGTAGTGCACGCGCCACTCAAAGTTCTAAAAAAGAGCTGTCCAAGAACACAGCAGTGGGAACAAAGCCTTAGCCGAAAAAATTCTCAACTTTACTAGTAAAAAAAATAAAATTCTCAACTTTACTAGGAGGCCGAGACACGACTACGCCGCTGAGCCAAACTCCTAGGCCGAGACACGACTAGGCCGAGACACGACTACTGCCCCGCTAAACCGAAGAAAAAAACGGCGCCGCGGCAAAATTGCTGAGGCCCGCGGGGGCTTTGTGTTTTTGGCGTTTGCAATTTTTACCCGCGCGGCCGGCGCCGCGGGCGGGGCGGGCAGCCGTTTGACCCTCCGGGGCGCCGCTGGGCTAGGTTTTGCAAGTGGCCATCTGCTTTTTTTTGTGTGTTTTGCGATTTTTTTCGCGTTTTGCCGCTTTTTTTGCTGTGTTTTGGATATTTTTTTCGTGCTTTGCCGGTTTTCAATCGAGCTGGCCCCCCCCTCAGCCAATGGCAGGCGAACTTGTTCTCCAACAATTGGCGGGAGAAAACTCGACCGGGAACCGGGAGAACACAAAAAAAAGCAGCAAAACGCGAAAAAAAGCTGCAAAACGCGAAAAAAGGCAAATGCCCAGCGCCGGGCTTTCTCTCAGCAGTTGCGACGGGGCCGATTTTGTTTTTCTTCCGCGAACGGGCCCTGGAGTCTTTCCAACTTTCCCAAACAAGAGGAAAAGTCGCAAAAGTTTCAGCTTCCGTTCGTGGGGGAAGAATGCAGCTGGCTGCGACCGTAGTGCCACTGTGTATACGGCGTCGGGCGACGGCAGTAGGTGGGCAATCGCATCGCGCGGCGTCTCTTTTCGTTCTTTGCCCCGCTATGTCGCGTATCAAAATCCATCGGTCTACGTATGGCAATCCAAAATAATCAGAACAGAGTCCAGATATCAAGCGGCTTTTGAAGCGAAACACGAGGGGAGTACACTTAGGAATCACTTAGGTCAAATAGTCCTTTATTGAGAAAGTCCACTAGTAAAAAATTCTCAACTTTACTAGGAGGCCGAGACACGACTACGCCGCTGAGCCAAACTTGCAAAAGAACAGAACGCTTTTTGTGCTCGGATCGCGTCAATAGATACGACCACAGGTGAAGTGAGGTTTTTACAAGCGTTGTTCATTCTCCTCACGACCCTTTACTATAGTCTTTTTCTTCCTTTCGCTCGGTAAAATTGCCGCACATCTTCATCAGCGTCCTGGTTCAAATGCAAACGAATGGCTGCTCTTATCGATGAGGCCACTGGTGTCGCTTGAGAGTTGTCGTCGGTCGTAAATCGTTCATCGCATCGCTCGAAACTGACCAGCTCGGGACGGAAAAGTGGAACGACGACGACGGTAAAAGCCACTGGTGGGAGCCGACATGAAAACTCCATTTTGATAACCTCACTCGAAACTAGCTCCGCCTGTTTTTTGTGTTTTCAAAAGAAAAAGTTGTGTTGAGCTGATGTATGAATTGATTCTCACCGCCGTTTTTGTACATCTTTCTTACCAACTAGAAGCCTAGCGTCGACCTCTTGTACCAATTGGTACTGTTCTGGCAACGCAGTAATTTTGACTTCGCCACCCCCCTTTTTTTTACGTTGTGTTTGTCTACTTTGCGCAATGGATGCGTGCTAAACCTAAATCAGTGCTTGCCTCTGCAGGCCGCGCACTTATCTTTGACTCCTTGATGGGACTTCCAGTTGCCGTTGCGTGCACTTACCTACGCGACCATTTTGAATTGTAATTTGTGTAGCCCCGGGATGAAATTTCATTTTGCGTAGAAGAACGCAGAAGAATTGTATTCTATCTGACGGTGTTGACTTGGTTGGTGTGGCTGTTCCTCCTTTTCAGTTTTTTCTTTCAACATAAACGAAAACCAATACTACAAACAGAAGCATTGCCTTGCTTTTGCTGGTCTTGGTCCTGCTTGCAGTACGACTTAATATAGTAAAATTTGAAATTTTGAAGAAATTCAAGTCGCCGACGAGCTGATAGATTCTATCATAGCCCTAAAAAAGCGTCTGGCCCTCCAGTAAGTACATGCATCAAGAAGTCTATAATCCGTAGCTAAAAATTGAACTCCCGCTCGCTTCATCTTCTCTCGGATTCAACTTCATTATTGATCGGGTATAGATATATCCATTGAAGATCCCTGAGAAGCCCAAGCCGAGACAACACAATCAAAAGTATAAAAACAAAATCCTGGGATTGTTGTAAAAGGGAGCAATAGATCTCGGAAAATTCGATGCAAGATATTGCTCGGACGAGGTTGGCTTTTGAAGATCCAGTCCCCCTGGTGTTGTATCCTCGTGGTCCGGGAAATTGTAGGGAACAAGCGAAAGAAGGAGCCAGCAGGAAGGCGTGAAGAAACAGAAACCTCCTCGGAAGATAGAACGTCGAGTTTCTTCGCCCGTCCGTCCTCGTCATGGTGATTAACAACCGGAGTCATCATCATGTGTTGCCGGCGGCCGTCGCCGAAGACAACGCTCCCAACGAGAACGATGACATCGTGCATTTCCTCCCGGCATCCCGCAAGCAGCTACAGCACCCGCACGAGCACGTGCCTTCGCGCCCCGGCTCCGTTCCCATCGGACCGCCAAGGGAATATCGTGACCCGCCCGGGCTGCCACTTCGGGTATGTAAATCAATGTTGATCTTCGGTTTGTTCGTGTTGGAATGCATAGCATAGCATGCAAAAATTAAGGATGCAGCTTTGCTTAGTTTTTTGCTCGTTGCTGCTGGTGTTATCGTTCTGGTTCTTCGTCTTCGACTGGTAATATCACAGCCAGGAAAGAACCAACTGAGCAAGCAATCGAATTCCGATTCGGGAAACGAAAACGAGCATATGCAACATGAAAAAAAAATCACAGTCCGAGAGCGCGAACGCGGGGCTGACGATGTGGCGCGACCTTTTGGTGGACCAGCGCCCGCCGTCGACGCCGGACCCGTTCTTGCCCCCCGCGTTGCAGAGCAGCTCGACACCGAAAATTTTTGGCGCGCGGCCCGTTTCCACCCCCCTACCCGACGTGACGCGCAGCAGCAGCGCGAACATCGAACCGCTGTGGACCTCGGCGTCCTCCTCCCGGGGCAATTCCCCGATCAAATCGCCCAGAACCGCGACCACCTTCCTGCACAAGATGCAACACCACTCCGGGACGTCGAGCTCCTCCTCGGCGCGGGCGCCGATACCCAGCTTCCACCAGCAGCACCAGGTGTACGTCGTGCAGCAACCGCAGCCGCGCCGCCCCGGGGCCGGCAACCTTCACTTCCAGCCGCAGTCGGGCACCAGTGCGGGCGGGAGCTCCACGTCGCACAGCGCCGACGTGGAACACGAACTGCGAATACACGAGCAGGCGCGTGCCGCCAGCGCACAAGCAGGCATGCTCAAAGCGAGGCCACCGCCCCGCGGGGCGGAACACCTGCACGACGACATACTGCTCGATCCGGAGCACGATGTACCAAGAATTTTTACCCTTTTGATGTTGCAGGCGAGCTTCGAAGTCGATTTCCGCAAAACAAGACAGAACTTGATAATCTTCTGCAAACGAGTTGGAGTTCGAGTCATTTAATACTGATGAAGTAGATTCATTTGTGTGAACTGCGCCTGATCAACAACTACAGTTGCCTGCCGATGTAGTGGATCGCAGTGGAAGCATTCCGATACACACGCCAAGCCCCATCGGCATCGGCTACCATAATCCGCTTGTGTGGGAAGGCCTGTATCGCCAGTTCCTCGCCGCGGAATCCGCCTACGCACAGGCAGCACACCACCAGGCAGCGTCTGAACACCACCTCGCTGCGGCTGCTAGGATAGTCAAAGTACGCTGCTTATCTTTATTCCTCTTTCTGTGAAACAGGATAGATTTCGTGACGATGCAAACAGTTTCTTGTTGGCTCTGGGGGCATCAACCTGGTACTGGCTGCAACATCGACATAAGTGATTGCATTCGTACGTAAAGGCAAACGCATTTTTCGTGCAATCCTAATCTGCAGGAGCAGGACGAGTGGCGAAGCCCATGGAGTGGAGTTCCAGAAGATCCCTGGTGGCCAGAGCAAGGTCGGCCCCCGCACCTACCCCCGCCCTCGGAGAGCTGGTATACATTCGCGTTTCCTTCGTTTGATCTTTTATGGAGATTACATACCATGGGGATGAGCTTGTTCCATTTTCTATACTTCATCCTCCTCCTCCTCACTACAAATGGTATCACATCACTTGGAAGAAGACATGGTTCGGAACCTCCCAATAGAATAGTTCACCGGAAAATTTTGGTTGATTTCACTGGGGAATGATTTTCGTTTCCGGGCACCTGAGCGCGTCCGACACCTCCACATCGCCGGGCAACCGCTACGCCGCAGCACTGCGGTACTGGGAAAGAAGTGATATTTCAGTGAAATCTCACTTTTTCCAGAGTCTCACTTTTGGGCGCCCAAAAGTGAGATTTCTCAAAAAGTGAGATTTCAGTGAAGTCTCACTTTTTCCAGAGTCTCACTTTTGGGCGCCACAAAGTGAAATTTCTCAAAAAGTGAGATTTCAGTGAAATCTCACCCATTTCCGAGTGCGGTACTGGGAAAGGGGTGAGATTTCAGTGAAATCTCACTTTTTCCAGAATCTCACTTTTGGGCGCCCAAAAGTGAGATCTCTCGAAAAGTGAGATTTCAGTGAAATCTCACCCATTTCCCAGTGCGGTACTGGGAAACGGGTGAGATTTCAGTGAAATCTCACTTTTTCCAGAGTCTCACTTTTGGGCGCCCAAAAGTGAGATTTCTCAAAAAGTGAGATTTCAGTGAAATCTCACTTTTTCCAGAGTCTCACTTTTGGGCGCCACAAAGTGAAATTTCTCAAAAAGTGAGATTTCAGTGAAATCTCACCCATTTCCCAGTGCGGTACTGGGAAAGGGGTGAGATTTCAGTGAAATCTCACTTTTTCCAGAATCTCACTTTTGGGCGCCCAAAAGTGAGATCTCTCGAAAAGTGAGATTTCAGTGAAATCTCACCCATTTCCCAGTGCGGTACTGGGAAACGGGTGAGATTTCAGTGAAATCTCACTTTTTCCAGAGTCTCACTTTTGGGCGCCCAAAAGTGAGATTTCTCAAAAAGTGAGATTTCAGTGAAATCTCACCCATTTCCCAGTGCGGTACTGGGCTCCAGTGCGGCACTGGAGCCCAGTATCACTTTTTCCAGAATCTCACTTTTGGGCTCGAAAGTGAGATTTCTCAAAAAGTGAGATTTCAGTGAAATCTCACCCATTACCCAGTGCGGCACTGGGAAACGGGTGTGATTTCAGTGAAATCTCACTTTTTCCAGAGTCTCACTTTTGGGCGCCCAAAAGTGAGATTTCCCAAAAGGTGAGATTTCACTGAAATCTCACTTTTTCCAGAATCTCACTTTTGGGCCCGAAAGTGAGATTTCTCAAAAAGTGAGATTTCAGTGAAATCTCACTTTTTCCAGAGTCTCACTTTTGGGCGCCCAAAAGTGAGATTTCCCAAAAAGTGAGATTTCACTGAAATCTCACCCATTTCCCAGCGCGGCACTGGGAAACGGGTGAGATTTCACCGAAATCTCACTTTTTCCAGAATCTCACTTTTGGCGCCCGAAAGTGAGATTTCTCAAAAAGTGAGGGCATTTTTAAGAGTGTGCATGTAGTGCGTAGGCACAGGAATTGCCCGCTTTGTATTATTGTTATTGTATATGAGTCGTAGTGGTATTGGCAGGAGATCATGGCCCGCGTAGCCTTTCACCTCTGTCGACCGCGCAGCATTTCATTTGTATGGGGCATTTATGAAGCAGAGAGCGCCAAATTGTGTAGGTGCTAGTGTGAAGCTTTGCCGTTTTTGCCTCCCAGTGTTTTGCAGAAAAATTTTCCGGTGAAGAGGGGGGGGCTTTTCCGATCCATGGAAGAAGAATTAAATGCAGGACCATTCATATTGCCCATTTTGATTTTCGTACTTCCTCAGGCGCGACCCACCGGTGTCCCTGACGGATCCCTATCACGAAAGCTTGCGGCTTTACCACGAGGAACAGCAGAGGGCAGTCAAGGTGGCAGCAGGCGCGCCCCCACCCGCCACGGCAAGTGTGAATGGGTACCACGCCTATCCACCGCCGGCGATACCGGCACCAGGTGTACCAACAGCAGCGAGCTACGACCCCCGGCACCACGGACCGCCACCTCCCTTGCCGCCCGCTGCACTGCTCCGAACGAAAATGAGCACGCCCCCGCCACCGTCTTTCGCGCCGCCTGCTCCGGAGCCACATCCACCTCCCTACCGCAGCGAGCGCCAAATGATCAAGGAGCATCTAGATGCCGAACTTCCGCCTCCCGGCATCAATCTGGTCAACGGGACGAGCACTACTATACCTCCAGCCGCAGTTGCGCCATCTTCAAATAGCCACTACTACGACCGAGGTGCACCACCTCCGCCTGGTCAACATCCACACGCGACCGCTGGAGGCCCACCACCTGTTCTTGACAGGCATCTGCACGGCAGCCGGGTTGCGACGCCGAACGGAGCTCCTCCGCCCCACACGACCACTAGTAGTTCATCCTCCATGGCAGTTCCACACATCAACTACGATTCATCCCACAACTCAACCCCTTCTGGTTGGGACCAAATGCACCAGCATCGGCCGCTGGGTGCATCTTCCTCCAGCGCGGCCAGTACGGCAACCGGAAGTCGCGGACCTCCTCCGCCCTCATTGCACCATGCAGGAGCTGCACCAGTCGCGGGCGGACCACCGCCACCAATACCTCCTGCGGTCGTGCACCACTACAACAATCCGCATGCAATGCACTTCGAATCGCCGCACCTTCAGCAGAGTCCACCAGCGAACTCCGATCAGCTGAATTACGAATCCACCACGGAAAAATCCGTACATTACAACACCCGCAGTCACAACACAACCGGCAGCGGCGGCGGTGGCCCGCGAGGAGGTGGGGGACGCGACCGGACAGGAGGCGGACACAACAAAAGTGGCACGAAAGAGAACAACGGTAACCTGTCCCGAAACGGCAGCAAACACTACAACCGCGATCCGCCGTACAACAGCATGTACAACAGCGGAACTTCTACAGGTGGAGGGAATCGAATGCAAAGTGGAACAAATGACGGGGGTGGTAGAGACAATAAGCCTCGTTCGGCGATGGAGCGGCGGCGCGGAGCAGCACATCCGGCAGCGTTTCCGCAAGCGAAATTCCAGCTGATGGATATGGAATACCCAACGGACTACGAAATCGCACAAGAGCACCCTGAACTAGCGAACCACCTGCAGGGAAAAGTTTTCCAAGTCATCTCCTCGCAGCAAGGCAGCAAGCACGTCCAGCGCCTGCTGTGCGAAAGCGAAATCGCAACCAAGGTGATTGTGTGCGAGGTAAGTGATATTGACAGAAGTTGTACCGATTAGCTTTGTTTCTTTTGCGATAATTTTTATTTTGATCCTCGTGTTAGTAGTGTTGGTATATGTGCGCTTTGACTTTTCATGTACGTGTTCTGAACTCACAGCTCCAGCCGCACCTAGTACAGCTAATGCGAGACCAGTATGCCAACTACGCTGTGAGTATGGTGTTCAGTGCGCTGCCCGACTTAAAGCGGCAGGAGCTGCTTGCCAGCGGGTTCCAAATCAACGAGCTGGTGGAGATCGCGCAGGACAAACGGGGCACCCACAGTTTGCAGGCCCTGCTCCACCGGTGCAAGGACGATCCTGTGGGAACCGTGCAGACCTTTTTGACACAGTTGCTCTCTCGGTTTCTGGCATTCGCGCTCGACCCCAACGGCACACATGTGGTGCAGAAGTGTCTGCAAACGTTCTCACAGGAGGGGCTGCAAGATATGTTTGGCACCATCTGCGATTTCTTTCCCGATATGATGCACCATCCGCACGGGCTCTGCGTACTGAAAGTGGCAATCACGCGGGCAGAAAAGCCGTGGGCAGAAAAACTGCGGCAAAAAGTGGTGGACCATACGCTGGTACTTAATCCTGAATTTCGAGAACTTTTACGTCACCTTTTCAGGATGGACGCAACGCTGCAGAGAAAAGTTTCTGTTGCAGCTTTTTTCCAGAGAATGAGAGCAGCGTGAACATAAAACTTGTGGTGTCTATTGTTTCACAAGACGATGCGCGACGTGAGCTTCGCGACCGCAGATCAACAGCAACTACAAGAAGAACGCACACCATAAAACACACTTGCAGGCTCTAATCGAGAATCCTTTTGGCAACTACGCGGTCCAGCACGCTCTGAAATCTTGGGGCTGGGAATACTGCGGTCCCGTGATTGAACAGCTGCGGTACAGATTTGCAGACGCGAGCACACAAAAATTTTCGAGCAACGTCGTTGAGTGCATACTCGGTGTGGCGCCCACCGAGGTCGGTGACACGACTCACACAAATACGGCCGAACAAGAAGATCAAGCTGCGCAACACGTGGAACTTGCGAGCGAGCCGTGGCAACAGAGAAAGAAGCAAAGCAAGACGAAGCTCATGACGCGCATCGAGATTATCCGAGAAATAATTGCACCGACGAACCTCGGCGAACTGCTGAACAGCATGTATGGCCAGTACGTGGTAAAGCGTGCCCTCGCAGTCAGTGAACGGCAAGAAATAGAGGAGATCACTGATGCCTTTGAGACGTACTTGAAAGGCGGCACTTCAGGTCCGGGCGCGACGAACCGAAAGCAGGCCCGGCACCGCTGGGAGCGGATTCTGCACGATAACGCACATCATCGGGCGGCCAACGACAGAGGTCTTCAGAACAACCAACACGGACACCAAACTGCACTGGGGAGCTACAACAACTACTGAGGACACGAAATAAAATACGGCCGATTTTGTTGACAATGTTGAAAGGCGGTCCTGATCTACATAGCGAAATAAAAAGCAGCCGAAGCGAAATAAAAAGCAGCCGAATTTCTCTACTTGGGCGACACGAAGGGAGAAAGAGAATAAAAGCCAGTTCTTCGGTTTGGCTTGCGAGACCGCATTTCTTCGCGAATGGACCAAGTCGAATCGAATTTCTTTTCATCGTGTGTTTTTTTTTTTACACAGAAAATGAAACACCTTGCTTTGTCACGCTCACGACCAAATTTTTTAACAACACCACCCTAAGCAGGGACCACAAGCCACTTACAATCAGAATGAGAAATACTTGCTTGCAAACATAACACTTTTTCAAAAATTCTGCTGATGCCACCTTATCTTCCAAGACGTTGGGCTCCGATCTCGCATTAAGAATATACCCCAGAAAGTAGTAGCAACCAAAAGAAAAGAACCAGAGCGGTCTTCCCTTCGCGCCAATCCTCCGTCGAATTTCACCGCTCGGCGATCTTTTCGGGGTCTTCTGCTGCAGCGGTGCATCGACCGCCTTAATATCTCGTGTACCTAAAGTCAAAAAAGATTCCTCCGAAAGTAAGTATCTCACTGCAGCAACGAAGACCCCGAGAAGGGAACTGGAGATGCATCTGCATTTGCATTTCACTGTTCTGATGGGGCTAGTTGCTATAGAGTACCTCCTCCGCAGTATTTTTGTATCTCTATCTTCCTTTACGATCACAGATGGGAGCCAGAAATGGCTGTGGTGCAAGTGTAACTTCTACGACTAAGTGCAAAAATATCGAAGCAAAATGGTCAATAAAATTCTTCAAGATTTACCATGAACATCATCAAGACAACAAGCCTCCTCGGGTGTGTGGTCCTCCCTTCCGACTTTCTTTATATGAGAACCACCGCCACGCAGGAGTTCAGCTGTGTTTTTTTCATAACTTTATTTTTATGAAAGTACTACAATAACAATAAACCCAATTTTTACGATTATGACGAGTAGTTCTGGAACAGGAATTTTCGATAACAAACAGAGCAGATAGGAAAACTACCCAAGAAGATCAAAATGAAGACTAGAGCCTTGTTTCTCCACCTCCTTATGAAGACCATTCCATCCACTCTTGGCCACTATCTGCGAGGGTTCGTTGGCGTCGGCGTTTCAGTAGCTAGTAGAGTAGCAGATCCCGCTGCGGATTTCCTGCTTTAATACAGCTACCGTCGTGTGAACAACGTCAACGTCAGAGCCGTAAAGTAACCCAAAGAACTGAAAACTCAACTTTTCTCAAATTTGTTTCGCACTTTATTTTGGAATTTGTATAGGATACTATTTGATGCAATAGAAACATCCTTCTCCTTCAAAAGTAGATACAGCTGATGATGTTGATATGATAAGTAGCTGCTTGCTACAACAACCAAGTATATGGCAACAATTATCGATATTTGGATATTGTGTAACTTTGTTCATTATGGAAACAAGAACGCATAAGATTATTCATAGAGTAAGCCACTTGGTTCTAAAAAGTTTTTTTCAAATAGAGAGGTTAAGCAGGGTTCACGTCAAGGTTTTGAAAATCCTAGTACAACTTCGACTTCCACTTCGTATCCGACTTGTATGAAATTGCAAACAACAAAAACATTTGAAAGATTTGTCACGAACTGGTCCATGGGAAATCACGAGAATTGCGCGTGAGTGACGCTCTTCGACTTGTTTCGGAGTCGGAAAGATCAAAAATTCTATACTTATCCGAAAAGTCCGCGTTTGTTGTTGTTCAGCAGCGTGGTAATGTGGAAGAGTGCTGATGAGAGTTGAGATGATATTTCAGAAGCACAAACACAAATATTGTCTACGTGAGCGATTTTTTTTCGACTGGCTCGTCGAGTGTCCTCGTATTAAGAGCATCTTGAGGTACGCAAAGATTGCTCATGGTCCGATGTGCAGCATTCACATTATACAACTTACTTACCTTTTGCCATCGCGCTCGACAAAAAAATGAAAAATTTCACCCAGCCTCATACACAGAACAAATAGTATAGATCGATATGAAAAATTTGAATTATCTTTTCCCCTAGTAGCACCCAACCACAACATGGTCTTTTTTCTCTCAGCCCGCGCGAAACAAAAATGTTGCGTCTTAACAACTGTTCTGAGTCTCCATGCGTTGCTAGTGCATGCCAGCATGCCGATACACGACGGTTGGTTTTGGTTGTTGTTGGGCCTGGCTGTGTTCAACTACCTGGCCACGGCTTTGTCCGATCCAGGCTACGTAGGAGGGATACCCTCAAACCGGGACACGGACACGACACCACCCGGTCTTGCCGACGACGTCTTCAATCCGTCACCTACGTATCCTGCGGAAAAACATCCCCGCCCCAGAGGCAAGATGATACTTTTCAAGACCACGCGTTTCTGCTGTAGTCGCGGGCGATAAGCTTGGCTCGCAGTTTAATGGTGCGGTTTAGCTATTGCAGCCGCGTCAAAATTGATTCTAGCATTCGTTACTGATTCTAGCATTTTGACTTTGAGAAGCAAGCTCCCAGAGTGATAGTATTAGAAAACGCTTCCCACGGGGCTGCGCATGAGAAACATTTTAGGACTGCAGCTTTCTATGAGGATTAACAAGAGTAATATGGCGTGGGGCCGGTTTCATACAGGATACGCCAGCGATGTTTTCCACGGCAAGGCAGCAGCTGCTGGTACGCAATGGAGGCGAAGAAGGAGATACTAGAGGAGTGATACAGCAGGACGCGAAAACATTTAACGGCCAGCATGTTGATAGTAGAAGTACAGCAGCAGAAGTCTCCTTAGGAGGCGGAACACGACTGTCACAAAACGAGGGCAACTATACAGTGAGGACCGGCGATGGCTCGTCATCGACATCGTCGGCAGGAGGAGCTTCCGCTACGCTCTATGATGCTACCACGACATCGCAAAAATGGTGCAGCATCTGCAATTGCGAGCAAGCTCTGCGCACAAAACACTGCCGGGACTGTCAGCGCTGCGTTAGGACCCACGACCACCACTGTCCGTGGGTAGACAGCTGCGTCGGTGAAGGAAATCGTGCCTTTTTCTTTGCCTTCATCCTGTTCCAGTTTTTGGAAACAGCGCTCTGCATGTCCCATGTCGTGCGCCGCGTAGTATTGAGCACCGGCGGAGGTAGGGACACTGACATGTATAGCGACGCTGACGAAGAGGGCTCGAATAGCTTGCTGCTAGGGGAAATAAATGTGGTGGATGGAAAGAAAGTGGAGATGAACCGGATCGATCTCGATGCACAGTACAGCACACAGCAGGAAAAAATGCTAGACGAAGCAAAGCGAACCAAGATGCTGATGACAGAGGGGCACCACCCAGATATAAGCAGCAGCGCTGTCCGTGGCGCACTGCTTGGAAAGCATTCTCAGAGTTACCAAGATGAACTCTATGCGGGGACCACGAGGCCGTCAACGTCGGGAATGGTTGTGGCCCAGGAACTACAACAGGTCCGCCAGCACTACGACGCCCTTTCCTCGGCGAATCACGGCACGTCCAGAGCGCAGGTATCGCCCACCGCTACCGTCAACGACATTGCGCTACTGCTCGTGCTCGCGATTATTGCGTTTGCACTTTTCCTCCTTTTCTGCACTCACGTGTATCTGATATCCGCCAACCTGACGACGTATGAAATGACGCGGCGTCATCGGGTGCCGTACCTGCAGAATCTCCGTAAGGGCTCGCCGTTCAGCGAAGGCTGTTTCCAGAATTGGGCCGCATATTTACTGCTCGGCCGCACCCCCTGCTGGCGGGCATCGCCCTGGTACCGCAGGAAAGCCGTGGCGATAGTGAAGAACATCAACGGCTGCTGCACTTCATCTTCCCGGTTTCTCCGCTGGTTGATCTTCCCGAGAACAGGAAACAACAGAGCAAACAGACTAATCCACCAGCGAGCGCTTGTTCTTCCAAATAACCGCGCAACAGCACTGCAGGAAGGCCGTCGCGGAGGAAGCCCATCTTGGTCCATAGTCGAATCCGGCTCGACTTCCACCACAACATCTTTGCATCTTCAGGGCATACGCAGCACAGGGATCACCCCTGGGTCGACGGAAGCGTGCAATAATTATGGGGAAAAGGACGCGCTAAATCGGTACGATTCTCGTTTTCCTGGTGACGAGGCTGTGGAGGCTCCTGCTTCGATATTTATTCAGGGGGAGGATGCCGGCGGGAGCGGGACGCCAATAATGTCCGGAGAGGATGCCAATATTCTTGTATCGGAACAAGCCGGACACAATGCGGAGACTGTTGACTTTGAAACGAATGCAGAGGCGGCCGAAGAAGGCCGCATGGAAATGCATTTATTTGTCGAAACCGAGAACTACACGATGAACATGGCTTGTGCCCCGGACCCGGTCACAGGACACATAACCTGGACTCCGGGCACGGCCCACGTGCCGTTTTGTCTCACAATATGCAACCCCTGCGTCTACGACCAATGACAAGAGAAACAAGACGAAAAAAACCCCCGCAATATTCTTGCAACAGCAACTTGCTTTTGATTTCAAACTGAAGAGTACACAAACGCAGAGACAGAGAGCGAAAAGAAGAGGCTCAGTTTCCTGCGCGTTAGCTCGTTCACTTATTAAGTAATTTGTGCTACATGAAGGTGGGAAGAAACTTCCTCTCTCGGTATCATGATCGGTCAGCCACTGAGCAGAAAAACAAGCCGAATTTTTCGCAGATGATGATCAGTACAGTTTTACGTTTACTCGTCGGTGATAGATGGTGAACACGAGGAAAACAGAATCGGTGGACGAAAGACGAGGCACCGCTTTATGATATATTCCGGCGGAATATTTTCTTGCCGTAGTAGAAGCATCTGTCTAAGAATGATCTCTTCAACATGCACATAGAAGTCTCATGTGGAAGATATGGTAATATTAGTGAACAGCGAGAGTCCCCATCGTGCGCTAAAAGGAACTGGTCCTAAACGCTTCTCAGACGACACTTTCTTATTTCTGTTTCTGGGTCAACCAGATTTGTCAAGCCTCTCGAGTAAATTTAACTTTTATGTTTTGAAAGTTTCTCAACCGAAAAAAGAGTAATCAGTGTATATCAAGATCACGTTCTTCGAGTGCATAACATACAGACCACTAATTTTTATTCCCAGCAAGACCATCTTGTGGTAAGTAACACACAACAAGCCAAAAGATGTCAGCGCAGTACCGAATGGAACCGGAGGAGCGGTTTGCGAGTGAGAATAACGGGGAAAGGGAGGGATTGATAAAATCGTTATCGTCTGCCCCAAGTGGCCTCCGTTCGTCTGCAAATAGCAGATCGAAAAATCGTCGCGGTGCTAGCGAGGATGAAAACGTATTTTTGTACGACGACGAGACAGGAGCTATCAAAGGCAATTTGTCTGTTTTACACCTTGGGTTATCCCATTTCTTTTTCTTGACATCTTCGCTTTGTATGTCCGCCTGTCTTTGCAGCGGGTAGGGGTACGGGTTTGCGGTGCTGGTCCACAAGGAGCACGACCTTTCGATTATCTACCCTTTTGCAGCACCTATCCTCGTGTGATACATATAACTGCTGAGGACCTTCTACAATATATGAGGTGTGTCGAGATAGGGCCCATAGCTTGAAAAAACTGCACTTTTTCCTTTGATAGAAACTGATCCTGACGCTGAGTTGGAGCGCAAGGCCAAGTGGGTGCGTTGCCTTGTGGGCGGCTGCTGTGGCTGTCTACACATCTTTCTGTTGATGGTCTGGACTTTGTTGATGCTCGGTTTAACTATCGGCATCCCCAAGTTGGAGGACAGCGAAGTAATTTCTGATTTCCTCGGCATTACGGACGACTTCGAAAATCAACTGCCTGCTGCGTGGAAAAAGGCAATCGGGCACCCACCTGCTACGGCCTCGTTTGCGCAACTAGCGGAACAGGAAGATGTGGATGTGGTCGCGAGCGATCTCCTCGGGCAGGCTGCTGCATCATGGCCTGCTACGCAACATGATCTTCAACGCAAAAGGTTTTTGGAAGCCACTGGAGAGGCGCAAGAAGCTGAAGATGCACAACAACCGTATCAGGTGGCGGCGATGACAACAAGCGCCCTGTTGCAATTGGGCGAAAAAGCAGGGGGTGGCGCTGGAGCGCCCCCGGGCACTCCTGTTTCGAAAAATGTCAAGGACATCATAGATGCTGCGTATGCTTGGCACGGAAATTTACCATATTGCAGTCCTACTTGAAGTTCGTGCTAAGTACTCCGCGAATCTGCTGGGGAAGGCTACAAGCATTCTCTTCGTGCATGATCAGAATTTATTTCAGTTCCTTGTTTGTCGTCTTTCCTGCTTGTGGTATTTCGTTTTGAGGCAAAGGCTTCTTTTTTCTGTACGAAAAGTGGCAGTTGTGATCACTTTGACTTTGCATATATCGATGATGGCGGGCACAGAGCAAAGTGTGTGAAAGTTTCCAAGCATACGCGCGCGCCATTCAAGAACGCGGCTGGGTACGTATTCTGGGTCTATGGTTTCTACGTGGTTTCCCCGAGCGAGTCGAACCTTCTCATCTACGTCTTCGGCTACCTTTACGAGTCCTTCAACAAGTATTTCGGTCCGGGCAGCTGGTTTGACAAATCCATTGACGTGTACAAGAGGGGCACCGATAACCCGCCCAGCGCCAAGCCTGCGTCTTTTTTGGAGCAAGAAGAAGAACTGGGCGCCAGCTCATCTCCCATAAGTCACAAGGAGCTTCTTGTTGATGAGCAGGGGAACGAGGGCCACGAAAACCAGATGCTGCAAATCGAGCAGCTTGACCACGCGCCGCAGCGGCAATCAAAGTCGTACTATGTAGACCAGGTCAAAGATGGCAACATTAACTTGAAATTCGGCAAGAAAATGCAGACAGCTGCGGGTATCAACATTGCTTCCATCGTGCTTCTCTTCATCGCAGTCGTCTGCCTGATGCGCCTTGGATGTTGCAGCTGCGGAGGTCCGAAGAAATATGGCAAGGGATGGTGTGTCACCATTGTCTTCTGGCTTGCGGTATGAATATTTTTTTGGTTTATTTTTTTATTCTTGACGTTGACGGCATTCACATTGAAGACGTTTTTCCGGTAAATTGACATATTGAATAAGATGAGCATGAGTCTGCTTAACTAAAATCAAGATGGTGTCGCATACTGTATGTAACTCTCGAAAAGCAGGCAAAATGATCTTCATCTTTGCCTTCCCGTCCCGTCTCATCTTGCTGGCGTCGCTCAGGTGGTCATAAGAGGTGGCACAACATCACATTCCAATTTGATCTCCACAACCACAACAGATTGCATGCGACCTGACACTGTTGATTCTGCGGGGATGTATTCCCGGCTCGGTAAACGATGTGCTAAAGCCCGTGCAGTACTCCGTGGAGAAGTCCTTGGGAGCCGTGCTCGAAAAAGTGCAGGATCTAGATCTTTCGGGGACGCAGTGCGTCTCCGGATTCCAGTGGGGGCTGTACCGATTGATCGAAAGCGCGTCCCAAGGCGACCCCGACGCGGAGGCTGACCTGAAGCTCTTTGCAGGCGACCAGCCTGGGGCCGTGGCACAGTTGAAGGCCTCCCGGTTGGCGAGCATCGCGGCGGCAGGCCCGGGCGCAACGGAGGAACAGGTGTATGCTTTGTGGACGGACCCGACCGCGGCGGCCGGTCGGACTCAGCTGCCGAATTTTCCGATTGACGATACCACGTGCAAGGAGGTCAATCAGGCTCTCAAGATTGACCTACCCGCACTGTACAGCGACGTTGTGACGCCGATGATCCTCAGCCCCGGGCCAGGGGCCACTATCGCCGAAATTCTCGGCTACGTGACCTTTTCCCTGACGATCGTGCTGCTGCTCGTCGGCATGTTCTGCTACGGGCAGCTGAACCCGATGGCCGCCGCCGGGAAGAGGCGGTAATCGTAATTCTATGTATATAGGTGAAGCTACGAAAAAATGATGAATCTCGGGATTATATTTTTTGCGTGGGTCTCCAGGGCTGTAAGAACTACATTGAAGGGATACATCCTTCCTAGAAGACACACAACTGCGCCCGGTTCTTTTTCTTTACCTCTCACAGTTGGCAATCCATCATTATCATCAACACGTTTTGCGTCGCCCATGGCTGTGTCTGACATCACATATTGACACTCACATGATATCTAAGAGTCAGATGTTGAACATAAGTAGTAGCTGTAGTAGTACACGTCGACCACACTTCTGCCTCGACTACAACTTCAAAATTAACTTTTACGTGGACACGATGCAGTGACACCAAATTTTGTACATTCTTGTAGCGTTGCGTGTTGGGGTGAGTTGTAAATAGTAATAGTTATAGTGTTGCTTTCTATTTGTGCGCATGAATGAAGATGACACGCAGAGCCGCTGAGTAAGTACTTAATGTCAATTCATCACCGCGACAAGTAATTTTTGCAGCTCGCCCTGATAAACATCACGCAACATAAGACTCAAACACAAACTCAATAAAGACCGCCAATAAATTTTGTGAACATTCACATTGAATGATTGATGAGCTTCAGCAGAAAAACATGATAAAGAATGCGAACAGAATGAAAAGCACAAGCTAGTACTTGTATGCGAATCGCTGTGCCATGTTGTTCGCGTTCGCCTCACTCTACTCCCCAGTGGTCCAGCAGCACGTGTCGTGTGAGAATCAGGGCATAGAAGCAGTTCAAGAGGAATCTTAAACCCAATGTCTTCAACGCCATTGGTCATGTGCTTCCACTTCTCCACAAAAACGATTACTTCTAGTACGATTGAAAAACGTTAAACGTTTCTGAGACGGGAGAGATGAAGCGTGAGGGAGAGAATTAAAAAATAGGGCTTTCAACTACTAGCTTGGCCGTCTTGCAAAAATAAGTATTGGCTCACCTATAGAGCCATGCTGTCACTCCTATTCTTCTTCCCGATTTGAACTTGAGCAGGCACATGCACATCTTTGGGCTGCTACAATCGAAGCAGCACAATACCGGAGCGATGTAGCGGCTTGGTCGTGACTGGGCGCGCAGCCGAGTCCTGATCTCGGGAAGCTACGCGAACAGCACTTATAATTGACTGCGCATCTTATGGTCGTCCGTGAAATTAAACCACTACAGATCGGTTAGCGAAAATGGCGCCGGGAGCTGCCCGCGGATGCCGCTTCGCGATTGTCGCAACCTGCGCCATCACCGTGGTTTCCGGTTTTTCCGCGATCAAAACACGTAGCACTGCCGTAGGCGCATCTGCCAAGACGTCTCGCAGAGCTGCCAGGAGAACAACTGCGACAGCTCAAGTAGCAAGAAGTAGTGCACGCGCCACTCAAAGTTCTAAAAAAGAGCTGTCCAAGAACACAGCAGTGGGAACAAAGCCCGCTCCCAGCGTTGCGGAGCAGTGCGCGGAAGATGCAGACTGCTTGCCACCCCCAGCAGCCACGCCCATTGCGGAACTCGAAAAACTGAAACCGAGCGAGCTCGAGACGCTGCGGGGAAGTGTCGAGGACAAATTGGCGAAGGCAAAGTCCGATTTTGAGCAGTTGCAGGCGAAGCTGGCGAAAGCGCAGACCGAGCACGCGCAGAGTCTGCAAGCTTTGAAGCAGGAGATTGGCGCGAAAAAGGACCAGGCCCAGGAGACGCGGCTGGCAACCCGCGAGACCGTGGCTGCGGACGCTGCCGCCGGCGCGAAGGAAGAGGAAAACCTGCAGAACTTGGACGGCGAGAACGCAAACCTCCGCAAGGACCTGCAGGCAAAGCGGGCTGCGGTCAAGCAACTCGTAGCAAAGCAGCCCTGCGGGAAGTGCACGGCGCACCAAAGCACCGCCTTTCTCACGCTCTGGTCCTCGGTGCGGGACGCGCCCGTATCAAAAGGAAAAATCCCCCCTCCGCATATTGACAAGGCACGTTTTCGAGAATTTCTATTGCTGATTTGTGACCACAAACCGCCTCTGTGTTGCATGAAGGCAACTCCACAGGCTCCGCCGCATTCTAGCGGCGGTTTGTCGTGCTGTTGTACCCACAGCGTAGACGTCTGGCATGCAAAGCGCCAAGGCCAAAGCCTGTCTTCTGAGGCTTAATATGGGTCTGTTGTCCTCGCCAGCAAGACAAAGCCGATTTGTGTACGCAAATCCAGCATCACCTGGCAAAGCCGATGAGTTCGGGCTGCTGACTGTTCCACTCCCTCTTAGCGGTACCAGTTTCGCCCACGCCCACGCAAATCCAGCATCACAAGCTTCGTTTTGATATTGGGAGGGGGGATTTTTCATTCTGATAGCCCGCGAAGGATCTCATGGCCGAAATTCAGGCTGGTCAGCGGGAAATCCGGAACCTGGAGGACGATACCAAGGCGCTGGAGAAAAAACTTGTGCGCGAGGGGAAGCGGTTCGATGAGCGCACCCAGTTCCTGCGCACCAAGGTCGACGAGGCGGAAGCGAAGGCGGAGGTGGCACCGCCGGGGTTGGCGGCTGAAAAGTCGGCCGGCGTACGCTTGAATGACGCCCGGCAGGTGCGGCTGAAAGCTCGAAAAGCGGAGAACGACGACCTGCGAGGCCGCTTGGATGACCTGGCGAAAAAGGAGACTCGAATCCAAGAGCTCAACGCGGAGTGCGGCTGCAGCTAGCAAGTGCCGCTGACATTCCGTCCCGCCGAGAAGTATACATCGTGCTGCAGGTGCAAAAAAATGAAAATGTCAAAAAAAAATGACGCACTGATCGTTCAGTTTCTGTTTTCCAGCGCTCGTCTACATAGTACTTAGCCGAAACTTGGATATTCGCTGCACTACCTAGAGGGAATATCCTGTACCTATTTCATGTTTCGTGTAACTCATTCTTGAACTGCTGCTGCTGGGGTCGCAAAGCAGTGGCGAGAACGGTGCAATCCCAGTGCCCTTCATCAAACAGATGTTCCTGTTCGACTTTCGTGCCGTGGAATACTAACCGTTGCGTCTGCGTGGCGCGACTAGAAAAGCACATTTCGTCCTCGACGTTCGTTCTCTTTCTTTGTCTAATTTACTGTCAGAGGGGATGGAGTAGGGTCGTTTGGAATGCGCACATCATGCAGAAATATATGAATCGAGAGTGTGAGGAACGACGAGTGAGGAAGTCGCTTGAAGACAAGGACGATTGTCGGTGAATGAAGTTGCCGTGTGAGAAATTATTTCGTTCATCATGAGGCTATGATGCAGATGCAGACGACGCGCACAGATCCAGATGACCTCGGACGACTTACTTCAAAACCAGCGAAGTGGATGTCTATGAATAAAAGATGGACTTCCTCGATGCTCCGTCTGTACTAACGCCGTAGAAGTGGTCGTGGAGCTTGAGCAGACCGATCTTTCATCATGAGCGTTGCGGTTGACCGTGCTGCATCCGCGTTCGCGGCCACAGGGAGCAGCCCAACGTTGGAGCAGGTTCCCGGGCAGCAGCCGGCGTTTATCGTGCCGCAAATGATGGGTTCGCTCCAAATGGGTGGCAGCTCGTCTTCCACCGCACCGAGCCACGTAGTGGGCGCTACTTCGTCTACCAGTGCAACCGCGACAGCAAGCAACAGCGAAATAACGGGTGGAGCAGGCGCGACGCCTTCCAGCGGGGCGCAATACTTGCAGCACCACAGCCATCTGATGCCGTCAACATCAACAGGTGGAGCGGGACAGCTGGTGTCAGTCGGAGGAGCTAATAGTACAGCCGTTTGCACAGCGGGCCCGCCACCAGCACCGTTAGTGCTAGCAGGAACCAGCTCCGCGGCCACCGCTGGCGGTGCGAACGCTGCGTCTTCAGGAGACGCGAGCAACAATATTCTGGTTGCCGTTCGTTGCCGGCCGTCGCTACGGGGTCTGGACGAGGCTGCCCCGATCGTGAAAGTGCTGGACGACAGCATGGTGATTCTGCAGGACCCGGGACAGGAGCTGCAGGGAGACTACCTGCGGTTGCACAAGAGCCGGGAGCGCCGCTACAAGTTCGACTACGCGTTCGGGGGCGAGGCAAGCACAGAGCATGTGTACCGCAAAACGGCACGCAGCCTGATTCCCTCCATATGGCTTTCTCAAACGTTACATTCTCAACTGTTACACGAATCTGTGATGCAAGAACAGCAAAAGGGAAAGCGGGAAGATTGCGCGTTTTGCATTACAAATTTGGAACGGAATATAATGCTGCTTAGCCCTTCGACAGTTTGTCATGCGAAGTACCTTGATCGCGTGGAGGCTGATGGCGATTTTGCATGACAAATTCTTGGGACAGTTGAGAGCGTAGCGTTTGAGAGCTCCATACTCCATTTTGAACGGGTACAACGCCACCGTGTTCGCGTACGGAGCCATATCAAATGCAAAAATGTCTGGGTCTGGAAACTTGTAATGCTAAAGGTGAATGATAGACGTACTTCAGTGCGCAGCTATGCATAACAAATTTTCTGGCTGCCATGTCTTACGTATTCCGCATGGCAAACTGCGTTTTTGCATGACAGGCGCGAGGGCCTTTTCGTGCCTATGCAACGCAGATTCTCGAGTCATGCCAGACGAGCATGACAAACTTGCATTCTTCCAGACCCAGACATTTTTGCATTTGATAAGCCACCGGCGCGGGCAAAACGCACACCATGATCGGGGGGGACGAAGACGCGCACCACCAGCACCACACGGGAACAAAAGACCCCGGGATCATGTTTCTGATCCTACGCGATCTCTTCTACCTCGTGCAAGAGCAAAAGCAAAAAAGCGCCAGCGGGGGTGGTGGGGGAATAAATGGTGGTGTACTAGCGGGGGTGGACGAGACGAGTGTAGGAGATGATGATCCAGGTGGAGGAGGAGGCGCAGCAGCTGCTCCAGGTGGAAAAACGTCAGATAAGAACAAAGACAAGTCGATTGCTGTAAAATGCAGTTTCTTGGAGGTCTACAACGAGAACATCAGAGACTTGCTGCTGCCGTCAGCAAAGGCCGATGGCTTGGAATTGCGCGAGGATCCTGTCAAGGGTTGCTACGTCGCCGGTCTGCAGGAGCTGCCTGCCCAGTCCGTCGATGAAATCATGGCGCTGCTGCACCTGGGAAACAAAAATAGGTACGGCGGCAGAGATATTAAGCAGTATGTTTTCTCGATCATCAGTAGGTCGAGTAGATTCAGATCCTACATACTCGTTTGCAACTGTATCTGTTGTTTTGTTCGCTGTACGTACATAATCATAAATCTCAATAACGTCCATCCAATCATGGTAGGACGACGGAGGGCACCGCCGTGAATGAGACCTCTTCCCGATCACACGCGGTTTTGCAGTTGCATGTGGAGGAGAACCTTGGGACCGGGCAGACTTCCATCGGGAAGCTCTCGCTAATCGACCTTGCTGGGTCGGAGCGCGCTTCCAAAGCGCTTTCAAAGGGAGACCGCTTGATTGAGGCATCCAACATCAACCGCTCCCTGTTGGCACTCGGAAACTGCATCAATGCACTTGTGGAGAAGAAACGTCAGAGCTTTGTCCCGTAAGAAGCGTTTTTGATGTGTTTACCGAGGCATGATGAAGAGCTTCGAGTAAGTTGCATAGTCAATGGTAACATGATGCTTTACAACAACTTCGTCATCGAAAGTATTATTTTGTTCCGAAGCGAAAAGCAGCTCCTGACCATGTCTCTCTGTTTCGCAGAAGCAGAACATCTTTCACCAGTGTTCTGCGAGTGTGTGGTCTTCTATCAAAACAACTACCAAATATTTTCCGTTTCATCACTTTGCAGGTACCGCGACTCGAAGCTGACTCGACTGCTGAAGGACAGTTTGGGCGGCAATTGCCGGACCTGCATGATTGCTTGCATTTCTCCCACCGCAAGCCACTACGAGGAAACAAGCAACACTTTGAAATACGCAAACCGCACGAAGAACATCAAGACGTCCCAGCACTACCGGCGGAATTTGGTCACCACGTCTGCCGAGGAAACCGATGCTCAGGTCGCGGAATACGCTCAAATCATTGCCGAGCTGCAGAAGGAAATCTCCGAATTGAAGGGCAAAGTGCACGTGCAGCCAGGACCGACAACAACGTCGTCGTATGCAAACATCAAAGACAGGCACGGCGGTGCAGGTGTGTTGACGTCGTCCTCGTCCGCAAGTGCAGCTGCCGTCCCGAAGGAAGCGGAGGTTTCCGAAACCGCGATTCTGGCATCGGAGAAGGCTTCGGAACGGTGGAAGACCGAGATGATGTCAACGTTGGAAGAACGGGTCAAGCTTCAGCGACAGCTCATGGAGACAGAGACGCTGCAATCCCAGCTGTTGCTCGACCTGGAAGTGTCCAAACGTTCAAAGGAAAGCTGTCAGCAAGGTACTTACTCGTTCTGCTCAAGAACATACTGTGGATTTGGATACGGCAACGGCATTACATATTTTTATTTGCATCCTTCGTCACTGTTGTCACGACTCGACTGAGGCGGTTGAAGACCAGCACAGGGAAGGAATTCATAATCATTATACAAATTTCTGTACCCTCAAGACATGTTGATGAATGACAGCACTTTGCACTTTTCACCCTGCTTATCGAACATCGATCTTCGATTTTAATTGTGCACGACAGGCACCGATGCCGACAAGGACTCGACGAGCGCCGGCCCCTCGCCCAAGAGCAGTGTCACCACCACCAAACTTCTCGCCGAGCACGAGGACCGACGTACCAATTTGCGCGCTGCGCTGGAGGAAAACCGAAAGAAAAGCCAGAAACTGCAATTGCAGCTGAAGGAGATCGCGGACAAGGACCTCCGGGCGTTTCTGGAGCTGCTGTACCGGGCACAGGTGCTCGAAGTCGAGCGCATGGAGCTGGACCACGTAAACGCAATGAAGCGTCAGGTCTTGGACCAGAAGGACCAGGATCTCCGTACTGGTTGCTTGTTTCTTTTCCGCTTCGTTCGTTTGTAAAGACAATTGTCAATTCATTGCATTGCTACTGGCATTGTTTTTGCGAGGGGCAGTCTGAATTCTGAAGGCGACAGCGACAGCCTTGATGACGAACGAGAAGCAAAACCACCGATTTGTTGAAAATATCATGAACAGAAAATCTCCGTCACCAGCTGGACCTCCGAAACGAGTACTTGGGCAAGTTGTCGGGAAATCTTTCCGTAGAGGACAAGCAGATGTTGCCGGGGCACGTGAGCCTGCTGGAGTCCACCATCACCTCGCCAACGCAGTGGAAACGACAACTCTCCAAAGAACAGCTTGACGTACAGGAAAACGGCACATCGCTCGCGACCGACGAACTACAGCTCGTCGGCGCGCCGGTAGGACAAGCTCTTATTCTATGATAGATCATGATCTGCATTTTCTGTTGTAGTTCCGATCACCTTGATGCTTCCTTGATAATTGCAGAATATTTTACTTTCGCTGTCACAACATGGAAACTTCTTCAAAACATACTCTTACTCAGCCCCGGTTTGCGTCCATTCCCGGGGTGGATGGGCTGCACGAACCAACGGACCCGTCAAGTCCCTCCGATGTGAAGGGCGGTATTGATTGGAGCGCCATCGAGGTGCCGCGAGCGAGCCGCATCAAGGGTGTTTCCCAGGAACTCGCGGGGCTGAACATCTTTGATCCCACGCCGCGCGACTTTTCCCTCGTAGACCACCATGACGCCGCTCGTGGCGGCCAGTTGATGTCCGGCTCGCTGGGAGCACATCATTCGCACTCGTCCTCCGCGTTGGTAGTTGGGGGGGCGAACAAAGAGAACGTGCGAACTGTTGTGAAATTCGACAACGCCGCATCTTCCGCTCAGCTGAAAAATGTAGGCGCGGCGGCGAGCGGCGGCTCCCTGGCCAGCTACCGCGGTGCGGGGTACCGCTCCCAGAGCGATCACGGGGCCGCTCTGGTACAACAGCTGCACAGCAAGACCGAGCACCACAGTAGCGCCACGACGCGGCCGCCTCGGAGTTCCCCCAAACGGCCGGACACCGGTCCGGTGCACTACTTCTCCCATCTCCCCAGCTCCTCAGGCGGAACGCGGTCGTCTCACGGTCCGCAGAAGAGCCGACCGAAAACCGACTACCAGCCGCAGCTGCGCTACGCACAGCGACACCAGCAGAACCACTGGAAGCACCTGCAACGCATGAAGGACACCGCCTTCCACAACGAGCGGCTGAATCCACCTCTGCAGCGCGCCGGAATCAGTTTCAAGCAGCACGTGGTGAACAGCGTGAATAACCAATACGGTAACAAACCCAATGCTGGTGGGCCCTCTGCAGGTGGACCCCACGCGCAGCCGCAGCACAGCAGCACGAACATACTGTCCTCGCACAGTACAACTACTTCTACACATCACGCCCCGGTAACGTCCACCATCAGTACAACAGGGAACAGCGGACTCGGGAGTAGCGCAAACAACACCGGCGTTGGTGCTAGTGCGGTTGGCGCTAGTGCCACGGGTGGTGTCGTTTCGGGTAGTGCCACGGCGAATGGCACACGAATCCAACCGCAGCATCACCCGATCGTGAGCAATTACGCCCAGCCCTACCACCAAATCGCGTCCAAACGAAAGCCGCGGTCCTCGGTAGGGAACGCCACACGGCTTGCAGGAAAACTTATCGTAAATTCCAACGCCGGAGCAGGTCGAGATTTCCGCTTCTGATAAAGAACCTGAAGAGCAGGGCTTTTCCGCTGGCCGGATTAAGGCCCCGGGTCATAATTACCCAGTCTGGAATCACCCTGCTTGGAGCGTAGCATGTTCGTATTGTGATTTCGTTGCTGAGAGAGCACGGGCCTCGACGCATCAAATACAAATCTGAATTTTTATCCAGTGTAGGTGTAAGTGAGGATGTCGTACTGTTACTACAACGTTGTCCTTGTCCTAGTATTCCCAATATTTTCTAAATCCGAAACGTGTTTGAATCCAATAAAAACTTGTAACTGTATTACATCCTGGGCTCTTGTCTAGTTTCACATTTTTGTTTGGCCAATACTATACCATTTCTCTTTTCGAGCTGAAGATGTAGTTTGTGCTTGTTGCGCCGTGTTTGAAAAATCACTATCACATGAACTCTCAGATTGCTTTGCTTGACTTCCGCCGTTTTTTGAAGCATTCACTTTCCAGTCACTCTGTATTTCTAGGGGCAAAGTCTTGACAAAAAGTAGTTGGAGTAAACCAAATAGATTGTTAACTCTTGGGCTTTGCGCCTTCGTCTTCGTGCTGGGCGTCACGAGCACGCCTGGCGTCTGACCATTCAAATTGATGAGATCGTGTAGTAGTCGTGAGTATGTGAAGTGTTAGCGACTGGTGTTAAAGGTTTCCAACTTTTTTGCTGATGCTGAATAGAAACCGGTACCAAACAAAAATTTGTAGCCTCGTAGCTGAGCTGCACAAGATAGCAATACAGAAGTGGAGGCATATTCATTTGAGTGGTCGAGCACTAAGCAGGTTTCTGTTTTGCCAAAACCTACTGAACGGTGTCCGTGTCCGTGCCGGTGGTGTTAAACTTGTTCGTGATGCATTCGTATTTGCTTGTGCTTCTGTCGGCTTTCTTATCTGTCGTTCATCTGTCATCATCGTGTTTCTCGGTGGCGAAAAAGCAGACGCAACTGTTATGATGATTTTCACCTGCAGAAGCAGAAGTCGCATAGCGTACAAAACCGTCAATATCTAAGACAAAAAATAATTGAAAATCGTTGTCGTTCAACTTCAATTTTTTGGTCTCCTCTGCGTGCCATCGGTATCGTCCAGCTTCTGTGTCGCTGTGGTTCTGGTTGTGGTCCAGTCGTGCATTGCGTTTTCTCGTCCAATGATCGCACTCGCTTCGTTGTCCGTCCATTGTTTGTCCGCAAGCTTTTTATGTAGTGTGTGAGGTGTGCCTCGGTGAAGTAGTACGTAGCTGTTATTTCAATAATGACTAGCACGACCCACTTACACTTTCATTTTCAACCTCCGCCTCTGTCCTGCTCCACTCAATCCAACTGATTTTGATACGAACAAACTTCAGGACCAAGCATACAACTCAACCCACACATTCATAGTCGAAGTCGTACGCAAACGCATGCAGATCGATGCTTTCGACATGAACTTGAAATATTTACGTAAAAATTCTGCCCCGGAACCGTCCGGGGAGCAGAATGAAGTATCTCATTATCACAAGCCAGCTTTTCATCTGACTGGAACCCGTACTAGCATACCTCGAAGATGAATTGGTGTCGTGCAGCACGACGTGTGCAAAAATATATCTCTGCTTGATGTACATGGTCGTAGTGTAGATCTAGACCTCTATCTAAAGCACCATGTTCAAGAATAAGTTGTTGAAACACAAGTTTGCTCTGACCGGGCTCTTCAAGAAAAAGCCGGCAGCAGACGCGGTTGCGGAGGAAGGTAAGACCGAAGAAGCAAAGCCGGAAGAGCAGCCTGCAGCTACTGATGAGGCAGAAACAAAAGATCCTGCCACGGCAACAGAAGCAGATGAGAAGAAGCCCGAGGAGGACCCCGCTGCTCCGGCCAATGCAGAAGCAGGCCCTTCTGACGCCGCGGCAGACAAGCCACCAGATGTAACGATACCACCTACAGCTAGTACGGGTGATGTAGTTGCAGAGGACAAGGATAAGAATGCTGCTGAGGCAAAGGCGAAACCGACCGCAAAAGCTAAACCGAAGGCAAAGCCCAAGGCGAAACCAAAGGCCGCGAGGAAGCCGGCCGATAAAAAGGAATTCGTCCAGGCCACGCCGGACGAGAACGCGGGAGGCGATAAGCCTCCGGGGGAAACTCCCGCTGCTGGGGAGACCGGCGTAGAGGTCGCTCCTGCCCACGATGATGAGCACAACGCCAGCTGCTTCTACTGCTTCCGTTGCGTTCCCGGCGTGCGTAACTGCGAGACAAATATCGTGTTCGGATTCCACCCCGAGAACTTTCACTGCCGGCGCGCGTCCGCCGCCGATGCGGATGCCGACAGCCCCGAGCTGCGGCGGTCCGACGCCATGCAAGTCGAGGACAAGACGCAATACGAACAGGCACCGGAGCTGCGCCGCTCAAACGCGACCGTTGAGGGCCAGGTGCCCGTGGATGACAACACGTTGGCATCCAACTGCTACAAGTGCCTCTCGCCAATCTGCAGCTGCCTTGCCGTCACGCTGTCGGCCCCGTGCGTGCTGGCCGCGCAGGCATGTGGGGCGTGTGGCCGGCAGATCGGGAAGCTGTGCAGCGTGAAGTGTGTGCGGGGCGAGAGTTGCGCGTGCGACTGCATTCTCACCTGTCATCCAATGGACTCGCCCTTTTGCCAGTGCGTGTGCGGCGGTCTCCGCGCGGTGTCCCGCTTCTGCGCACGCAAGGGCCCCACCTACCGGTTACGCGATTCCAACGGCACGCCCATTGTGGACCTGCCCGCGTTCAACTGCCTCACCACGGACCAGATGCGCGTCCAGCTGCTCCGCTTCTACCGCGAGCGGTGCCGTGCGAACATCTTGCGCGCGGAGCTGGAGAGTCTGCTCTTCGGGCAGTACCGGCCGAGCGTGGAAACGGAGTTGAAGAATTGGTTTCCCGATCCGGAGGACACCGCCTTCCTGAAGAACCGCGATGTGATCGCCGATTTCCCCGCGCTCAAAGAGGAAAAAGTAACCCTGGAGACGAAGAAGAAAGTGCAAACTACTCACCAGAAGGAAATTGTAGCAGATACTTCGCGAATTTAAGCAGATCCAAAAGTTGCCGCTTTATATTTTAGTGGCATTGCGAGGACGAAGGTCAAGCCTTGGCCGTCAAGGTAGCAGGTCCAGGTGGCACTCATGACGGCCATCTGGCTGCATGCTGGAGAAGCTTACCGCTGAATCCGCTTGCGCGGGGGTTACGCACTCGCTTGTGCCGATAGGGATAGAGAGGGCGAATGAGAAGGGCGGTCGGCCCCTGCAGCCAACAAAATTTCTGTGCGCCCGGTATTGCTGCCCCAGTTGCCCTCTTTCCTGCTTCTAGTATTTTTCTTGGAGCAGGCGCATTTTTTAGCCTCAGCATGATCGTGCTCCATCTTCATTTTTGCGCTGAGCAGCCTCACCTCGTGCGCCTGCGTTGCCTTGCCCTTGTTTTACGATGTGGCGTCGCATTTTCAGTCTTTACGGCACATTCGTAGAGGCACACGCGGCCGCTCGGAAGCAAAGCAGCCCGCCGCGACGTTGTTATTCGCGCGCGCTAAAGGTTTCGGCGCAGGGGTGTTGCGCGTCTCATAGGGTGTCCGGGAATAAAAAAACAGCTGGCCGCCGTGCGAAGCCACTGCACGAGCCGCGGCGCCACTTCGCGAAAACATTAAAAGCGAACAAAAACAAATGTTCCGCGCGCAGGTCGCGCAAAAAATAATTCTCAAAGCCAAGAAGTTGGGCCCTCCGTGTGGAGCGTTGCTTGAGAATGTCGTGTTTCGTTGGACAGGAAATTTCGGCTTCTTCTTGCGTCGCTAGCGGCCCACAAAGAAACCGGCCCCTCCGCCCGGAGGGGGCGGCTTCTTTAGGACCCGGAAGTCATTTTTTTTTACCAAAAGCGCCGACTTTCGTTGTTTTCTGGGTACAAGGTAGCGGTCCGGCTATCAAACAAACCGCCCCCTCCGCGCGGAGGGGCCTGTTTCTTTCTGGGCCGCCAGCGGCGGAAGAAGAAACCGAAAATAAGAAATCGACCCCTCCGCGCGGAGGGGTCGATTTCTTATTTTCGGAACGGCGCGCGCAGCGCGCCGAAGAATTTTTTTTGTTGTTGCATCCAGCACTGGCCTCGGAAACAAGTCGTGGGCCACGCCGCCGCGCGGAGGCGAGGATTTCTTGTTTTCCCAGTGCGGAGCAAGAGCAACGACAACGACGGGCCATTCCTGAGGAGGTGGGCGCCGCGGTTGCCTGGTTCCTTCCTTATGGGGCATAGCGCGCGCGCACTGGCGCCGTGGGGCTGCGCTCCTTAAGGCGCATGTAGTGTGGTGCGTGCGTTGCTACGGGCCTTTTGTCCGAGGGTAGCGCCTGTCGTGCAGGCGCCGCTGCATGGGATTCCGCTCCTGAGCTCGGTGGCGACTCGCGAGGGGCTAAGGGTATGAGCATGCATGGGACACCGGCGCCACGACAAAGTAAGCCAACCAACGGGTTGCGTCTTTGTTTGAGGCGCGCCACGTTTCGCCTTACCTTTTTTCGTTGTGTTGTTTCTGGAAAATCAAAACTCATGGTCATGCGGCAACTTTTTGCGCCCGGCAGTGTAGGGGTCGACCTTCGTTGGAGTTAACTCTGCATTAGTGGCGCCCGGCTTTCTTACAAGCTGCCGGCCGCCTTGTGCGATGGATTGGCGACGCACTCTCCCCTGCCCTCGCCAAGGCAGCCGCAGTTTCTCTGGCGCCGGGCAATCTGCTTAAATTATTGAAGTATCTGCTTCTACCACCTGATACACAGTACGCTCGAGGAGCAGTTTATCGTGTCCGAAACCATGAAGGAACTTCTGATGACCCGTGCGGAGGTGAAACTCTTGCAGATGGAAGACGCATTGAACGACGCGTGGCGGGTGAAACTCTACCTGGGCCCGAACAAGCTTCCCGAGGGCCGGCTGAACTGGGGCGAAATGCGCTACTCTACCTCGGGGTGGATGGGCCTCGTACCCTTCGTGTGGACCAGCCGCCTGGTCGCGGACGTGGGGGTGCGGTGGCTGGCGCCGCAGAAACAAACGCTGAACCACTGGCTGCAGATTTTCTACCTCGCCGAGGAAATCGCGCAGAAGAAGGCGGAGATCCGCATGCTAAGCACCTCGGACGAACAGGACGAGCGCATGGAAAAGAAGTTTTTCGGGAGGTACGAGTTCGACGTGAATCTGCTCTATGTCGACCCCCGCGAGCGACAGATGCGGCTCAACGAGAAAATAAAGAACCTGCAGATCGAGCAGCGGCGTCCGACTGTGCTGGAGCAGCAGCAATTCGCGGAAGAAACCCTGCTGTTGAAGCAGTCCTGGCCCCAGCAACTCGCGCAGTTGTCGGAGATCGTTTTGCGGGAGCACTGTTTGACCAAGTTCCGGTTGGAAAACGCGCCCCTGCAAAATCCGTCGGGCGAGCGGTTCCTGGCGACGCTGCTGAACCGGTGCATCGGGTCGCAGACGGCGATGTCCGGGTCCCTCGAACGGCTCACGTTCACGAACTGCGAGCTGGGGTTGCACAACCTCAACGCACTCTCCGGGGCGTTGTTCCGCAGCCACGGCGCGGCCCTGCGCGAACTCAGCATCCACTGCACGGGGCGCGCGGACCGACTGGCGTTGCCGCAGACGCTGCTGAAGTTTCTGCCGAATCTGGTCCTGAAGAAGCTGCAGCTCCGCAACAACGGCATGACGCCCCTGATGCTGGAACTCCTCCTCCGCGGTGTGCCTCGCCACGACCAGCAGATCCCTGAGAGCGATATCATTTGTAAAAACGTCCCCGCACCAGAGTTGTGATGCAGATTTGCAATGACAGAAACATTTGTAATGCGTATCTCCATGAGAAGTGTTTCTAGTCGTGTTTTGGCATTTGTAATGCTGTAACCAGGATAAGCAGATGGATTCGTGATGCGTGTGTCCTTGCTAACCTGCACTACACTACGGAATGCTATTTGTGATGCGTGAGTCCCAAAACTTCTAGGTTTGTGTTGCAAAATCCCCACCTTGACTATGGGGTGGGGGCGTTTTTACACAGGATAAGCGAGCGCGACATCCTCTCCGCCGAGGCGGTGAAGCGCATCCGGTACGTGCAGAAGGTGGCCGAGGAGGAAAACAAGGCCTTTTACGAGGACGACGCCGAGACGCGCGCGATGCTGATGTTGGACGCCAGCCCGCCTGTAGATACCCTGAACGGCGGGAGCCTCCACGACTTGCCCGCCGACCCGGACGCGGACGAGTTGCACCTCCAACTGGCTAGTTTCCAGCCGCCCGAGGACCACGATCCCGGGCGGAGACTGACCGAGGAAGAGCTCCTGCACTACGCCACCTTCGAGCAGGAGCTGCAACTGTTCCTCGGAGACATCCCGGAAAAAGTGTTCCACCACGGCGATATCAACGAAACGGTGCAAGTGTTGCAGTTGCGCGAACAGCAGGAGGAGGAGGAGCGGCTGTTGTACGAAAGGAAAATGGCAGGGTACAGCAACCGCAGATCTTCTACTCCGTATGGAGGAGGTGGTGCTGGTGGCAACGAGGACTACAACTACTACCCGGAAGGAGGCGTGGACGGCGTCGCCGGTCAAGATGTTGAGCAGGAACTGCTGCAATATGGCGGCGCGGGAATGGCGGGCCGGAAAAGTCGTCCTCTAGGCCAATTGGAGGCCGACAGCACAGGAGCTGCTGTGCCAGGAGGTGCTGGCTACAACAACTATGCAGTCCAGGAGCAACAGGGGCAGTACAATGAGTACGAAGATGAGGACAACATGACAAACGATCCCTACAGACCGCGCCCCCGGGTCGTGGCCGGGCAGGACGCGAAGCGAATGCGGTTCCAGTCCCACATGGACAACCAGCACTACCTGGAGCAAACCACGTATGGCACACGGCACCACGACGCGCAGTCGCGGCGCCTGCACGCCGCGACGCTCGCGGCCAAGCAGGCGAACAAGCCCGTTATCGACGGACTCGACGAGGAGATCGCCGCCACCCGAGAGCAGGGCGCCCTCGCGCAGCCGCTCCAGGTGTTCCCCATGACCACCACTGTCACCGGCCAGAAACGGCACCGGATCCGGCTCGGACCCTCGCAGGCGCCGCGCGGGATCCTGACCGCGCCCTTCAGTGCCCTGGAATCTTTGTGCCTCACCCAGAACTACCTCGGGGACGAGGGTGTCACGGTGCTCTCGCGACACTGGCACAAGAGCACGTGCCTCAAGGAGCTACGGCTGGACTACAACCAAATCACCTACAAAGGGGGCGAGCACCTCGCGGCGAACCTGATCCACGCCCCGAAGACGCTGGAATTTCTTTCCCTGAAGCACAACAACCTCCAGGACGACGGGATCGAGAACTTCGCGCAACGCAAAACGCTGTTCGGCGTGTCCGGGGTGAAGTATCTGGACGTGCGGGACAATAACGCGAACGTGGTGAACCAGGAGGCGCAGTTCAACGGGGCGGTCAAGAAGCGGTTCATGATCGCGCAAAAGAACTTCGACCAGGCGAAGCTGGAGGCGCAGCTCCTGGCCCAGCAACAGGCGGAAGAGGAGGAGCAGCGCATCGTGCTGCTGGCCCAGGGCAAAACGCCGCTCCCGCCGAAAGCGCCACCGAGAAGTAAAGAGGATGACAAGCCGGTAGTCCTGGTCAACGGAATGCCCTTCCGGGACGACCACATGGAACAAAGGGTTTACATCACCAACAAGGAATTCCCCGTCATCTACACGCCCCCCGCGGTGGCAGCCATGTTTGCGGAACAAGCGCTTCCCGACGGAGTGCCGGTGGTGCAGGGAACCATTGTGTCCGGCGAGTGAAGTGGTTGAGGGCATAATGTGGTGCCATGAACATTGTATTCGCACGAGACTTTCATAGATAGACCCCAATACAACTTTGTTTCTCTCGCAGTCGGGAAAGATAGAAAGAGCATCTCCTGCGCAAAAGGAATGTTTGCAACTGCATAGATTTGAAGAGGAGTTCTTCGCGAAGATAATTGCACGACTCTGTAATATCCAAAAAAGACGAGCTCTTGCGTGCGGGCGAGGGCTTTCCGCGGGAGATGCACCGCTCTACGGTGCGAAGTACTTAGATCTTCAAAGAACAGTCATAGAGATACATTTTCAGTGTTCGACCATTCCGATCGCTGCTCGCCGCAAGCGCTTCACAACTGGTTCTTAGCCCTAGTTCCCATGATCTGGATGCACGTCACAGTAAGTACAACGTAGAGCAACTAATGGGAATAGCATTTTTCGATCAAAAGCAAAACCGCTTTATTGTGCGGCGCTTCTACCACCTTCGCGGTCTTCCAAACCTGTGTTGCTTCTGACTGAGAAATGATCGGGTCACTCTCGTTAGAACGTTCGGCAGTCATGATAAACAACGTGATGGACTTCTGTTGACATTCATTGTGATTCCAAGATGAAAACGCTTGCTGTGGTATGGAGCCCTTTTGTGTTGGGCCCTTCATTTTTTCTCTCCTTCCTTCGCTTTATAACGCAATCCGTTCCTCCCGTACTTGCTGATGATTTCGTGGATCTCTTGGCGCGCAACGCGGTTCCGAGCCACAACCCGGAGCACAGTTGCGAAAGGCGCATCACAGATTGGCCGAACCTGAAGTCGATGCTCTCGGACTACGCCCACGGTCGCCTGCTCTTCTTGCAGGACGAGCAGCAGAGCAGCATCGCGCAGTGGCGGTTGCAGAAAGAGATCTTCCTTCACAATCCCGACCTGGACTTTTGCCCCATTGGCCTGCTGTCCTTCTTCCTCGCCGATGCGCACATCCGCACCCAGCACGGCGGAGAGGGCGACTCGTTGTGGCTTCAAGGAGATGAAACAGGTGCAGCTCAGGATCACCAGCAGCTGTCAACGCCAACCGCACTTGAAGACGGTGGGGCAGCGAATCAAATTGCGTCACGCGACCTTGAGGGCGACCAAGCAAATTCCGGAGACGGACAGAGTGGACGCTCAAACAGCACACCGACTCTGCTGCCTGCCGCGTTTTGGAAGTTGCTGGAGACCTTGTCCTACTACGAGGATCTATTTTGGCACCGACTAGACCTTTCCATGGTATTGTGGAGCGGATGGCCCAGTTTCACGCTGCTCCGACGCATTCGCGTGGACGTAGGACAGGCTTTGCTCGACAAGCTGACAGCAGTCCAGCTTGTACCTTGGCCACAGCCAGGAGACGGAAGTACGCCTTCTTCTACGGTGAATCTGCTCGCTGCGACTCTTGACAAAGTAGCCGCGGCGTTCTGCGAGCAGCAGTTCGAGGTGGAAACGGAAATGAACGTGGTCCTACACCATCTACAAACCCTGTTCAGCGGCCCCGTGCAAGCCGACGTAAAAAGAACTTCATCTACACAAAAGTATTTCAAAATCGTTTGCGTTTTTGCTTCAACGCTAGCAGCGCGTCGTGCGTAACCGTAAAGAGAAAGACCTCCCTGTGTCACTTGCATAAACTCATTTTCTCAGTCTGGAGATCAATCGGATCAATTTCGTATGCCAACCTTCGAAACGTAGCATTAGCAACCATCCAGCAATGCGCCAGCGTCCGGTCTCTGCTGGTCTTCATGTCTGTGGTGTTTATCTATTATGGCACATGTCGTGTGTCTGTGCAACCTTTTTTCATCATGCGACAGCGAAAATAAGGAGACTCCAATGACTGCATCTTCACATACCTTGCAGGTTTTTGCCGCTCTGGACCAGGCGTCGAGCTGGCTGCTCGACTTCTTCCAGCGCATCACGGAAGCGGAGAACGTTTGTTTCTACCAGCTAGCCTTTCTGGAGATGGTCCGCGCCTACCTGGCCCTCAAACAGCCCGCGGCGGAAGAGCGCCAAATTGCCGAACTCGTCTGGTGGCACAGCATGAAAGCCACCGAATATCGCCGGCGCGCCCTGCAGGTCGACGCGGCGGCACTAGGATTCGATCAGTCGGAAAGAGAAGACACTAGCACCAATATGATCCGTTTTCTGTTCACGAATCCTGAGACGGGTATTCCATTGAAGTGGAATCTGTACCCGATGTTGCTCCCCGGCTCGCTGCCCCTGATCGAATTGCTGGACAATCTGGCCAGGGAGTTCCATCGGATGCCGTGGCTTCTGTCCTCAACCGATTCTCCTGAGCAGGACTGTGCAACCGGTGAACGGCGGCTGCAAGAAATACCAGATGAAGAAACTGCGTCAACCGGTGGTCGTGCAACTAATCCATCATCTGCATCTGGTAAAACAAGTGACGCGACTACGGAAGGTGACCAAGGGAATGAGGAAACAAGCCACTCCGGTACACCAGCAACTACAGCAATTACGCCGACCACGACCTCAAGCATCTGTCCCCCGTGCGGGGTCGTTGATTACCAAGTCGAATGGTTTCACGAACAGGTCTTTCTCTCTCGGTTCGTGGAGGACGCTACCGCCGCTCTGGAGGCACTGCAGCGGGAACGAGAGCGCACGGCGGAAAGAACTACAGATCACGTGGCAGATCGGAACGGTACAACTGGAGCTGGTGGAAATGATGTATCTTCAGTAGAGCAACATCCAATAGAAACCGACCGCGCAGAAGACCATGAGGACAACCACACCGATCCGCCTCCGCCTCCGCCGTCCACCGCGACAAAAACGACGCTTTCACCGTTTCACCAAAAGACGCACGCCTTCCACCACGACCCGCATGTGCGGTCCTGGATACCCTACGGCCTCGACCGCACCGACGAGGCCTGGGCCGTCGTTTTGACGGGACTGCCGGAGGTGGATGAACTGGGTAGAACCGACGACCAGGAGGAGAGAATTACAAGTAGTGGCTCTGGTAACTACGACGATGAAAAAGAGGAAAAACCCGGACAAACATCTTCATCAGAGAAGCAGCAGCAAAACCAAGATAGCGAGCAGGACGATGAGCAAGACGAGACTGCATTCCACACCGCGCTGCGGAATTTGCACGTCTATGTGACGGCCATCCGCGTGCTCGCGCACTCCGTCCTAAAGCGCGCCCGCATACGACGTCCGTTTCTCGTGCTGCACAACTACAAAGGACCAGACGATGCAGTAGACAACACGAGCGACAAAAACGCCGCAGCTAGTTCATCATCTACGTCAGAAAGTGGAGGCAAACGCAAAAATACTAAAGCATCCAAGCGGACGGACTACATTATGCAGTACTTTCTGAACCTTCTGCGCAGCGACGGCCTGGAGCCGGTGTACGTGGAGCCGCCGGCGGTCGAGGACCTGCCGCGGTCCCTCCGGCAGCGCGGCGACGATGAGCACGCGGACAAGGAGCAGAAGTGGCGGCGGCTGCTGGGCGATTCGTGGTGGGCGAAGACGCGGCTGTGGCAGATGACGGAGTACAAACGGATTGTCTACCTGGACGCCGACATGCTGGTCTTGCAAAACCTGGAGAATTTGTTCACCATGGAGAACGTGGACTTCGCCCTTCCGGTGTACGAGGACAGCGTAATCGGGTTGATGGTGATCAGACCGAACCTCTCGCTGTACAACACCATGATAGACACGCTGCAGCACGTGGCCCCGTTCATCGACGCAAACTTGCGGTCCCTCGATCAAAGCTTTCAGCATTTCTTCTGGTACTATGCGGGGCTGCAGGCCGCGGGCTACGCGGTTTTTTCTCCAGACACAGGCGCATTCCTGCACTGCGATCAGGAGCAAGTTGAGGACCACGAGAGTATAGCAGAAGTAAAAAACGTTGACGTTCCTACTCCTAGAACGCAAAATAAACCCTATCTCCAGCCCCCAAAGGTGGTAGAGTCCTTATCAGAGCGGAAAAACCTCCGCGACTACAACAGCAGCACGTCCGTGCAGCTCCAGTTTGCATCGAAAGCAGAAAGAGGACACCAAGATGAAACAAGCCACAGCGCAACCGTAGAGGTACAACCACCTGTTGAACAAGATGAGACAGAAGCAGGTAGGTCGAAAACAGCGTCGAAGCCGCACCAGGCACTCGCTTCTGACGAGCAAATACTTCGCGAGCAGACGGCGCTGTTGGAACAAACGCAGTACAAAGTCTGTGTGCTCTCCCTGGAGTATCACCTGGCCGTCACCTATCCAGCAGTGCACAAGTTGGTCCGCTACCCGGACCGATTCGCGGACTCCGCCGAGCTAGTCTACAAGGTGCTTGCGCAAGTTGAACAACACGCAAAACTGCTACACTGGCCGGGGGAGCGCCGAAAGCCCTGGATGCACTGGAGCCAGGTTGCGCGCACGCCCTATGACGCGCTTTGGTGGATCGAGTACCAAAATGTCGAGCACATGGACCGCCGCACAGCAAACCCGGCTGTCCGCTTCCGCTGTGGAAGTGACTAAATTTCAGTCACTTCCAGAAGACTGTCGATCTTTTAGAGAGATCGACAACATTCTACGAGAATACCATGCACATGCTGCCGGTAACTTCAGATATTCACTTACGTTTGTACTCCTTTTAGACTTGCACTTCGCTCTCATTTGATTCTGTATCTCGCCGACCTCTTCTAATCTATGTCAACAGTTTGCTACAGTGCAATCATCCCAGGAGGAGGAGGTAGCCAACAGCTGACGAAGGTTTTACCGCAGAAGATGTTCGTAGATATGTAAGAGCGAGGTACTTCAAGAGCAAAACCGTCCAAGATTGGAAATCACTCGGTGAATCCTTTTTTCTTATGTATTAGGAAGGATGCAAAACCGAAAAGTTAAAGTAGTCAAACACATAGAGCATTTTTCCCGGCAGATCGTTGCAATGCGGAAGGATTGCAGATCGTCAATCGGAGATAAGCATATCCATGCAAAGATATTAAAGCAGATGAAGTTGCACTCCCTTATTTCTCCAGTTCAACTACGTCGTATCTCCGACCTACCCTGTCGTCTACCTCCCCGTCCCCTGCGCTACCCGTAGTATAATACCTATCACCGATTATAGCCGCAAGACTAGAAAGTACTTTTCGAATTTTTCCAGTAGCTTGCGAAGCACGCAGAAAAAAGTCGCTCACCCAGTACAGTTGAAGACGCGAAGAAATTTTCGTACTTGATATTTCCCACTACGTCTTCTGCCTCATCAAAGTGAGTATCGTGAGTCCTCTCAAGGCCACATACATTTTTCATATTGTAGAATACCCTGTTTCTGGGGTACCCGGGAGCCGCATCCTCCCTCGCTGGGTATAAGCGAATTCGCCCGTAAGGGTCCCGTCTCGGCGGAATGAAAAATAGAATAAGCGATGATCATGTAGTTTTTTGCCAAAGATAAAGATCAACTTCTACTTCTAGTATGGATGGGCTACAAGCGACCTGTATGATGTTGTGACCGCTGTTGGGCCAGATGTGCTGCGTCCTTTGTACCTGTGACAAGTAGCGCAGTCTTGGCGTTCCTCTGTACACCTAGCACCGGGCCGGCGACCAACTTTTTGCTCCAAACAACAGAAGTGGCTGCTTCCCTTTATTGTCTGACCGCTGCCGCTGCGACCGAAGAGAATGGCGTCCTCGCAAATCCAGTGTACAGTCTGCTTGGAGGACTTCGTGCGGGACCTGAACCCGCCGATGTCCTGCGTGCCCTGCGGGCACGTGATTTGCGAACCCTGCTTGGCTAGCTGGCGTCGCTCCCTGCCCTACTTCAGCGACTTAACGTGCCCCATCTGCCGCGGTCGCGTGCGCGAGACCATGATGAACCGCTCCCTAATGGACGTCCTGGAGGACCAAGCTTCCGGTCGTGGTTTACCCCGTGGACTGCCAGTCACGATGCCAGACGTGCATCTGCGGCCCGCGTCGCAGGGTGCATCTGCAGGTACTACATTACAATTGTCTGTACTGCTGACTCGCAAATATCTTCTCAGGCGCTTCGAAACGGTTTTTTTTTACGCTGGATTGAAATAAGATGAAACAAGGAAAAGGCAACTTCAATTGTGCCATAAACATGATCTTTCCACGACAATGCCATTAATACGCAAAAAAATACACACACCAAAATTAAGAGAATGCGTGCCACCGCCGCGCTGCGCATGTGCTTTTCTGCCCCACAAACCACGCACGAACCGCAATCACACGCCACGTTGTATTTCCCACTGAGTCTTCTGCTCCTGCCTTTGCCTTCGCGCGACTCCGCCCGCACAATCAGAAACATTGTTTGCCTGCCGCGCAAAGCTTGCGAGAACAGAAATTAGCGGCCGCACGACTACGACGAGCTTGTGCGATTTTGAACAAAACATTTTGTCATCGTCGAGCAGACCGGCCACGCATACTTGATAAATGAACGAGCTACGCATAGAAAGAACATCTTTCCTCTCGTCACAGCCGACGGGAGCCCAGCAAGTGCAACTTTTGCGCCGCCGGGGCGAACCTCTTCTTCCACCGCCGCCACGGAAAGCGACACAGCGAATCCCGGCGGCAGTACGGCGAATGGCCGTCCCTCCACTTCGTCGACAGCGTCGACGCCGTCGGGAACTCGCAACACGCTGGTACAGCTGCCGGACGGGTCCTCCATTACGCTGAGCAACACGCTGCAGGGCCGAAAGCAAACGATGGCGCACGAGCTGCTGCCGGAGAAAAGCTGCGTTTGCTTTTACGTCATCGACAACTCAGGGAGCATGGGCCGCGACGACGGCAAGAAGTTCGAGACCGTTCTGGAAAAGAACGCCTGGAAACTGGTCAAGCGGGGCCACGGGTCCGTCACGAGGTGGGAGGAGGCCGCCGCCAAGTGCATGCAGATTGCGGTCTACAACTTGCGCCGCAAGATGCGCGCAAGCTACTACCTACTTAACCCGTCGACGGCGCGCACGCAATGGATCGATGAGCTGGACCAGGTGTTGCTCGACGCCACGGATTGCAACCTCACCCGGCTGGAGGCGGAGCTCGCCGCACACTTCGCCGCGGGAGCAGCCGGAAGAACGACCACCACGTCCTCCGAACCGGCAGTCAGCAGACCGGGTGTGCAGCTGCTGCCGAACCTGTTGTGGCTCGTGACCTCGCCAGCTGGTGTGCGCACTTTGTGCGAGTGCCTCACCCGGAGCGGCAACGAGGAGTTCGGGCGGCGGCTGAACGTGCTGTACTTCAACCTGCTGTCGTCGGGGAGCATCCGCGGTTCCACCCCCCTGCACAGCATCACGCAGTACCTCAGCCGCGAACTGGAAACGATGACCCGCGAAATGAACCTGCGGCACGCGCTTCCCATCAACATGAACCTGATCACCGACGGGGAGCCGGATAACCGGATTCAGTTCGAGAACCAGTTGAAAAAATTGTGCAACGAGTTCCGCAGCTCGCTCGCGATCATGCTCACGATCAACCTGTGTACCGACGACGACGACGTGGTCGACTACTACAACGAACTGGATAAGAAGCTGGGGAACGAAATCAACTCCCTCGACGTGCTGGATGACCTCGAGAGCGAGCAGAAGGAGGTTCTCAAGGCGGGGAACACGTTTGTGACGTACTGTGAGGAGCTTCACGTCTGCCGCATGGCCGGGTGCAACGCCGTGATTGCCGATTCCATCGACGAAGAAGAGTTGCAGGTGTTCCACGCCACGAAGTTAGCCCGGGAGCTTCTCGGCTTTTCCAGCTCCACGCTCGCGAAAGTTGGGTCGACAGTGGCGGCGGATCAAAGTTCATCTTCAGGTGGGGCTGTTAATGCCAATTCCTCTACAACTTCTCCGAGGACAACGACGGCCGCGGATCCCTCCGTCGCCTATCAATGTGGCGAAGATATTCCCTCGTGGTTCGACGACACAGAAGACTTTCTGCGGAAGCTAGAGCAGAACAACAGGAATGTCTACGACTTCTACTACAAGGCAAACAAACCGCTGGTGAATGTCGGTAAGGTGCGGAACAAAATCTGGTGGCACAAGCAGAAGGAAGGCGTATCCAAATTTTTCGGCGGGTTCTTTGGTTCCCGAAGATAGCATGGGGTCAGAGCGGAGAAGCGGCTTGTTCCCAATCGACCCACGCTACAGAAACTTAGCTCACGCACTGCAATAAAACACTGAGGTTTAGTTTCAGAACTACACACGTTGTAAAGAGCAATTGCTACTACCATTCCAGTTCTTGTTTCGTGACGAGCCAGCAGAGTGTCTGGACTGCAAACCTGCGACATGCAGGTTTTCAGAGGACGAATATCACAAGCAACATGAAACTCTCGCGGCGACCAGCAATACCGACGCCTTCCTAGGATTGCCGACGACTCCTCGGAGTTCTGAAAGATGTTGTTCAGTGTCGTGTTCGTCTTGCACAGCATGGGCCGTTGCTAGAAATTGAAATTGTCTAGTATGACACAGGGAGGACCAGGATGGGAAGTATAGAGATTTCCAAAAGAACAAAGGTCAAAGAGATGGAGAGATGACATGATCATTCCTTGATGAGGATACGGGGGCCCATTGTTGGATAAAAATGAAGATCGAATAAATACAGTGAGTGTGCGAGTGAGTACTATGATAACGAGCGTGATGGTGATAATATTATTTAATAACCTCAGGCGCCGGTAGTTGAGCAAGCTATCGGAGCGAAGATGGCACCTTCTGGAGCCACGCCCTGCTGCTCAAGATACCTTCCGCACTCTCATCTGGTTTTGAGACCGGCGCTGCAGGTGTGTATCCCTCCTGTGTCACGAGGTAGGCAGCTGCACCGTCCGGAAGCTCTGGTGCACCTGCGCCATCGTTTGCGACGAGACCGCGCATTCGGAAAAGAACAGCGTCCTGGCGACTGTTCGTCCACAAGAACGCCGTAAGTGTCGCATCACGACAGTCAGTAGTAGATGGTATACATCTACATGACGTCTGTCTGGAGGGCAGCCTTTCTCCTCGTACGGGTGGCAGCTGAGGCTGTTCCGGGGCCGGGAGTACCAGGTCATGCTGCGCCAGTCATCGAAGATGGAGATGCTCGCGGCCCCACGACCTCCGCAGGAAGCGGACCCCTATTGCTGGGGCAAGAAGATTCGCCGACCACAGGAGCGGAGATTCAGCCCGAAGACGCCGACCACATAGGAGCATTGATGCCAACATCAGTCACAATGAGCCGTGGTACCACCACGGCGTCGACGTCGCAACTGCTGCAAACCGCCTCCACCGAAGTGACATTTGACGGCCAAGCTGTTGGTGAGTTGCGTGTCGATCCGCCTGTGGCAGACGAGAACAAGATGAATCTACCCGACGTTTATTCTGATCAACCCACGACAACATCGTCGTCGTCGTACCTACTCTTAGTGCCCCCGAACGTCACACGCCTGGAATTACAAGATGCGAGCACGGACTTTGACGGAGAGGACCTCGAAGACGGTGAAGATCTCGACCCTTTCATCTCGTTTTTGCAGTCCGATGAAAAGACGAAGACTACAAGCGAGCGGCGGTGGTTCTCCGAGGCGCTAGGGCAGCTGAAGGAGGAGGAAACCGACGATGACGACGACAACGATCCGCTATTCAACTTCGACAACGACGTGGAACTGGTAAATCATGCCAACCTGAACGAAGAGCACGAAAAGTTCAATGACCGCACAGACGAAACGGAAACGGAAAATGATCACGAAAGCTTGCTAGAAGTTGTCAAACGCCGAAAAAGAAAAATGCAGCATCGCGGCGGCGGGTCGTGGGTTGTTGATGACGAGTCAGCTCCGTTTGAACGGATATCAAAAAAAGGACAGACGGTAGAATTGCGGGACGTGCTGCAGAGGGCCACGAAAGGTCGCCAGGGAGCGTTCTGGAACAAGCTTCTTGACAGGGTGGAAGTCAAGGCGCAACTACCCAACGGGGCACCGCCAGCTCTCGGCGAAACAAAGGTCTCTGTCTCTCGACCGACGGGAACCGTGGACTATTGCCGGCCAAGACTTCTGCACGAGAAATTGGTATTCCGGGGAAAAGATGAAATTGCACCCGATCAGCGCGCGCCCTTTGGACTGGCGGCAACCGCAAGAGCACTGTCCAAAGGCTTCTCCAAGTTGAACCCCCTAGCGAACGGCCTGGTCTGTGACTCGAAACTTGCTGGGGTGTCGTGCGCAAACGCCGACCTGAAAATCACAAAAGAAGTCGACTTGCAGACGAAGAAATACATATCTAGTTGGAAGTACCACCACACCGACGCGACGCTGGCGGAAGACCTCACCCGGCGGGATCTGCTGGGCAATCCGCAAGTCCAAAAAGTGAGCGCCTGCGACAACCCCCCGCTGATCACAAAGAATGAGAACAACGGCGGTGCAGGTGCTGGGAACGAACGCTGTTGCACACAGGTAACCACTTACCGGGTGGGCCTCCTGACGCGGAATAGTAAGGCCGTCGACTGGACCTGGGTTCAGCACGTCGCCCCGGCGCTCTTTGACAACCAGCAGGTGGGCACGAACCGGGTCAGCATTGCGCACTTTTTCCAGCGCCTAGAAAAGCTGAACGACATGACCTCCCCTGGAGGGAAGCAGAAGCACGCACTCGCGGTGGATCGACTCGTTGCCAACTTCGGAAGTCAATTTCATCGCTTCGGGAAGGCGTTTGTGAAGTGGATGAAAAATGTCGCAAAAGGAAGCGAGTTGAACGATCTCCGGTCTCTGTTTGTGGAACTCACCGACAATGAAGATGATCCGGACGAAACCGAGGACTCTGCCTTCGTTTTTAGCGGCCAAGGGAGACGCGCTTCGTCCAACAGCGCCGACGATAAACTTTGGAACGAGTTCATAAGTGCGAAGAAAATGGACAAACGTCATCAAGATGAACAAGGTGCTGACGACTTGCACTTCTCGGTACCAGCTGGACGCCCGCCGCTGCCTAGCGGTAGCGCTGCGGCTGGGGAGCCGCGCGAGGAGGAGGACAATGAACCGAAAAAACCCGGAACGCCAACAAAACCTTCTGTTAGCAGGGGTAAAAGGGACAAACCGCGAAGCAGCAGGGAAATCAGGCGGACCCGGAAGAAAAAACGCGAGAAAGAGCTTTCAGTCAGAAAGCCTTTCTCGCGCAAAAACCAACGAGAAAGAGCTTTCATTCAGAAAGTCTTCAGTCCACTGTCGCTCCTTCAGAACATGCAAATCATGCGCCGCCAGGTGCACACATCTCCGCGTAGTACGCCGGGGCTCGAGAAGCTTACAAACGGACTTGGCGGCATCCTGCATGAACAGTTCCAATATCATGCTGACCAAAATCACGCTTCCGACAATGAAGTTGCGGGGCGTTGCCGTCTTGCACACGAGTTTGTGAGCCCATGCCCACACCAATTCGCAGAACGTATCGCCAAACGTGTTGGCTTGAAACCGACAACGGTCATCGCTTCCTGCCGTGCGCCGAAGTGCTGGTGGCAGAGCAGAGCGTCTCCAAACCACCACCTGGAGGCCGAGGTTTCGCTGGAGGACTGCAGCCGGCACAAGAATCACCTCGACTGTGAACAGACGGACTGCTGTGCCTGGAGTAAAACAGAGGCGAGTATGGCAACCGCGGAAAGCTTTGGCAACGTGCGTGACCGGACCGGACTCCTTTCCGCCGGACTCGCATCTCCTACCTCTTTGGTGCCTCGCGTGTGGCGCGACGTATGGAAGGTTCTAAACCAGAGCCCGCCGGCGCGAGAAAAAGGGGAAGGGGTCCTGCGGCAGTACTGGCGTGAGGAGCTGCGGGGCAGGCGCGAGGTGCGAAACTGCCTGGTGCGACGTGCGCACGAATCGACACAGCTTGTGACGCCGCTGACGTTCTTCAAGACGGAAAATGATGACCCGGGGGCAGCAGCACCAAGAACCCAGTGGGAATTCTGGCACTCGGTGTATTTCCGTTTGGTGGCCTACAAGGGGCGAAAGTGCTTCGTCGTGGGGCGCGGAGGAGGCACGAACACGCTGCAGTTGAAGTGTCCCTCTGATTACACACTACAGGGCGAAACCCGTACCATCGGTGGCAAGCGCAAGCCAAAAACGCTGCATGCGGAATGGGATGCGCAGATCTTTTTCGAGGCTTTGCCTACCGAGCTGGCTCCGTGGCGCCTCGCCTACACCCTGCGCAGCTGCGGCGAGGCTGCACAGGCCTGGTTAGACTTGGCCTGGCTGATACAGGAACTCCTGGTGCCGTCGCCGCAGAAGGCGGCCAGCTCCAACGTACGCAAGGAGACCTGGCTGGCCGCGGTAGCATTGGTCAATGCATTGGAAATATCCCAAGAAAAAAAGTGCTACAGTTACACATTTCATGCGGTCTAAATTCAGCTTTAGCAACACAAACTTTCTCTAAACGACGACAGAAAAAACTTGCAACGCACCTGCAGAAATCATTTATGGTGGAATAAAGCACGTACGAATGGACTACGAAATTAGGCTCCTGAGAAGCATGTCCAGCGGCATGACGTCTTGCTTGTCCCGTAACCCAATTTGTCGCTGTAGTAGTGTTTTATTTTCATAGCGAACGGATGCCAGCGCCATGGTCTTTTATATGGATCAGTTGCGTGAAGCAGCGTCGCTGTTCCAGGGGTCGTTGATGTATTACGTTGCCGCCACCTTCTCCCACGTCGATCTTCCGCTTTATGGCCTCAACACCGGTGCTGCGGGCCAGCAGAGCAGTTCCATGTTGGAAACGCAAGAACGGAATCGACACGGCCGCGCGTCTGGCGAAGACGCAGGGTCGTCGGCTATACAGAGCTCCGTGAATACAGGCAGCCACACGACGGCTGGAGGCGAGACGCCTTTCTTTGGCGTGGTTGATGGCGAAGGAAACCCCAGTGCCCTGGTGCTTTTCCTGGACTACCTTGCTCAACATTCGGACCCTGACGTCAGAGGAGAGAGGTCCTGGATCGAGATTCTTGATCAAATCAAAAAGCTCACCGACGACCGCGAAAGTTTTGAGCGAGTACGAAAATACCTGCGCGACAAACAAGGAAACACGCACGTGCGCAGCCCCGCAACGATCGCGGACGGGTTCTCGCCGTTCTTGTTGCGGTCCGGCCGGATGTATGCACTGTGTGGAGACCATATCCCACAAAAAAACGCAGTCACCGATGAAAATGCGACAGGCTCGCTTCTATCGTAAAGTGAGCAATTATATCCATCGCGTATTCTGCAGTCATGATATCCATCTGCAGTCGTCCCGCGAAAGCAACAATCAAACAAGAGAGATCCGTTTCATTTCTGTTTGTCTGAATAAAGGTAAAGCAGCGCGCTCGAATATATAGGGTGGAGAAGAGCTCGCAGTGTCCGTAGGTATGTTGAGAAAGCAAGAGCACTGTCTTCATTTTCTTTTTTGATACAGCGCGCCCGCGCTCAGTTCCAAACGCACCGGGAGCAGGACGATCAGAAGAGTCACAAGAAGCGAAGCGATGATGCAGCAGATGAAGAAGAGTCAACATCGACAAATCTACTAGCGAAAGCGGACACTTGGGCAAATACGGTTTTGGGCTACAAGCAAATACAACAGAGCCTGAAAAAGGTACTGTGGGGGGTGTGGACCCTTGTGGGTAAGGTTGTCTGGTCGGATTCTCGCGTGACACTAAGTCTGCTGATAAAAGCGCTCTTTTGTTCTTTCCGAGGCATGCTCGGGTGGGTTTCGCCCTTTCCGCTCTTCGGGTTGGTTCGTCAGGAGAGAAAGTACAGCAAAGGGTGGGGTATAGACGACTCCTGCGACATGATTCTGCAAGAGTGGTTATCAACTGCAAAAATGTCTGGGTCTGGAAGAGTCGGGTCTTGTCATGCGCATTTTGCATGACCCGTGAGATCTGTGATGCTGGTGCTAGCATCACAGATTTTTTGAGAGCTCCTTGATGCTAAACACGCACGAGAAATGCCCTCTCCGGGTGCCAAGAACTGACTCCTCTTGCTGCTCATGCAAGACAGATATTTTTAGAATCCGCAGACAGCGATTACAAGTGTCATTCTTCCAGACCCAGACATATTTGCAATCCATAGTGGTGGGCCCGGCTCCACATGCTGTTCACCTCCGTCAACGCCGCTATCTTAGTTTATCAAATGCAAAAATGTCTGGGTCTGGAAGGTTGGAAGACTTGTCATGCAGGTCTTCCATGACACGTGAGGTCTGTCATAGTACATGACCCAGCATGACAGATTCTGTCTCACCTCTATCAGGCCTCGTCTGCATGAGAAACTTCCTTTCAACTTGGTCAAAAGTGGACAGCTTTTGGCATTCATGCAACACAGATTTTTGCACGATTCAGAATTAGCATTACAGGTCGCAACCTTCCAGACCCAGACACTTTTGCAATGCATATAGTTCCGGTACTTGCGATCTTGCCCATGCAAGCTTTGTTCAAAGGGATGCTAGTGGAGTTGCCTCATATGCTCAACAAGGCGTCCGGCGACACTCTGGGCCTCCTCGACCTGAACCAAATTGGGGAAAAGGTCGGCACTGCCTTCGGCGACCCGGGGGTAGTAATTGTGGATTTCTGCAACATGGTCTTCCACGCGGCGACTCTTCCCGTTGGCGGCTTTTCGATAGCGGCCCCCGACATCGTGTGCAAATTCCTTCACAAAGTGTTTTCCCAGTTCCTCCTTATGGTCGCAATCCACTACGGCATGGTGCTCGCGGGCAGCACCGACAATGTGTTGCACGAGATCGAGGACGTGCTTGCCGTTTGCGCGCGCTACAAGGCAAAGGCTGATCAGCAAATGGCCCGGTCGCGGACGCAACTTGAGTACAACCACGGAGCTTTCGCGGCGGCCTTTTTCGTCATGGAAGCGGCTGCGCACGTCTTTGGCTTCATCATGAATCACTTTTTGGTAGGCGCGATTCCCGACACGATCTTCGGCGCGATCTACCTGGGGCTAATGATCCCGAATCTCGCCTGCGTTCTGAACCCCTTTATCTTCTGGCGCGTGCAACAGAAAGTGAACGCTAAATTTTACGAGGACGAAGAAGGCGACTACCTGCAGAGCGTCACGCTCGGTTCTCGTAGTAGCAGGCTTGCCGAGGAGCTCCTCCAGGACGCAAGTCTGGCGATGCACGCCCCCGGGCGGCTCAGGGGGTTGGAAACGCTCTTTTTCGCGAACCCCGACAAGGGCGAGACCTGTTTTCCCCGCACGCCAAGAAAAGGCCCGGGGGAAGACCTGGTCTGCTTTCAGCGCCGCAAGCTCCGCAACGTCGTTCATTCCGGACAAAACTCCCTCGTATGGACTTGAAAAAATCATTGTTGTTGATGTCGATTTGTGTTGCATCGAAAAAACTTGATATTCCCAAATCTGATGTCGATGAAGAAAAAAATCTGTGAAGCTGGAATAGATACACTTTGATGTCAACTTTGCCTCGGCTCTGGCTCAACCTCAACAGCTTTAATTTCGTTATTGCTTAGCCGCGACACAAAGTACGACTGACCGACAGCCGATTTATTTCTAGTCGGGAAACGCGAAGAAGAAAGAAATGCTCGAGCACTCGCGACGTTCGTGGAAAACCAACTGAGGCCCTATTACGAAAAGCACCGAGCTGGGACGGGCACATCTTCCAGCACCAAGAGCAACGACAAGAAGTACAAGACCTCCCTGTGGTCGCTTTTCCTGCAAAAGCAAAGTGAAAAAACCTCATCTTCCCGGGGGGATCAGCTCACGAAGACCGAAGAGCTACTGCATGAAGGGTCGGGGAACGAATTCAATGTGTACCGCGCCGCCTTGCGCACCCTGCCTGCCGACGTGTTCGAGGATGCTCAGAAAGCCACACTGCACGGATTCGAAAGGATTGTTATCAACGCGGTCGCAGAGGCAGCGGAAAACCATGTCCGTCCGCGCGCAGAGTCCATGATAAGCAGCTGCATCCATATGACGAGAGATCTTGTGCACAACTGCTCCCAACCCTCCGCCTCATTTGTAATTTTTGTGTTGATGCACATTCTTCGACAGAAGAAGAAGTACCAAATTCACTGAATTGCTATTGCATTTTTTTGCAGTTGTTGCTTGGTGTGTTGCAGCTGTGGATGACCTTCACTTTCGAATGAGGCCGATTTTTATAGGGGAACAGTTTTGCCCTCTCGTAGTCAAGGAGCTTACAGCGCAAGGGTGCCTGGTATCCGGAGCGTCTGACCTTGGGGTGACCGGATTTTCCGGAGATTGCGAAGAGGTGGATAAACACAGCAAGAAAATTGTCGCGAAGATGCTGAGACAAGGTAGAAGGCAAGAACAACATGGAACAACTACGCCCGAAGATGTTGCCCTTGTTCCCGAGCACTTGGAAGCCCTTGTCCGCGAATTGCGCCAGAACTTGCTCCCGCTAGAGGGCCTGAAGGTCACGAAGACAGGTATAGTCGGCGGCTCTTCTGAACGGATCACTCACGTGACGGAGGACCTGCTCGTTGAGGCGGGGACTCTGCCTGTGCAGATTGGTTTTGCTTTGTATTGGGGACGCGAAAAGCTGTTCCACGACCCGGAGCGCTATCCTGGTGGCTACTCCGCGGGTGACCTCGTCGAGTTTTCGCCGAGCGAGGGAGTTACCAGGTACTGCGTGTTTGTTGGGCTAGCCGACATCCCCTTCCAGGCTACCTCCTCCAGGGGCGGTAGGAATAGTAAAGAGGACAGTACGAAAAGCAGCCCGCACATTCTCCCAATTAACTTGGAGTGTCCTCTGGCCGGACGTACCAACCTCGAGTCCGACGACCCCCGCTTACTTCATTGGAACCATGTCGGATACTACCCTAACGTCCAGAAAATCGTAAACAACCGGCAGAAAAATAAACCCGCAGAAGATCTTCACGCCGCGCCACCCAAGAAACAAGGCCATACAACTGCTCCTGCTCAAAAAGAACAGGAAGAGGAAGCTCACGGCCACGGTCATGGATACCCGGACTATGGAAATTGGTTGTCCTTTCAGAACTTCATATCCTACATGCTCATGGACGATGGCGTGGAGACGATCACCACCGACATTGGCGATATTCGCCCCTTCGGCTTCCGTATCCCAAACAAAAGTCAGCTACTCGTAGACAAAAATATTGAATAGCCACGAGAGCAGCGGCCAATAAGCCTGATCGTAGTCGTAGAGTTGTAAATGATTCATGCTAGGCCAACGCCCACTTGCGCCCTTGCGTTGCGAGGCCGAATGTGTTGTAGCTCGAATCTTCAGCAAGCAGCACGTCGTGTCCACTTGACCGAGACTTTTGCGCAACGGGATACTCTACGCCATGAAGGCGTTGCACAGACAAGAACCCGATATCTACTACGGCCAGGGAACCTTCCAGGTCGGCCACCATACTGTCCGTGTCCCCCGATCAAAAAGATTTTCTGACTGCGTCTTCAACTTTGAGTTGTTTGAACAGCTTTTGCAGTTTTCGGCACGAGTGGCACAGAAGCACTTCACGACCCGCGAATACCGACTGCGAATAGAGGGAAAAGAAGCTACCGGGCACGCCCAACGTGCGCAGCACCATGCCTCTTTGTGCATTGCAAACATGTCACCCTACACGGCAATAAATGGTAATGGCTAGTGCGCGTGAGATGTATGTAAATATCATCTGCCATTTGTACTTGGGCCTGCATTGCGATGTTGCTTGAAAGAATTGCGATGGTGGACAAGCCGGCAAAAACGCGCGGTGGATTATTCTTTAGGCACCGCGGAAGCTCCTGCGGTGTTCTGTTTATTGCTGAGTGTGCATGCTCGTAGCTGCCGCACGCATATCAGCATGAAGCGGCTGCGCATAAACCATCCGAAAAATAGATTCATATGCATATGCCTTGATATCCCGATCTTTCGGCCACATTGCGCGCGTTCCATCTCCAATTTGGACGGACATGTTTGCGTTTTTCTATCGGCATACGAACCAGCCACACGAACCGGGTCGATGGACGTTGCGCGCATGAAGTTAGAAAAAGAATACCAGAGGGAGCTGCTCGAAGATATCGTAGAAAAAAACGCTAGCGCCTGCACACAATTTTTGTAAAGCCGTACTTTCCGAGATACATAGATGTCGCAACTGATCAGAGCTGGGAGTGGGATGTTGACAGATGCATGACTGGTCACAAAATGCCGTGTCGTCCATTAAATTTGCATAATTCGCAACGAAGATACGTTGACGTGCGCAGGTTTTTTTCTACGTGATGCAAAAGCTGCGAGCAATAAAAGAAACGTCCCTCCTTGAAGCGAGCACGGAGTGCCAGAGAGACCGGCACAGAAACTGGATTTCTGGCTTGAATCCTTTTGGAAGCGACGAGCTTGGGTCGCTCTGGTACGCTCTGGAAGATTTCTCATACGCCAATCGTGAGCACGATGTAGAGCATTGAAAATAATCCATCTTAGCCTTTTATTTTTCTTCGAGCAAAAAAGTACGCAAAAAATGCGATAGCGATAGCGTGTCTTACTTTCCTCTTTACAACATAACACGAAACTCACTCACATTTTTCTCAGCATGCGCAATGCGAATATTTCGAAACTGGGGCGTAAGCGATTGTGATGTGTGTTTTTTTTTTAATTGGATTTTCAGTGCGGATTAATGAGGATTATTATGCCACCCCAACTCGACATAGTGTTGAGAAAATCAAACTACAAGCATATCATAGGCAAGACACAGTGTGCAGTCATGGTGGTGCGTCTGCTTATTCACACGCAGCATGATAATTAGCTCGGTTTTTTTGAAGAAGCCGCGGCATGTGTGCTTGGTTGTTGTTTTCCATGAAGTAGTTATCTCATCACAAGACCTCGAAGCTTCTGCAAAGCCAACAAATTTTTAATGGTGAAGGAGTCGCATGTTGTTGCTGTTGGACAAAAGCAAACGCCAGCAGCTGATGTTTCCTGAGTCCCTATAGTAGCTAGGACAGGACACCAGCTTCTCTTTCCATATGCTCCACCATGATGATTACTTACATGGCAGGGGCTGGAAATGCGTCATCATGAACATGGGGTCGGTATCGCCATTCGATTTTTTTTTTTTTGGTTTTTTTTCTCGTGGCGGAAAGTTTCTGGCTCGCCTCGGCAGCTTATACAGTGCCGAAGAAGGTTTCTCTAAGTTGGTTTTTTTTTGGTAAATCAGAACTAAGCGATGAATATAGAACAACGACAACGACAACGAGCGACAAGCTAGCAGTCAACAGAGAACGCGGCAAAGGAAAATGTTCAAGATGAGTCTGGAAGCCGCAAGCCCCGCGGCTGCAAATACTTGCAGCAGCACTGCCACTGGCAGCGCCGAGATGTCTGGAGGGCGCGCGCCGGCGGAGCACCCCCGCAGACGAGAGTTCAGGATGGTTTGCACGCTGGGCTCCGGGGGATTCGGCACCGTGAAGCTAGTGCACGCAAGGGACAACGAAGCACAGTGCTTTGCCATGAAGGTCATCGAGAAGAGCCATTTGCTTGAGGCGAAGCTACTGGATCCCAAGATCAAGCAGCGACAGCAAACGGAGCGGGATGTTCTCGTGGCCTGTGCAGATCAGCGACACCCAAGCATCGTGCAGCTCCTCGAAGCATTTCAGACCAACAGAAAGCTGTACTACGTTTATGAATATTGCGACGGCGGCGAGTTGTGGGACCTGNGGATTAATGAGGATTATTATGCCACCCCAACTCGACATAGTGTTGAGAAAATCAAACTACAAGCATATCATAGGCAAGACACAGTGTGCAGTCATGGTGGTGCGTCTGCTTATTCACACGCAGCATGATAATTAGCTCGGTTTTTTTGAAGAAGCCGCGGCATGTGCGCTTGGTTGTTGTTTTCCATGAAGTAGTTATCTCATCACAAGACCTCGAAGCTTCTGCAAAGCCAACAAATTTTTAATGGCGAAGGAGTCGCATGTTGTTGCTGTTGGACAAAAGCAAACGCCAGCAGCTGATGTTTCCTGAGTCCCTATAGTAGCTAGGACAGGACACCAGCTTCTCTTTCCATATGCTCCACCATGATGATTACTTACATGGCAGGGGCTGGAAATGCGTCATCATGAACATGGGGTCGGTATCGCCATTCGATTTTTTTTTTTTTGGTTTTTTTTCTCGTGGCGGAAAGTTTCTGGCTCGCCTCGGCAGCTTATACAGTGCCGAAGAAGGTTTCTCTAAGTTGGTTTTTTTTTGGTAAATCAGAACTAAGCGATGAATATAGAACAACGACAACGACAACGAGCGACAAGCTAGCAGTCAACAGAGAACGCGGCAAAGGAAAATGTTCAAGATGAGTCTGGAAGCCGCAAGCCCCGCGGCTGCAAATACTTGCAGCAGCACTGCCACTGGCAGCGCCGAGATGTCTGGAGGGCGCGCGCCGGCGGAGCACCCCCGCAGACGAGAGTTCAGGATGGTTTGCACGCTGGGCTCCGGGGGATTCGGCACCGTGAAGCTAGTGCACGCAAGGGACAACGAAGCACAGTGCTTTGCCATGAAGGTCATCGAGAAGAGCCATTTGCTTGAGGCGAAGCTACTGGATCCCAAGATCAAGCAGCGACAGCAAACGGAGCGGGATGTTCTCGTGGCCTGTGCAGATCAGCGACACCCAAGCATCGTGCAGCTCCTCGAAGCATTTCAGACCAACAGAAAGCTGTACTACGTTTATGAATATTGCGACGGCGGCGAGTTGTGGGACCTGGTCAAAGTGCTTGGCAAGTTACCCGTGGAATCCTTTTTCCGTTTCTACGCGACCGAAATCGTGGAGGCGCTTGCGTTCCTGCACAGCCACGGCATCTTGCACCGCGATCTGAAGCTGGAGAACGTGTTACTTGACACCGCAGGGCACGCCAAAATTTGTGATTTTGGCTGCGCAAAGTTCTTTTTTCGCGACACGACTGCTAGTTTCAAGACTGTCGCGGCGGACCACTCGACCATGCAAGGAGACCAAGACGATCTGCCGGTGGGCCGCACGCGCTCGGAAATGGTTGTGTCGCGGAAAAGTTTGATGCCCCCGGAGTACTTTGAAACAGGCGAGTATGGTGCGGAGCTGGACTCCTGGCAACTGGGACTCATGTTTTACACCATGCTGGAAGGTCGTGGCTTGGACCTTTACGCACCGGAGCTGCAGCGCCCGCTCTCCGTCGCGACCGAGGCGCGGTCCCTAGTGAACGACCTTCTGGCTCCGGAACACAAGGCCCGGCTTGGCTTTCCGACTGGCGCATCGCTGGTGCAGGCGCACGCGTTTTTTCAGACTGCACATCAAGGAGGTACAACTACGATTGAACCGGCCCAGTTTTGGAAAGACGTACGGGACCGCACTTGGCGCGAGCCCCCCGACTTGGACACGGCAGCGATGGAACGGATCGCCAGTTGGCACTGCGACTGGGGCCGTGACAGCACCTTGGTGGACCCAAATGACGTGGACTTGCTCCCCGTGTCCCGCTTCTCCACCCGCCTGGGCTCGCTGCGCATGCGCTCGATTTCCACCAGGCGCGACAGTTGCACGGCCGGCGCCAGGGATCCCTTGGGAGCGCTCGTGGCTCTCGGTTGCGAGTCATCGGACGAGGACCCCGATGAGGAACAATTGTTCGAAAACAAGAAGTTGCTGAAGAAGGAAAATACCACGGAGACAACAGCGCCAGCTTGCGCCACCTTCGATGCGCCAACGCTGCTGGAAAAGACTCCGGGCCAGCGTGAAACGGCCTGCTCGGTGGCGACGCACGTCTCGCCCGAGGGGAATAACAAAACGAATTGATGGGAAGAAAGAGTGTAGTTGATGACTCGAGGTGTCAAAGATGTTTTTGTGCGAACCTAACAAAATATATCGCAAAACGATCAACAATAAAAAAGTGAATGAATGACACCAATAAAAAAGTGATTGAAAACATGTGATTCTCCAATTATTTATAGGAAACAAATAAGAACAAAAATTTCCCATGGGGCCGAGGTTTTTTGCAGGTCGGTGGGTCGCAAACCATACCCGGTAACATCGGGGGCGAAAATTATGGAAATACCTACTTCTATACGATAATCTCTGAATGGATCCAACAGATAACTCATCAGACACCACAACAAAAAAACAGAATCCATCATCATTCTCAAATTATCTTCTTCTTCAATATTCCTTGGAAAAAAAAAATAAAGATCTTGAATCTTTGAAGAATCGAGGGAAAATATCATGGAATTTTGATTGATTCTTATTCATCTCGATCAATTTTGTTTTCTTTTTCTTATCTTTTTCTTTCATGTCGAGGTCCCAAAATATCTTTTATGCAGATCAATCACCAATTTGCAAATTATCAAGAAAAAGATCCGAAATATAAAGTCATTATTAATTCTTCGAATTATTGGATTGATTGGATGGATAAAAAAAAATATGTCATTTTTCATTTCAAAAAACAAAGATAGAAATTTCTTTCGAGATATTCAGAAATATCTTCAATGAATTTTTGAATCTCTCTTGTTAATTTGTAAGATTCGAATCTTTATTAATTTGACATCATATTCGAGAACAGAAAGAAAGAAAATCATGATGGAATTCATTCTCACAAAAAAATTGATAGGAATGATTCTGATATCTTTATCTTTCGAGAGAATTCGATGATGATGAGAATGAACATGAAGACAGATAATCTCGGAGAAATCAGAATAAATCAGGGAGACAAACCCGGGCGACCTAATAGTCCTAATCGACGGACAAAAATTGGCTGAAAACTTTCCGAGCGCAGGAGCAAGACCAAAAAAGAACGCGCGAACAGACGAGACAAGGAAGGTGGACTCCAAGGCGAGGCCGTTTGGTGGGATGTGGGCCAAAAGAAAAGGAAGACCGCTCCTGTGGTCAACAGAATTTCCAAGAACAAAATGGAAAACCCAAAGAGCCAGACGGCGGATCCCAAACACGGCCATCCGAGGCCCCGACATTCTAATTGGACCCCTAAGTTGTCGGCTAACTTGAAATCCTTGACCCCCCCGGGGTCTTCTAAACTGCGACTGGAATCCAAAAGCCCCCCCTTTCTAACCCGTCTTCTAACCGTGTTCTAATTTTTCCACATGCGTTCTAATTTGTCGTCTAACCGTGTTCTAACTTGCATCCCAATTCACAAAACAGAGGCAAGAATTCCAATGGGATTTCCCTAATGCGAATAACATTAGGGAAATCCCATTGGAATTCCTTACCCATGCGGAATTAGGTGCCAGTTAGAACAGGTTAGGATGCAAATTAGACGCGGTTAGATGCATGGTTAGACGACCCACATTCAACGGTTCGAAAAAATTAGATCACGGTTAGAAATCCAGATTAGAAAAAACGGCGTGCCGTTTATCCTCATGTCTATCGCACAGTTAGACGACCCACGCCCAAACCCTTAGACGCAAGTTAGATGGCCCAAAGGCGGAAGACGGTCTTCCGCCTTTGGGTCATGTAACTCGCTGGCCCCAAACTCGAACACACAATGGAAATCGCCGGCAACCCCAGCGCCCGGCTTTGCCCCTAAAACCTGCCCGAATTTTTAAATTTTAAAACCTCGAAAGGGGCCGGGCGGAAGTCGGTGCCGGGGCAACAAAAAATCCGGCGCGCGGGGCACCACAGGACCCACGGCGCCGATGCAATTTAGCCACTTTTTACCAACGAATTAGGGCGGGAATTTCGCCCGGACCTGTCTGCCTGAGAATAAATAGATAATTTGAGTCTTACCCAGATATGACAAGAAAGAAAAAAAGAAAGATTCCGATTCCCGAATATTCGATCGAATAATGATGAATCTTCTCAATGGAATCATGCTCATATTTGATTGCATCTGATTCTGATGGAAAAATCTATCAAGAATCTCTTATCGAAGAACATGTTGTTCGTGCCTCTTCATTGCGAGCGGGGGACATGGAGGAGCGTTTAGGAGGGTGTTGAGAAGCGACAAGAGCCGCAATGCCAAAGAGCCTGGCGGAACGGCTGCAAAAGACAACACATTTTTGACGCGCGTCTAGATTTAAACTAGGACTTTTGCCCCGCGGCGCCAGCCGCCCGCGGGGAACAATAAATGCAAAAATGACAAACATTTGCGCACAACTACATGGGAAGGAATGCAAAGATGAGCAGAGCGCAGCGGCGCCAAAGCGCGCCGGCAGAAGCGTGCTCCCTGTTACAGCTTGAGCAACTGTTAATTCCTTGGGCGCGTAAGTTGTTGGTATGGTGCTTGTATTTGGTGTTAGCAAAACCGATTTCGTTGTGGCTTCCGGCGATTTCTCAAAATCGAATTCGTTGTGGCTTCCGGCGATTTCTCAAAATCGAATTCGTTGTGGCTTCCGGCGATTTCTCAAAATGAACGAGGGCAACGATATCGCACTAAAAAAAGGCCCGAGAACGCGGGCTCGAGCCGATTTGCTCAGCCGCGCCCCCACCGGTCCGCGGCCGCGAACTCGGGCCTGGTTGGTTTCCGTTTCGTTGTTTGGGGGCCTTAACCCGCCGCCCTGAAACTGCGATTTTGCGGAAAACACGGCCCGCGTTTTCTGCGAAGTCGCAGATTCAGGTCGGCGGGTTAAGGCCCCCAAACAACGAAACGGAAACCAAACAGGCCCGAGATCGCGGTCTCGCGCCGATTTGGTCGCCCTCCCCAACCCAACCCGGCGCATGACCCAACCCCACGACTCCCCGACCCAGCTCGGGGTGCCACGAGCGTCCACCCACGGACGACCAAATCGGGCCGAGATCGCGATCTCGGGACGATTTGGTCAGCGGCCTCTCCAACCCGTCCATCCGCGACCGACCAAATCGGATGGAGGCCGACCAAATCGGCCCGAGATCGCGATCTCGGGACGATTTGGTCAGCGGCCTCTCCACCCCGTCCATCCGCGGCCGACCAAATCGGCCCGAGATCG